AATTCTTTACTTAAATTGTCAAGAACAGCTGATAAATATATTTTACTACCGTTATCACAATAGTGATTGCATCACAAAGCAGCCTCGTATTAACGAAAAAGCAAAACAAAACTTTACATAGGCTAATCATATCGCCTAAGTTGAAGATTTTGATAGTTCTATTGTTTTACGAGTGTACTATAGCTATAAACCCATAAACATTAAGGACTATCACTAGATAACGTACCATCTCTGTTCTTATCAATATGTGAGAATCCTAGCCTGAGATTCTTCTCGTGCTCTCTTACGTAATGAATAAATTCTGCCAGAGAAATGTCCCCACTTTTGTTGGAGTCGGACCTCTCCAGGAATTTCTGGAAGAAAAAATACTTAGAAACATTTTTAAATTTGTAAAGAGTTCCCTGTTTCAAGAACAAATTATTACTTTTTAATTAATAATTTAGGTTTACCTATGACTGCCAGGTTCTTTAAGAATGTGAAGATATGAAGCCCGATGTATATTTCACCACAAGTGTGGCATCATCAGGAAGAGTTTGTAATTGTCACTTTAAAACATTATGATATTTATTCACATTATCGGTTGACGGACGATTTACGACACAGGCGTAGGAATCCGAGTGTGTGCACAGACCGGAGACGCTACATATATCACTGTCTGACTGTCCCTGATCCTGATGATGCCACACATATGGCAAAATGTACAATGGGCTTCAAATCTAACTTAGGCTACATTCTTTAAGAACCTGGGAGTCATATGGTAAACCTACAAAACTTATATCAATAAAGGTTACTTTTGTATTACAAGGAGGTCACTTATTTCAGAGGGATTTTTTCCGGAGACTAAAAATACCTACAATTGGAAAGAACAAAGGCCTACTTTAATTGACTTGCTGTGACATAGTACAATTAGCGGCCTTTGAGTTCTGCCTTCGAGAAGGCAGCGATGTCGGCAAGGATTGCGTTGAATGCGTCGCCACCGCTAGCTGCCACATGTACTCCGCCAAGTAGGTATAAAACGCGCTGCGACGGTTAGGTTGGGTTATCATAAATATGTTTGTAGGACTTTCCTCATTACGTTATGAATCAAACGATACCAGATGAGTCATCACTCAGGTTATTGACCCAGATACAGACAGGTGATACACGCACTCCGGACAACGATCTGACATTGGCCTACTTGGAGGAGATTTGGCAGGCGAATGTATGACTCATCTGGTATCATTAGATTCACAACAAAACGAGGAAAGTCCTAAAACATATTAATAATAATCCAATCTAACATTTAACTGCCGCAGCGGGTTGTATAAGGGTGACCTCCGTAGAATATGAAAGAACCCAATAAAGATTAATCAATTCTGAACATGTTTTGAGAGAGACAATTTTTGGTTAGGGATATCAAGTTACTCTCATTGTGTTATCAATCTATAAATTTATAATAGGTACTTTTAAATAAAGTGAACAATGATTAGGCCTAGTTATATTAATTTTTGGTGACAGTTAAAATATCTTGATTTAGCCTATAGAGTGTAAATTTGATTGGATGATGATTTGCTTGATTTTTTTTATCAATCAGACCTATTTAGAAAGCCCAAATAAATGGTCTACAACCAAAGAATGAATAGCATAAAAGGGACCTCTTCTCCTATGCCAAACTAACCTAAATTAAAAATTTTTATTGGTGTGAAAAAAAATTACCGTAGGTACCAGGTGGTAGGGCCTAAATATACATTTTTAAAATCTTTATGTGGATTTTAACTGCTAAATAGCCTACAGCTTGTGCAAGTCTTTAAGGCACTGAGATTTCCTAGCCAAATTTGCCACCTGTACCGTACATGACCTGTTGCGTTTTTGGTTGGTGCAGCTGGAAAAATCTACTCAGTCTAACATAGCTCATAAAATAAAATAAATCAGCCTAAGTTGAATAATTCAGTTCAAAGGTTGTAATGTTGTAGCCTACAAGGGCCTTTTAAGCAATCGTCAAGAAAATTAAATCAAATCTAGTTTATAAAGCGGCCCACACACTAAGTAACTTAACTTAAAATTAAGTTATATGTGTATGGTATGCTATGTCAAAAACAGACAAAACGTGCCAATATAAGATGGGGAACACAGTGCAAGTTGCAAGTCGCAGCGGAAATCAAGACGAGTTTATTTTTTGGTGTGCCGTGCTAGTGTGTAGGCAGTCCTAAGACTTGCTAGTAGTTCAATATATTTTGAGGTTAGGTTTGAGGATAGATAAGCATTGGCCTATGAGTGTAGCCTATAAGTTATTTGATATTAGTTATAAGTAGGCCGAGTTCAGACCACAAAATTGCCATCAATATCGTCCAGCCTTATACAGAGTGTAGGCCTACTAATGTTCTGGGAGCATGTAGGCCTAAGTTACCTAGTCTTAGCTTGAGAAAATCTAGCTATTCTTATTTTATAATGTTGTCTGCGGATGGTGGTTATTTCAATGCAAAATCAATTTGAAAGCCTTCCATTCGCTACCCAAATAAACAATCTATCACGGTTCAAATGGCTTTTTTGATAGGTAGGGGCAAAGTTGCCACCTTACGTCAGAAAAAAATCGGGACATTGCCCCCCTCCCACCCAGATTAACATAAGCTTAAATACAGACATAAGTTAAGGAACCAAAATCGGGACAGTCCCGGCAGAATCGGGACGGGTGGCAACCCTGGGTAGGGGCCTAGTCAATTTACATAATAATAGCCTAGGTAGTGGCAACTAACTGTAACTTAATATTAGGCTAACTTATTTACTAATTACCAGCTTAATAAACATTAAACCATAATCAAAGCAGAATTATGTCTTTCACTATTTTTATAGAGCCTAGAGAGTAAAAAAAATACTTTAAAAACTGACCAACCAATATCCTATTTTTAGTCTCACACCAATATTTAAGGCAGTAAGGCTACTAAATGCAAGTTAGGCCTAGGCCTGATTACCTCTGCATATCTCTGATGGACACCGAACTCTTTGAGAGCAACAGACAGATCATGAATATCAATTTTTCCATTTCCATCCAGATCTAATGTCTTGAATAGTTTTTCCAGCCTTTCTTCATCTTCTTGAGGTAGTTCATGCAGATAGTGAGGAGGATGGCCTACAATTGGATTTGCTGGGGTTAGCAAAATGTTACCTCCTACCATATTACTATGTCAGCAAGAATTTCAATGTCTTGATCAAATACTTTGAGTCTATTAATAAGTGTCGGTTAAAGAGAAATAAGTCTGCATGTTTAAAAACGAGTAAAATCTAGGTTATGCACTTTTCATCGGGAGGGGTTGAATGAAAGTACGACACACGTTGAACACAATTACGTCATTTTAAATTAATTATTTACTACTTATAAATGCAATAAATTTTACTCAGACTCAAGTAGTATCGTAAGTTAACTAAGGCATCTGTAACAATAAATTAACCCGAGAATAAGTTATGGTACGTTACAGAAAATTACAGAAAGCTGACAATCAACAATGCGGAATCTGTCAGCTGTTGTAGCAGACCACTGCAATGCACAGCATTACATAGAAGTACCTACAAAGAGAACTGATGGGCTACTTTTAAAGCCATTGGTTTTATAGCATAACAAAATGTTCTACTGTACCAGTTACCTGGGGCCCTTTTCATAATAAACTACAAGTTACGAAGTTACAACTTGAACTTGTAGCTTGTAATTTCCATTAGATTTGCATTGGGCGATCAGCTGATTTACTAATAATATTAGTTTGTATTTTATTATGAAAAGGACCCCAGTACTGTATACAATAACTATTAATCTATTTCATTATATCTTTCTATAAAAAAAGGTTAGCTTAAAAACAATATGAAAAATACAAGTTATCCGAGCTATAACGGAACCTACGTAATATAGATATAGGGGGTAGTATGTTTGATCACTCCGACAAGACGGCTACGTACAGTGGCGGTCCCAGGGGGAGGGGAGGGATATCCCCCCCCCCCGAAATAATTTTTTTTTATTAGCTAACATAAATAATAGGCCTATTAGCTTGAGCATATTTTAGAGCTCAAATACGCATAAAAATACGTTTTTAGGATCAAAACTCCCCATTATTTTCGGGGGGCCCCGGATCCTTTTTTTCTGGTGGATATTCCATACCCCCGCTGGTCAGCCCCCCCCCCCCCCCGAAATGAAATTCTGGGTCTGCCAATGGCTATACATCAATTACTGTAACATTTTTTTAAGAAGTATGTTGTTCCCATAAGGTCCTTTAAACAGTATTTTTTTGGAATATCACATAAACCCTGGAGGTTTCTTAGACACAAGTCTCAAGTGGGTGTTAAATGCTCTTCATAAAAGCTAGATTAAGTAAAATATTTAAAAGAGAGCTCCGATTTCATCTCTGTTTACTGTTTTACAGAACACACTCTTTAAAGAGAGTCGGAGAGGTTGGATGTCAATATGCATGTTACATCTGCAATTAAAGGTCCTCCCTACTGGTGTGGGACACCCCCGTTTGCCCCCCCCCCCCCACCCTTGACAAGGTTCTAGAATAGAAATGCCACTGATTGGGCTTTTGACAGCTCTGGATGGAGAAACAGCCGATTATAGTCAGTAACAAAAGCTACACTCAATCGTTTACCACACCTCCACTTCTCTTTCATTCATATTATTTAGCCACAGAAGTGGTACAGTAGAACCTCAATTAAGTCACCCTTTACACCGTCACTCTCTGATATCCGTCAACCCGCTACAGTACCTACTTAATTATTTTTAATGCGATCCTATTACATTGAACAAGTACAACATACAAAATGACAGTGAATTAGCTTAGAATCTGTACCAATGTGACTAACGCTGCCTTAAATTGTGAAAAATCTGATCTTAGTCAGTAGCAAAGCGCAAAGCTATACTACACAGGTCATCTCTCCCCATTAAAATAATACAAATTTAGCTTAAAAATACACACAAAGTAGTTGCTTTCTAAATAAAGTGATTTAGCGACATACCTCAAGGAAGATGAAATAAAACACAGTTATAAGCATAAGAGCAATTTTATCAGTCATTGACAACTTGTGTTAAAATAAACTAGCATTGACCATGCAATGTTATATATCTTCATACAATAGAATATGTACTCCCCTAACCACCAAATATTACACGAGTGATTAATATAATCTGTTGTAATATTACATGTGCAACATGAGTTCGTTATACGTAACACACTAGATATTGATTAATAAGTCGACTCGGAGACCAAAAAAGTAGCAAACTTCAAGCTCGCAACACACAGACAAAAAAAAACACAAAACGGGACAAGAGACCGAAAGCTCAGGATAGGTTTACAATGATCCGACAAAAACCAAACATATGATTCCACAAAACGATTATTGCTTTACGTAGTTCAATCTAAAAAAATGCAAAACAGATCGGAAGCGTTCAGTCGTGAGCCACTGATTTGATCCCCTGACGTGCTACGATCTACACCGTCCAATAATTGCCACCCTCCCAAAACGGAGATTGCCAATAGTCTGCGACTCGGTTAAAAAGTTCCAAATAAAAGAACTTAAAAATATTGACATCAACATGTTTAACATGTACCTTATGTATAACACTGTTCAGACCCAACTGAATACATTCTGTTACAATTTAGACGTTTTGATTGTTATAAACATTACTCTACCTATGCTAACTGCCGTCTTAAAAAAATCTTATTTACAGAGTGAAACATGTGCGGCTGTATCGGTTACAAATTCCATGAGCCGATTTACACTTGTTTTAAAAATACTTTGTATTCATGCCAGTTTAAGATGAACTTAGTAAATTAGCTTTGGCTTTATAGAAGTCACTAACACAAAATATTACCTACACGTTCCAACAGTTGTGCTATTCAATTAAATGGTTTTGTTACACATTTAATTATTAGTACACATTTTAAAAACTATAGTACGAGTTAGGAAGTTAGGATCCAAGCAGATAGTGATGACTTGTGGTGAGGAGAAGTACAAATTTTTTTACTAGCTCATTCTCTAATGTTTTCTGAAATATTAATTACATTACAAAAAAAGTTAAGATTTTAATAAACAAATTAATTTTTTCCAACTAAGAGCAACAAATGAAAATTTCACTGATTTGAAACAGAATTTTGGAAATAAACACTGAACATTGGGAATAGTTAAAGTATTCAAGCCTTTTGAATTGTATCAAGAAAAATATTTTTTTGTGGCCTCTTTTAACCACGCAATTGCTTGTCCACATAGACCTCAGACCTGTGCGTTGAAAATTTCCAGCAAAGCAAGGGGTAAGCCAGAACAGTAGTACAGTGAATTGTACTGATAAAATTTAGTGGCGAGCACCAGGACGCGAACCCATGACATCACTGTCATAGATTTGTAGTCCGTCGTCCTTCCAATAACTCCAAAAATTATACTAACTACTCCAATATTGTAATACTCTACTGCCAAATTTTTGTATATGAAGGAAATGCTCAAAACTAGGAATTACCGTCATTTTAGAAATAAAATTCAAATACGAATCCGCTTGGACCCTTACTTAAATTATGTAGGATTTATGTTGGTTTTTACATTCTTTTCACATTTTGCTTAAACACAATTGTACAATCTTATCAAACCTTTATTGTTGGCACAGAATTAAATATGAGTTAAAAGAGTAATTTTCAATTACAAAACGTTAGTTATTTACAAACAGTAAATAAATATGGTTAAATTTGTTTCCTTGAACATTAAACTAGAACTAAGGTTTTTGTAAAGGATAGGTTTATCAGAGGGCTTACTTTACTGACGGAAATAGTTGAAAATGTACAAACACATAACATGTTGAATTTGTAGTTTCATAGACTCTACCACTAAAAGAAGGTGCTAGCTTTGAAAACTCTATATGCTTATTTATCCATTTTTATATATTTTCGTCAGTAAGGTAAGCCTTGTGTTAAACATATCTATTACAAAATCCTTACAAACCCTGGCCTAAAGCCATCTTTAACCAAAACGTTATAAACTAGAACAGTACAGTATTTAATTTAGCATTAAAAAATAGAAAAAAATATACAATCTGAGTTAAAACTGTTTTAGGCTGTATTATACCTTAAATTAACACATTCATAACTTCTAAAATACAGCTTTGAAACATGAATACAATGAATTATGTACGGCTTAGCTTTGAAAACTATCAAATCCCTAACTGGTAATCTCTCGTAACTCCTCTAAACATTAATGATTTAAACTACTTCTAAGAAAGGCAAAGGCGATACATTACATGGTATAAAATCTACTTATTAAGCGCTATTTACAAAAAGTTCAATCCCAAAAAAACCGTTGATGAAAATAATCAAACAGAGTACAATGGAAAGACAGTAAAGTAACTGATTCACTTTTACAACTGTTGAAAACGTGTGGATCCCACAATAAATTAATAATCTATGAAAACGATTATTGTAAAACAACATTCTACAAACAACAATAAGCGAGGCACGTCAGCTTCCAATAAAACTGGAAGAAATTTTTCTTCTTCCGAAATTCAGGTTTACGTGGAAAAATCAATAAACCATAAAAATGACAGGACTCACATCAGTCCTTTGAGTTTAGAAAACTATTGTATAAAAATACATAGATTTAAACAGTAACATTGAGAATGAGTCTTACTCATGCGGTGCAGTTTCAATATACAACATAAACTGCGTAAACTACAGACACGGACTAGGCTAGAAGCAGCGTCTGCCGGCTGCGGCTGTCACTGACTAAGTAGCGGAACTGATTTACAAACGTAGCAGTAAAGAAACACAATGATAATTAAACACAATCTTCAGAGATTTGCTAAAGGGAGGAAAAAAATTGAGTCGTAAAAATTGTTTGCGGTTTGATAAATTTTAGTTTGGACATTTTGAGAAAGTTGTTTGGAACTAAATTATGCATTGTGGATCAGTGGATCAGTATACTATTTTTAACTGTTAAGTTACGAGGTGAGTGACATCCGCAGCGGACGAGACACTAAACATAGTTACACATTTACGAGGCTCGGCCCGTCACTGAACTGAAGACACAAGATTGGCACATTGTCAGTAACAAGCCTTACGAGCCTCACGACGTTACATATATACAACACATAGTACAGGTTATATATTGCTAAACAATCTCCCACAATCCTGTAAGTAATCCCTACTTACGCAAACTAGAAAAATATAACAAACAATACTATATCATAACATTAAATACGCGATAAACTCTGGATACAGGCAAACAATTAGAGTAACTATAATGATAATCGTTACGCTTACGATAAATAATATTTTCAGAAAACAAAACTGGTATATTGTTTGATTGGAATCAAAAACAACAGGTAACACAGATAACGAGGAAAACGATCAAAAATATTGTAAATACGGTTATTTACGTAAATTAACAGGATTATTGCACTACTGATAAAAACAGTATTGATAGTCTATCATGCGTCCACAAATGCCTCGTGGAATAATTAAAAACATGCAAAATAAAATAGGGTTCGATTACTAGTAAATCGAGATTATGTTGATTATCAAATCAAATAACAAAAAAATTAATGCATAGCAAAAAATGAATAATAAATGATTACATATTAACAATAATGTTCATTGATTTAGACTTAGCACCAAAATATGAAAAAGGTTGCTACAATGTTTAAATTTTACTTTCTATAATTTACTAAACTGTACTAATCAATTCCAACTAACCAGCTGATACAAAACTATTCGGAATACATTTGAGTATACAAAATACTAACAAAGCTTTAGTAAAATTTTTCATCGACTCTAAAGATTTTCCAAACATATCTTTTGTCTCTATCTGACTGTTACAAACATGCGTTATTAAATAATTTCAGACTCGCATCAATATTTTCTATTTTAACTCAGGTCTGGTTAGTTTTTTAGAAATTACAACTGCTAGCGTTCCTCGCCCTAGAGAACCGACAGGGTAAAAATACGTAGAAACTCTAATAAAAATATATAACTCTATATAACTACAAGACTCTCGTAGGTTTCTGTTTAAAAAATGTTTCTGTATCGGGAAAAGATACGGTATAAAAAGTGGTCGTAACTCTACTTGGCGGAGTCGTCGTCGTGAGGCCAAAGTTTGCTGTCGTCGTCTTCCTCTAGTTGACCTTGTATCGTCAACTCTAGTTCCCTCATGTTGTGGGCAATGTCGTACGAGTCCTCCTGTAACAGACAACACGTCATACTAACTCCACTATAGAACACTCTGAGACGAACCCTATCATGTTATATTTTAGTACCATCCAATTAGTGATGTCTTTAGCATTGCGGGTAGTTTTCATAATTTGAATATAATTGAAAAATGTACAAGCAATTTAAAATCTAAGTATACATAAAGTGTGTGGTATAAGTTAAGTTCAAATAAATCTGTATTGAAATAACAGTGAAAATCTGACTGTTGGAAACTACAGAGCAAGTTCTTAGCATACTAGGGGGAAACAAATAGTGAGCAACAGGCCTGTACGTTTTTGTGATATTTGTATAAGGTCGTACGAGTTATGTTTTTAACTTTGATGCACCTTCAGCCAAAATCTTAATTGTCTTAGAATGGTGATGTGTTATAAAAACATCTGTAACAGAAGTTAAGCTGTTCACTAAGTTAATGCATATTTTTATAAACGGACATAAAGGTAATACTAACATCGTCGCTGTGATAGCCTGTGCTCGACCAGCCGTCACTACTCCAGCCAACCCCCACGCCTCCATGGTTGGGCACCAACTGTGACTGTAAAATACAAGAGAACATGTCAGTACTGAGGCAAAACACGTCATGTTAAAGATTGTGTCAATTATGATGGGATGTAGGGAGAGATGATGAAGAGGATTAAATTAATTCAATTGCAATTAAGTGTTCAGATGACGAAATTACAAAAGCGACGGTAGTGGAGCAAGAGTTCTTGTGCCCATCCGCCACTCTAAATGAAACTATCTGTTCTCGGTAGAATGTGCAATGGTTATAGTGATTACTAAATTCACAGTGTGAGCACCAGATCATAGTGATGTGGCAAGTCAAGTGCTTAACTTGTTTAGTTAAACAGGGTATCAGGTTTCCTGGATGATGTTTGTATGGTACTTGGTGTTAGTTAATGGATTTGTTAATGGAGTGAGGATCAAGATGGCGGAGGAGGATGATAATGAAAAGTGCGGTCTGTGTATTAAATTGTTTAAAGACGGAGATTTAAGCGTAAATTGCGAGTTATACTGTAATAAATGGTTTCATATTAAATGCGTTAACATGTCAAAGAATGATTATGAGAAAATAAAAAGTCTAGGTGATCTTAGTAGATGGTTTTGCAAGACGTGTGACCAAAAGTTCCAGAGAAGCCGGACAGGAAAAGAAGTATGCTGTGAGTGCTACACAAACATAAGTGGTCTAACAGATTCTATTAAGAATTTATATGACAATCAAAAGCAAATGTCTGAGTATCAAAGAAATATGGAAATAAATTTTAAGGATCTACAAGGTGAACTTGCAGAATTGAAGCAATATAATAGGTCTAGTTGCTCGAGAACAGTGACGTGCCCAACCAATGACGTCATTGATGAGAATAATCCTACTAATGATGTACAAACGAAGATAGTTTCCTCTCGAGATATAAGAATTAATGCAAATAATAATGAAACTAGGCCAGATTCATATAGTGCTGGTAAAAACAATTACAAGCGAAATAGAGTACAAAATAAGAAAAATTCAAGATGCAGTGATGACGTCATCAGCCTTTCGCCATTACAAAGTACCCCTCCTGACAACATTGCTCCAAATGGCAATAGCAATAGAAATGATAATGACAACAGTGACATAACCTCACTACGCCAAAATGCAGATATTGAAGTATTGACGATTGGACAAGTCCATAATGACGAGCGAAATTGTGGAAATAAAAGCTATTCAGATATGGTTAAATCATTAAAACCAAGTGATGGAAATGTTCCAAATAAAGATCGTGATGGCTTTGAGGTTCATACTAATAGGAGATGGAAATCAAAAAATGGAAATAACAGACAAGGCTCTGGGCCTGTAATTGGTACTTCCAAATCTACAAGTGGAAGTATTGGTGCAATTAGGAAATTGTCTTGGATATTTGCCACAAGATTTAATACAGACACGAAGAAAGATGCTATAGAGGAGTATGTAAGAAACATCTGTGAAGGAAATACTGTAACCTGTGAGGAACTACAAACAAGGTACCCTAGCTATAAGTCCTTTAAAATCGGATTTCCTCAACAGTACAATAGCTCAGTGCTTGATTGCAACAAATGGCCAGAGGGAATACTCATAAATAAATATTTACCATCTAAACAAAGTAACTCTCATGTGGCAAGTAATGGGTCTGAGATTTACAACAGTCAAAATAGGCCTAGGCCTAATGCACCTAATGCTCAAGGGGTTTTACCAAAAAACACCAATTAGGCTCTAATTTTTATAGGGGATCAGAGTCTATGCCTGACAATGTACATATTATTTACCTTAATATAAGATCTGTCTTTAATAAAGTAGAGATGCTTGAAGCTTTAATGCATGAAGAGAAACCACAAATTTTATGCTTAACAGAAACGTGGCTAACCCAGGAAAAAAATAAGTCTTTTAAAATAGGCAACTATTGTAAAACAGCCGAATACTTTAGGAAAGACAAGTTAGGTGGTGGTGTGGCAATATTTTCTTTAATGGATACCAGACTTAAAGTAAACCAAATAAATAGCCTATCTTCTAAATCTCTGGAAAATATTTTTGAATGCTGTGGGATAACTGTTACTACTGGTAAAAATAAAATAGTTTTAATAAATGTTTATCGACCACCTCAAAAAGGAAACTTTCTAATTTTTATTGAAATCCTAGACGATACTCTGATACTTACAAAAATGTAAATTTATTTATTTTTCTCTGCCTTGCATGGCTTGCAGCATGTGGTTTTCATTTTATTTGTATTTTTAGTTGCATGCATTGCTTTGCATGTTTTTGAGATCCTGCATGTGTTTTTTTTTTTTTCAGCTTTTAATTTAATTTTGTCAGTCAAGAATGCTAGAAGAAGCTTGGCATGTTATTTATTATTTATTGTATTGTTGACGTAGCCTATTGTCCTGTATATGAACTGAATGGCCAAATAAATCATTTGAATCATTTGAATCATCATTTATGATAAAAAATCAATATGATTTGCCTATAGTCCTAAGTGGGGACTTAAATGTGGACAATTTGACAGAATCATGGCAAAAAGAGTGTCTATATGACGTTTTAGACTCATATGGCCTGCATGTATCCTTAAAAACCCCTCCCAGAGTAACAGAGGAAAGTATTAGTCAGATTGATTATTTTATTACTAATTTGGATGAAAGCTTATATGTTTCTGGGGCACTGCCAGCCTTACTGTCTGACCATAATATTTTGTACCTCAAAATTAATCTCGACATGAGACACAGCCTTATCAAGAAAACCATTGAGAAGAGGAAAATAAATAGCTCATCTTTGGAACTGTTTTCAAGAATTATGGCAACTCAAGACTGGCAAACTGATAACGAAAATCCAAGTGTGGATTTTATTTTTGACGAGTTTTACACAACATTTTTGTATATATTTGAATTATGTTTTCCAAAGGGTATTTTTAATGTCAAGAACGATTCACAAGTTAAATGGATAACTCAAGAAGTTTTACGGTCACAAGATAACCTAACACAATTGTATTGGGAGACAAGAAATAACAATAGGCCTGGTAATAATTCAAAAACAGAATACTTGAATGCTAAAAATCAACATGCCAAACTTCTAAATAGTACCAAGAAACAGTTCTACAATTCTAAAATAGATAATGCTAAAAATGTTAGCAAGGAATCTTGGCAGATAGTAAGAAGTTTAACTTGTGATGATAATTTTGTAAATAATGTTAATTTAAGTTTGAAACTGAATGACGAGCACATAACTAATCCAGTTAATGTTGCAAATGTGTTTAATAATTACTTTGTAGAGGAGGTATTAAAACTGACTGGCACAAGCGAAGAGGAGCCTCTGATATCGGGTGTTGGTGATGGTGCGGGTGATTTCCGCTTATGGCCTACTACTGAAAGTGAGGTAAAGGAGGTTATAGACAAGGTTAGTCTTAAAAAAAGCTCTGGAGTAGATGATATCCCTTGCTATCTCCTAAAGTCATGCAAAGAATCAATAGCTAAACCACTTGCTAAAATTATAAATAAATCTTTTGAAAATGGAGTTTTTCCTAGTAAACTAAAGACATCCAAGGTAGTGCCTATCCACAAAAAGGATGAGAAAGATCAAGTAAAAAACTACAGGCCAGTGGCAGTCCAAAGTGCATTTTCTAAGATTTTTGAAATAATTTTCCTTAAAAGACTTAATCCTTTTTTATCACATAACAATCTTTTATCACCACAACAATATGGATTTAGAAAAAACAGTTCAACAACCGATGCAATTTTTGATTTATTAGTCTCAATACATGACAACCTGGATGTGTTGGAAGAATCCCTGTGCTTGTTTTATGACATGACAAAGGCCTTTGACCTTCTCTCCCATAGTAAATTTAAATTAAACTGGCAAATATTGGAATTAAAGATATGCCACTTCAATGGATTTCTACCTATCTACAGGACCGACACCAGATTGTATCAGTAAAACATTCAAGCTCTGAAGGACTAACAAGAAACTACCGTTCTACAATTTCCCCTGCCATAAACACCGGAGTGCCGCAAGGCTCCAACCTTGGACCAGTATTGTTTCTGATCTATGTCAACGATTTACCCGACTCTTTATCTGAAGGGAAAGTGTGGCTCTTTGCTGATGATGTGAGTCACTTAGTTCAGGACAGTGACCTGGGTAGGCTAAGAGACAAGGCACAAACTGGCCTAAATGAAATGAGCGGATGGTGTAAAGAAAACGATCTTATACTAAATAGGAGTAAAACTAAGGCTATACAATTCTACAACCGTAAGAAGCCTGAAAGCACACCACTACTTCGCCTTGAGGCAGCTAGTATCGTTGTAGATAACTCTATTAAGTATCTTGGTCTGACAATAACCAGTGACTTAAAATGGCAGAACCAAGTAAACGCCACAGCAGCAAGACTGAAAGCTGTGTGTCACATGGTACGTAGGCTGCAATTGATAGTTGATCAAGCTGTACTGTTGAAAGTTTATTTTGGATGCTTCCATAACATAATGAATTATGGTGTGATATTTTGGGGGAATAGTCCCTTGGCGGAGCGTATATTTTTGCTTCAAAAACGCATAGTAAGAACAATTGCGAGAGAACCCTACTTATCACATTGTAAACCAATCTTTATACAACTGAATATACTCACACTGCCTGCTCTGTTCATTCTTGAGTCTGCAGTGACAGTTAAAAGGAAGCCAGAACATTTTCAAAAAAATCAACAAATCCATAACTATTCAACGAGGCAGAAGGAAATGTTACATGTACCACAAGTTTCATCCAGTTTAGTGAGAGATGGACCAAGACCTACATGCATAAGAATTTACAATAAAATTCCAGCTGCCATAAGGGAAATTGAAGATGCGGAGAAGTTCAAATCCAAGTTTAAAGAATATTTAACGACTAGGCCTTACTACTCAGTAGAAGAGTTCTTAAATCAAGAATAGGCCAAAACTTTGACGACCATGGCACACCCGTGCTACTAATGGGATACCTACAAGTATCAAGTAAGTATCAAGTAATGCAATTCTTTGCACTCCAGTTTGCAAGCCAGGTTAGGTTTATGACATGATGAATACGAGGGCATAGTTTACAGAATCACCACTACTAGTCTACAGCGCCATTAACAACAGGTGAGTAAAGTGATGTATTAGTGACTCAAGTCAAAATCGAAACATTTTATTTTAGTAGACAAAATACTTGACTTGTCACACTGCTACGGTACTTGAATGTTAAGTATGCCAAACTTGTATTTGTAGACTTCTTGGAAATCGTTTTCCCCATACAACTCCAAATTGGAATGGCAAACTTAGTTATATCTACTCTATCTGTCTTAAGACACATAACACCAATTTCTTAACAGAAAAATAACTGTTGCCGACCACTTGTAAAGGATTCTGTACCATAAAGTCACTAATTTGATTTTTTTACGAATCTCCAGGTGTTTCAACAACACATCGATAAAGTCTTTAATACAACATGATACGTTTAAATTGTATAAGTAGTTTCTGAATCGCTGATTAATTTTTAAAATTACTTAGCCTATAGACAATATTGTACATTTATGAGCTGTAAAATTAATTTTAGTGGCCAATTTTAGTTTCAGGTATATTTCAAGTACTAACAACTTTTATTACAATACGTGAAAATGATTTCAAGAAAGCTTTATTTATTTTGTCAAAACGTGTGAACTTTGTGGGTTGCCCGATTTGCAGCTTAAAATTGAACATTGTACCTTGTGCATCCTACCTTACTGTTATTGAAATTACATAAATAAGAAGTGTACACTTACAAATCGCCATTCCTTTTCTTTCTCCATCATCTCTTGGTATTGTTGTTGTTGCTGCAAAAGATTTATAATTATTTCATTACAAAACTTGGTTTTTTTTCTTTCAACGACAAAATACAAGTAAAGCACTATTTGTTACCACATATACTATGTAACAAAGCCTATAACAAATTATTTTGATATTATAACTGTTAACACTTTTGGATACTGAACTGCTATCAATAGTCAAAGCTATCACTTACCTTTAACATGGTGATTTGTTTTTCAATATTTTTCAGCTGAAGCATCAGACTGTAACAAAATTAAGGGAGCATTAAATATTATTAAGTCAAATTATAACAGCTTACATCTAGTTGCATCCATAATTACCTCTACATGACTAAGTGGTATGTAACATATTTTATCTTTTTAACACGTTGGGTGCTGATGACGGGAATTCCCGCAATTGCTTAACATTGAAATAAATGCAACTTTTATGTTCAAACATGTCGACAGCACAAATAGTGTTAAGTGGTACAATAGGAAAATGGTTGGGAAACATTGTTGAGATTGGTAGTAACGTGATTTTTGCAATCTAATCATAATCAACATGGCAGTGTTTTTTTTTTATGAAAGTCGACTCACTGGGAACCGGAGTTTTGCCAACGGGTGTCAGGTAGATGGGGGGATGCCTTCGGCCACCTCTTGGTGCGGAGATTTGCCAACGGTGGTGGTGGGAGAAAGATTGTGAGGGAGGGAGGGAGAGCGATTGTCAGGGTTGTCTACGCTTGGCAGTTATGCGCTTGTCGCAGTGGGTTAGGTTAGGTTAGGTTAGGTTAGGTTAGGTTAGGTTAGGTTAGGTTAGGTTAGGTTAGGTTAAAAATTCAATACATTTCTTTTCACAGTCAGAGGTGCATAACTCCATTACTTTGAACACAGTCAGCATCCTGCCTGGTTTGTCCACCCCTAGCAGAAGCCACCCTCACGGTCACGTGTAATCTCTCTCTCTCCCCCTCCCCCTCTCGCGCAACCCACAACCGTTGGCAAAACTCCGCAGTATGTGGAGTTCATGGATGGGGACCCTTTCTACCTGATACCCGTTGGCAAAACTCCTACACTCGACTCACTTGCTCTGCTCCAATGGAGGCCTGTGTACTATCTGGGGAGGATCGACTATTCCGTGGCCGATGGTGATGTAGTCCCCAGGACTGGCGGCCGGTGGACTCACCAGCTGAGGCTGTTGGTAACCTGTACAACACACAATAACTGAACATCTTAAATACAGGTAGATGCCCGTTTAATGAATGACTTATTTAGTTACTTTGGTGGACTGACAACATAAAACTGTTTTTGTTACGTAACCTATTTGATTTTCTAACTACAATCACATAGGTACTAAGAAATAGATTAGAAAGATGTCACAAGTTACATAGCTGTCGCAGCGGAGTCTAGAAGACCTGATGGTAGCCGAAGCCGAACAATTCCGATCAATCTAAAGTGGAATTTTAACTTGTGTAACTAAAGCTAAATTAAGGCAAAATGTATACAGTACTAAGTTGATACTTAAAGTTTATGTGTGGATGAGTTAAGCACCATTATTATATTATATATTATATAAAAGCATAGAAACAAACATAAAGGAGCGTATGGAAAAATTGTGGTATATTCTCACATAAAGACTAGAAAACCAATCAATAAATAAGTGAGAATCTGTTAGCTGTCACCCAACCCTTTAAATACAATAGATAAGTCCAGACAATGTAATTTGTAAGTTTTAATAAAAAAAAAAAAACAATACAAATTTCATTATTCCTTTTAGTCCAACTTGACCTGACCTAATTTGCATTCAAACAAGTTGAGTTGGTAACATCTAAAACAATACTTACCTTTCAAACATTAAAACATGTCACATTTCAAACAAGGAAGATATAACCTAAAAAGTTTATGTAAACAATAACTAGACTTTCAACCATTGACTTTGAATCAGTATTATTCAGGAATTGTTGACGGGAAACAGATAAAAATCCTATCATCTCTGTCTCACATATTGTTTATTATACCTTGACTCAGACTAAGTTGAAGCAAGCTAAATGACCTTAGAGGCAGAACAGGAAAAACATCTGGGCTCCATTGAATAAATCCCATTGAGACAAGCTAGTTTTCCAAGTCTTTCAAAAATAAAATCCTTTAAAATTGACAGTGAAAATATTATACAGGGTGTTGAAAATGTCTGGAACCAACATTATATCTCGTGAGTGGTTAAAGAAAAACAACTGATATTTTGTGTACGGATATACTATGGTTTTACCTATCTTTTAGTGCCTTATGAAAATTTTTACCACTTATAGGGAACGTCCTGTGGAGGATGTAGTAAAAAGTTTTAATGGAAGCCTATGGTAAATGATACATCATTTTAAAGGCCATTTTTGTCTGAGTAAGGAGCCACAAGTTTCATCTCAAAAGGACCACCCTAGCAAAAATGGCGACTGTTTGAAATTAAAAAAAAACACTTATAGGGAACGGAATTTTTAAATTTCAAACAGTCGCCATTTTCGCTAGGGTGGTCCTTTTGAGATGAAACTTGTGGCTCCTTACTCAGAAAAAAATGGCCTTTAAAATGATGTATCATTTACCATAGGCTTCAATGAAAACTTTTTACTGCATCCTCCACAGAACGTTCCCTATAAGTGGTTATTTAAATTTCAAACAGTCGTCATTTTTGCTAGGGTGGTCCTTTTGAGATGAAACTTGTGGCTCCTTACTCAGAAAAAAATGGCCTTTAAAATGATGTATCATTTACCATAGGCTTCCATTTAAACTTATTACTGCATCCTCCACAGGACGTTCCCTATAAGTGGTAAAAATTTTCATAAGGCACCAAAAGATAGGTAAAACCATAGTATATCCGTACACAAAATATCATTTGTTTTTCTTTAACCACTCACCAGATATAATGTTGGTTCCAGACATTTTCAACACCCTGTATAGCTGAACCAACTGACTACACTAGACCTACCGTTGTATTGTGGGGGCCAGGCGGGGGTGATGGGGCTAGGTGCTGGGACGGGTCTCCTCAGTCCGGGGGTGGATATCGTAGCGTCTCCAAACACCGCAGAACTCTGTAGTGACTGAGGCCTCATCATCGCTTTGGCTGCGGCAGCCGCGCGGGAGATGGGTCCGTACTTGCTGACGATCGGAGTGTCAAACGGGATGAACTCGTCGTCCGTCAACACACTGTCTGACCTGCAAATATTCACAATAATTAAAACTTTGATCCCTATTAGCTATTTATGTTTACAAGAAGTGCTAAAATACCATTGATAAAATCAATGCTATTTATTAACATTTAATCACTGGACAAGGTTCATACTTGGGGTGACTCTCTATTTTTCTTAAATTTTTTTTTTTTTTTGCTACTATGTCTAGACGAGACTACAAAGCTTCAAGACTAACCTTCGCATTAGGGAGGGAACTGGCTAGAACCGCAGTAGGAAAAGTAAAGAACACACACATTAAGACGGAAGCTTAGTGGTGACCTTTAATTTTAATAATCTCATATAACCATCCATACTTAAAATTTAAAATTATAAAATTAAAAACTTTAAAATTATAAATGGCTTAGAACATGGTCGACCAAACATAACAGCATGAAATGTGTTAATACAGGAGATTCAAATAGCACTTTGAATCTCCTGTATTAACACATTTCATGCTGTTATGATGTTTGGTCGACCATGTTCTAAGCCAAGTAATATCTGGAAATCATTGATTTTAAGACGCAGCTGGCGGATCAGTCTATTCTTGAAGTACAAATGAAAGAGTTTTCAGTTTAGAGGAGAGGGCTTAAGAATAACGAAATGGTTAGTTTAATGGCAAACCAGACTTAACTAATAATCCTACTGAAGGGTGAAATTGGGGGTGGAGGCAAGACCAAGCTAAGACGCTTGCTTGAAAAAGGACACTGCATACTCTTTTGTTGCGCAAGGTTGGTAGGAATTGACAATAAAATTAAGAAGAAAAAATTAGGATCCAAGGTCTTGCATAAAACAACATAAAGTTAGATTAATTTGAGTTGCCGATATAATACTCCCTGCTAGACTCAAAGTTTAAATCCCAATAAACTAGTATTTTCATGGAGAATACTTTAGACCGAGTACTTTACCTGTAAAGCACAGGCCTGTAGGAGCTGGTCAGGCTGACTTGTGAGTTTGGTCCAGACGTTGTGTGAAGAATCCCTCCGGAGTTCCACATGGAGTACGTCGACACACCAGATGATGTGTCCTACAACATTTACACAATGTTAACACATTCACCAGTGAGTAGACATTACATGGAATAGATGTAGCCAAATGTTTCATTACAAAAGAAAAGAACGTAGTTCATATGAATCACTCACAGAGTGCACGACAGACTAATTACAAAACGTTGGTGAATTCAACATAAGTAGACCTTTATGTGACTGCATTAATTTTTACTATAAAACTGGATAACACTTTAAAATGGAACTGGAATGGCCATAGTCAACAAGACAGGAGTTTACAGGGTACAATAGACTCCCTCTTATCCGGACACCTTTTAACCGGACTACTCTCGGCAGAAATGACAATCTCTTTAACCAGACAATTTTTATCAGCACATTGGTTTAGCCTGACTAGATCGGCAGGAAGTGGTCAGTACTAAAACCACTGTTCTGATGGGAAAAATTTGAGACCAGTGATCACGTGTCTAAATACAATGTTCTCATAAATTTTAGTCAAATATCACAGTAAACAGTCTGTTTTAACGAGTTTTTGGGGACGTCGGTTTAACCGGAAAACCCGTTATCCGGACTGGCCTCGGTCCCAAGGAGTCCGGATAAGAGGGAGTCTACTGTATGTGTTGGCTTACCTAAAAGAGCCTTTTTTTCAAAAAAGGTAAGAAAAACGTTCAGTTTACTTTAGTCTCCCTAAAATCCCCTTTACTACTGTATCTCAAAAACTGACCCTAAACCAATAACATGAACCTACTCAGCCTCAATCAACGGCCTTATGTAGAAAAAAAAGTGTTATTCTAATGCCAAAACAGCCTAGTTGGAAAACACCGTCAAAAACTCTCTGTTCTCAAAATAAACTCTCATATATGCCAACACTCCCACTAGTTTTCAAATTGTATTTAATTTATTTTACATAAATTGATTTTTATCGAAACTATAAAAACTCACCCCTCGTAGCGGTGTATTGCATTTGTTGCGCTCCAACTGTGACACAATCTCTTGTTTCCGTTGTTGCAGCAAAACTAAATTCTTGTTGTTGTACCTCTGTATCGAGAAAAAATATGCAACGATTAGTAGATAAAACTTATAGATTAGATTAACAATAATCAAACTAAACTTATTGATTGTAAACTATGTTGAAACAAGTTCCTACACTTGAGGTTGACCAGGGCAAAGTCTTAACTGAAGTAAAAAACTATTATAGATTAGAACTTAAACTTCAAGGATTTGAAGGTAGGACGGAAGCAGAAACAGGGAATCGATCTACCTTATTGGGTGGTGGAGGGGGTAAATGCGACAGCCATGCCTGTGTATGAGCCGTCTCTATGGGCCGATGGTCAGTGTGGGGAGGCGCAGTGGAGGCGTAGTCAGGCTGTGGCGCGTACAACTGACCTCCTGTACTGAGCACCATACTGTGAGGCGCCGCACTGCAAAAAGGCGACAACTTGGATTAGACGTACAACACTAACACATCAATGTGCAATGATTTGTTGAGTATGAGTGCAGAACGGGTTTAAATATTTACCGACTAAAATCAGCTGTTTATTTATCAATGCACAATGATCAAGTTCCCACTTTTGAACCATAAGCAAGTTTATTACAATTTTCCTAATAGTGAAGTAAAAGAAAAACAATCAATTGAAATAACAGAAGCAGTAGGCCTAAATTTCCTTGGGGTAGCTGTTCGGTAACTTGTCTTGAGACCAAAATTGTTTACTTATTTTAAATTTAAATAAAATAACCCCTGGTTTTTTCGCAATTTGAAAAATTTCAAAACTCTGCAGTATTGAAGTTTTAAAAATGATTTATTATTCCTATATTCACTCCCATATAGCTTATATGTATATAGAGTAATCCAAAAAAGGAATCTAGAAAAAAAATTGACAATTTAGAATCAATCTATCAGAGCTATGTTAGAAATAAACATAACATGTTTTTTTAATGTTTTTAAATGTGAACTTTATGTGTCAATGAAAGAAATTAAAAATGTCTTTATTTGAGAGGCGAAGTTAGGACTTATAAGTCCTCTCTACCACTTAACCTCTAAAACATAAATAAATAAAAACTTATCCACTTTAATGTCAATGTGTTTTTCATTGATGAAGACGTCTGTCATGTATTTCACGGACTATAATATGTTTTGGATTTGAGTTGGGTCTTACGACCCAAAGCTAGTAATCCCCCCCTAAACTACTGTTTTAAGAGTCCTCCACACCCAGTCGCAAATTTCCAAAAACAGCTTTCACGCGGTCCCATATAGACGCCCCAGTAATTGAGCGAAAATTATAAACTAAATATATTCATAACGAGAAAAGTCCAAACTACTAGAATTGCTTTTTGGAAATTTCGATAACTTAAATAGTTTTTTTATATTGTCAACTGAAAATCATCAACTTTGGATATTAATATCGCTTATTTTATGTCTTTTTTCAAAATTTAAAAAAGCATTTCGAGTAGTTTAGAGTATTATTTATTCAAATAATATTGTATTACATTGATATGTTGAAAAATACGGGCACAAAATGGGACCGCGCAAACCCTTACATCACGGAATGCGCACTGATTCGAGCGATCCTAGCGGCAAAGTGAGGCGCTTCCATTTAGTCGCGCAGTAATTTTTGTTCATACTAAGAATGACGTAGTTTATTCCGTGACGTTACTATTAAATGACGTATACAACCTTATCCCTACAGTAACTACGATATTCATCGTATCGTGGGTGTGATAGAAGCACTACACTAATTGGTAGACCTAAGTTGCGAGTACTACTGTATTAAAAATATAGTTTAAGCACAATTCCCTAGATATTTTAATAACGTTTACTATTATAAGTTTTATAGCTTTGGTATATTGGTGCAACAATATATGTTTCTAACTACGCCTTACTACAAAATAAAGCTTTACAGATATATTAACACTTGAAATTGGCAATGGTGAGATTAATCACTTTACGTAAAACTGTTTATTCATTGTTGGTTTCGCAGCAGGCCTACAAAATCTTGCACACCTATTTCCAACCAAATTATAAACAAGTAGCTAAAATGCAGTTGCGAATATTCTTAGACATTTTGGAAAGTGAACGGCCAAACTTGACAGTCTCAACTTGATTAGAGTTGTGTTTGGGGCGAGAGTGTGGGGGGGGGGGGGGTGAGGGATGAGTCACTCAGTTCTAAGAAATTCACAAGAAATATTGTTTTTTGCAGTTCCTACCTGGCATACTGTCCTGTAGTAGCACTCGGACGCTCGCATAGTACACACTATAGATTCTCATATTATTTTTCTGTACCTGTCTATGTGAATACATCGTGTTTGTATAAATAAATAGATCGTGTTTGTAATGTATAAATAGTGGGCTATCTATTTATACATTTCTGTGTCGTGTTTTTGTTTTGTGTTGTGTTTTAAATATTATTTAGTATAGGCCACTGCACATAATCTTATACAACTACAGTAGACTAGCCATTCTTATCTTTCTTTGAAAACATGGTGCGTAAAGTGAGGCCCCAAAGGGTAAAACGGAAAAAAAACCGTGGAGGTGAAAGGTTGGCGGAGTGGCGGATGCTGCGACATACGGCGGCTTATAGAAACCAGGCGTCAACGTCAACATCACCAACTCCATCTGAACCGGCCCCACTGCCAGTAACTCCCCCCAAGACACAGACCCTTCCTCAGTCACCCCTAACCACACCTTCATACCAAACACCCGTAATGTCCTCAAGTCCCTTGCCCATGGAAACTTCCTCTTCCGCTGGAGAAGACCTCCCTGAATTGACCGGCCGGCGCATTGTGCAAATAAAACATTTCTTCGACGAAATCCGGCGGCTTAGCCACCATGACGGGCCTTTTGATTGCCATTTTGGAAACATGGTTTTCCAAGGTGAAATAACAAACGGATTGAAATCTGGGTACAAGTTTAAGTGTGAAATGTGCAATTTGAGTGACGTGATTTGGTCTGAAGAAAACAACAACCAGCAGATGGACGTCAACACTGCAGCGGTGGCCGGCATCATGTCCATCGGTAGTGGATACTCCGGTCTCCAGGAGCTGCTAGGATCCATGGACATCCACTGCATGAGCAACACTACTTATGACCGCTATCATTCTATGGTAAGTCAATTAGTACGTATTGACAATTAGTATGAGTTGACAAATTCTTTTAGATGTTTCAACTACACAAGTTGGTTCTATGATATTTAGCATTAAAAACGTATAAGGTTTACCAACAGGGTGCAGCACTATTATTTTTTGGCATTTATGAGAACAGATAATTTGAACCAACTAGCAACAAAAGCTGTGGTACTTTTTTTCTACGGTTTAGGTGCAGTGGTAGAACAATATGGCTATGGTAGATGTGCTATAGGCCTACTATAGTTACAGTATAGATTAAAAGAAACATATGTTCTTAAACCGTGTCCTCTCCCATAACTGCAATAAGCATTTTATAGTTATATGCCAATCCCGTACGAAGGATGGGTTCTCTGCTAGTATAGTGTATTATATAATACCAACTTACAGGATCAAATCTTATCCTATAGATATTATTGTAGACGTTGATAACAACTTCAATGTGACCTTCCAAACGGCAATATTGACCACAATTGTAAAGTTTCGGGTAATGGTGGTTCACAGGTTGCAGAAGGGTGGCAGAAGACAGCACTAGAGGAGATGCGCGAGGCGGCGGTGGAGGAAGCACGATTGGCGCTGGAGAGTGGCGAGGTGGATCGAGACGGCGTGCCGCTCATCACCGTCGTCGCAGATGCCAGCTGGGCAAAACGGTCCTACAAATCCTCAAACTACAACTCAGCTTCAGGAGTTGTAAGTGTTTGCTGTTTGTAGTTCAGTCGGGAAATAGCAGGTTGAGGAAATTGTATGGCAAATATGTGGTATTGGCAACTGTTTTAAATTCAGGGTGTCCAGCTTCTACTAGGACACACTCCGGGAAATGTTTCCATCATTATAAAGAGCCCAACAATATTGAAACATTTTCTAAAATCACTTCGTTAGCCAGATATCCGCCATTTAGTATTTTTTACATAAACATTTCTATCTTTCAATTTTTTTCAACCGGTCTTTATGAAACCTCGTATTTTATTACCGTACAGTAAAAGATTTTTATATTTGGGGAACAAATTTATTTGGTAAATTGGAAATTTCAGTAGATTCTGAATTTTAAATACTAAATAACATTGTTCTTGACAATTGTTAATTGTTACAAAAATAAAGTTGTCGGCCATATTGGAAAAACTATACAAAATTCAATGATAAACTGAATAAAAAAAAATTAATAACAACTTTGGCAGATATTTTTAATGTTATTCACGGCTGAAATATATTATCACGACTGTATTTATTTCAATGATTTGCCCTTGTTGTAGGCTGCTATCCTGGGATACAGAACTCGAAAAGTCCTCTACATAGGAGTGAAAAATAAATATTGCACAGCGTGTGCGAGATTCGAAAGTAAAGGAGAAGAGATATCAAGCCATGCCTGTTACAGAAATTGGAGTGACTCATCGAGCAGCATGGAGGCCGCTATTATCGTTGAAGGATTCAGGCAGAGCGAATCTATGTACGGCATCAAGTATGCTAGACTAATTGCTGATGGAGACAGTAGTGTTTACAAACAGTTACTGGAAGAGAGACCCTACGAAAACCTGACTATAGAAAAAATAGAATGTACCAATCATTTACTAAGAAATTACTGTAACAAAATCAAAGACATTTCTAAAGACACCTCAAAATACACAAACGAGAAGGGAGAGATGTTATCCACACTAGACATGAGAAAAAAGATTGCAGGGGCTGGGAAAAAGTTTAGGTCGGCGGTTACGAAGGCTGTGGAGTATAGGAAAAACGAAAACAAACCCATCAACATCCAATCTTTAGAACTAAAGAAAGAGCTTCTGAATGGCCCAAGTCACATTTTTGGAGAACACCTCCATTGCTCCGACAGAAATTACTTTTGTCATGGCAAAAAACCTGAAGAAGAGAATCTCATTCCAACATTGAAGAAAATGGGTCTTTACAGCAAAATCATGACAGCTGTCGGCTCCCTGGTAGACAATGCCAAAAGTTTGCTGGTAAATGTAAACAGTAACTATGCCGAACACTTCAACTCGTTAGTAGCAAAATTCATTGGTGGAAAACGAGTGAACTACACTAAGAAGGGTTCTTACCAGGCTCGTTGCGCTGCAGCAGTTGTTAGTCACAACACTAACACGCCACACTACAAACTGCACAAATGTTTGTATAAGAACAGCCCGGGCAAATTCGCCAAGACATTTGAACAGAGGAGAAAAGCTAAAATTGTCAAAGCTGCAATAAAACGACGATCAGCTACAAAGAGTAAAAGGCGGCTTTTGATAACAACAAAACCAACAAACGATCCACACTACGGGCGACACGCCCAAAGACCCGATATTGACGAACAGGAATTTCAATCCAGGAAAATCGAGTTCCTAAGTAGTTTAAATAAAACTGATAAGGAAATCGTTCAAATCGAAACGGCGACTAGGTTGCAGCACGAATCCACCTTGTGGAGAGAGGAGAGGCGAAAACTGCTCACTGCCTCCAACTTTGCAGCGGTTTGTAAGAGACTGCCACACACTAAATGTGACAAACTTGTGACCAAACTATTATATAGTGACGAGGTGGATTCCGCTAGCTTACAGTATGGAAGGGAAAATGAAGCAGCGGCCCGAGAAGAACTGCAGTCTTCTGGTCTTCAGATCCAAGAATGTGGCCTCTTCATCGACCGAGAACTTCCCTTTCTGGCAGCTTCACCTGATGGGCTTTTGGGTGATGATGGAATAATTGAAATAAAATGTCCATCAGCAGCAGCAGATATGACTCCAGATGAAGCTATCAAGCAAAAAAAAGGGGTGTTTGCAAACTTTTGGAAAGAAGACCAAACTTCTGGCAAAAAAGAAATAAATGTAAACCATGATTACTACTTCCAAATGCAAGGACAACTACACGTCACAAGACGAAGCTATTGTAATTTTATTGTTTGGACGCCTAAGGGGATGAAAATCGAAAAAATAGAAAGAGACGATAGTTTCTGGTCATTGAAAATGGTTGATAAATTGACACGGTTTTACATGAACTGCATTTTACCTGAACTTATTGACCCCAGGAAGACAAGAAGTATGCCTATCAGAAATCCGTACTACATTTTGGCCGCTATCGAGAAACGGGAAGAAAAATTGAAAAACAAGGAAAATAAACGAGCAAAAAAGTAAAGTTTGTCATTTTTGAATATGTACCTCCACTGTGGGATATATGTACGTAAAGTAAGGCGGACGGATCATCACTCGGACGTTACATGACACTAAGAACATACAGAACGAAAATAGTATTGGATTTTCCCGCTAAAGGTTAATTGCAATATTAATATTTGTTATACAAATGTGTTATATTTTGGTTTTTTTATTTACGAATGTTAGTTAAGCCTACTAATTTTTTTCTTGCTATTGTGGTTCATTTTATGATATATTTCTGAAGTATATGTAAAGGCTTGTTTCTGTATACAAACAATTTTTTTGTACACTTTAATATATAAGTTTGTTTGTGTTTACAATATTCTGTTCTTTCATTTTCTTATTCTATTAATATTATGAAAAAAATTATGTAATATATTTCTCAAGTATAAGGTTCTTTTGTGTGTATACGACACATTTTTTTATATACTGTGCTGTTATATAGTATTTTGTTTGTGTTTACAATGTAATTTTATTGCATTTTCTTATTATGTAAATAAAAATTATGCAACCTAAACGCTTTATTGTCCAAACAACATGTCATTATGTAATATATTTGTTAGTTTGTTTTTATAATAATGTTTTATTGCATTTTCATCCTGGATACATTTTGTGGGAAAACATTTCTGATGTAACCTATGCACTATTCTAAAACATGTTTTGCCTTAAAGTATTAGGCCTATATCATATAATTAAGTTTATACATAATTAAAGTTGTTTTTTACAGAACTGTAATGCTGAAATTTTTAATTAATCCCGATTTTTACACTTTTTAAACAAACATTGTGTTTTACCTCGCATGTTAGTTCGTTTTTATTTGGATACTACTGTGGTGGGAATTAGCATCGCAAGGTAAAAAAATTGATTTTTTCCAGTAACCTTTAACTATTTTAGAATGTTACTTCAAGGAAAAACACGTGCGTGGTTGCAGGATTAAATGAAGACAGAAAAAGATGTAATGTAGGCCTAGTGTGTGGACGCAGGGCATGCCGCATGGAGGTGGAGGACAGTGGCACTAGCTAGCAGAGCTCAGTAGTCAGTAGACGAGTGTGTTGTGTTGTGTGTGAGAGAGAGGGAGTGAGAAAGAGAGAGAGAGCTAGAGCCACGACGGTGGTGGGTTGGGGGGGAGGAGGGTTGGCCGACACGTCACTCTTGCGTTGTGCTCTGCCGCACTATTTTCTATATCTCTGTTGCGCGACCAATGTCTGTCTGTCTGTCTGTTCGATTCTAAAACGAGAAGGGGTGTGGATGCCTCTTAAGACTGAAAACAGACAAAGGTACGTATCCTACTGCTTGTGATTTGTTACGTAGAAGAAGAAGGCGGGCTAGAAAACCAAAAATGTGGATCATCCAATTCTTAAGAGTGTAAACTAATTGTAAGCTAGAAAAAGACGAGACTCCAGTCACAGCACAAACTTATTCGAGAACAGTACAAATATTTGGCAATGACTTATTTATTGTAGGGTCAAATTACCAGACTATCAAGTGTATTATCATCAGTAACGTTGGGATTGTTTAGTTACCTGTAAATGTCAGGAGTGAAGGTGCCGGGAGTCGGAGCAAACATCTGCTGCTGCGGCGGCTGATATGTCGTGTGCGGAGAACTCTTGATGGGAAACAAGCTACTGTTGAAATCGCCCACTCTCACACCTACGCCTGCATCACAGAACTTTGTTAGTGGATCTAAGACTTGAACATCCATACAATAGCATTATACAGTTGATATAAATCAGCATCACATAACACTAACACCCCAGCTGCAGCAAACCTGCTGACTAAGTGAGTTTCCAATCGCCTAGTTGGGTTTTTACTCAAATATTTCTTTAAAATTGTCAGATTCATTCCCTATTTAAAAAAGCAAGTTTTGTGGGTGCTTAGGTTTGCTACTACAGGGAAAGGAATAAAGTGTGTTTTATTTGAAATGTTAGTAGTTTAGTATGAAATAAATAAATTTTTAACATTTGATCAATTTATCCATAAACAAGTAAACAACAGCAGTTTATTTATTCTCCATGGGAAGATTGACAGTTTTTTGGAATTGTCTCTGAAACTATTAAACGTACAAAAACACTTTAGATTACTAAATTATTAGTTTTTCTTTGCTCTACACAATAATTTGTAAGTAAGTTGAAAAATTTAATTTTTTGGGGGTAAAAAAACAACAAATGTTTACTCCATACAACCCCGTTCGCTTAGTCTGATCCCGCTGGTATGTGAATTGGTTAGATTAAACTTAAATTTACATGTTTGTACCAAATTTGATAAAAAAACCAGGATGATTTTTACTTGATTTAACGGGCTAACGGCCATATAAAATAAATTAATTTGAACGGAAGGTGATTTTGGCCTCTGGGCACATCTAAACTATGTGCGTTAACAGCAGTGTATGGTAGATGTTAAATCAACACACTGTTTAATGGTTTTCTTATTCAGGCGGACACAAAAACAAACGGAATATGAACTGTTTAAGGTTAAAGGCTACAGAAGTAGATAACATATTTGTTAGTTCAATTCTAAGTCAAACTGTGGCAGTATAAATGGAAATATGTTAAGATTTGCTAGACAGGGCAGGATAATGGAGCTCTGAGACACAATACCAGTTGTACTTCTTATGAGGCAGTAAATTCCTTTAGTCTACAGTTAGATTGAAAAATTAAACAGACAACAATGCAACAATAAAATACAAATGAATTAGTAGTTTCTAATCTTTTTGTAGGATGGCTAAAACATGGGAAACTATTTGTTAAAAACATTGCTCATGGGGGAGCCAAACTTAATGCTGATAGACAAAAGGTTGTATTGTACGAGGGAGCTGACTCAGGGTCCCGAAACGCCAACCAAAGCTTATTGTGCATGATAAAAGGTTATTAAAAGATATTTCTAATCACCTACCAGCATTACTGTTAAAAGAATTGTGTTGTTGTGTGTTGAAAATCACTTCGTCACTGTGGCTAAACAAGGAGTCCGCTAGAAAATCTTCCTCCTTGCATCCGGGTCGAGGGACCATCTTGCGGTTCTTGGATCGGTACCTGGTAAAAAGTTGGAAATTTACCATGTATAAACAAATAATATTGTGGTTGAAAATAGTATTCAGATTTAAACCTCAACATCGCAAATTTGAAGGAAAGGAAAATGAAATTTGGCTAGAATATTTGTTATGTTGTAATAGAATTGTGTTAATTTAGCAATAATTTTTCTCCATGGAAGTTCACTTCTCATAAGTTACTCAGATTTTGTAAGTTCACAAAATGTTTGTACTAAAGTATATTTAATTTTAAAATTCTCAACTTATTTGAAGGAGAGGTAATTAACTTTCCTTATTGATTTTATAATACAAAAACTACATTCAATAATTTCAATGGCTGGGAGATTGGTTTTTCACATCCTTGATTTACTCGGTCTTTAGCATCTTATAAGGAGACATTGCATTTCCTTTCAGTAGGTATATGGTGGTACTATATAGGTTTCCGTCCAATTTTTTCCCTTTCCACATTCTGGGACGTTAGGCTCTAGCCTAACTGTTTACCACTTCAAGCTAGGATTACAGGGTTGCTGAATACCGTACCTATTCCATTGGCAATTGACAGGAATCAAACCTTGCACCTTGTGGATTGAAATCCCATGCTCACTACACCACCTCACATTCAAATTGTTAAGACTTTTTACAAAAGACTCAACAACAATTCAATTTATTCAAATGAAAAAACTCCCACACCACAATCCAACCAACACTCACTTCTCTAGCTCATCCTCGGAGTGGGCGAAGGTGCAGTTCACTCCTCGAGGACACGAGCCACGCAGCTGTAGGTCACGACACAGACTGATCTTGTACTTGGCATTGTGAGCGTGAGACCCGGCAGGAGTGGCCCCGTCACCCCCGGGGGGCTTGCGTGCTCCGTGGACCCTGATGAACTCCACTAGCCCCGCCACTACTAGCCGGGCTGCCTCCACTCCCTGCCACACCTCCTGCCAGCTGCACACTGACGACTCTGCGGACAATGTTACATTTAGTAAACTATGAACACATCGGCTACAATATGATAGAAGCCACCTGTTGTTATTGACTGCTGAACTTTATCAGGGTGCAGTAAACTTACAACATTTAAATCTATGATTGTGTCCAATGTTCTTCTTGTGACGATTAAGGAATAGCAATCAGGTACTAGTTACTTAAACCTGAAGCACAAATTACTTAAAAATATGATAACAAACAAAGTGAATACAAGGTTAGCAACCGTACCAGTTAAGAGTTAAATCAGCTGTCTATCAGCTGTTACACCTACCTGGGCTAGGGTCAATGGCGGCCAGCAACTCCAGATGAGGTCTGAGAACATTAAGGTTGCCAGGGTCGCCAGTCCTCTGTAGCGCAATCACCAACTCCTACACAGAACAATATATCACACGAGTTTCTACACCAGATTGAAGAAGTTGAGAAAACTTGCATAAAATAAGGCACGATTTTGCCTACAAACAAAACAGTCACATACCCTCAAAATACCTAATATAATCACATACAAACACAAATTACAATCAAACCCAGTTTACCTGTACACTCTGTGCAAAGCTCTGCGGAGTTTGCAGTTTATCTATGATGCTCTGCATGTGAGACTTATGCGCAGTGTCACCGTACAGCAGCGCAGACCACTGGTCCGGCGCAATACGCAGACCAGCCTCAGTCGCAATCTGCACAATCTGTGCATCGTGCTCTCGACGTAGCGCTTCGTAAGTGCGGAACTCTTCCTTCAACTGCATCAGGGAAGAGTCTCCTTCTCTTTTGGAAACCTGCGGAAAACGTAGGGATGACTTAGAACGGAGGTAAACTTGCAATATTATCAGAGTTAAATTAAATAATGTTTGACTTTTAAATGTATTTCATGATTGAACTTTGTTTATGACCCCTTCCTGGCTGCATTTGAACCACTGACGTTTGAACTTCAATTTGCTGATACTGGTAAGACTTACTTAAATTAAAATGTAACTGAGATATTTACCAATGCTATTATGGACTAATCTACTTGACTAAAAGTCATGATAGGATCAAAATTATAATTAGGTTGTACTATTTATGAAAAGAAAAAAGTTGCTTAAGTGCTTGGAAATATAGGTGGGATGTAGTGTCAAAGTTTAATTGTTAAATGCAATGATGTTTCTTTAGTTTATCAAAGTCAACTGTCCGCCGCTGACAAAAACTGTCCTCAACTGTCCACTGTCCTCAAACTGACAACTATTCGCGGCTTACAACCGTCCGCTGCTGACAACTATTCTCGACTAACAACTGTTTGCAGCTGGCAACAATTATCTTGACAACTGAATGATAAAAGATAAAGAGGTTAAGTTTAAAACTACCCACCTTAAAACAAGAAGCCCTGTAGAGCAGTTGGACGACGTGGCCGATGCTGGTCTTGGAGGCCTGAGGGAAGTGAGGTTCAAGCCGCTGCACCACAAACATGACCAGCACCTTGCGGGAGAGCGCTGAGCCGTCCTCCAGAGCCAGCAGAACTAGCTTCAGCACCTCCTCCTGCATGGCTACAACATAGAGCTAAGTAGAATCCACCTCCTTAACTTCCATCTTCTCACCAACAGCCAATGTTTCATTTCCTTTTACACACACTTCCTTTTACTTAAAACTATACAGGGAAGCAACTGTAACGGTCAGTACACCTACTGAAACAGCCGACATTCGCAAAACTTGTGGATAACAAAGTTACTATAACACAGGATTTCAACTTAGAGATGTACATTAGGAAAATATAACAGAGGTAAACATTGATTTTGCAAATTTTATTCAACTGAACATCAATAGATAGAGGTAATTTTTGTGTCTCTTAGACCTATACTGATAAATCTTGGTCTTCGGAGATGACGGCATCTTGAAACTCTACAACATTCTAGAACGTTCTACAAGACTCCACATATCTTCGCCACCCCCACCCCAATATAGGCTTCTTCAAAACACACAAAGCTCTTCATTTGAATATTAGTTTGCCATGAAGATAGATAACTTCCAAGCATCCAAAACATCGGCCTCTAGTCTTGCTCATTCAACGACGCGGTCATTACTCAAAGACTTATTTGTTATTTTACTGTGACAGTGGAAGCCTATGATCTAGATTATACAGAAAAAATATAGAAAAGGTTTTTCTCTTAAGATATTGAAAACTCAAAATTAGCGGAATAGCATGTAGTTGTAAGTCCTTAATTGTACCAAATTCTAGTATCACATGTCATCAACACCAACCTGGTCCAAGGAACTGGCAGCCCCGGGCTCGTACAGCAGCCCAGAGATTGGCCGATAGTTGCTGAGGGTTCTGGTGCTGCAGAATCAACTCGGTGACTGTACGTTCGCCCAGAGAGCGAGCTGCTCGCATCGCACGCGACCGCCCTTCCTCCTCCATCAACTGACAGTTGATCAGTGTTACCAGCTTGCGCTGCATCGGTCGCGACAGCACTCCTGTCCCACTCCCTGCAATAAAACATTGTTTACTCACACTAATAAGGAGTTGTCATCAACATATGATTTCTTAACACACATGGTTTATGTTATTGTTTTTAATGTTTATGTTTGTGTTTATATATTTTTCATTCAGTTAAAATAGTTGAATAAAATGGGTTGTACATTCCCTTGTATCTTGTTATTATATAATTTAAGGACTTGATAACTGGCGACGAGGATGGGATGTTGAAGCTGTATTGCCAGTAGCTCGGCATATGAACTTATACTTGGGAGACGAATAAGGACAAGGCTGGATCTTATGAAGAGACCCCAAGATCACACAGAAATGCCCAACGGATATACTAAAATCAAAAGAGAGTTTCGGGTGGGAGACAGGGTTCAGGTGCGCAATTTCGGAAAAGACGGAAAGTGGAAATTTGGAAACGTAAGAAGGAGAGAAGGATTGGTGCATTATCAAATCGAGATGGACAATGGGCAGGTTTGGAGAAGGCACATTAACCACATTCGGCCGTGTAAATTTGAGGGGGAGGATTAATAAGGAGTTGTCATCAACATATGATTTCTTAACACACATGGTTTATGTTATTGTTTTTAATGTTTATGTTTGTGTTTATATATTTTTCATTCAGTTAAAATGGTTTAATAACATGGGTTGTACATTCCCTTGTATCTTGTTATTATATAATTTAAGGACTTGATACACACACTGTACTTTGTTGGAAGGGATTCATTGGTAAAGTTTATCAGATCAAAAATCATAAAACCATAAATATTAAATGTAGTCAAAAGAGCATGAAACTATACATGTACCTGTATTAACGGTGTTAATTTAAGAACATCAGAAATGTATGCTAATATAATTTTGAGTAATTAATCAAGTTTGTAATAAACAAATGATAAGGCAGCTTTAAGTAAGTAAAACTATGTAAAAGCTATACAACCTTCCCAGAGACGTTTGAATCATCCCAAACATTTTTACCGGTAGGTAACCCAAAAGACTTTTCGGAGAAAAACCAAAGAGCCTGAAAATAGATTGTGCTCTTTTACCGTAGCCAATTTTATTATTGCTAGTAAATCCTGAAGTAAAGCTGGGGTTGGGAAAGGAACAGATGGATTTACCATCATTGCTTCAGAGGCAAATCTAGCACACACGGCTAACTTTGTATCAAGTTGTAAAAGAAATTTCATTTATGGCTTTTACTTTCAGTAGAGGCTTATGCTTATTGTCCTCGACTTTGAAATAGCCCTAGCATTATATCTAATGATTTGGTTTCATTTAGGCCTACTAGGTGGAGTTGAACAAAAGTATTAATGTTCATTCCGTTCTTAGAGTATTAACAACATTCAAGATGACATGCTAAAAACTAAAGCCTCGTATTTTAGTTTGTCTGACCGGAGGAGAAGGGCTTGAGGTAGAGAGCCAGCTCCTCTATGCATGTCTTGGCCTGTAGGTAGGCGTGAGAGTCGTCCTGGGCCAAATGTAGAGGCGGGGGCTGCGGAGGTACAGTCGGAGGGTCGGCGGGGCTCACTAGCTGCAGTAGGGCTGTATTCACCGGCAGCTTTTCCAGCTCCGTTGTAATAGCCGTCTACAAACAATAAACAATACTTTGTTGATAAGCAAGTAGAGTTTAAATACAAGGTTACTAGTCAAAGTCCGCCAAATGAATTGATATTATTGATGTTTGTTGTTTGGTAGTCTCTACCCTAAGCACAAGCTTGTTTTGGTGAGAGCGCTAGGCTTCGGTCCACACAAGGTCCTGGGTTCAAATACTACCAATCGCCAATGAATTTTATTCAAGAAATGCCACAGCCCACTAGGCCTAGTATGAAGTTATGTTTGAAACTATTTAGAGTCGATGACCTAGCATCCTAGGATGTGACGGTGGGTCATAAAGTAAAATAGTCCTTACCCTAGTATATTGTGTGTACTTAAGTTGATCACCTACAATTTATAGGGCAAGCTTTAACAAGCTCTGTACGTCAATTTTAATGTAGGAGTTGTCTTTGTTATATTTTATATATGTATTTTTTTTAGTATTGCTTTTCTGAATTATTTTTAAAACCATCAATCTAATGTCCCAAACTACTTTAAAGAATTATATTTGGTTTGTGTAGCTCTGTAGGTAGATCCGATTCAATTCAAATAGGTACTGGAAACTAGGGATGGACGAGATTGGATTTTTAGTTCGAGACGGGATTTCCCTTTTCATACATAACAGGAAATGCACGTTCCACATTTTAACCTGATTTTTCAAACATTTTTAAATACCTACTGATTTATGACGGACTGGTTAAATACAAAAATAATAATAATAGACAAAAATATTTAAAATCTTTTATTAAAAAACATTAATAAAAAAAAAAACAGTATTAAAAAAAGTATTAATAAGGCCTAACTTATTAAAAATAACTCTTCGGCATAGGAAACATGGAGATATCAGTTAGTATATAATTCAACTTTGAAAAATATCAAATTTATAAGTCTTTACAACAGTATTACTAGTTAAGTACCAAGTAACAGTTTTTAAGTCTTGTGTTATTTTTTGAATGATTTTGGAGTGACTTATTTTGGCTATGTTTACAGTAGTAAAACATGTCTCACACTGCTTACACTAACAAAACTTCTCATCATTTGCTATGTCAAAAAAAAAAAATTATAAAACAGTTGAAGCAATATTTCCATGTAAAGAAATAATAATTAAATAAAAACGCCTTCGCAAAGTTTTTTTTTAAATCTCGACTCAAAAAATTCTCTACCAAAATAGAATCTCGTCTTGTAGAACAAGATTTAAAATTTCCAGAAAATTTCCCGAAATTTCGAGACCCGTCCATCCCTACTGGAAACCCTAAAGCAAGGTGGGGTGTAAATTGAAACAGGGACTCAGAAGTCCAGAAAACAGTATAAACCTAGGCTACATGAAGTATAAACCTACAAACTACAAACTATAGGCCACCTATAACCTACCCGCCTACAAACTATAAATTGACGTGATTCTGAGTCAGCTGATAACCTCGGTTGCAGATATGACATTTAAACCGAGCTTGTTGTAACAAACAGTACACTCACCTGGTCGAACGGACATTGTTTGCGGTGCAAATTGACAAGGCAGGTCTTGCAGACGGTGTGTGCGCATGCGAGGCTGACTGGGCTGCGTAGAGTTGCGTCAAACTCATTACAACAAACTGGACAGGACAGGAACTCTGTCCACTGCGGTGCCTGGATTGGCATTCTGTGAAAATTACAAACGGTTATCAATAAGTTTTATACAAATAGTGCTAAATTTACTGTTAGTCATGAATAGTCTAGGCCTATCAGGGAATTTCAAAATTTTATTAATTTAAAATAACGAAAACACAACACACATTAACACAATTAAGCTGAGACATGAACTAACTTGGACACTGGCTAGCTGTTTGAGCCCTTACATACATCAATTATAATTGGATCAACAAAAATATTCTAATAAATTTTGGGTACTTTTGAATTAAACAGAGGCCACTTTTTTGAGCTTGCTGCGGTGGTTAGGTTAGGTTGGGTTGAAATAAATAGTTTTGTAGGATTTTTCCTCGTTTTGTTATGAATCGAACGATACTAGATGAGTCATAAAAAATGTATGATGACCTAACCTAACCGGTGCAGCGCGCTGTTTAAGGGTGGTCCCCGTATAATACGAAAGTAGGCTACCCAATTTCGAAGATGCTTATCACCTAGTACCCAATTGTCATCATAATATTTTTAACATTTTACTTATTTCAAAGCTAGATACATTTTATATTCGAAAGAGACCTAAATACTTTTAACGAAAAGCGCTGAAAATCCACCTAATTCTTGTTGGTCGGCTATATCGGAGATCAAACTCCTCTCTTAAAACACTTAAGAGGTTGGCGGCCTCTTTTAACCTTGCATTTGCCCGTCCACATAGACTACAGATCTGTGTGTGGAACGTATCCAGCAAAGCAAGGGGTGAGCCAGTAGGTAGAGTACAAAGGTGAACTGTACTGATAAAATGTTTTCGGTAGTGACCAGGATCCGAACCCACGACATTGCTGTCTGGGGCCCAAAGTCTGTGACGCTACCGAGTGAGCCACCGACTCACACAATTACTTGTATCAATGGGACGCTGTAACCTCTTCTCGATTGGGAAATGTTAGCTTCAGTCTACTATGGTTTAAGTCACAACATGTTATTGGACGGGTGATGAGCAATATTAATCGTTGGACTATTTGACGGAGGTATGTAAAAAGCCTATTATTGTCGTAATAATATAGTCCAGGGGCCAGAAACATGAATTTTGATGTTATTGGAATCTGGAGTGGCTACTTCCATGCTGAAGTCTTTAGGGTCTGAAAAAGGGATGTACGTATCCTTAACACCACCACCCCATTCATGTGGAGAAGTCTTCCCAGCGCAAAACCTTTTAACATTGCCTTCAATATTCATTAACAGAACAACAATGTCGGCGGTGAATCATCTAAAGGATATTTCATCAGTTGGTCAATGTCATAGATACTGTAGGCCTACTAAACACGGGGGAGATCTTTATACTCCAGTGGCATCATCTGGAAGGAAGGACCCTACTTCTATTGTAAGTTTTTGCTGACGAAGTAGCCTAAAGCAGGGGTTTAAGGTTGGGTCCTTAAGGTTTTGGGAAACAGCTAAAAAACCTACTGGTAGCATAAGTAGAGTTTTACAGTCCAGGAATTTATGTCTGCCTGACATTGCTATTTATTTGTATCTTTCATCGAATAAATAATAATTAAACATTATTTGTGGCAAACGTTGCTGAACAGGATAATTTGAGCATATATTGCTTAAGCGATTCTGCTTAAAACAACTCAAACAATTAGAACTCCTAAATCCTAATACAATTTCAATAAACAATCACATGCTCAAAACATTTTACTGTGCTAAAAACCTATAGGCCTACATGTAAAAATGTATAGTCTACTTTATAAATTTAAAAGTCTATTAGTAATTTTGCAATAGTATTTCAGGTTTTAACAAAAGTGGATTTTTTAACATATTTAGTAGGCTATATGTTCCTGCAGTATAGACAACCATGTTTTCACTAAAATAAGCAGATGTGATATAATACTACTAATATTCTTTGTATGTAGCCTAACATAAAAATTGTTAGTCAGTCTTATCACTCAACTATTCAGGAAATCACGTTGTATTTATGACCCAGATTGTGTTTCAAGATAATAGGCAACATTTATATTCAATCAGTACATTAACATATTCATGTAAGCCAACATAACTTACTTAACACAAACTATCACACTTCACTACTCATAATATCAATAAACGGTATCAGCAATCCGACATATACTTTCTCCCATTAGCTTGTCAACATTCAACAACCTTTATTATGGGTAAGCGATGAGGGTAACTATGATATTTAATAGGTAATATCACAAAAGTTTCATTAACTTTTGAAGAGTAATTTTAACAGGAATGAAGGGATGCACTATTTTGTTTAGAATTATAAGGACCATAACAAAAGAATTTCAAATCGAGTACCTAGTTTTTTTTTTCTTAAATACATTTTTCGGTTTTAGCGAATTTCCCATATAGGGAATAAGCTATTACCGTAGGTCTCATGGTAAGACCTAGACCCGGGACCGATTTACTTTTTCGTTTTGAGGTCCCCAGAGGCCAAAAACACCATCCGTTCAAATTCATATATATATATATATATATTTATATATATATATATTTATATATGTGTCCGTTAGCGCGATAACTCGAGCAAAAATGATCCGATTTTGATGAAATTTGGTACAAAAGTGTAAACCTACGTTTATTCGAACGAGTTCGCGAACCAGCATGATCGGACCATGGGAACAGGGGTTTATGGGGGGTTTTATGGGGTAAAAATAGGTTTTTCCCATTTTTGACCCTAAAAACTTAAAATTTAGCAATTTCTTTCCAAACCATTTTGTAGAGCTTAAAAAAAGAAATAATTTAGTATATTGAAGCGCTGTTGTATGCCTAACGGTCACGGAGAAAATTAAAAAAAAAGGTAATTTAAAATTCTCATGTTATTCTTATGGAGAAAAAGAAACTGTTGTAATTTACTTGTTTATGGATATAATGTTGATAAAATTTGGCAAATTTATTTATTTCATCCTATACTATTGACATATTGTCAAAAAACACTTTTTACCTTCCCCGTAGCAGCAAACCTAAGCACTTGTTAAATCTAATGTTATTTAAATTGGAAATATATAACTTATGTTTTATTTATGGAAATATTTTAGTAAAAATGTAATCAGACAAGTTGAAATTCGCTTAGTCTGCAGGTTTGCTGCGGCGGGGGTATTTTAAATAATGGGAAAATAACACAAGTTACTATAACTTTTGAACCATAACTTTTACAGCAATGGGGGTTGACACTATGTTGTTTGGAATTATAAGGATTATCACATACAAATTTTAATCAAAACTGGTTTCTTTCAAAAGTACGATTTTCTCTTATTTTATGAGGTTTTTTTAAGGGGAAATAACATAATTTACAATAACTTTTGAACCGTAATTTTTACAGAAATGGGAGTTATACAGTTTTGTTCAGAATTTAAAGGGCTACAACATAAAAATTGTTTATCATAATCGCTCAGGCCATTATTGAGAAAATTCGATTTTTCTGTTCTTTCATGGGTTTTTATGGGAAAATTAAATAAACATAATTTAAAAAAAATGAAAAAATACCTGGAGATATCATGGATTGGTACCTACATACCAAATTTAATCAAAATCAGACTACAGGTGTAGTTTGTAGCTCTGTACACATACAGACACACACACGGACATCACTTCGAAAACCACTTTTTTGGGTGCAGGGGGACCCAAAACAGATACATCCACTCTAAACTCAAACTAAACAATTTTGACAAAAACAATACTTTCTCCAGATAGGCTACTATGGTATAGGGGGGAGAAAGTAAAAATGGTAGGTAGTGATACAATTTGACTGATACTGATGGTAGGTAGTGATACTGTGTTGAGGATACAATTTTGAAAATTTAATGTTAGGCCTAGCCAACAATTTAATGCAATTTAGCAATTTAATGATTTTTGTACACTAGCCTATAGTTTTTATTAAATACATTGATAACAATTTCTGCATTAAATATAAACTGGTACAACTTTTTAAAGATCAATCCCAGTGTACCTCTTAAAGTTTAAAAAAGTATTTTCACAACCAGTCTACAAAGCATCTTAATGAAAATTTTATTAAATTGACTAGGACTAGGCTATTACTTTTCAATGTTTGTTCTATTACTTTTCAATGTTTGTTATCTGTATTAAAGTATTAATGTCTTAAAAGATTAATGTCGGGTTATACTTAGATATCAACAATAAGTTACCACAGATAACAACATTGATTTTCCTTATGAATTTTTCATAACTGACCCGAGAAGTTTTTGTGTGATCTGAGACAGTGCAGTCTAAAGTTTGATATGACAAAGACATTGAGTGACAGGCACAGAAGTGTGACTCATGTATGAGTCACACCTTGAAGTAGATTGTAGATAAGCATTGCCTATTGATATCAGACAACTGGAATAGGCTTAAGAAAATATTTGATAAATACAATAAAAAAACCTAATCAAAATTCTAAATTTTAAAAATACCAATGCTACAAGCTACCAACCTACAAGTCTTTCCAACCTTGTAAACAATTATGATTTAAATCAAAAATTATAAACTTAACCTAACTTTATTAGAAAAACAAATGGTAAAGATATGATGAGAAATGGGTCTAGTTTTAAACTCTCCTGATGACATATTAATGACATAGAAAATTAATTTATACAATGCTAAAAGTATATTTTTAGCAGTAACTTTGTGGATTAATAATTATTCTCAGCAGAATCTTACTTGTTTGCAAAACAAATTAATGATAACATAACTCACGATTAATTTTAATGTTGATTAACTACTATCACATTAATTGCAAATAGATTAGGGCAAAGTCCTTGTTAATATTTTAAAAAGGGGTAAAAAGTTAATAAACATAGTAAAAATTTATCACTTTTTAATCCAGAAGCTATTTACAGTGCTTGATTGATATTTTATTACTATTTGAGACAACGGAACTACAATTTAGATATATAAATTACCCTTTCTATTCAACTTGCATCATCTCTCCAATAACCTCCAAAGACACTCAATCCGTTACACGCCACTTTAAATCGAGCCATAGTAGGCCTATTTATATTGTTGCAGCTCAAAATTAAATAGTGATAAATATACGTGTACACCTAACAATTTGAAGAGGTGATAAACGTTGCAATATAAAACCAAGTACCTAAAATTAAAAATAGCTGTTTTCCTTTTTCAAAAGCTTTACTTATTACAACAGCAAATTTGAGTTGAATTGTCATACCGCCCAAGCTCGCAGTATGTATGTGATGCGCTATTGGCCTGAGAGGTAATTGCAGCCTTTGTCCACCTGTCTACCTTGTGGGGGAATTTTTCTTATTCTTGTACCCCGACAAACTTAAACCGTCTTGAGGCCCATTTAAAAAAGCGGCTCTGATATGGCCAGCGATTCTATTTTGAGTAAATAAGTTACAGATTTTCCCTTCATTACATTTTAAATTGATAACTCATATTAAAATTGAATTTTTTTTAACTAGGGACACTACCTATAGTACCGTTATTATCGTTTCCTAATAACTTATTACTTATCCTTTACTGTACCCGCGGTCAAGGGAGGCCTAATGAACTGTTGAATGAATAAAGGTCAGATGTAATTATTAATTTCAATACCACCTAAATAGTAGGACTAGTTATTTTTACTATCATAGATGTGTTATTTTCATGGGATTTTACAAATGTTGTCAGCGTTTTGAATTAGGCCTATTGCCTGGCTAAGCACACCTAAAAAGTATTGTGGACGGGGAAGAGAAGCTTGGTGCAGCCAAGAGTAAAACCAGTCATTTAAGTTATGACATTTATGCTAAGTTATTTCACCTCGTTGTCCCTTTCATTAGCTGCTACATAGTTGAGGTTGTTACTGAAAAACGAAAATCTGATCGTTTTCTCCCCTCTCGTATGTTATTTACTTATTATTTTTAACCCTTAGAGTGCCAGGCGAGAAATAAAAGTAACGCTCAAAAAATGCCGATGATTTTTCCCGAAGGTCACGCTAAAAATGCCGAGCGCGATCTGGCGATTTTTAGGTTAAAATTTCGTAAAAATTGAATTTTCGATATTTCGGCCAACAAAAATCGATGTATCGCATCTAGTAACTTTCGACTCAATGTTAATATATGGGTTAAAAGAATCCGAGTATCCATTCGGTTGTTATGACAACTGTTCGATCATTACGAAACGTCCGGTCAGCCGGACGTTGGCACTTTTGGCTCGTTCTAAAAACGTCCGGTCGGCCGGACGTCGGCACTTTTTGGCACTCAAAGGGTTAAACGTCCTCTGCACAGATATGAATATTATTCTCTAGGTGTAACCTAAGTTGTAACAAGACAATGGTTTTGATAATTCACTCGCCAAAACAGTAAAAATGCCACAAAAGGCACCCAAAATAGAGCATGAACAATAGCAGGTAGAACGGTTATGACACTTCACATAAATATAGTTCTCTTTAGGCTTAGCTACCAGTTTCATTTTAAAAATAGTTGTTTAGCCTCCGGATTACTGTATTATACTTAAAATGGTTTACAATACCTGCATATAGTAATCCTTTGTTGCTGATTTAGGCAACTAGGTTCGGTTCTTGTTTTGAACCATCTTCAGCTACCAGTATTAAACTACCAGTGCGGTACTTTAAACTCAAATATATTCACAAAATGACATATAAGACTTAGTTTGGGTTAATACATAAACTAAGTTAACTTATAGGAAAAGGGGGGATCATGAAATAGGTACCGTAGCATAAATTGCAAGTCTCATTTAAACTGGTAGATCATAATTAAAGGATCTGTAGCCCTTAACTTAGCTAATAGCAAACTAGTAAAATGTCATGTAAATTGTGAAAAATATTCCATTAATGGATTAACCATGATAAGCCTAGACCTAAGGATGGATTCAACAAATTTTCTCCAATAATTTTATGAATCTTTGTTTACACAAACTTTTTGCTCAACATATGGTTTAGTATATTTAGGACATAAAAATATTAGGAAATGCAATCAATAGCCTATGCATGTTTAAAACATTTGCTATTATGGGCTATATAATATGCTATTCTTATCTGTGAGGCCTTGATAATAATGGAAGAACTAAATACTACCGGAGGTTCTGAAGGCTAACATCAGTACTAGGTCATCCTCGACTCATTATGCACTTACGTTATATTTTTTATGCGTAGTTGTACTTCATAAAATATTTCTATGTAAACATTATCAAGAAACTCAGCACTAAACAAACCGGGTAAGAGTATATATTTGGGAAAGTTCGGATTATTGTGTAATGCGTAATCTCATGAAGGATAGACATAGTAGAGAGTAAAAATGGAGATTGCAGTCTGAAACTGATGGAACATTTGTGGTACCGTACTGAAAATGCTATTATAACCAAACATCCTGTTATTTTATGGATATAAATGAGTAATAAACAGATTATATGATAGATTTAAAGCAAATTTACCTTGTAATATCTCAAAAAACACATCCGTACGGCTGTAACGAGACCATGACACACCATTGTTGACAGTTGCCCACCTCCAAAAGCTTCTGCTTTAGCTTCATTTCATTAGTTTACAAATCATTCTCACGTAATAGGAAAAGTACTACCATATGATCAGGAAACAAAATAAGAACACATCTGAGCTTGGAAAACCGGCGAAGTCTGTACTATACGAAAAGCAATTTCCTGCATAAGTAAAATCTGTGATTTTATAACCATACATTAACTATTTAAAAAAATGCAACTATACGTAATATGTATACATTACCTACCAAGGATTCTTGAGTTGACTTTCAAATCTACTACATATCTAAAAATTTGTTTTCAAATATTTAATCAGTATTCATTGTATTTAGCCACCTCATGCACATTTTACGAAAGCGGATAATGAATATGAAAGCCACTTTAATCGTCAAAGGAGCAGAGCATAAAATAAATCATTATTACTGATTCAATAAGCGTATAATTTTCTTCCTCAATTATTATTATAAGTTCAATGACCAGTTAACTGACATATTGATAACATTGATTATAAACATGCTCGATTTCTAACATGGTAAATCTCTAAACAATACAGTACCATAGATTAAACATACTCCCTTCAGTACTTCGTTTCTTAGTTTTGTCATGGACAAGACAAAGACAGTATGTTTTATCATAGACTAAGCAACACAAGGGAGTATGATTTATCTATAGTTTTAAAAGGAAAGGAGACATTCAAGAATTAGCCACTGTCACGAGTGTCGACGATGATGTCCCCGTGATTAAAACAGCGTGAGTCACGGGAGATGTTAACGATTTCGCCGCGGCTAAAGGTGTCAATGAGGATGTCCCCGTCATGGCTCCCCGTGGGGGATGTTTACGATTTGGGCACGGCCGCGAGTGACTAGATGATGTCCTCATGATCGCAGTCCACGGGAGATGTTTTTAACACGACTTTGCCGCGATCGCAAATGTCAATGATGATTTTCCCGTGATTGCTGCTTCGCGGGAGATGTTTACGATTTTGCCACAGTCACGAGTGTTGATGATGATTGCATCCCCGTGATTGCGGCCCGCGGAAGATGTTCACGATTTTACTGCGGTCGCGGGTGACAGTGGTGATGTCCTTAAGGTCACAGCTAACGGGTTATGATCACGATTTCTCCGTGGTTGCGAGTGTCGAGGATGATGTCCCCTTAATTCATAGGAGATATTCATCACGATTACTTCCGCGATTGCAAGGAATTTCCACCACAGGGGGAGGGCCACTCAAGTAATTTGGCCTAGAGCCGCAAGTATCCTAAATCCGGCACTGATGAAACGTCTTAATAACAAGTTATTTGTTTAAACAGGGTTGCATATTTTTTTATTAATGATTCCCGTGAGCACACTTTCAGCACAGTTTTTTGCATGGTTTATAGATCTCTAGCTGAAAAGAGCGGGCTGGATCATTTGATTACCCTTACCAATTAGGGATTATTTGTTTACTAACGGGAGTGGCACCGGCACCCTTTTTTACTAATATAGTTCTTGTGAGTACACTTTCAGCTCAGTTTTTTTTAGCACGTTTTATAGATCTTTAGCTGAAATGGTGGGCTTTTTCATTTTATCACCCTTAATTACTAAGTAGTGGTTATTTGTTTACTAACGATGGCGGCACACTTTTTTTATTAATGGTTCCTGTGAGCACAGTTTCAGCACAGTTTTGTTGGCAAGTTTTAAAGATCTGTAGCTGAAATGGGTGGGCCGGCCGTGATTCTGGCCCACCGAAATACAATTGATTATCTCATTACTATTAGAACAGCACACTTTAAAAACCCACGTTATAAAAAGCACACTTTTAGTGCTTTTATCACACTTTATTGTACGCATTTAAAAAAGTGTGCTGGAATGGGCGAGCCAGCTTCACGCCACTCATCTAGTGCATTCTTTTTCATAATAAGATTTCTTTGTCTTGATTGGTGACCACATCGTCCGTTTTCCACTCCAGTCCAGGCAACCAACTAGTTGCAGTCAGTCAGAGAGAAAGAAAAGAAGGCTGACTTTTGTTGTTGCTGGCTGCTGGAGCAGAGCAGGAGCACTGAACTGACTGTCGTCGCTCGGATGTCTGTTTCTTTCTGTTGTGCGGATAAAACATAAATGAATAATGTTGAAGAGGTGTAATTTTTAGTACGTATTTTTTAATGTGGGACAGAGATGTATTTTTTCATATTACGAAACTCTTAGTTTGTCAATAAAATTTTAATAATGACCAGTCCACACTTTTTAGTGGGCATCGGAACTGCATTTGTTTTACTGAATGTTTGTTTTGTTTTGTGTAATGAAAGGAAGCCGATAATTGAAGGTAGGTTTACTAGGCTACTAAAGTTACAGTTTAAATTGTTATTTTAACGTTTTCATATTCATCACAAGTTACTAACTTTTATTGCATTTTAAACGTTTAAAACTAGTTTTCATGGTGACCCTTGGATATATTTATCTATACATGGATTTTTTTCTGGACTCTTGAGTTGTTAAAAAACCAACTCTGATCAATAAATTAGCTCTAGATCACACTAAAGCATATATGCATTGCTGCATCTAAGTTTATGCTGCAAAGAATGTGCTGCTTAGATTTTAGTAAGTTAGGCTAACTTGGCCTATATTAAAATTTTTGCCTGCACAAGATCAATTTACTTCCTCAGCTGAAATCATCAATCATAAGTTACGTACTCTACAACCCAACTTATTTCAGTTTGGTCCGATTAATTTATTTATTTACGGTAGGTATAACTTAACCATTTTACAATAATTAAAAATGCTTACCGATTTAATGCTCAGGTACTGTCTTGCGGAGAACAAGTGATCCAATACCGGTATAAGTATAAGATACTTTTTAAACAATGTAATTATTGATTGTAGCCTAACTTACGTTACAGTATTGTACAGGTATTTATTGAATAGGCTAATTTAATTTTAGGCCATAAGTTATAGGGTATTTTCATTTCACGAAGACTCACTCACACTACTGCTGCGGTTAGGTTAGTTCTTATTGACCCACAACCCTCCTTAGCTTAAAAGCTTAGTTCTTTGTTTTTTATAAACTAGAAAGAATAAACATGGTAATAAACATAAATACCGTTAGCATAAACTTAGCATGTAGCAGAATGCACTTTGGCATGTAGTATTTAACTTTTAACCAATTAAAGTATTCAAATCTGTAATGCAAAAACTAAAGTCATCAAGACTGGAAACCCAATAATAAGTTTCCTCTATCCAAACAGGGTAGGGTACCTACTAAGTTATTCTTTGATTCTAGCATTGAATGCTCTCGTAATTATTCTAATCGTTTAAGCTTACTCTACCTCTCTAGATTTCTAGTAAACACTAAAGTATATTTGATACCACATCTAACAGGCGTATTGTCCTTAGCTTGTATACAAATACCCCCCGCCGCAGCAAACCTGCAGACTAAGCGAATTTCCATTAGCCTGATAGGATTTACACTAAAATGCCCCCTTAAAAATATCATATTTATTCCCTATTTAAAAAGAATTAGTTTAACAAGTACTTAGGTTTGCTGCAACAGGGAGGGTAAAAAGGCGTTTTTTTTACGATTATAGGTAGTTTAGTAAGAAATGGATGTATTTTCCAAACTCGATCAAAATATGTTCATAAACAAGCAAACTACAACAGTTGACTTATTCTCCATAAGAATAACATGGGGATTTTAAATTTACGGTACAGTTTTTTGGAATTTTCTCCGTAACCATTAGGCGCACAATAACGCTTCAATATACAAAATTATTTGTTTTTTTTTTATGCTCTACGACATGGTTTGAAAAGAAATTTGTAAAATTATGTGTTTTTAGGGTCAAAAATGGGAAAAACCTATTTTTACCCCATAAAACCCCCCATAAACCCCCGTTCCCATAGTCCGATCATGCTGGTTCACGAACTCGTTCAAATAAATGTAGGTTTACACGTTTGTACCAAATTTCATCAAAATCGGATCATTATCTTGAGTTATCGCGCTAACGGACATATATATATATGCATATGAATTTGAACGGATGGTGTTTTTAGTCTCTAGGGACCTCAAAACAAAAAAATAAATCGGTCCCGGGTCCAGGTCTTACCATGAGTACTACGGTAATAGCTTATTCCCTATATGAGAAATTCGCTAAAACCGGCTGAACGTACTCCAAAGTTTGTCAGGTAAATTACCCGGTTTTACATCAACAGGACTCTTTGTCTTGACATAGATCTTTTTCTTAAAGCCAGGTCCTTCTCAAAACAGAGGTTTACCTACATCCTTGAGGATTTTGAAAGATCTACATAATATAACACAATTTCAAGTTGATCGAAATATAGGGACTACTAGTACTAGGATGCCAGTACACATGAGGTTTTGTAGCCCAAGGCATAAATATAGAGAAGTTTAAATGTTGAACGAGTGATAAGATAGAGTAGCTTTGTTATTGATAAATACACAAACAATGTTGGGTCCTGTATCCTGTTTTCACAAAAACAAGATTTTAACTGTTCTCAAGGTTACCTGGAAGCCTACATTTGGAGGAGTTTTCAGGAAATTGAATAGTTTGGAGTAGGCCTTAAATATTTTTATGGTTTTGATGATTAGCCTGTGGTTGATGTCAACATGTCGTAAAAATAATTTTACTGAATCAAGATCAACATATTTTTTTTTTCATCTACTTCTCTGATCTTGCTGTGATTTTAAGCTGAAGTTGGAAAATTTGTATTACGATCTGTAAAATAAATTAGGTGTTCTCTCGCTTTACACAACTTTCCGCTTATACAAGTTCTCCGGTAAATATTAGGGGGTTGTTAAAAAACTATTTCAAATAACTTATGTGCTGAATTTATGTTAGTAGAGTAGAATACAATGCCAAAACTGCAATGTCGCACATTTTTCGGAGCGATGATGAGTTAAAGATGCATACAGAATAAACTTAAGGTACTGACTCCTTACCAAGGTCAATTTCCAAAACCCGAGGCTTAGCTTAATCTAGTCTTTACATTTAATCGTTGGGGTCCAGTCTCAAACTTTTCTAGCCTGAGTGTAGAAACACACTGACAGTGTAGCGTAGCTGAGCGCAGCGTAGTCCAATACACAGAGAGCGTAGCGTAGCACATTATATTTTGTAGACGAATAAGGTACATCCAGTATAGAGGATGGCTCTGTTGAAGACGGCTCGTATTAGTCCTGTTGAAAGTACCTTTAGGTGGCAGTTTTTGATCAGTCAGTGTGCATGAGGTTTGTAAAGGCGGGAACAAACATGGTGATCACCACTAATTTCCAATCCTTAGGAAACACTGTCCTCTTTTGTCTTTGGTTTGCCAGATCAGAGTCCTGGTAAACAATTACGAGATTAGCAATTCCGTGTTCTTTGCTCACAACACAACACACGGTGTGTACACTAAGCACTACACTCACTGGCCGGGAATGCAGTCGGACGGCATGTCTGCAGTTGAATGCGCACAAATTCGCTCTGAGTGAGAAAAACAAAATAGTTTGTTCCTCAGCCGTGTGCTGCGCTGCGCTATGCTACGCTAAAATACGCTATTAGTATGTCATACCTAATTTCAATGCATGGTTTTTATTTAAAACATGCGCTGTCTGTATATTTATACATTCAAGGCCTAGGAACTTATTTGAAAACCAAACCGACCACAAATTACTGGTAAATTGTATGTTTGGAATATATTTTATATAATTCCATTGGCTTAAAAACCTAAACGCAATTCGTTAACACCTGTTTATCCCATCCATTTCATTTGTTGGACATAAAGTAAATCCCTTCATTGTAAAATCCCCTTAATCCATATTTGGAACTCAGAAATGTCAACACTTTTAACCCTCCCAGTGTTACTTGACGAAAATTCGGCAAGCACCACACTTTGTATAGTGTTACTTGCCGATTTTTCGACAAGCAGACATCGTTTACGGCGAAGGCTCTATAACTGACTGAATCGGATTGAACTGGATCGAGTTAGGTATCGTTCTTTCCGTAATATTCTAAGCTTTCTGCAGAGGTCTGTCTCTAAGCGCTATTCATTTTAGTTCCGAAAATATTGTAGCAGACAGCTGACGTGCGTGTATTTGTAAACAGCTAGGTTCCCCCGGACCGATGACTGATGTGTTTTATTACGTTTATCATTGTTTTAAGGCCATGTCACACCGACATCCGCCGCTCCCGCCGCGGGAGTACCGCTCGCGGATGTTTTTCCTCGAGCCATGTCACACCAAAAGTTCGCGCCCGCGGCGGGAGTTTTTTAGATGATTTCATTACAATTCGTTTAACATAAGAAACATCTTTACCTTTTTAATATGCCATGTAAATTTGCAGGTTTTCTTAAGTAGTTAAGTGTATAAGAAGCAATTGAATGTTTATTTATTTGTTAGTGTACTTTAAAAGGGAACTGTAATTAGTTTTTGAATTCAATTTTGACCTTGTGTTCGAAGTGCAAGCATATTAAATATGGTTGAGGGTAAATTAGCCTTTTTCAATATTTTGAACATTATTTTTCGCTACACTACAAATACTTTTTAATTTTAAATAAAAACATAAGACAATTTTTAAACCAATGTAATTTTTTTGCTACGCCTTCTATTGAAAGTTCAAGTTTACATTGATTGTACAGTTTTGGTTGTTGCAAATTAAAACAGTTGATGAAATAATAAAACATTGTTTACGTCGGCAATATAAAAGATATGATGGGAAACCTTAAATTTTCGCCGTAAACATTATTATTGCATGGTAAACAAAAGTGATTTTTTCCAGTGATGAACATATTTCGAAGATAATACAAAACAACATATATTATAAAACAAAAGAAACATGTTAAATTTCATTTCAAACTGTATTAAACTGTATTACTTTTAAACTTTAAATAGCTTGGCCATTCGAGATGCCCCTTTGCGCATGCGCTAGATAAAACTCCCGCCGCGGTACTCTCAAAAAATCGCTGAGCAGGCGGACGTGGCGGACACTACCGCACGCCCGCGGGCGCGCGGTAGTGCGGTGTGACTTGGCACATTTGATAACATGGTGAGGGATTTTTAAAAGTTCGCTCCCGCCGCGGGAGCGAGCTCGGTGTGACTTGGCCTTTAGTGTTAAAAATCAAAAGTAGTGATATACGTGGTGCATTATAAGAAGATTTAAGTGGTTTTGAAGTGCTGGTTGATGATCCTGAAGAAGTAGGTAGTGATATTGATGTAAATTATCAGCCAGATTCCTAGCTATGGTTAGGCTATGCATTCTTAGCTAAACGCTATGTACTGAAATCAGTTTTTTGCCCATAACTTATTTATTTGCAAATATACTTCCTTATATTATTATATATTTGTAATCCTCATAAAATTTAGAACAAAGTGGCTATTTTCAAATATTTATAGGCCTATAATTTATACAATTTCATTGAGCGCGAACTTATTTTTTTTTTGAAAATTTTTGAAATTATATTTTTTTTACCTAAAAATTTTTTTTTTTTGAAAAAATGTTCCTTATGTTTTATATATAATATTGAAGCCCATGATTTTCCAAACAAAATGGTATATAGAACATTAGAATTAACATCGTTTTAAGCTTCTCAGATCCGTTTTAATAAAACCTTGCAAATGCGCCAAAAATAGGTGGACATTAAGGCCTAAACTATGGACACTTGGAGGGTTAACAAGAAGAACTCAAAAATAAAAAAATAAAACAGCAAATTCATTGTATTTGAACCACAACTGATAGTGTTAGCCCATTCTAACTTATAAGCTTTTAAGTAAGTACCTGATAAAAAACTCGAACACAACATTTAATCATTAAAATCCATATTTTCTTGCCCCTGAGCTGATCTTGGGACTAAATCTTTAAATAAATGGCCTCATAATGTTTTTAAATTTAATTTTTCTAGTTGCATATTAAATCATTTCCTAAATTGACGTATGACCTAAATTATACTTTGTGTTACATTTTTATCAACTGGTTGATAGTACATTGACCATCCAGGAAAGTGTGTGGTGAGCAGACGACAGATAACTTCAAGGCTGTTCATTGCTGTGATTGAAAGACTGACCTGATAAGGTTATCTTTGACATTCTGTCCAATATTTGTTCTCTTGCTCCTCACGTTCTTAGCTCTCTCACAAATGTTGTTAGGAAATCATTTAGAAGCAGTTAAAAAAAATAACAAATTGTTTGTGATGGAAATGTATAACTATTTGTCATTTAGGTTTCACCTCTAATTGATTTTGTATTTTTCTTTCATTGTGGTACAGGTAGAAATAGTAATTTTTGATAAGCTTTGTTGTTTTAATTTGTTAATTAGCTGTTAAGTCTGATTCTAATTGCCGAAATATTTTTGCTATTCGGTATAAAGTGTTGGCACAGTTTGAATTAGTAAATATTATTGAATTAATATTATAAATTATTATTGATGTACACAAATTTGTAAAATTGGTTTTACCGAGGGAAATAAATAAATATTAAATATGCCTCATCCTCATCATATCTAAAAACATATTTGTTAAATGAGTACCTAATAATATTACAAAATATTATCGATCACCAAGGCACAACATTTTATTCTCCTAGGATAAAAATCTAGTTTAAAATTTGATCAAAAATACAAGTACCCTACTACATTTTTAATACCTGAAGACTAAATCACTATAATTTTGTAATAAAACTGCAGTGGTAATGGTGACGGGCTGGACTTCCCAACCACGAGTTGCTTCAATTACTAAAAATGTTTATTTCCCGCACAGGCTCTGTAACCTCAGGGCTTTATTGTTCGTTAACATTAATTAGTGAGATTTATGTTGTGAGGAGTAGATACACACCAAAGTTTACGATCATTATTTAGTTTTTTACCAAATCTAGAAAATACTAGTCTAAAATTTATTTTAAGTGAATATTTTTTTTAAATTTGGTATAACCCCTCATTAGATTTTTTCACTGTTAGCATTTTATATTCTAAGATTTTACTGTGTAACAAACACAAGTCAGTATCAGTGTGTTTGTGTGTTGGTATAGTCGTGGTATTAGTGACGTGGTATCGTTTACATCCAATGAGCCCAGGTTTACACCACAAAAACTTGTCCTTCCACTTTCTGTGGCCGAGATCTTCCAAGTAAACAAGTTGATTAACTTTGTCTTGTCTTAGCTAAGATAATGATCGCTAATTTGGTCGTAGTTAAAGTTTAGTAAGGCCTTTTGCCTTACTCTATTACTCTAAGGATTATATTAACCTATCTGAAAGAGCAATTATGTCATTAGTATCACCTAGTATTGATTATCTGTATTATTTTAATTTTTTTTATTTTATGTATTTTTATTATCTTAAGTAAAATTTTTTTTTGATGCTTTGTTTTGCAAAATTAATATTTAAAAAAGTGAAGAAAGGATTATATAGATTAAAACACATTATTGCTGACCCTAGGAGGGGTCCCCAGCGGGAAGTGGAATCACATTCAATTGACCAATTGTAGTCCACTTGGTTTTGGCTTGTAAATTACAGTCTGTTACAAAACACCCATCTGTCTTTGAACCCTTGGTGGAAAATGTAGCAAATTAAAAATTGTTGTGGTCTACTGTTGTCAATATTATTGTACTTTTTCAATGGTATTAATTATTTATTTTGAACTTGTTTTGCTGGGGTTTCAGTTTGTTAACCTACCTTTTTTATTATTTTTTTCAATGTCCCACCTTTAGCCTACATCCAAGACCCTAGCTAGTTTTAGCCTGGAGCTGTTTTACACATATTCAGGCTAGTTTATAGAGGGTTGTAGCGTATATAGCTAAAATACATTGGTGACTGTCAGGATTTTAACCTGGGACCTAGGGCACTGAAGCCCCGTGCTCTACCGATAGACCAGCTCACTCCCAACCATTAGTATTTACAAATTGAAACAGATTCAGAGATTTTTTAAAACCATTAGTCCAAGTAAAGGAATCTGATGCTCATTAAAACCAATAATAAAAAATAAAAAAAACAGATAAATAACAAATTAAAACTGTAGGCAACAGGGTGAATAAAACAAAAATAAAAGTAGCTGTGTTACTTCTTGGACAAAAATCTAAAAAACAATAGTTTTTAGTTGAACAAACAAACAGCCTACGTCAATGGGACGTCTGGTTCACACAAATGGAATGTTTACTTAATTTAGATGTTTGAGAAAATCATTTACATACAAAAAGTTATCCATAAATCCCAAAGCACCCATGAACGAGAAAACTACACCCCCATAAACCATATACTTAAAATGTTTGTCATGACGAGAAACCTTGCGCAAAACTATCCATTATTTCATAAATTGCACTTTAAGGTTGTAATTCCTTTCTAAAGGGAACTTTCCATTACCTAATGTTAAAAATACCTCAGCTTAAATTATTATACTTTGTTATCCTTTCAATTTATTACCTTATTAATATCAGGTGTTATTATTTATTCAGTTTTGTTTATTTCAGTTTAACCTAACCAATCAATAGTTTTATACTTATAAAGTCAAACAGGGTGAAACTTGTGGGTAACAGCTAGTTTGTTTAGCATCGGAAGGGTGCACGTCCCAGTTACAAGGTCCCTACAATTTGCAAGTGTAGGAAAGTGGCTCCATAGTAGCGCAAACCTGCTAGTTACTTTAGACTAACCAGGTTGTGTAGAGAATTGATAAAAATGCTACAAGCTGATATCCATCACATCCAGGGAGGGTTAGGAAAATCAACCATAGTTATTTAGTTTTAAAATGTTACCATGATCAACACCGTTCTATACATGTAGTGTGTTATGAATAGTAGAATGGTTCATTTGATCGACACGTAACACTCTGACAGCACCATTGGATCACACAGACAGATTTTGAGGTTATAGTTTTGGGACTAGCCAATACTGGACATTGAATATTTCTAAGACCTTAGCTCACTGTTTGTCAACAACTCAAACACTCGTTTTGTTTCAGAGGTGACATGTGGACCGGAGATGTTCCAGTGTGGGAGTGGCCAGTGTGTGCCGGAGAGGTGGCACTGTGACGGTATGCCTGACTGTCCTGACGGCACTGACGAGTCATCGGACTGTGGTGAGTACTGGCTTTGACTTGCTGTAGAAATAATTGTCAGATACCGCAATTAAATGTGGTTCAACACAGAGAAGTAAGGTAGAGATGAAGCACACTTTTGGGTCAACTGTGCGCTCCCAGCTCAAATATAGTCAGAAATATACAGCTCGTCACATCTAAGCTGGCACTTGGCCTAGCGCGGGCAGTGTTGGCGAGAGGAGGGTGGAGGTAGGGAAAAGACCGTACTGGAAACTTTTCCGCTGCCCTTGTATTGGTTGACTCCCCTTGTATTATGTACTTTACGGGACATAATGTTTTTGAACTAGCTATTAGTAACGATCAGCCAAGTGCCAGCTTAGATGTCACGAGCTGTATTTGTGGCCAACAAGGAAGAGTATGAGGGACAGGTAATGTGCGGAAATTCCTGTCGCACAGGGTCTTCCTCCATCATGAGCGTTGTAGTACAGTACATGAGGGTGGGGGGGTGGTGTTGGACTTTGCCCTAGACCCCACTTAAGTGTACCATTGAGTGTTTCCTCTGTATCCTACTTCTCTATGGGTAAAATAAGGTGAACATTGACCAAATAAATACGTTCTTGCAGAAGAAACTAATGCAGTGAGACCATAGTCGTTTTCATTCTGTAGATTTTACAACATAACTTCGGATACTGCGAAAACGTGTTCAACTCATGAGCAACCTTGGAGAAAGGGGAAGTAGTGATTCCGCAGTGACATTGTTGTCAAAGAGTGTAGTTGTTTTATCGTCTGTAGAACGTGCACATTAAAACATTGTATTTTGGTTTTGGAAGTACTGTAGGGTTTGGAAAATGAGGTCAACATTAGTAAAAAGGTGTATGTTTATGTAGAATGGTCTAATGCAGTGATTCCAAGGTCACATTGTCGTTAGAAACATTCACATTGGGATATTGAGTTTTGATTTTATAAGTAGACTTCTCATTCTGTGATATCCGAAACCCAATGTGTTTCTTAAATGGTTACATATATTTGTTATGATGTTGGGTAATGTTTTTTCTCTTATTTTAAGTTTTACAATGTTTGGTTTAACCTTTTGTTGTAAATCTAATACACTACCTACAATAAGTCTTCTTTTTTTGTAAAGATTGTTTTTAGTAGGTGAAATAACAAGGTTAAAAGTAAACAAAAATACACTCTACTTGTAGCCCTACAGTAAGAAAATGTAATTTTTAAGCTGTCTTCATCTGACCCTTTAAGATGACAAACCTAAAAGGCAGTTTGCTAAGGTAAGTCGAGAGCAAGGCATAAGAAAATATGTGGAAAATTGAGTTAACATCATAAAATTTACTGTGGCAAGAAATAGTTTCACCTGTAACTTAAATCGCACTTGTATCAGGTGTGGATTCTCCAACTTAAATCAAGGGTGGAAAAGGGGACGTGGGTTTGTGTCAAAAACCTAAACTAGGTTCATACCATACCAAAACCACTCCCTATTTAGCTAGGCCTACTTTTTTATATTATTTTTATAATTTATTAACATTAACAAGGATGCGTTAAATTTATATTTTAAATATATAGATAAGCCTACTACACAAGGTGTATTCATCATTAAGTCTTATCAACTCCGGCACTGAGTAGATTATTTGTATGCCAGAAGGGTCACACAGGCTAATCATACAGTCAATACTACTGAATGTTTAATGCTGTTCGCATGTCAAGTCACTGACGCCCAGGATGCAGTGCTGCTGTCAGTCAAAACATGACATATAACTTTAGTTTGATTGTTTGAAAATTCGCCTAAAAGTATAAATAAACAGTGAAAAATTGATTGTTTTGACTTATGTATACTGTAACCTGGTCTTATCAGCATGATTTGAAGATTCAAATGAAATGTTTTACGAATAAATAATTCTAATTTTGATGTCGTTTCAGATTTAGATAGGAGTACAGTAGAACCTCAATTACTCGAACCTCAATATCTCGAATTCCTCAATATCTCGATTTTTTTAAATCCCCTTGAAATCCACATTAATCATAATGTTAAAAGTACCTTTATAAGTCGAAGTTTCTAAATATTTAACCTCAATAAGTCGAATTTTAACAACTTTTGAACAGTAACATTCTACCTCTATAACTCGAATTTTCCCGTCATCGAGCCTCAGTAACTCGAAGTTTACCTTTATAAGTCGAAGTTCGCATGAATGTGCCTCAATAATTCGAAGTTTTGCCATAACAGTGCAAGTCAGTTGTGATTCCTGTCGAGACGTGAAAATCAAACTTCCTGTGTTTGCTTCCCGTGTCTGTTTGGCTAGGCACTGTGACTGTAGTCAGTGCAGTTTACCCGTTTTGCCAAAGTAGATTCAGTACTTAACTACATTACGATGCATTTTGTTTATTATTTTAATCACACCAGAATTTTCCCTTTAAATATTACTCTCTACAGTCTACATACTTTTTGTATGTACAGTATTGTACCTATTCAGTATATTTGTTGTTACAGTACCTAGCTTGTTTTTACAGTACATATAAAGAGGTTGACTAACGTTTGCTTTAATCAAACATTATACACAGTAAATGTAGTTCCGTGTATGGATGATATATACTGTATTATTGTTTTGTACAGTAATTAAACTATTTTTTTTGTCATTTAACATGTTTTTTATGTACTTTATCAAACTTATTGCCAAATAATAAATACAGTACTTTATGTGCATTCAAATTGTTTTATTTTGCTTCCAAAGTTACTCTTCAGTAAGTTACGTATAAATACAGTTTGAGTTCGATTATTAAGGTTTAACATGTATAAGTCGAGTTATAAAGGCCATGACGTAACATCACTGTCAGACCCCAACACCTCAGTATCTCGAACTTTTTCATATGGAACCTTCATAACTCGAACCTCACTAACTTGAAAAACTTGATAACTCGAATTTTTATCATAACCCCTTCAGATTCGAGATATTGAGGTCCTACTGTATTTACATAGGAGTTGTAATAATTTGATTGTGGTCTTGTTGTCTGCCCAGGTCCTTAACATGCTTGGTGCCTTACATGTTGTTATATGTTACAATGTTTTTTTTTTATTGTATAATACTGTAAATACTTAAAACACACGGAGAAGAGCACCAATAAAAATAAATTGTATCAATTCAGTATTGAAAAGAGCAAGTTGAGTTGTTTAATACATATTTGTGTGAGAGGGCATCCTCTATAAAAATTAAATACAGAAATAGGCTGTGTGTGGAAAATGCCCAAGTAGTTGTCAACACTCAATCCAGATAAAGTCTCTTATAAATAGTAGGCCTAAACTTCAGTTCTAAGACATTTAAACATTTTCAAACAATAATGTTTCGGACTGAATAAGGTCGTCCTCGCGGTTTCCATCTATTGTGTGTTTCTCAATACGCATTGATTATATTAATAAATTTATAATAATAAATAATTATACCCTAATCATATTATTTTATAAGTTAGTCGAGATAAAAATTCTAATGTGGTAGTGGGTAACCAGACCAAAAAGTTCGGGAACCGCTGGTATAATCTATAAGATTGTACTGAGCCTCAATATAGGTACAATTTTTATTTACAGAAAAAAAGCAATTTCAATATGGTTTGATATTTGAATGGTTAACATTGCAAAAAATACAGGATCAAAAATATAAGAACAACATTAAAAAAATTAAAAGTCTGTTTCCAATTAAAAATTAAAGTTTATCAAAACCCACTCTATTAAAATATTTAAATTTAGATTAAATATGCCATAGGCCCTACTGTCATTAATAACGTAGAATTCTTAAATGGCACATGTTGGGTATTTTCCTATTTTTATCTTCAAAGATAATGTAGAAAATATGGCTTCTTTCAACTTTCAATAGAAACTGACTCCAACCAAAGGCGCTCTTATTTCCTAGAGCTGTAAGTTTAGTTTGGTCGACTGGTTACGGTAAATATTTACTCAATTTACGCTGCAGTCAAGTTATATTTAAAACCCTCAACTCAACAAGATTGGTGTTTCTAATATTGGACCTCTTGAACAATACTCATGATAATGTGTTTATGGGTTTTGAAATAATTCATTAATTTGCACTGGACTGATTTAGTTTTAAAATATAAATTTTGAAGTATTAATATTAAAAAAATATACGATTTTCAAATGAACCCAAAAATGACCACAAAAATAGGTTTGATGTCAGTTCAATATATTTTTGTTAATTTTTTGCTCTTATTCAAGTTAATTTCACTGTATCAAAACAAGGAACTGAGTTTAAAATCAATGTAGCCTAAATGGTTTTTTCAAAATTCTTCACTTCCGGAGATTAGTATGGTCACTGGTCAGTGGCTAAAAATTCCTCTAAATATACTTTAATAAATTACTTGTTTCAGTTTAATTTAGAACTAGAGGTCGTCAAGTGGACGAAAACTCAATCAAATATTATATGTAACGTACATACTTATCTATTTTCACCCCACACTGTAAATAAGACATGTGATTGGAATTTCATTTATTTGTTTTCATTTACTGTTTATATTTCGTTGTTATTTTTGTCACCAGCATGGCAACCCATATGGCCTATGTTAATTATTTTAAACTAATTTTTTGTGGTTATTTTTGAGCCTATCTTAATTTATAAAGAGATTCTGCACATCTACAGGAATATATCTTTCTAACGGTATGCGTAGATTTTCCCTGTAAAACAACTGTAACACAAGCTGAGAAAAAAGGTTTTAGAGAAACATGCTTGCCTATTAATATATGATAAAAAATAATAACAATCAGTGTATAAATCTATATATTAATTTGAAACTGTTTTTCTTTGTCATAGCTAAATTGAGAGAACGGCTGGGCGTAGAAACTCGGTAGAGGTGTCTAAAGAAAGGTCTTGGTCTGTAGATGAGCCATCAAAAGAGAAACGTGGTAAATTCCCTTGGGGCTCTGCCCCAGTGGCCTTTGAATTTCCATCCCATGTTATTCTTTTGGAGAAAAAAATGGGTTTTTGTCCCAGCTAATTTGAGAGAACGGCTGGGCGTAGAAACTTGGTAGGGGTCTCTAAAGAAAGGTCTTGGTCTATAGATGAGCCATCAAAAGAGGAACGAGGTAAATTCCCTTGGGGCTCTGCCCCAGAAGCCTTTAAAGTTGCCTCTTCAAATTTGTTTACCATATGCATAATTCTACACTACTTTTTAATGAAACAGCTGTTATATTTAAATTGTGATTTATTGAATTTGTCAAAATGAAGTACAGTATTTGCAATGGGTTTTTCTGATTTTAAATTGGATTTTCTTCTGCATCGTGTCATGTTTTGCAATATAATGTTCTATTACCAAATCAGTGGAAAATCCTAATATCACTGTAACTTTTAAAATTATTTCTTATGGAGTTAACTTATATCTATTGTATGGGTTGGTTTCTGCCTTTTTTACCACATCTTGGAGATTGTACGTAGGTGATATTCTTTGGCAAATTGCATCTGTAGACGAAACTTGGGTTGGTGTAATTATTACAATGTAAAAGAGCGAGAAATCTTGGACAATTTGATATAGGCTAAAAATAAAACCGAATTAACACTGTGCTACATTTCTTGAGCAATCATTTAAATAACCGATTTGCAAACAATGGAAACATAGAAAAAGTCATAGAACGTAACCAAGTAAAAGAAATAGAAATAATGTTTTTTTTACACTAAAAACACTAAAAAAACAAGATCAACTTTTTGGAAAAAGATAAGATATTTACAAAAGATTTTGATTATATCTAACTGTTGTGTATATCGTGAGTATTTACATAATCTTTGAGTCGCCTGTAAATGCTTCGCAATTGCTCGAATTCGAGCAACAGGTACACTAGTATGAAAGTTATTTGATGAAAAATAAAATATATGACAGCCATCAAAAATACTTATAAACAGTAGAGGGGTTTATGAGACAGCATTTTTATTACTTTAAAAGAAAATGTTTGTTATTTAAAACCTAAACCGTTTCGTAATCATCTATCTGGACTGTTGAACATATATATCTTAACGTTTACATAAGATACTTAAAGCTATCACTTTCTGTTAACTAATAGTAGGGAATCTTCAAGCCTTAATGCCAGCATCCAGTTATACTTCAAGAATGTCTGAAGCATTCAATAGGAAGTTAATTGTAATAATTTAACTAAAGTTTTCTGATTTTAAACAACACAAACCTAAATTTAAACTCTGTGGACTATTAAGACTGTGTGATACCGTTAACTTAAGAAAAACAGTACAAGTTTGATTCTCATAAATTATATGTAATTTGAAGAATTCATTACAATGCCATCATGATTATAATCCATGATCGCAGCCCTACCTTAAGATCATAACTGCAACGTTAAAACCTAAAGACTAGGGGTAAAATTAATCAAAACATCTCAAGTGCATTCTGTTATGTTTATTACCTCTGATCACTGTCACATTGAAGTATATTTCAAATAGCAATGTTACCTCTAAACAAGTATGTGATTTCATACCATTAATTTTCTTCATTCATCAGACGCTTGCGTCTTATAATGTCAGTATGTTGCATTGTATTAAAACTCTGCCCAGCCCAAATTTTCTTTTGAGACAAATAGGGTTTGGTAATACTTTAGTAAAATATGTTTGGATTGACTCTATCCTTAGTGAGTTATCACTCCAGTGGAAGCAGGCTGGTCTACTGGTAGAACGTTGGACTTCAGTCCCTGAGGTCGAAGGTTCAAATCCTGTCAATCACCAATAGCTTTTGACCTCATCTGACCTCGCCTGAAGTAATGTTTAAAGGGGTTTCAGCTGGAGTCTAGTGTCCTAGAATGTGAAGGTCGGGACATATAAGCAACGAGGGGCATTTTTTTATTCAAACGTGCATGTTGTGTTGCAGTGCCCCAGATGTGCAGACCAGGTCAGTTCCAGTGTGCCGGGAGCCAGAAGTGCATACCGATGGGTTGGATCTGTGACGGGGAACCTGACTGTGGCGCCTCCGTGGAGCAAGTGGACAACTCTGATGAGGACCCTCATAGATGTGAGTACTGTCGCAGCTCATACTTTAATGACATTTTTTGAAAGAACCAATCACAATAACATACTGCACTGTCAACTGCAATAATATGTTCACCGGTATGTTAGTTGTTTTTGAGATGAAACAATTGTCAGGTGATTTGAAAAAGCTGTAGAGCAAACTAAAATTGACTGTAGTAGACAAAAAGCAGGATGTTCACTTATAAACTGTCATATTAAACGCAACATAAGTTTTAGAATTGTTTCCTTGCTTTTATAACATTATATCATCTTAAGTAAGTAACCTCTTATTGACATTGTGTGTTCGGTCAGGTCAGCGAGGCAGCCTGTGTCTCTACAACACTGCTAGGTGTAAGGAAGGCGAGTGTCTGGCGATAGACAAGTTTTGCGACGGACATCCGGACTGCCACGACGGGAGTGACGAGGGACCTCAGTGTAGTGAGTATCTACAGTAGAAAGTACTCTTGAGAATCTTGAGTGTAAATTACTCTCTAGAATCTTAGAATCTTGAGTGTCAAGTAGGCCTACTACTTCTGAGAATATTGAGTGTAAATTACTCTCTAGAATCTTAGAATCTTGAGTGTCAAGTAGGCCTACTACTTCTGAGAATATTGAGTCAAGTAGGCCTACTACTTCTGAGAATCTTGAGTGTAAATTACTCTCTAGAATCTTAGAATCTTGAGTGTCAAGTAGGCCTACTACTTCTGAGAATATTGAGTCAAGTAGGCCTACTACTTCTGAGAATCTTGAGTGTAAAGTAGCCTACTCATGAGAACCTTGAGTGTAATGTACTTACAGTAATAATAAAATTATCTTTGTTAATTATCTTAAAATAAATAGGTTTTTATTTTTTAATAATTAACATAAATTGTAATAAATAATTTTTATGGCACAAATTTTTCTGTAACTTGCTTAAGAAGCCATCATATGTGAGAGCAAAGGTACCAATGAAAGTTGTTACTAACCAGCTAAGGCTGAAACTGCTATAAAACGTACATACATCTGTTGGCTAACATTATCCACACATCTGATTTATTGATTCAAAACAAAACTAATAAAGACTGTTGGATGTTCATCATAAAAAAAATAATCTACACATAAATTTTCAGTTCAAATATCATATCAGACTGATTCAAAAATAAATAATGTCCCTAGACCCTACGTTGATGGAACACACTTGTCTTACTAATTTTTAGTTTTTGTAAGCTATTAATTTACCAAGCAAATTTCATGGATGTACAAGTTAATGTCGTTGAAATTGCTTATTGCTATAGGTTTTTGAAATTCCTGATACATTTTTCTTAGTTTGTAACTTTTTACAGCTTTCTACAGGAGTTTTGAACTCCCTATATAGTGATCGGATCTCTATCCAGGACTAAGCTGAACAGGTTGTTTCATGTTAACGATTGCTTTTCTGGGAGATCATTCGGAATTGCACAATTCGCTTGAAGCTTACAGCACACTATTCATGCTTTAGATTTCAGGTTTTCAAATGGGTTGTCGATCCTCATTTAAACATTGCATCTATTTTCTATCTTCAACTTATTAGTTACCCTTTTCAACAATATAGGGTGTATGAATAAACTTGACTTAAGGCAACACTCGATATTAAGGTCCAAAAAGCATCTTATCCATTTTGTTGTGTTGGGAAAAACATATTTTTGTCCATTACAATAGATAAATTATATATATTTATAAACTTTTAGAAATTCTTTCTTATACTGTTTATTATTATATTAACCGTATTCAATCCTATTCTTAATTCTGTAAGATGTTAGGCTAATCCAAATGAAACAGTTTTTACAATTTTCACTGGTATTTTGAAGATTAGTTTGTCGATTTAGTTTGGAAAGTACGATATTTTATTCTCATGAGGGTCTTTATAGTTATTGTAAGTATAGTAGTTTTGTGATGGTCCACTCATCCAGTTATCAGTGTTACTATTAATCATGCAATAAAAGAAACATTTTTACAGAAATAGGCTGTGCAACTGAATTTTTACTCAATGTTTCTGGTTATCTAACTCATCTGGCTCAGCCTGAATCCATTTACTGTTTTATCAATGAAATTCTACTGTACACCTTAATCCATTCATATTCTGCTTAAACTGTTCACAACATGGTTTAGAGTGGTTTCACTTGGGTTTTATTCGATTGATTACTTTTATGCAACATAAATTGCTTGTATATTATTGCAGAGCTAGAGTCCAAGAGTTATTGATACGTGGTAAAAATGTCACACAGCATAATACTCATATTTTGGGTTACTATTGGATTTCTTCCAAAAAGCGTAGGTAAAGTGTCTGAAAAAGTGTATTTGGACGGAATATGAATTTTATGATGTGTGAGCTTTTTAGTATGTCCATGCAACTGGTCTCTGGTTAAGTAGGTAAACAAAGTCTTAAGGCTGGCGCCACACTATTCCTTTCGCCGGTCCAGTCAAACGGGACCTGTTTGGAGGGATGATTCCGGTCACTTTGTTGCGGTTGCGGTCTGTCGATGGGATCCACCGCATGCTGGTGCGGCGAAGAAACACATGCAGTTAAATGAGAGCAGCCATACCATCCGGTTGTGCCGTGCCCTTGTCCATACCGTTGTCCCTATCAACAGTGCATAGCATGTGATGTTCGCGCCCTTCACTCGAAGTTTGTTGCGGTAGTGGAGCAAGGTGTGACAGGGTAATGTCAATGCGGCAAAAACGCATCCCGTTCAACCGCATCGTGCTAAACAGGATAGTGTGGTAAGCCTTCAATCAGCTATATTGCTTTTTTTATATCCTTTGATAAGGAAAAGATCTTAGTTTGTGATAAAAGTTTAATTCAACATTATACAGTTAACCCTCTTTTAAGCACACTCCGCTAAACCAAAACCAGGGTTAATCCAAATTATTATAAAAATTCAAATCAGTTACAAAAATTAGCGAGGCAATGAGAATTTTCTGTCGTGGTGCGAATTGTTGAAAATCGCTTTGAAGATTACGCTCAGAAAACAATTGTTGATTATCTTAAGAAATAGATTATATCGGTCGTAAATTTTTATATGACAGTAATTCTTTAAGACGACTGTTGTAGACCTCTTTGAACCGAAATCACCTTTAAATCTAAATTGTTGATTAACCAAAAAAAAAAAAAAAAAATACCCCCGCCGCAGCAAACCTGCCGTCTAAGCGAATTTCCATTTGGCCGAATTGATTTTTAATTGATCTATTTAAATAACATTAGGTTTAACGAGTACCTAGGTTTGCTGCTACAAGGAAACTAATAAAGTAGTGTGTTTTTAGTAAAATATTGATAGCTTACTATAAAATAAATAAATTTGCCAAGTTTGATCAAAATATATCCATAAACAAGCAAACTACAACATTTTACAATATTCTCCATAAGAATAACATGGGAATTTTAAATTTACCATTTTTTTAGTTTTCTCCATAATCATTAACTGTACAAAAACACTTTGATATACTGAATTGTTTGTTTTTTTAAGCTCTTTAAGAAGGTTTAGAGAAAAATTGGGAAATTTTGTGTTTTGACGGTAAGAAGTGAGAAAAACCAATTTTTACCCCATAAAACCCTGTTCCCATGGTCCGATCATGCTGGATCGCGAACTCATTCAAGTTTATCCCGCCTTACACCTTCAAACCAAATTTTATCAAAATCGGATAAAAATTACTCAAGTTATCGTGTTCACGGACACATATATATATATATAAATCTATATATATATATATATATACATATATAAAAATTTGAACGAATGGTGTTTTTGGCCTCTGGGGACATTAAAATGAAAAAGTAAATCGGTCCCGGGCTTAAGTCTTACCATGAGACCTACGGTAATAGCTACTTCCCTATAGGGAAATTCGCTAAAAACTATCCGAAAATAGCTTGGATTGTTCATTTAGGCTGATTGGGATTTTAATATATACGAGATATTTTGATATGCTGTGTTCAAGTATATGAGTGTTGATACAGCGTCTATGTGTGTTCCAGACAGACAAGGGTGTTCCACCCTGAAGTGTTCCCACGGATGCAAAATCACCCCTAGTGGCCCACTGTGTTTCTGCCCCACAGGACAACAACCCAACAAAACAAAATGTGTTGGTAGGTCTCATCTTTCTCTCATGAATAAGTAAAATGTTTTAGATGTATTCTACGTGATATTTTTTGTTACTTTTAATTACCGTATGCAATTTTTTAAATATTTCTTCACTTCTTACTATTCTTTTTAATCGTTTAAAAAATCTAATTCATGTTGCTCGAATCTTGTTTCTTAGCTCTGATTAAGTAAGTAATGCAGTATAATTGTGAGTTAATTTAAAAAAATTTCTTTAACAGTATATCTCCAGTAACTGTAAATTCATGTCAAAGTTTTAATTCCGGTAAAGTGATTTTTAGACCAATATTTAAGGTTGTTTCAATTTGAATTCTATTGTTTTATCATGCGATCTTGTTAATTTACCGGTATGTTTGACTGCCCCAGATCTGAATGAATGTGAGATCGACGGCTCATGCGACCAGCTTTGCACCAACACAGAAGGATCTTTCAGCTGTGCCTGTGTAGCAGGGTACACTAGATCCAACCGGACTCACTGCAAAGCTATTAATTGTGAGTAAATTGTTTATGTAAAAATTATATTCTAATATTTGGAACATTGACTTAGATTGCCATACTTATGATTTACAAAAGGCATTCATATTCAAGCCACAGACATTAACTGGTTGATATTTTGTAGACATTCTTATTTAAAACATATGAACAAAAAAGACTATCCTGCTTCAGGAAATCTAACTGAATAAAAAAAGGTTTCTATATTTGTTTTATTAATCAAGAGCTGATTAAAAAATTTTATATATCACTCAAAACATTTCAAAGACTAGATGTTCCTGAAATATGGAATGGAGGAGGTTTTAGAAGCAGCATTTGACAATCTTATCCCTCTAAGTCAATCATAGGCCTGCAAAGTCATCAAGCAGTTCAAAGGTGACTAAGTTAACCCATGTAATGTAACATTTTGAAGCCAAAAAAATAGATGAAGATCAGGACCATCTAGACTAGTGTATTGGATTAAATGTTAATTATAATCAACGCAGTAACATAGCATACAGCTGATTGAAAACTTTAAACTATAGAAAGAACAAGTCATTTTATTGTCCGTAGTTTGTTTGAACTGTTTATTTCAATCATTGTAACATTTCACAATATTCAACCCTCATCTCTTATCAGACCCTACGGACGAAGAGGCTAGCCTAGTGTTCAGCAGCACGATGGACATCCGCAGAATATACCTCAACGGCTCAGCATGGCCGGGACACAGCAGTATCAGTCAGCTGCAGACGTTAGCGTTGGAGTTCAACCATCGCAACCGCACACTTTGTTACATCCGCAACAACGGCACGTCCGCGTTGCTCAGTTGTGCCGACATTGACGATCTGTCTATCACGTGGGACCTGCCGCCACCCACCATGTTCCCTCTCTACGGTGAGTGTAGGTTGTAGGTAATATTTCAAAAAGCCTTGACACCTTTAAGATTTAATTATGGATGAAAATCTACTTACGTAGGTATGCTAAGTGTGATTATTTTATGAGATAGCAAAACTGAAAATAGGAACCGCCAGTCAGCTGATACTGTGGCATCACAATCCAGTGTTTCTCAGTAGACCTACGAAGTCGTCCTGTTTGATAGCTTCACACGTGTGTACGGAAAATGTGTAAATACGAAATTTGTAAAAACGATATGCTAAATGTTTAGTCAAAAAACATCGCTTGATTGGATTTATTTAAATACTGTAAAAATGCTGCTGAAGATGAGCTGTAACAGCTCAAAACATGTACAGCATAAAAAATGACTACGTTTGACACCTTCTGGCATACCTACTTAAGTCGATTTTCACCTATTATTGTAGGTAATATGTTGATACTAGGCAGGGGTCAGTAGGACAGACTTTGGTCAGGACTAAATCTGGTTGCTTTGGAAAAGTATAGATTTATAAAATATCAGTTGTGAAATTTCAACCGGTTTATTCAATATTGTACATGACTCATCCATATTGGTGTAATTGTAAACATCATCTATGGTCATGGCGAAATCGTGAAGGTCTTCTGCGGTCATGATGAAGCCATAAACATAACCCGCAAACAAGCAAGACTGTGAGTTTTTGATTGTGCATCTTCGAAGATGCTTTCTGCAATCACAAAAATAAAAGTTAGACTGAGCTCAACTCAACCTGAGCTACGCCAATAATAATTTTTGGCCTGAATTGACCTCTCAAGTCAACTGTTGGACTGACCTGACCCGACAATATCGTGGAGCTGCTGACCCTCAATACTACACTTGGCAATGGTTTGCCGTTTATATTTATCTCTTTTAACAGTATGCACTGTGAGAACATAATGTTGTTAAAAAAGTATCATTCTTGTACTAACTTCTGATGGTTTATAATTTTTTAGTCCAGATAATGGGTCAATTCCGATGTGTTTGAATGTAATACTTAAACCCAAATAAAAGCACTCATTGTTTTTTATGTGTTCGTCCTTTTATGGTTGAAGTAATTTTTAATTCATATCAATTACAGACACAACACTTATAAACGTATAAAGACCAGAGGAAGGGGAAGTTAACACAGCCTTGTCCTATTTTGGTTCCGACCACAATCACGGTGCTTGTATTGTTTATTAAGTGTTTGTTTTTACCTTCCAGCCAACACACACGTAGCTCTGGATTGGATCTCTGGCAACTGGTATTTCCTGGACGACAGCAGAGAGATGATATTCGTCTGCACGTCGTCCATGAAACACTGCCTTATCTTGATTGACGTCAACCTAAGCAAACCTCGAGGCATCGCTTTGGACCCCACTAGAGGGTAAGTGTGTTTAGATTTTATCACAATGTGATGATTAGCCTACTGTAGTGTTGAGATTATCCGCAGTAAGAAGTGATATGGCCATGTCCCTGCTGGCGTATTTTTGAAGCCTAATGGAGTAAGTATCATGAAAAAGTCCCTGTTCTTAGATAGGCTACAGTAAATCATTTTTTAATATTTTCCTAACTATTGTCAAATTTATGTTAATTGTTGTTAGACTAATGTTTGCTGTGTTAAAAAATATAATAATTTGCTCTGTAGTATATATGAATTAAGTTTTTTTCTCAAAGATCTACCAGGAGTGAGATGACTGAAGACTGTTTCTACTAGTGTGTTTACAAGGGTTTACGTCATAAATCACAATTTTTAGGCACAAAATGAAGCAAACTCTGACTGATGAGCCTCTTTTGCGTGGCCTGTAACTTAAAATCCTGATTTTTCAACTAGGCCTCTTTATTAATAGATTTGTTTAAACTTGGTATTGTTTGACAGGAAATTTAAAGTGCTAAGAATAGTGTTCCTGAAATATTTTTGTAAGTCTACCGTTTTAAAATAATTAAGTTATGGAAAATGATATGATCGCCATTTTGAAAAAACAAAATTTGTAAATTTTGACTGGTGTTTTTCTCAAATTTCTTATGATACTTGAAAATTGTATACCAAATTTTATAAAGACCTCTTTAAGAAATAAATTTAAAACACGAAAACTAAATTGTGGACTTCTTGCAAACAATTATCTCGCAATTTTGTAAAACAAATTCGTTGTTAATTTTTTATTATCATCCATTAAATGTATTCCTAAATTTTTGGTACTCACTCACAGGAAATTCTGTATATGCCATTTTAGGAAAAAATACTTTCATTAAATTCTTCAACTAACAGAAACCTTGTTTACTTTTCAATATAATTTTTTGACAGTCTTTTCTGCGATATATACGTTTCCAACTGTTTCCAGCTACATGTTCTTCACCAAGTGGGGTGTGACGTCACCCATGCTGGAGAGGGCGTTGCTAGACGGAAGTGAACGCAAGACGCTGGTGGATCACAAGATAGTGTATCCGTATGGAGTAACCATAGACTACCCAACACAACATGTCTACTGGGTGGACACCTACTTGGACTTTGTAGAGAGAGTGGACTATGACGGGTCCAACCGACGGACCATCCGGAAGGGGTTCCCGGTGAGCATTAGTAATTACAGTCTTATCCGAGCAGAACTAGAAATTTAGGTGCTGGAACTATCTGTTGTGAACTGGACTTGAAAACCAATTTGCCTAAATATTTTTTACAAGAAAACTGAAATAAATACTTCCCGGATAGGCTTTCACGGTCATGTGTAGAATAGATTTCTGGTGACGACAACTTCAAACCCAACGTCAAGTGTATCGTCAAATTTAAAACGGTGGTTGCCAGAAGACAATGATTCTAAAAATGTTATATCCTACTTTTGAACATAGATTAAAAAATTTATTTTAGATTAAAAAATTTACTTTGTCATATGCATGGATTCTGAAGAAATCTTGCATAAATGTACAGATTTCTCTTTAAATCTAATTTGTGATATGAAAATATTTTTATAACGGACAATATTTTTAAGTCGCATTGCCTAAAAATGTTTAATTTACTTTCCAGTTTTTAAGTAAAGGTTTAACAGAACATAAGAGCCTATGTTTTATAGAGTTTTGTTGGATTGACATGCTTAAGCTATTGAAAAGAGTCAGCTGAAACAAGAAGTAAAAAAAAACTGGTTTCACAAAAAATACAACTGCCATTGACTGCATTTTGGCGCTGTATGGTAAGTCAGTGGCTTAGTTGGCGTCGCGGACTTCGGGTCCAAGGCAGTAGTGTCGTGGGTTCGGATCCTGGTCACTGCCACGAACTTTTATCAGTACAGTTCACCTTCGTACTGCACCCCTTGCTTTGCTGGATACGTTCCGCGCACAGATCTGTAGCCTATGTGGACCGGCAAATGCAATTCTTACAACAATTCTCTACAGATTTGTCAAACAACTGTGTTGCAGGTTCAGAACTTGTACGACGTTACGTTACTGGAGAACAACTTGTTTGTGACGTCATGGCGCAACCAAAGCATCATCAGACTGGACAAGTTCAACACAGAGAATCATCAGACAGTCACCAACATCAGCAGACCCTTCGCTATACATGTGTTCCATCGTCAGAGACAGCCTGACGGTCAGTGGCTACTTGCTTGCTAAAAAAATTAAGAACATTTACAGTGGAAGTTGTTTGAATTGCCTCAAGTAGCAATAAGCAGTCTTATGCTACGGGGAAAAATCTATCCAACCGATTTAGTAAGACTTTAAAACAATACAAGATGATAAAACTTTCTTCTACGGAGGCTTTAGAAACCCAACTATCACCTAAATACCCAAGTTAACTTGTCATTTGTTTTTAGTCTTAACAGCAAAAATAAATATAGTTGCTATAATCTGTAAGTGCCAAAATAACGTTTGCTAGAAGTTCTTTGACTGAAGTAAAACCACTTATGTAATGGTAAAACGAGTTGCAATATTCTTGCTTTGCAAGAACGATATGAAGAAGAGACCAATAGGAGGGGTTAGGCAAAGTCGTGTCAGATAACGGTAGTTGAAATTATGTTAGGTTAGGTGCAACAGTAGTAATTTTAAATCTAGGCCTGCTGTTAAAAAGGAATTTTCTTTGATATAATTCAGCTGTATGGTGGGATAAAACTTTCAGCCTTATCTAGATATAAACTAAGCAAATGTAAATAAAGCATTGTGGTTTCTATATGAGTTGCCATTTATTTACTTCCTCAAGTTCTACCTAGTCATGTTGGATGTCTATGGGGTAGACCGAATGGATTTGAAGAACTTAAATTCCTATGTTTTGTCTGGATTCATGATCACCCTTTTTGAAAATTTTCTGCTTTTTCACTTAAAAGTAGTTTTTGCATTTATAAAGAACAAATAGATCCAAATACAGAAACCTGCAAAATTTTATCATATTACATCAAGTGGTACTTTGGATCAATGAAAGTTTCTAATGTTTGTGACTATGTTACACAGCTGATCATCCATGCAAGAAGGACAACGGAGGATGCCAACATATCTGTATTCCCGCGTGGAAGAAGAACATCGCCCAGGCACAGTGTCTGTGTCAGCCGGGCTATAGACTGGTCCGCAGCAGAAAATGTGTTGGTATGTTGACAATTTATGCTTGGAAGTATTTCTGTGGGTATTGCAAAATCAGTCGAGAAATGAGACAGAAAGTGTATCCTGGAGTTGACAATTAGATCCAGAACAGTAGACCATTTAGAAATTTTGGATTTGGTTTAAAATACTAGCCAATGTTTTTTATTTGTTGCAGCAATCTCATCTTTGGAACAAAATACAGTTTAACTATCAGTCATCTTCTGAACCCTAAGATTTTACTGAGGAAGCCTAACTTCCAGTTTATATAATCTTGTTGCAACCAATGATTAAAAACCCAATTTGAGAGATAGTTATAATCTCAAATCTGAGGGATGGTTGAAAAAAGGTTGATCTATTTTAGAGGAAAATTATTTCTGTGTTTTAAAGGAGCCAGTTGAGTAAAATTAATATGCGTCTGTAAAATGATATTCTACTGTTGAACATCAACGAATTATTAAAAATGTAACATTCTCATATTAATTAGGTATAATAGTAAGTTTGTAACAAAAGAGTACCTAATAATTTAATGTCAGTGAAACCGTCCATTTCATGAACTTAAAATGTATTGACATTTCTTTATTTAAATTTTTTTAAATTAGTAAAAAAACAAACCGGTTTTTTACATTTTTGTCCAGTGGCCAAGCAGTCCTCGTTCCTGCTGTATGGCAAAGGCCGGCCGGGTATGATCAAAGGTATCTCCATGTTGCCCAAACTGAACAAACACGAGGAGGAGATGATCCCCATCACCGATCTGACCCGGCCCACAGCACTGGACTACGACGTGAAGACACAGTTCATCTACTACTCTGACGGACAGAAGTAAATACACTTACATTATACCCTCTGCCAGTACAGCTGTAGTTGTGATTCAAAAATGAAGTACAGTAGAACTCCAATTACCTGAATCAGTTACAATTCAACTCTTCTGAATATTCAAAAATCAAAATCTTAACCGGAAGATTTTATGGAAAAAGCTATTTTAAAGGAAGACGCAGATGAGTTATCACGTGTTGATTGATGTCACTGCAATATATTTACACGTTAAATGCGTAATGGATTACTTCAAACTGCAAAACACTGCAATAAACTTTATTTTTCTGTTAATTTTTGTGTTTTCTCCTTAAGATGATTCAGATAATTAGCTAATGGATGATAAGAGTTTGTTTGATTGGAGTTGTAATGTATTTACAGTTATCACTCATGACAAAAGTTGATTCTTAGAGAAACAAATTATAATAGTCTTAATGTTTGTTAAACCTGTTAAATATATTGTCTCAACTAAATAGGTTTTTAAGAGGCTGGTCATATTGTTCATTTACCATCTCACATGAGTCTTAAAACTGTTCTGGAACTGGAGAGGGAAAAATCAGCAATGTCTTAAAAGATTTAGTATAAAACGTGGTGTTAAGGCTAGTATCAGCATTGGTTTGTAAATCAGACTGTTGGTGACTGACTTACCAACATTTCCGAGTGGACATGTTCCTATCTTAACCCCGTGTTGCAGGTTCGTCATAGACAGACAGAAGATGGACGGGTCCAAGAGAGAGACGGTGGTTGAGCGAGGAGTCAGCAACTGTGAAGGACTAGCCGTAGACTGGATGGGACGCAACCTCTACTGGACTGACGAGGGTCTTAGTACGATCAGCGTGTGTCGGATGGACCAACCAAACTACAGACGCACTCTCATACACGACCACAAGTTCCACCCACGCGCCATTGCGTTGGATCCTAAAAAAGGGTAAGTTTTGCACTTGATTTGAGTTCTTTGAGCTTCAAAGGTTGACATATTGGTTATCAAGAGGAATATAAATAAAGTTTTCCTGATGACTAAGTGATTAAATATCGGTAAAACATACCTTACAACTGTTGCAACCTGGAAATCAAGTTTGGAACTACAAGCTTGGGCTTTGTATCTGTGATCAGGAGACAGTGTTGGTTTTTGTTTTTTGCTTAGTGAATAATGTATTTCTATAATGAACATGATTATGATTGGTATATACCGGTTGTTCCGTCTTCAGCCTGATGTATTGGTCGGACTGGTCAACCTCGACAGAGCCGATGGGAAAGATCGAGAGTGCTTGGATGAACGGAGAGAACCGAAAGGTGTTTGTCGACTCGGAACTTCAGTGGCCTAATGGACTGACGATCGATTACTTCACCCGCAAGCTGTATTGGTGTGACGCTTACCTTGACAAGATTGAGAGGATAAGTCTAGACGGAACCGAACGTCAGGTTTGTGATTGTCTGTCTTGATCCAGTTGACCCCTGAAACTTGATTTTTATCATTTAATTTTCCAACAACAATCAAATGTTAAACTGGTTTAAATTACCTATTGAAATAGTCACACTTTCATCTAAGGATAGGTGTGAGTTAATATTCCTGTCTTGCCACCTTTACTTGAGTTTTTTTTTGCATTAGCTTGATTACTCAACTATTCAATTCAGCCTCAGCCCAGCCTGAAATTTATGTTCTTGTGCACCTTGAATTATAAATAACACACTTTTGTTAATTTGAAGTTAGACAACACTAAATGTGATAAAACGGTAAGGTCATCATAATATTCCTGTTTTTATCGTTAATTAATCTTCCTACAGGTTGTATTTCAAGGTTCCCAGCTGGATCATCCGTACGGCCTTGCTTACTACGAGAATCTCCTGTTTTGGACGGAATTCCAAAAAGGAACCGTAGAAAGTCTGAACTTGGCTAACAACACGGTGACAACTCTGACTACAGAAAACCCTCCTCTGTTTGAGATCAGGGTGTTTGACAACAGCACGCAGACTGGTGAGTGGTGTGTTGTATCTTCAGTAATACAGTCCTGTTTGATTAAAGTAGACATTTTAAACTGTAGATCCAATGCACTGTACAACTTCAATAAGAAGAGGTGTGTTGCTGGCATCTCATAATTTGGTACAAGAGCAGTGGGTTGAATTCTTGGTATACCTAAAAGATTTTCTTGGGTTTGGGTTGCTTTTCTAGTTATTAACTTTATCAGGTTTTAACATGTTCAATCCACTGACCACAATAATGGTACATAACCACTTTGTTCATAATAATACAAACAAAAGCATATTGGTAGCTTCAAGATCGATTGAGTAAATTTTTTGAAACTTTATACTGAATTTTTTTACTCATTTACCATCATTTATCTTTTAAGTACCAGTACCCATGAAACTTTTTTAATCCAATTTGAGTTATGAATAATCTCTTTTAGTTTTTTCTTTTCGTAAAAGCTAATATTATTCCTGACAATTAATTGCTTGAAAGAAAATTTTTAATCCTCATCTTTTGTAACTTGTGATGACCATACTTGTGATTGTGGCAGGCACCAACTTGTGTTTCGACTCTCTCAAGTGTAACCAGCTGTGTTTGGCCACGCCGAACGGTCCTGTGTGTTCGTGCAAAGACGGATTCAGTGCTGCCAACACGAGGTGTGTGCCGCAAGCCAACTATACACAGCCCTCCGACTGCGGCCCACAGGAGTTCCAGTGTACCAAGAATCTGCGATGCATTGACAACCGGTTTGTCTGCGACGGAGACGACGACTGCAACGACGGCTCTGATGAGTCTGTCGAACCTGGCGGGGCTTGTGGTGAGTTGGACCTAGAAATTAACTCATCGCTTTTGTCTAATCAGTTTGCCCATTGCACAAGGAATCTATGTCATTAAAGTAGTGGAAGACACAGACATGTAACTAGCTTAAATCTCCTTTAGATAACAGTTTTTATCAGCGGCTTGTTAATTACTATAGTTTTTTAAAAGGAAAGTATCCATGCCAGGATTTTGATTTTGTAAATTAAAGGGATAGCAGATATGCATGTGTCCTTAGAGTTAACTTTAGAGCTAATACACTTGGTTTTTGACATTTATTGGTTTTGTTGTTGTGGTAGTCTGATCCAACTGATCAATAGCATACAGGATAAAGAGTGTTGTATTGTTGGCCAAGAGATAACGCTGTAGATTGCGGATTTGAATAATATTTTGATGAGGTCTAGTTTGCAATTCATGAAATGTTAACCAGTCTGTAGCAGAACTTGGTGGAAGAGATCTACAAAAAAATAAATTGGAAGGGTTTGTAAGTTGATAATAAAGGTTGATTCTTGGACAGTCAGTTTAGGTATTTTGCCACCTTTCCCTATCCTTACTTTGTGCGTCTGTTGTTTATGTTTAAAATTAGTGTGTCAGAAGTTGAGGAAAATCAAAGGATGGAAGAACGAACGTAAATAAATAATGGAATCATCCCTTGGGTTTATTGTTGTTTGTTGTACAAAATGTTGTTTGTTATACAGAGACACATCCCTGCAGAGAGAACCAGTTCCTGTGTGACGGTACGTTGTGTATCAGCAACTACTGGGTGTGTGATGGTGACAAGGACTGCAAGGATGGCACTGATGAGCTACAGAGCCATTGCGTCAACACCACTTGTAGTCCGTCCCAGTTCACCTGCGCGCAGAGTCGCAGGTGTATTCCGAAGGCCTGGGTGTGTGACCTTGAGGTGGACTGCGGCGACGGCGACAGTTCCGACGAGAAACAAAACTGTAGTAAGTATTTTGTAAAACCTAGTCAAAGTGTGTAAAAACCTTATCATTATAACTCTTAATACTTCCCCAAAAACTTCAGATAATAGAATACTGAATATACTTTGCTGGTAACATATCCGTTTATTGATGAAAACATTATCGAGTATTGTGATTTATTCCAGAGTTTGCGGAATGTGATCCGTGGGAGTTCACGTGCAACAATCGCCTGTGTATTCCTCTAGATTACGTGTGTGACTCGGACAACGATTGTAGAGACGGAAGTGATGAGAAATTCTGTCAAGAGATCTGTGATAACAGCACCCACGTGAGCTTAGCTTACAAAATGTTATTCATACAAATTAGTGAATTTTGTATTTATTATTAATACTTTTACTTAATATACTGAGGAAGATAGAATTGAAATTACATATCATGTAATAAAAGGGTTCCGGGCAGTTATGGCCCCAATGGTGGTTTATTCAGAAGTATTTAGAAGGGTAAGCCCTTCTCATAGCCCTCTTAGGACAAAGTATCAAATTTCATGTATTATAATCATTTTGTTTGCTATTAACTGCTGGAAAACTGTTCTTGGATAAATAAATTATGTACCCATTCCTCCCTTCTGTCTTAATCAATTTCAAAGCAAAGCGCTTTTCCCCTCCAAAAAAGTATACTACTATATAATGTATAAAAAATTTGGTGTCACTTTTAATCCTCTTTCCAGAAAAAAATATAGGTTTCAATGTGTTACTGTGGAGTATTGTTAATTTGAACTTCCCTAATTTAAAAAAAAACTAGTGATGGGCGGATCCAAGAAAATGTCGGTACCGGATCCGGATCCAGATACACACTGACATAAGGGCGGGTAAAAAAAAAAAACGTTATCGACAGAATTTAAATCATACTGTTTAAAATTAAATTGGTAATGTTTAAAGGTTAATATATCTTTTATATATAGAGAGTAATCTCCAGTTGAGCCCATAATCCCTCATTTTTTGGGGATACTAACAATTTTCAAAATCATAAAATGCACTAAGTTTGCACGACCACCAAAAGGGTATCTGTGAATATTTTACTATAGTTCGATCTTGAGTATGCTATATCGTGGTTTTTGCATGCAGCATCCAATTTATTTATGCCTGGATCACCTCTTGTTTGTTTCTTCAAACACTGAGTCATTGCCTTGCCATATAAGTTATTTGCAACAAGAGACAAACATTGAATTATGGCCTTGTCATAATGCACCAAGAGACAAACACTGAGACATAGCCTTGCCATATAAGTTATTTGCACCAAGAGACAAACACTGAGACATAGCCTTGCCATATAAGTTATTTGCACCAAGAGACAAACACTGAGACATGGCCTTGCCTTATAAGTTATTTGCATCATGAGACAAACACTGAGACATTGCCTTGCCATATAAGTTATTTGCATCAAGAGACAAACACTGAGTCATGGTCTTGCCATATAAGTTATTTGCATCAAGAGACAAACACTGAGTCATGGTCTTGCCATATAAGTTATTTGCATCAAGAGACAAACACTGAGACATAGCCTTGCCATATAAGTTATTTGCACCAAGAGACAAACACTGAGACATAGCCTTGCCATATAAGTTATTTGCATCAAGAGACAAACACTGAGTCATGGTCTTGCCATATAAGTTATTTGCATCAAGAGACAAACACTGAGTCATGGTCTTGCCATATAAGTTATTTGCATCAAGAGACAAACACTGAGTCATGGTCTTGCCATATAAGTTATTTGCATCAAGAGACAAACACTGAGACATAGCCTTGCCATATAAGTTATTTGCACCAAGAGACAAACACTGAGACATGGCCTTGCCATATAAGTTATTTGCACCAAGAGACAAACACTGAGACATAGCCTTGCCATATAAGTTATTTGCACCAAGAGACAAACACTGAGACATGGCCTTGCCATATAAGTTATTTGCACCAAGAGACAAACACTGAGACATAGCCTTGCCATATAAGTTATTTGCACCAAGAGACAAACACTGAGACATGGCCTTGGCATATAAGTTATTTGCATCAAGAGACAAACACTGAGACATGACCTTGCCATATAAGTTATTTGCATCAACAGACAAACACTCGAGGGGAAATCGGTCTCTTACATGGATACAGACAGATTTGTGTTAGGAAAAAAATCGGGGTTGTACAGTGATACAGACAGCTTTGTGTTAGTAGACAAATCGGTGATGTACAATGATACAGACAGCTTTGTGTTAGTAAACTAATCGGGGTTTTACAGTGATACAGACTCCTTTTTGTTAGTAAAAAATCGGGGTTGTACAGTGATACAGACTCCTTTGTGTTAGTAAAAAAATCGGTCTCTTACATGGATACAGACAGCTTTGTGTTAGGAAAAAAATCGGGAAAAAATTTGAAAAATTCGGATCCATCAAAACCGGATCCAGCCCAAGATCCGGAATTTTTTAGATCCGATCGGGTGCCGGTTCTAGCTCGGATACGGTAGTCCGATATCCGGATCCGACCATCACTAAAAAAACCCCTTTAATGCCATTTTTGCTAGGTTCTCTAAATAAATGTTTTTTAAATGGTCATGTTAACTAACATTGCTTGTCTTACAGATTTACTGTGCAGCCGATTCAACGTGTCTGCCACTAGAGAAGAAATGTAACGGTTTATATGATTGCTCCGACGGCTCGGACGAAGCGAAATGTGGAAACACCGATAAAGAGGGGAAGAACAAAGAGACAAAAGAGTCAAAACATAGGAAAAAGGAACAGTCGATGTGTGAAAAGAACGAGTTCCAGTGTAAAGATGTCGCACGGACGTGCATCAGGAAACAGTTTGTCTGTGATGGGAGGAACGATTGTTTGGACGGTTCAGATGAATTGAACTGCGGTAAGTTAATTTTTGTTGTTTGTTGTTAACTGTTGTGGCTGTGAAATGGTATTTGTTTGGTCTTGGGATACGTTGAAATAAGGTATTCCTGGATATCTGTCTTAATTTGAAAATTTTTAAATTTGTGGAATGACCTTTTATACAGGGTGGTAAAAAAGTCCCTGGACAGTTAAATATTTTAAAAAATAATGAAGATAGAGCTACAATACTTGGTACAAAGTTACAGGGCATAAAACTCTATTTTAACACAAATTCAGTGATCCAATAACTCTTCAGGGGGACGGCCCACAAGGAGTCGGAAGAAAATCTTAAATGGAAGCATAGGTCAATATGCACATCAAATTAAAGGTCTTTTTTATTAGAATACAATGCCGCAAACCGCACTTCAAAAGGTTGATCCAGCGCAAAATGGCAGATGTTCAAAGATTTCTTGAATCCGCCATTTTGAATCTTTGAACGACTGCCATTTTTTACTCAGGCATTTTTTTGAGCTTGAATTTACAGCATCGTAATCTACAAGTGAAGACCTTTAATTTGATGTGCATATTGACCTATTTTTACGTTAACAATTTTCTTCCGATTCCTAGGGCCGTGCCCCCTGAGGAGAAAGCGTATTTAATAGCAATGTTAATTAAATGAATCTTTGAACAACTGTCATTTTGCGCAGGATCAACCTTTTGAAGGGCGGTTTGCGTTATTGTATTCTACTAAAAAAGACCTTTAATTTGATGTGCATATTGACCTATGCTTCCATTTAAGATTTTCTTCCGACTCCTTGTGGGCCGTCCCCCTGAAGAGTTATTGGATCACTGAATATGTGTTAAAATAGAGTTTTATGCCCTGTAACTTTGTACCAAGTATTGTAGCTCTATCTTCATTATTTTTTAAAATATTTAACTGTCCAGGGACTTTTTTACCACCCTGTATAGTTAAATTAACTGCTGTAAATGTAAAATGTAAAATAAAGCGTTTCCCGATTTCTTAGTCACAGATCTCCGTTTGTGGTGTAACTAAGTCATCAGGGATAGGGAATATATGAATATATATGGAATGCAACAAGCTAAAATAATCAGAAAGTTCAGTCAAGTGCAGTTGAGCAAAGTCAGGGGTGGCAAAAGGGGTCATTTTGACCTCTCTTCTACTTGGGAAGATCTTGTTCATGTGCTAGGAAGTGTTTTTTTCATGATAACAATACACAAGAATTAGCTAATGAAAAATAGCCTTTACTCAAAGAATATTTTGAGAAATCCTTCACCGACTTATGAGAGCTCCTTGCAGCCTGGCAATAGAAAAGTTACTTTATTTTGTTAAATCAACATGAAATGTAAATATATGTGATAATGAAATTAACATCATTATTCTGAGGTGGGCTACAATCGTGGATTTTGTAATGGTAAATAGATTGTATAGCAACCATGAACTATTACAGATGACAAGGCGTGTAAGGGTAGTCAATGCAAGGGTGCGACCACCACACCAGCACCTTTAACCACTAGCTGTGTGCGACCGTCGCGACTGTGTGACAACGGCACAGTGTGTGTCGCACCTGAGCGGCTGTGCGACGGCAAGTACGATTGTAAGGACCTCAGCGACGAGGGAATGAGATGTGGTAAGTAGCCTTTGAGTATTTCCTAGGTAGTAATGTTGAGATGTTTGCCATTGTTGTAACACACATGTAAATAAAAATGTATTTACTACTCAAGCACTTCTTGGTTAGTGTTTTCCAGAATGACTGTTGTTAAGTCTGTTCAACATGATTTTAACAAATCTATTACAAAGCAAAAACATTTTCTATGAATAAACATTAGGACGCTTGGCTCTAGCCCATAACTTACACATTACTTCAGGTTAGACATCGTCGTGGAATCACGTTTCTAAAGCCATTGGCGATTAGTGGGATTTGAACCCAAAAACTCAGGACCAAAGCCTCAAACTCTACCACTAGACCAGACTGCTCCCCGACCTTATGTTAGATACATACATACAAATCCTCTCCTGTTCCGGTTATCTCTATGTCTGGGTTTTCACTAAGCTCCATCTTCTTCTTTCCCTCATTTTGTTAGTAACATAATTAATTGGCAGCCCAGTGACAAATGAAATCTTTAAAATAATTTCTTAAATTCCTATTGTTATGCCTTATGTTTCACCATAAGTTTTGTAAGTACAAGTGTTATTGATAATTATTTTACAAAATCGTTTACATAACCGTCGTCTGTCCCCAGATGAGAACATGTGCGGGTTCTCCGTTGAGTGTTCCCATACGTGTCACAACGCTCCAGAAGGCTTCACTTGTTCCTGTCCTGAGCCGCTACACTTGCAGAGCGACGGGGTGACGTGCAATGAGTCGCCTCCGTGCGACGGCTGGGGAGTGTGCTCTCAGGGGTGCCAACCTGTCGGGCGACACCACTACAAGTGCACCTGCAACAGCGGCTACATACTGGAGGCAGACGACTTCAGCTGCAAGAGCAATCGTAAGTGACAGGTTTAAGGGAAGAGCTAGGTTACTGATTTGTTAGTGAAAAGGTCGTTTTTGGATGTTTACTTGAGGAAATTAGAGTTTATCAAGTTATAGATCAGTCAAGGTCACATAACATAGCACTGGAATTTTGCTCTTTAATAATATTTCTTCATTATTGATATGCTAGAAAATTAAATTAATGTCTGACACTAAATTCAATCAGATTAAAATTTCATGAGGCTGACGGACTAGAATATGTATTTTAAGGCGAGGAGTGGGTGAACAATTGATGTTGAATGAACTACAGCTTTATTACTAACTGAGATCAGCTCATTCTTTTGTCAGAATTCATATTTTAAAAGCCTAATGAATAATGATCAATGACAGCTGGGTCCAGTTTCTAACCAGTAAAAAGATTTAGACTTTTCTCAGGATTCAACCGTTTGCAACCTACAGATTTACTTTTCTAGCGCTATATTCAACTAGCTATATCATTATGATTAACTAAAATGTTTTTCACCTTCTTTTGACATGAGCCATTTCATTGCAAAAATAATAGACTACTATACTATTTATATGTAGCCTAGAGTAAAAGTTCATTCATTCATTCACTTTACTTTTCTAAAAATTTTGGTGTTTCCTATTCTACTTTATGTTTTTACACAAAAAGAAAACACAAACACATATTTAGTTGGACCGAAAAATTATTTCTAACCCTCACTTATTTTTCCAGTGACTGTTGTGCCATATGTGATATTCAGCAACAGACACGAGTTACGAGGAGTTGATCTTCAGACGTTCAATGTCAAAGCACTGATATCCAGCCTCAAGAACACCATTGCGCTGGACTTCTATCACACACCTGAAGCTGACATTATCTTCTGGACGGACGTCATAGACGACAAGATCTACCGGGGAACTCTCATTGGGGGATGTGAGTGTGGCTAAATGTGTCAATATTGAGCTTTGGGATTTAACAATTTATATTGAGAATTTTTCGAAACCACTGTAAGTTTCTTCTTGTTACAGTTTTAGTACTATTAATTTATTAATACTATTATTTGAATCTTTACATGTTGACATTAGCAAACCAGATACACCGAAATATTTGCTTTCCCCTTCACTATATATTTATTCCCTACGTGTAAATACAATTCTATAAAGTGTGTAGCAGTTCAGTCAAAGCAAAGTATGTAGCAAGTGAAGCTGTGTACATCTTCTAAGGTAGTGTCGAAATCGAAAACATCTGCGGCCATGGCGACCACATGATTGCAGCAGATTGTAAACGTCACCTACCATCGTAACAAAGTTGATTGTCAATTTCGCAAAACCTTTTCTGCGATTGCGGAAGTAGATGATCAGCTTGGTTTGACTTGACCCGAGCTAGGCCTAATAATCATTGTCGTTGGCTCGAACCTGTTTGGCCACCTCGACTCAATAATACCAAGGACCAGCAGACCCCTAGTAAAAGGTGTACTTTGTGACCGGGTATCATAGATGGGAAAACCGAGAAAAATGCTTGGATTTTTCTCTAGGAGTCCTATGGACCCCCTGTTTTTATCGAACCAATTTTGGTAAATAATTTTCTAAAATCAGGTTTTTAGTAAAAAATTCCTAATCTGGTGTACTAAGTTTACATTTGATCCCGATATCAAATTCCAAATAATCTCTCAGAAATTCCTCCACATTTTGAGGTAACTTATGCGCAAATTATACATCAAGGAATATAGACTTGTTCTTTCTAGAGAAGTTTAAGCCTGATAGGTATTTGATGTAACTCAGAATTCAAACATAAGTCTAATATATGATTGCAGCACTGGGCAATATAGAGGTGGTGGTACAGACAGGCCTAGCTACAGCCGAGGGACTGGCCGTGGACTGGATAGGAGAGAACCTGTACTGGGTGGAGAGTAACCTGGACCAGATAGAAGTGGCGAGGCTCAACGGCAGCTTCCGCCGGACACTCATAGCTGGGGAGATGGAGTCTCCTAGGGCTATAGCACTGGATCCTAGATACGGGTATGAGAAAACCTGACACAGATTGGTAGTGGTGATTACACCACTGACTTCTAAACATCCCAGTATATGGACTGATTACCATTTATTTGAGTTATTTCAATTTTGCTTGGTTACAATTTACAAATTTGGTGTATTCACCATTCAAGACAAAGCACCCAAGTATACATAAGCATTCAATAAAAATCTGTTATTTAAATTTACATAAGCGAACTCCGTCGGAGGCTTCAACCACGTTTATTTTATTTTAAACCTATTGAAAACTTTTAAATAGGGATTATAGATTATAATAGATGTGTGGTTCTGTCAACAGTCAAAGCTAAACTAAAGGAATAGGACTTGTTAGGATAGCAGACGTCCCTGATTCAGCATTTTTGACCAAATGAGGTAGAAAATTAAACCAAAGAATGTTGTAAATCCAACCTTGGAAACCCTTCTTGGTCGAGAATGCTGTAAGTGATTGTGAAATTTCAATTGTGGAATTGAAGAGTCCTAATATATTGTTTTAAATTTTAATTTAAACATTCTTGCCTATTAATACATAAATAACCACAACTATACAAGATTGTCAAACTAAATACAAGTAAATACTATTTAAAAATTAATTAACGTCAATTTTTGTGCAAAGTGCTTTGTGATGACTTTCCCATCCAAGTGAGTCTGAAATCCAAACAGTTGCGTTATAAACAACTATATGACTTATACAACTTTCTGAGGGTGATTGTAACTTCCTACAGGCTGCTGTTCTGGACGGACTGGGATGCCAACGGGCCGCGTATCGAGCGCTGCAGCATGAGTGGAGAACATCGCAGCATTGTGATCCATGTAGACGAGGTCACTGACGGAGCTTGGCCTAACGGACTCACGCTGGACTATCAGCTGCGGCGGATATACTGGATAGACGCAAGGTAGACAATAGACAATTGCCATTGTTTGTGATTTCTTGAATGAATGCAATGGTGTCACAAAATTATACATATTTCTTGCTTTGCAGTGGTAAAGTTTGTATTGAATAAACTAACTCTTTCATTGAATAAGCTAATTGTTCTACCAGTCAGTCCCAAAGTTGGTGCTTCGTTAGACAATATACAATAGTGCTGTTTGAGAACAACGTCTACTGTTAGTCATTGTGTTGTTCACCATTTCCAGATCGGACTCTATACACACAGCGCTGTATGATGGAGCAGACCATCGCGAGGTGATGAGGGGTCATGTGTCTCTGTCTCATCCGTTCGCCATCGCGCTGTTTGAGAACCACGTCTACTGGACGGACTGGCGCACCAACTCTGTCATCCGAGCCAACAAGTGGAACGGCAGCGACATCACCGTGATGCAGCGGACGCTCACGCAGCCCTTCGACATCCAGATACTTCATCCTAGCCGGCAGCCAAGAGGTAACTGTGATGGTTTTACCTTCAGAAGAAGTAAAGAGTGATTGAGTTTGAGGTCACAATCATGATAAATTATATTTTTTAAATGCCTGCCCTTACAACTCTATAGAGAAGCTAAGCACAGAGGAAACACACTTATGGGACAACTGTGCGCTTTCAGCTCTGGTATGGTGGAGACAGAAATGTACTTGTGATGAGCGAGGTAGAGCCCAAACAGCAAGCACTGTGCGGAAATTCCTATTGCACAGGGCAGAGGGTCTTCCTCCACCATGAGCGTTGTAGTACCTGAGGGTCCGGTGTAGGACTTAACCCTAGACACCAGGGACTAGTGCTAGTCACCACTTAAGTGTACCATAAAGAGTATCCTCTGTTTCTTACTTCTCTATGGCAGCCCAAAAGACTTTTTTTGAATTTCTCAACACTTCCTTCAATTATTCTAAATTATAATAGATATCTCTACTAATCACACCACCAACTCTAAAATCCACACCAAACAGTCAAAGCCAGTTATACCTTTCAAGTAAAGTTATTTTTAATTTTTGTGTATGATAATATTCATTATTGTACAATTTCAGATGTCTACAATCCCTGCGGAGTCAACAACGGGAACTGCTCTCACTTGTGCTTACTAAACATCAACTCTACAAGGAAGTGCGACTGTCCTCACGTCATGAGACTGTCTGATGACGGTGTTACTTGTGTCGGTGAGTAGCTTACAACTAGATGAAATAAACAAGTCAAATTACTAGGGGTGTGCGAATAGTGATTTTCAACCTCGAGCCGAGCCGAGCCGAGCTTTTTAAAATATTTTCGAGCTTGAGCTTTTTCGAGCCGAGCTTTTCCTAGCGTCACCTTATAATAATAATAATAATAAATCTTTATTGTCGTTTGGTAATATAAACATTACAATAGACAAGGTCAACATGTTTTGTTACATATGTTAAATAAAATATTAAATATTCTACAGAAAATGTTAAAATAAAGTTAAAAGGATAAAGCATCAGTAATAATAAAAACTTTAAAATTAACAGGGAAAAGACCATAACAAGAACAAAGAATCATCAAGACTGCTTGGCCTCACATTTAAGCGTTAAAAAATCTTCATTCTGCAAAAACTCATCAACTGAATAAAAAGCACGACTTGTAAGCCAATCTGATAATTTTGACCTATACAAATGATACTTTCCTGATTTCTAAAATATATTGGAAGTTTATTAAATAGTTTTATTTGCAAGTATTTATAACTTTTGATAAATTTTGATAGCCTGGCTTGAGGAATATATAAATCTTTTGATTGTCTGGTGATATACCCATGGATTGAGTTGCAAGGAACAAATTTATTCAGATTCTCTTTAACGGAAACTAAATTGTAAAAAATGAAAATATTAGAGAGTGTTATGATTTTATTTTCAGCAAAAAATGTTTTGCAACTAACCCTATCTGGAATTTCAAACATAATTCTGAATTCTGAACATTATCAAAAAAATAAATTAGGGATGGTCAAGTCTCGAAATTTCGGGAAATTTTCAATCTCGTTACACGAGACGAGATTACTTTTTGGCCGAGATTTTTATCGAGACGAGAATAAAAAAAAAAAAAAAAAAAAAAATTAAAAACGCCTGCAGAAAGTCAATGCAATACCCGCAATACAGGAGCGTGTTGTAGTTGCGTTTCCTTTTCGAAGGCGTTCTTATTTAATTAATTCTTTTAATGTAAATATTACTTTCATTATTTTAATAATATTACTTTAATAACATTTGAGAAGTTTTGTTAAGTGTAAGCAGTGTGAGGAATGTTTTATTACTATAAAAAAAGTCAAAACAAGTAACTATTTTATAAAAATTAATATTGCTTTTATTTTATGATTTATTTTATTTTAGGATAAGTTGAACTCTATCCTAACTGATATCACCATGTTTCCTAATCGTAGGCATTTTTAATAAGTTAGGCGTGATTAATAAAAAAATGTTATGCTGATGTTATTTAATGAAAGATTGTAAATATTCTTGCCTATTATCATTATTTTAGTATTTAAACAGTCATCTAACAATGTTACAAAATCAGGTACAAATTTTGAACGTGCATTTCCCGTTGTGTATGAGAAGAGAAATCTCGTCTCGATCTCGTCTCGAAATTTTATGAGAAATAAAAAATCTCGTCTCGTCTCGTCTCGAACTAAAAATCCAATCTCGTCCATCCCTAAAATAAATTATTAAACATTTTTCTTCAAAAAGTGCATAATAATAATAATGTTCAGTCAATTTTTAAATAAACACAATATTATTTTAATATGTCTAAAAACATTGAGAATTGTCAAGACATCAAATAGTAGATAATCACGATAAGAACTGAACTGAACTAAATTAAGATGCAAGAAATAAAAGGATATGATTGAAGGCCTGACGAGATATGCAGTGCAGACTGAGCCAATCAGATTGTCTTTCATAACAGAACAGCGCTATCTTGAATGACAACAAAACAACTAGCAAGTCGATTAAATATGTATATTGTAACTACTATGAATATTTTATTCCATTTTGTATAAATAAATAAATATAAAAACACGTGATTATTCTTGTTGTTTTCCATGCACAAAATATTTTTGTTTTATGAATCGTATTAATCAAAAAGAACATGATTGGTTTGGATCCAAAAAGGTGAAGAGACAAAGTAAAAAGTAAAATTATATATTAAAAAATATACAATTGACATATAGAGGAAATAGACCAAAACACTAAAATTAATAGAATAACACACAAAGTAAACAAGAAATGAAATAATGAACACGATGATTTAACACTGTCACTAGATGATTTAACACTGTCACTAAATTCTGTTATCTAGAAGGGTCGGTGAACTAATCAATAAATAGCCAAAACCAGTTTCCTCCCCCATTTCTCTCTCAGTCTCACCACCACCCCTCCCCCCCTGAGCCGGGAGGCCCAGCACTTTGTCCTTGAAACACCCTAGCCTCTGAAACAATAAACCCTTACACCCGCGTTGCTGTTTTGACAACAGGGTTATGAATGCATTCACTATTTTTCATTTTCCAGGATTAACTCTCAATTATTATTATTTGCAAGTTACAAATAGGAAACTACATCACATTATGGTATTCAATGACCCATGTATTATCAAAAATTAATAATCCATTACTTATTTTGATAATAAAAAGCATTCATTACAGCACGCACCACTTATTGATATTTAAATAATCATCAAAGTAACTGTTACTTTATACAAAATAAAATAGGTACAAAATTGTGTGGCCAGTCAAACTTTATAAACAAACATTTTATTCTATAAAATACAGATGGTAAATAGGGGTTGGTTTGAAGGAAATAAAATACAAAACAGAGAATTAATTATTTTGATAAACATTAGAAAGGTTATGGGATTGATTGAACTAAAATAACCTCAGGGAAACTTATAAGTAGAAAAGTCGTCAACCACAATCTGTTTAATCAGTACATTGTTAGAGAGAGCAGAGAGAGAAAGAGAGATAGCAGATAGGGGCGTTTGATAAGGAATCTGAAAAAGTAAACAAACAAGGAACAACGACACGACGATTGATACTTGTTTACAGCCTTATTGTGTCGCCCACTACATTTGCACACGTGACCACTTTTTGTTTCTTCCTTATCTTTCATCCGTCCCAAAATAGAATTCCTGAAATTGTTTGTTGGTATAATCTCCCCTCCCACACAAGGCGCAGTGCTCAGTGCGCACTGTAGGTTGTCACGGCAACCGTGTGTCGTCATAGCGACGAGCCAATCACGCACTCGCACTACGTTGTATATTACGATACGAATAGCTGTGTTAGAAAGACAACGCGATAGGTGGTAGTTTGTCTCTTTACTATCTCCTCAAAATTACGATCGATAATCATTGCGTCTTGACTGAGCTGAGGTTCGTGCTTATCAAACCTCGAATGATTGAACAACGTAGAATTGTGATAACATTGTTTCCAATTACGACCCAAATTAAGTGTTTTTTTTTAGTTTTGACTTAGTATTAAAAGCTCGGCTCGAACTTCGAGCTTTTTCAAAATGCCTCGAGCCGAGCCGAATAATGAAAAGCTCGACCAAAAAGCTTGAAGGTTCGAGTACTCGCACACCCCTACAAATTACTCAGTAGAAAATGTTAAGGATGAAACATAGAGAATAAGGGCTTAGGTTTTTAGGATTTTTTGTTAAGATAGCAGGCTTACCTGAATGGGAAAGAGTCCAAACTACAAGAGACACAAAACTTACAGTATATACACAAAAATTGTAATATTTCACTGTCACTGACAGCATTTCAGACCTGTTTTTACTTGTACCTATTTTTGCACAAAATCATTTTCCAAACTTTGACGACAAAAACTATTTTGACTCACTTAAAGCTTAAAAACAGTCTAAATGCAACTTAAATTCAGTTTAACTAATATTTTCATCTGACTCAGTTGGGTAAAAAAATATATTGAATTATGTTTTCAATAATTTGCTCCTATCTTTATAGTAAATTTATGCTATGAATATAAATTTTAATTCTCTGAAGGATGTAAAGTTTGTGTTGTTGCGTTGTTAAAATCACCCTCTGTTTTCAGTAAATGAACGAGTCCTCCTGTTTTCAAGAGCAAACGAGATCCGAGGTGTGGATTTGGCTCAGCCGTATTACCACACAATTCCCACCATCAGTTTGCCGCAGGTAGGCTTAAAAAAGTAGTTTATCATGTTCTAGTTAGCTAGCAGTTTCAGACTCAAATATTTGTTGGCAACCAACTGAATTGAACATTGTAGCGATTTACCGGCCAGCTTATGTTTTTGAAGCTAACATTGATGTCTATTATAAAATGATTTTTACTTGTTATATGCAGGTACTACAGCCTACACAGCTAGACTATGTGGCGGCCCACAAGGCTATATACTGGGCAGACGGACAAGTCAACGAGGTCCGAAGAGCAGCTCTCACTGGAGGCACTACCTACAGCATCATTGATACTGGTAACTATCGGCTTTGTACTGCAATAGGAGTAGTTATAACTGTGTCGTTTTTTAGGTCTTGCCTCCTGGATTACTTAAAAATTATACTATTCTAGAGGCTTGTAGCCAATTTAATTCTTGGTCATCTGGATGGCGATCGGTTTTGAAACTTTAAGATGTCATTGTCAAGCCCTAGACGTATGGTTTTCGTTCTTAGGAAGTCGTCAAAAAGTCCTCAAAATATATACACGAGACACGAACATAAACAAATATTTTTACGAAGATATGTACATACACCCTGAACTTGCAGCCGCTCCGTGATATAAATATAAATTCATTGACGAGTGTACATTGTGTTTAGGAATCGACCACCCGATGGGGTTCGCAGTGGACTGGATCTCTCAGAACTTGTACGTCACTTCCAGCAACAACAATGTGAACAAGATACTAGTGTGTACGCTGGAAGGGGAGTATATCACTACGGTGTACCAGGCTGACCAACCCTCCGCAGCGGAGGTCAACGACGGAGCCTTCTGGGAGGTGAGTGATAAATATCTATTCACTGTTATCTTAAATATTTTATTCAACTTTATTCGAAAACTATGTACTTAGTATAATTTCATGTCATACTTAGCAGAATTAAAAAAAGAGGGTTCCGACGTGTGTGTGTGCTGTGTAAACTTTTTGTTTTAACAGGGTGGTAGTGGTTTCTAGAGTGTGTTCAGATTTCAATCAGGACGGCTACATTAACATATACTAGGCCTAGATAAAAAGCAAAACCCGTAATTTTCTAATTATCACTATCAGTGGACGAGGATGTTCTGCCTCAGTCTGTGTTTCAATTACAAAGGCAAGTCATTCATAAGTGACAGAAAATAAGCTATAGTGGTCAATCATAGTGAATAATTATAATTTTCCTTTGAACACATTTCACTAGACGTAGGCCTACCATATTATTTCTAATTATTATTTAAGCACTCTTAGTTCGGCTCAGTCAGTTACTGTATGTTACAGATCCGCTCTCTAGCCATTGACCCTCTGAGAGGTAAGATGTATTGGAGTCAGGTGTATCCAGGGGGTGTCAACTCCATCATGGCAGCTAGGATGGACGGGAGCGATTCTCACATGCTGGTCAGCCAACGGGACTACAAGATACTGGCTGGAGTCTCTAGTAAGTACATAGTAAACATGTATTTTGTACAATAGATTTTTTGTTGGATAGTCTGAATGGTACATCAACACTCACCTACTCAAGGGTTCAAACTGGGTAAACACTTATTTTAGCAAATGCTACAAGCACACAGAGAACTGTGCGAAAGGTATTGCATTGCTGCGGAGCGTCGCATCGAATAAAGGCCTTCGGAAAAATAATTAGAATTTTGTGTTTCCAGGTCTTGTGGTGGATTACAAAGACAACCGGTTGTACTGGGTGAACACGGAGAGCAACACCATCCAGTTCTACGACTTTGTGCTGCTGATAGTGAAAGACATACATCTGTCTGAAGGGGTCAGTCCGACAGCAGCTGTGGTGTATAATGACACTCTGTACTACGCTGACCACGCTGAGGAAGCGATACACGCAGTGGACAAGAACGACGGAAGCAACCACTACGTCGTCAGGAACAACACTGGTAAGCAGTTTAATGGATTTTTGTGCACATTTTCCACAATTTTCAGGACTTATAGGGAGAGGAGGTAAAAATTCTTGTTTACCGTATCCTGGTCAAGGTTCTTCTTGGAAAAGAGAATACTGTGAACGAACTGTGACGCACAGGTCCAATTGCCATCCTCCGCCATTATCAGGATGACCGTGTCCAGTGTCCACTGACAACAATCTACATGGTGTTGAATGTTTATTCAAAAGATTTGTTTAAGTGTCTGTTGTCATTTTTACTCTCAAATGTGATGTCTCAACATTGACGACCTCTGTTTCTCCAGGTAGTATATTGTCCATCAAGATCTACGACCCACAGTCCCAGCAGGGAGAGAACGCCTGTTCCATCAACCGAGGGAACTGTTCTCACCTGTGTTTGCCTATCTCGGCCAATAAGAGAGTCTGTCGCTGCGCCACTGGCTACACTCCCGACCCCGCGGACTCTACCAAGTGTGTCGGTATGTATGCCATTATGTTTTGGCTGGTTGCTAAATTGCTATTTGTGAACAAGGATCTTTATTTGAAAGACATTTCTAATGTACACTTTCATTACTTCCAACGAGGGTGGTTCGTAAATTAAGATTGTACAAGTGTTTAACAACCATCTTTAAAGAAATGTTCGCCTCAATAAAGAAGGATTTTCATTTAAATTTTCTTTACCTTTTACCCAAATTTTGAATGTGCTAACACATTTCCCCATTTATATTAGATTAGTAATGGACTTTTATGGGTTGAATCTTGAATCACAGAATGTGATTCATACTTGGCAGGAGCGTAAATTTTCCTTCACATTGTCATCCCACTTAAACAATCACTTACTTGTAAAAATCTAGAAGTTTCACTGGAAACCTTTTCAAAATCATTCAATGACCTGGATATTTGTAACACACTTTTTTAGTTACACTAAATATGCACAAAACTTTTAACAATGACCCAACACAATTTAACATAAGTAACTACTACTCTTTTCCCAAATGTTTATCTATTATGGTCCAGTCAATTAATTCAAAAGAAAAAATATGGAGGGAAATGTTTGGAACACAATTTCTAACTCTGTAACATTGTTTGGTACTGTAAGAAGGTGAACATATCAAAAGTCGCCGCTTGAGCTGGCAGAGAGGGGATGTTTTGGAGGTCCCTCAAAGGCCAAAATTTAGTGCTATACAGTAATTTCTCACTAACGATTCACAGTTTTCAACCATGTTATTGACATGTTTGTGTTGTAGGCACTGAGGAGTTCCTGTTGTATTCTATCAACTGGGAAGTAAAAGGTCTTAGTCTTGAGTCCAACCACACAGACGGTCAGGTTCTTGGACCCATATCCAGAGTGTCCATGGCTACTAGTATAGACTTCCATGCAGGTCAGTGGCTATTATGTACTGCAGTATCATACTGTACTTTATAAAGGAAAGCCGAGTGGCTAGATTCAGCCAGCTTACCTGTGAAAATTAGACTTATATTAGAAACTTTAATATGCGACAACATGCAATTTAAAATTTTAACTTTTTGCATAAACTTTATACAAAAAGTAGTCTACCATCTTAGTGCTATAGCTCTTTACTCAATGGTGTACTGAAAACTGCTAGGAGTACAGGAAAAATCAAATAGTCACTCTTTGGGATGCTCACAGTGATGCCGATAAGTACATCTGTGAGCCATAGCACTAAGAAGGTTAAATATCTAACACCTCAACTCTCCCAATATTAACGTCAAATTTGTGTTAACTGTATGATAATGAATAGTACAAAATATAACATGTACATAACAGCTGTTTTACTTCCAGGAAGTGACTATATCTACTGGGCGGACAGCGACCACGGGACTGTAACCAGGATACATCGAGACGGAACGGGACGCGAGGCAGTCGTAGAGCACTTTGAAACTATGGATAGTGTTCCAGTGGACTGGCTTACTGGTCAGTACGGCACTTAAACAAACTTTGGAGTGATCTTAAAAGATTGTGTCATAGTTTTGAGCCAGACTGTATGTTACTATTCCGTCACCCTAACTCAAAACATTTATTGCTTGAAAATGCTGTCAAGGACTACAGGAATTGTGTTATTTTTCTGTAGATGTAAAGTTGTTTCTTTCTTGTGTCAAAGTGTTTGGTCCTTCCCAACGTGGAGGTAAGCCAGTGCTATCCTCATAAAAATCCTTACATTTAGCTCTGTGTTTCATCCTACTCCTTGTATGCTACTACTGCACTTGCGTGTTGGTTAAGTTTCTTCAACATTTAAAAAGTAAATCTTACTAACACCGTAAATGTAATACATGAATTCCAACAGTATTAACTAAAACAATCCCTACTTTTGGCATATTTTGCAGCAATAATTAAAAGCTAGCTGGATATTTATATAGTTTGAACCATTTTTATGACTATAAATACTAATTTAAGTCCATAATCTTGTTAGAAAGAATTCAATCAAGCTACAAATTGATTTAGTTTGCAGTAAAATTTTTTATGAAAACTCTATATTTATCAAATAATTCAGAAACGTGTATTCGTTTACTACGTTTTTTGTTTTATTTTCAGGTCTGGCTGTTGACTGGATTGCAGACAATCTCTATTGGACCGATCCCAAGCTGAACGTAATTGAAGTTAGTCGTGCGGACGGCAGCAGTAGGTAAATAAAAAAAACACTAATCCAGAGCTTTTTGGTAACATATTCGGTTTTGGCTACATTTGTCCCTACTCAAATACTGCTCTGCAATGCAATGCTATTGATGAAATACCATTGAGCTTAAGTACTATGGTGCAGTCATAAAAGTTTAAAAATAAAGCTGGGACTTTGTTTCCTTGCATTTCCTTATCACTGTACCACTACCTGTTGAGTCTTTGTTTTGGTACACCTTGCTAATGAATTACATGAGTTAATTTTTCAATAGTTTCCCTACATGCGATTTGGTATGAAATATTATTTAATGACTTAAACATGGATGGTTTGCTTGTTGGTGAAAGTTAAAGATCTGATTCACTCAATAGATATAAAACCTCTTGTTGCTCTGTGGAGTTATTGGACAATATTTAGTATTTACTACTCTGTGAAGTGACTCACTGTTTAGTTGGTAGCGTGACGGACCACAAATACACAGTAGCAATCCGTTACCTGGTACTTGTCACTAAATGTTATCAGTGAACCAGCTCACCCCTAGCTTTCCTGGATACGTTCCACGCTCAAGCCAGTGGAAAGCCAGTGGAGATTATGGAGCCTTTGTGGAAAGCACAAAAAGACCTATGTCAATTCGAAAGATTTTCAGAAAAAGCTATAACTATTCTACTGACATGACCTATTGCTTGAATGTATTTAACGGTTTAATCAATTATTAGATTTTTTTACATTTTTTTTTTTGTTACAAGGTTTGTGGTGGTGCCCGGTGGCCTAGACACTCCCCACTCCCTGGCGCTGGACCCGGCGCGAGGGCTACTCTTCTGGAGTGACATCGGCAAGACGCCTCGCATCAGCCGTGCCGGCCTCGATGGGTCCAATGTCATGACTGTCCTTACACTGAGCTCTGGATCAATCAACGACATTGCTCTTGACTTGGATGTGAGTTTGAGAATCCCTCACTAAAAATTTGAACATGATATTTCAACATTTCATTGTACCTAATTGGTTTTAAGTAGGGATATGTCTCGAAATTTCAAGAATTGTTTTGGAAAAACTTATCTCTGATTTTTGGGTGGGATTTGACTGTCAAAAACTTTGCTGTGATTGCAAGTGACGATAATGTCTCCATAGTGGAAGGAGATATCAGGAAACGATGATGACGTCTCAGTGATCGAGAGAGATGTTGAGATTTTTGTCGCTATGGAGGGTGACGATTTTTATGTTCCAGTGATCGCTGTAGATGATTGCGATAGTGATGCAATCATGGATTACAGTCACAGTTTTTCACATGGACAGTGCAATAAAGACTGACAATTGGTATTGGTTATTTCCATTTGCAAGAATTTGTACTTACCTTACCTTACCTCCTTGGCCACTCAAACCTAAGAAGGTTTTTGGCCTCGCCAACAAGTTGCCTCCACTGCTGCCGGTCTGCCGCCATGTCAAGAGATGCCCCCACTCTTTGTAGGTCTTTCTGGACTTGGTCTCTCCATCTCAACTTCGGTCTTCCTAGCGGGCGAGTGCCTCGTGGTTGTATATTGGCGATCTTCTTAAGCATACTTTCTTCTTCCCTTTTTTCTACATGGCCTGCCCATCTCAGTCGTCTACTCTTCACTATGGCTACAATGTCCGGTTCTTTGTACAGTTCTCGGAGCTCTCGGTTTTTTCTTATTTGCCACATACCTTCTTCATTTATAGGTACGAAAATCTTCCTCAAAATTTTGTTCTCAAACTTATCAAAAATTATAAGTTTGTTTTCATGATTTTTAGTTAATGTCCAGGTTTCCGAACCATATAAAAGGACTGGTTGAATTTAAAATCAAATTAAAGTTTCCCTTGTTAGACGTTATGAAAAGAAAAATCCCATCCCATCCGTTCAAAACAATCCCCCATCCATCCCTGATTCAAGTTACTAAAGAGTAATTTTTTTTGTCTGTCAAGTAAAACCAAAGTAGTTTTGGATGTTACACAACATTTGAATGAAGTGTTGTGTGACACTTCTGCGTTTGTCACACAATTGTGTTTACAGGAAGGCAAGGTTTACTGGTGTGACTCCAGCAGTGACGTTATAGAGAGAGTCAACTACGATGGCACGGGACGTGAGTTGCTCCTCAACCACTCCCTGGACAGCCCCTTCGCACTCACACACCACGACCACAAACTCTACTGGATCGACATGTGAGTACATAAACGCAACCAACGGTATACTCTATGCACTTCTGTGGCCACTCAAAACATAAGTCGATTTTTGCTAGTCACCTTCTGATTCTTTGGTTCTCTCCTTCAAGCTCGTTCAAGTACTTGGCTTTCCCAGTCGATGCCTCGTTCACTCTCACTTGTGAGCGAACGAACTTCAACCAGGACGTGATTGAGCGATGCGAACGAGATCATCTTGAAAATAAAACGTAACGGTACTTTCTTTCCATCGGTCTGTCTTAGGGGAAACCTATAACTTAGGCGATACGAAGTTCGCCGGGTCAGCTAGTTTACTTAATACAATTTTTGGAAGGAATTTTTGTTTGGTTTAGGAACAAATTAAGGGAAACGGAATGGCTTTACAAGTAAATAGTTTCAAGTAGTTGAGCACCCAAAAAGTTCACAACACAATTTTGTTAACAAATTTAATTAAAAAGTAAATAAATTTTGATGTGAACCTTTTATGTGTAACTGCTTGAAACTCTTTTTACGCCACACTACACTATTTTGATGAACTTCCCACACAAGGATTTACAGTTGGCTCTCGATAATCCGACACTTAACAGTCCGACACGCTCGGTAGTCCGACGCTGCGGCAAACTACAGTAGACAGCTGTCTAGACTGACATCGGTCTAGGCGTCTCACGTGTTTCCGGTAGCTGGTTCCAGTGTTCAGTAGCGAAGTGACTCGTGCATACGTACTGTACTTTTGGTGATCAAGTGACAGTTTACCTTCAGTGTTTTTAGTGTTAGAGTTTTGTTAAGTGTTGTGTGATGGCGAGCACAAGTGGAACCAATAAGCGTAAGCATAAAACATTAACTCTTCCCGAAAAATGGGAAATTATTAAGAGGTATGACCGTGGTGAAACTCCCACGGCTATTTCTAAGGCTTATGACATCGGGGGACCTACCGTTTATGACATTGTGAAAAATAGGGAAAAAATAGAACATTTTATAAAATGTGTTGAAGACGATTCTAAGAGAAAAACACTTAAAATGAGCGAATATCCCCAAGTTGAGGAAGCTCTTTATGCGTGGTTTAAACAGCAAAGAAACAGACATGCCCCGATTTCTGGGGATATTTTAAAAGAGAAAGCACGGTTTTTTTATCGTGAAATCATGAAAACAGATGATTTTCGTGCCAGCGATGGCTGGTTTGAAAATTTCAAAAAGCGACACGGTATTCGTTTCTTACAGATGAGTGGAGAGAAACTATCTGCCGATGTGACAGAAATTTCTAACTTTATTGAGACCCTTCAAGCTAAAATCACTGAACTAGGCCTTACGCCTGAACAAGTTTACAATGCCGACGAAACCGGCCTAAATTGGCGGCAACTTCCAACAAAAACTTTTGTAACAGGGGATGAAAAAAAGGTTTCTGGAAGAAAACTTCAAAAAGAAAGAATTACATTAATGGTGTGTTCGAATGGCGCTGGGAGTTATATGTTAAAACTGCTAGCTGTCGGTAAAAGTAAGAACCCCCGGGCATTTAAGAACATCAATATGGATTCCCTTCCAGTTGTTTACATGAATCAAAGCCGAGCTTGGGTAACTCAAGACGTTTTCAATGACTGGTTTTTCAACCATTTTGTCCCAGAGGTAAAACAACACTTAAAGAGTAAAAGTCTGCCTATAAAGGCTCTTTTACTGTTAGATAATGCTCCCGGACATCCGGACATGGAGGGATTAAAAGTGAAGACAACTGGTGGTTACATAGAGGCCATGTATTTGCCAAAAAATACAACTGCTCTGATTCAACCAATGGATCAAAATGTTATCAAGACAATGAAGGCACATTATAAGAAGCGCCTACTTATGGATATCGTCTGTCAACCTGACGCAGACATCACATCACTTTTGAAAAAATTTAACATCAAGGATGCCATTTTAAATGCAGCATTTGCATGGCAACAAGTCAAACCTGAAACTCTAATTAAGTCATGGAAAAATGTTTGGCCAGAAAACCCACTCCTCAAGTGACTCCTCCAAAATAATGACGATGGAAATGACAATGGTCAAGATGACAACGGAGTTGTGGAGGACACACTAACACTTTGCGATGATATTAACGTTTCGCAAGAATCTTCAGATGACCTAAGAAGATGGGTATTAGACGACAACCTGTGTGCTGACCTAACAGATGAAGATATAGTACAGGAAGTCATATCTAATGAACAAGAGGACACAATTGAGGAGGCCGTGGAGGCAAAATACACGATCAGCTGTGACGAAGCTATGTTGGCTGCAAACACTTTGATTCGCTGGTGTGAAGAGCGTGGACTTGACTTGAACAACGTGTTAATGTTGAGACACATTCAAGAAAATGCAATGATAGACTGTTTGCGTAAAAAGAAACAAAAGACTATCACAGATTTTTTCAACCCGTAAATGTGTAGGCCTACACCGTAGTTACAGTACAGTAATTACAATGTTGTAATGTATTTAGAAAAAACGGAGCACTAGCCTACATTTTATTTTAGTTTTGATTTATACTGTACTGATTTTTGTATTTTTATATGCAATAAATCTTTCTTTTTTGTAATATCTAATGCCTAAGTTGATTAGTTTATACCTATAACAGTTAAATAGTCCGTGATATGTATTAAAAACTGGTTTTTCTTAACGTATGCAGTTAAATTCAGTGAAATAAAGCTAACCTTTGGTAATCCGACGTTTTTGGTAATCCGACACCCCCCCGGTCCCGTAACTGTCGGATTATCGAGAGCCAACTGTAGTCCAGAAAACAGCTGTTTGCCGCCAGCTTAATCAAATGGGGTTTCATTGCGTACTACTGTACTGTAATGAGTTTTACCGGACACCAATCAGCTGATAATACTGTATTTGCTTGGCAATGAGTGTTTATAAACAAAAACATAACCTCTCTTAGAGATTACGACAAGTGATTTTTAGTCCTTTAGACTCGACTTCGTCTCGCACGTGAACGACCACACTCGTCCGGTAAACACTTATTTTCAGGACTTGTAACGTATTATACTATTTCGTAAGTTAGTTGTGTATTCAGTTCTTAATGTATTAGATGTTTAGCTGTGATTTTATCACTAAACAGTACAGTCAACTACACATACATACCTTATGGTTCAATACTCAAGTCTGGCAGATTATTTAACTCAACTGACTGTCTGCAGCACACATGAGAGAGGCAGTATCAAGGTTGCGCCGGACACCAACTTGTCGGACTTCACGGTGTTGCTGCGCGGGGTCGGCGACTCACTCAAGGATCTGGTCATCTTCAGCCCTCGCCGCCAGACTGGTAAATATCTACGAGATATCACTGTATTATGGTTGTTAACTGTTAAGGGAGTATTGCAATCATTATACATCACAATCACAAAATACAAAGCTTTCCATACGTTCTGGGATTGAATCTGCTCTTGTCTTAGGTAAGAAAGATGATTCAGCCGAAGATGGAGTCTTGCTTTAGCAACTATCTTGTCAAAAAATCTTCTAAAAAAGTCTTCTACATTTTCTTTCCCTACCTTCTTTATACTAACTTTTGTATTCTTTCAGGAGTAATTGTTTCTGTTTTTATTATATTTTAGCATTTTTTTGTGATCTTTTAACTTTTAATCTATTGTATTGACTTTACAATACAATCTATGACTGTAGTTTTTTCAGCTTTGGCTGGGTTTCTAATCTTAGGTTTTAAGCACTTTCTGTCCTATCAGATTTAAACAATTTCTTGAAAATGTTTTGAATTTATTGTGATACAAAATGTCCGAAATAATCCTTCAAATGACATAAACTATATCGCCAATGAATTTTAAACACCACTCTATTCAACTTCTATTGAGAAGAATCTACTTAATATAATTAGTTTTGAGATCTTTGTAAGAATGAAAAGAATTAACATAACTAAACTGTCCTTGGATAAAGTATATGATTTAAATGCGCTTAAAAGAATATGAAAAAGTTTCCTAGTAGGTTTCTATGAGGTGTTGTTTAGCATTCAATCACTAATAGCAATGTGTAACCCAGTAAAATCAAGATTCTTTATAAAACAATACCAAACCTAATTCCCATATTGTTCTGCCAAAACATTGAAGTAAACTGTAAGCAAAGTGTGATTATATTGTTACGGGTTCTGTTGTAACAGGTACCAACCCTTGCGCGGTTAACAACGGAGGTTGCGCTGAGCTGTGTCTCTACAACGGCACGAGTGCTATATGTGCCTGCGCTCACGGACTGGTGGCGGCCGACGGCAAGAACTGCACGGGTAAGATAATAGTTACGATTCTCTATAAATAGTTCTTCATAGGCACATTTTTGTTTTGAGGTGTAAATTGTTCAATAAATAATGAATTGAGTTTCATATTCGAAAGGAACTTTGTATAGATGAAAGAGGAGTTTTTGGATAGGGATTTAGTTCTGCTAGCTACCTGAGAAAATTTGAGTTCAGAGGAGTTCTTTATGTACCCAATAAAATCACATGATGTGATACTGATATTTCATCTTAATATACGACTTAATCAGAGAGTAGATTTTAAATGATTTTTACCCCCTGGGGTCTAATTTTCTCAAGTAAACTAGCTGAACTCTGTGTTTTTGATACAAATTTTTAATTCAGTTTTATTCATTCGGAATTAAAAATAAACATGGTGCAAAATGAATTTGTCTTCCATTGTACAAGATTCCTCCTACTTCCAGCATACACTTGATCATTTTTTATGTTACACCTCACAGACATAATATGCTGTCACAAAACTCCAACTAATTTTCTTAGAAAAAATAGTTCAAGAACTTTTTAAGTGTTCAAAAGTACCTAATTCTTGTATGGCTTAATGTTTACTTTACAATTTGTTACTAGCAGTGTTTCACTTTTATACCGTTCTGGATAAACAAAGCTAAATGATTGTTTGTTACAGAATACGACAGTTTCCTGATGTACTCCAGAGTGGTGCGGATAGACAGTGTACACATCTCTGATGAACATAACCTCAACGCGCCTTACCCCAGCATCCAGTCCAAGGAGCTGATGAGGAATGCTATCGGTCTCACCTACGACTATGAGAGATCCACTCTTTTCTACTCCGACATTCAGCAAGGATCTATCAATGCGGTTATGTTCAACGGCAGCAACCATCGTCAGATCGTTGAGCGTAAGATTTTGGATTGTTTATTTCATATCTGGCCAGCTAATTGTTTTTGTTTGCGAGCGTATTTGTGAATACTGTTAATTTGTTCTAAACTCTCCCAAATAAATAATAAGGGTAAGTATAGTATTTTTAAAAAAATATAGGACCTGGAAATGTATGGTCCCCAAGCCTTTTTTGCTTGAAAATGCCATCAGTAATAGTGAAATATTCTAAATTGAGTCCAAAAATATTTCCATACAGGTACGCTATTTGAGTAGTGCAAGTTGTTCAGTGGTAACTTTTTATTCCTAGGTTTAACAGGTCGATTGTAATCTTTAGTCTACAGAACTATTGACACCTTTGACTTTTCCCTAAAGGAACTTGACTTTCCTATTCTAGTATGGAAATTTAATAAGTGATTAGTAATTTCAAAAAAGACAACTTTTCTAAGTACCGCATTGCAGGTTTGGGCTCAGTGGAAGGTTTGGCGTACGAGGCGATCGACAACATGCTGTACTGGACATGCAACAACGACGCAACCATCAACAAGGTGAATCTGAGTGAGAACTGGGGCAGCCTCAAACCCGAGACAATCATCAAGCTGGGTCCGAGTGACAAGCCGAGGGGCATCGCCGTGGACAGCTGCGACTGGTGAGTGGAAACTTTTCAATTCACTCCAAGCTAAATTAATGTTTCCTCAAGAGATGTGCTTAGAACTTTTACTATGGGTGGAAGAAGACATTCCATTGGGTTGAAATTGTAGACAGTTAAGAATTGATATAAACGTAGTTGACGTGAGCTACTGAAAGACAGTCCTGATTTAAATAACTCATTTCTGGGGAATATGACAAATATCTGGTGAATGTGTCCACTCTTCAACCAAGCGAAACTGATAAAACAAATTATTGTAAACTTCAATATTACGTTATATCACATTAGCCTCCACGATAACAACACTAAGGAAGAATATAGAATTTTCTCTTTAGCAAACACTGTGAATGGCTAATTCAACCACATTTTTTTTTAACAATCAAACTACAAAATTATGTCACAATCTAACTAGCCCAACCTAACTGATGCTATGAGATATTCAAACTGTTCAAAAGTACTTCCATCTTTTTGACAAATATTAATACCTAAGTCAGTTTTCAAAGAAGCTTCCCTTCATTCCCGGCTTTATGTTTCCAGGAGAATGTACTGGACGAACTGGAACTCCCATCACCCTTGCATCCAGAGAGCGTTCCTTACCGGATACGGACAGCAGTCCATCATCACTACGGACATACGCATGCCTAATGCTCTCACACTCGACCACTCGGCCAAGAAACTATACTGGGGCGACGCTCGGCTCGACAAGATAGAGCGGTGCGAGTACGACGGCACTAATAGAGTGGTCAGTGATGTTCTGTTTAAACTTGTCAGAGTAAAAATCAATTAATTTAGTTTTTATTAGGATGTGCGGTGAAGTAGTATTATTCAGTCTTAGCTTGGTTTCCCATTTTAACGGTAAAAGTAATCCTTACTGAGATCTGTTAAGCACGAATTATTCATCACAGAAATAAGTAAAAGCATTTCATTGTTTGATAGTGATACCCATCACCTTTGACGGATTTCTGCAGCTATGGCTGATATCTACAGCTCTCTCAATATTTTAATTTTAATTTTAGAAAATTACCTGAATTGGTTTCTATGTTTTAGTTGACTGACCATGGTTTTGTTCTATTGCTAAAAAATGTCCTAGCAATCCACACTTTGCTTAATCTATACAACACTATCAAGTCACTTGGTGTGAATAAGAAAATAGTATTAAAAAACATTGAAGGTGGTAGTAAAAATGGATTACTGATTAGTATAGTTTACTGAGTATTCTTCATCTCACTCAGGTACTTGCCAGAGTGACGCCTCAGCATCCGTTTGACATGGCCGTGTACGGAGACTTGCTGTTCTGGACGGACTGGGTGCAACATGCTGTGATACGAGCCAACAAGTACACAGGGGCCGACGTGGTGTGGCTTAGAAAGGACGTGCCTAGACCAATGGGCATTGTGGCCATATCCAACAACTCCATGGATTGTAAGTGCTTTGCTATTTTATAAGTTTGTGGCTTGTTTAGGGTGCATGCTTTAAATCTTTCAAACAGCTGATGCTTTAACCTTGAAGTCAATTTGTCTACCAAGTGTAAGATCACTAGGTAAAATAAAAAAAGTGATAAAATGCCACTTGCCCTTAACACGCTGCTTGATAGCAAAGCATCACCTTAATCCATTGTGTTTTGCAAAAACGGCTAACATTCAACTATGAGCAGAGAAATTTGTACTTTATTTTATCTGTATTGATCTGGTTTATTGAGCCTAAAAATTATGACAGCTACTTAAAATATCTGCTGCCCAATCTAGTGATAGTTTTTGGAAATGACAACTGTGGCAAATTAACTCAACAGAAATAAAAGGCATCACTTGCTCTGACCATATTGGACTGATTGTAAATATTAATAATTATTTTATCAAGTATACTAGCTAAACCAACCATCAAAAATTTGTTAACCAGCCATCTTATTTAGTTGGCTTATTTTAAAATCTAGATGATCACTAGACAGTGAAACTGTGTTGGAGATAACCTAACCTAACCTATCCCTCACAGTATCGTAACTCATACTCTTACCTCAGGTTTCAAAGATCCTTGCCGATTGAAAAACGGCGGTTGCGAGGACCAATGCCACTTGTGGGCCAACGGTACGATGTATTGCGGCTGCAACGACAACAGAGCGCTGCTGCCCGACGGGAAGAGATGCGCGACTGTCAACACACCCAACTGTACAGAGGAAGAGTTCCAATGTTCGGACCGTGGATGTATCCCGTACCACCTGACTTGCGACAGTCTGCCTCAGTGTATGGACTCGAGTGATGAGGACGAGACTTACTGCAGTGAGTAGAGTCTTTGTCTAACGTTATAAATACAAAGTTTTAAACAACTGTCCGTATTTGTTAGTTTCCAGCGCTTGGTTACATCAAAATGTAAACAGCGCATTCGTCCTTAAAATGTTTGTTAGTTATTTTAATTTCACCCCAACAACAGGTATGCGCACGTGTCGCAGTGGCTATTTCAAATGTCAGAACAACCGTTGTATCCAGCGTACCCGGCGGTGTGACGATGTCAACGACTGTGGTGACGGGTCCGATGAGCTGGACTGCTCCTGTGATTCGACCACTCACTTCCAGTGCGCTGCTGGGCCGTGTATACTGGTCAAGTTCCGCTGCGACGCCGATCCCGACTGTCCTGACGCAACTGATGAGATCGACTGCCGTGAGTACAACTATGAGTTTCAGTGTGTAAATTATAGAAATACAGTATTCTCCAAACAAGTTTTTTTGTTGTTGATATAGTTAGCTATGTTTGGGTAAACGTGTTTAAGGATTTTACGATTTAGTAATTTTTTTACAGAGCAATGCATTTCAAATGCATTTAAGTTATAACTCAAATTTTGAAATTGGTCCTTGTCATTGTATACGTTAAAGCAACATTAGATTTGGTCTTATTTATTACAACAAATCTATTAATAGTCCTTAGAGCCTAGCTTTGCTAACTCATAAAACAATTATTCCAAAATACAAAGACAATGTCTAATCTCATAGTGCCCTAGATATTTAAATTGCAATCACTGGCAACTGGCAAATGTAAATAACTCTTCAGTGGCTGTTTGAAATTAACAATGCTCTTATGGCGGGCAAATCCAAGATGGTCGTTAGCCTCCAAGGACTCCCTCGGAAAACAATTACAAAACCACAAAGAAAATTTTCAATCCCACAGTGCCCTAGATATTTTAATTACAATCACCTTGGTATTTGAAAACTATTTATTGATGATAAATAACTCTTCAGCATACCAAATAATGTTGCCCTTGGATTGCTGTTGCCACCCACTTCCTCTTTACATGTAAGCATCAAAACTAAAAGTAGTTTTTGAAGGTTCTCTGATACAGTTTCTTCTTGTAAGTTTTATGACACAGACTCACTGTTGTCAATGTTCTGATGCGGTTTCTTTGTTCCGCAGCACTACGTAACTGCACCAATGACATGCCTGATCACGATGTGATCAACTGCAACCACACAACTGCGTGTATTCATCCCTCGTGGATTTGTGACGGACAGAACGATTGTTGGGACAACAGCGACGAGCAAGACTGTGACCATCACACCTCTAGCAGTAAGTTGGAACACTACAACAATGGTTTGGAAAATAAACGATTTTGTTTTTACAACCAGTTAAAATAACTTCAACAAAGCCTACGTTGTGAGTATTTTTTGTGAAGATAGCAAACATAAGATCCTTATAACCTAAGGAATTAAGTAACCTACAAGGAATATTTTTGTTATTGGAAATATTTGTATATGTATAGACCTAATTTATTTGTGAATTATAGGCTTCACTCATCGTTACTTTTACTGGTGATATCCAGGACTTGTCAGACATGATGAAAACACACTCATGAATATTCCTCGCATAAAAGCATCTAATTAAAAAAGTGTAGAACTAAGTCGCTGTTTATGTTCCGCAGCGCTGATGCCCCATTGCCCCGCAAACAAGTTCCGCTGCGACACTGGTCTGTGTATCACGCTGGCGTGGAAATGTGACGGAGACGACGACTGCAACGACAGCCACGATGGCCTGACCAGCTCAGACGAGCGTAACTGTAGTAAGTATTTGTATTCATACTCCCTATGCATAAAGTTGACAATGTTGAATAGTGTCAACACTAGTAATAATTGTTGGGATAAAATATAATTAATTATCTCCACCAAACATTGTTGCAAAACATTATTTTGTATAATTTAAATTTCAAAGAACAATGCAGATGACATTTTCTAATGTGTGGGATATACCGTTTTTATAAACACACAGGTTGGCAGCACTTACAAGTGATTTAATGTATGGGAAACTGGCTGTGTTGGCATCGGGGTGGCCAGTACGTTTTTGTTTCTGAAAATATCCACTTTTGGCACTTGCAATGTTCTTCTGCAGAGCTAATCAATTAGTGATGAAAGGAAATTTCAGTCAGTAATGGTAAAATTGATAATATCTCTTAGCCAACAATACATTTATAAATCAAATTAACTGAAACATCTGAACTGAGAATTCTGACGGAAACCATGCTGTATTGTTTGGTAACACACAATTTAAGTTACTGTGTCGATGTAATAATATATTAAAGATTTTTTAGATGCCTACTTGAATACCTTTGACTATAAACAGAACTAGACATTTTATTCATATGTTAAAATTGTCACTGGTTTAAGGATAAAAATTACCACTGACAGAGTGTGCTGATTTGAATTACTGATTTCTGTTGAATATGGCAACTTTTAAACCAGGCAAAACTGAATATAGGACTTGTCATATCCTAGGTGTAAATCAAGTATAAGATTGACTCTTATTAAGTGAGAAAATATAATTTTAGACTGTTACATACTCTGTAGGTTGATCATTCAACGATGCCATTCCTTTTTTTAAATGGCTACAGCTGGTCCATATAAATGGGATGTATTCTTCAGTATCCAAAAGTCAATAACCTTATTATGACCTGATTATGACTAGTGTTGATGATGTAAATTACACCTCTTGCTTCCCAGTGTGTAAATACAATATCTAATGCCGTTGTGATCGGTGTAGCCTACCACTGCAGGTCAGATCAGTTCCGTTGTCACAACAGTGAGTGTATCCCAGTGACTTGGCAGTGTGATGGCACAGAGGACTGTACTGACGGCTCTGATGAAACCGAATATTGCGGTGAGTCTATAGATATTAAACTGAATTTGATTGATATGTTGTGGTTGCACTGCGACCTAAAAGATCTATTGTGTAACAAAATTTGAGCCCAGTACGGGTTGAAAGCACCTCTGTAGCCCTAATTCCTTGAGGAAATCCAGTATCTTACGGGGTTCCAAAAGAGAACATTCCTAATCATTATCGACAGCTTTGCAAGCTGCAAACAGATGCTTTGGTATGTGTACTCCTTATTGGCAGAAGCTACATTCTCTTGAACAATAACAATTTTCATTCATTTTCATTTTCCTCTTAATCAGCAGTGCTCAGAAATCCGTTTTGCATTCTTATACAAATTTTGTTTGCTCTTATCATTTAATTGTATTTCCTGTATACATGATGAGTGAATGCTTGTTCCCAGCTACCAGGACTTGTCCACAGTCAGAGTTCAGATGTAACGCTACAGGCCGCTGTATTCCCTGGGCTTGGGTGTGTGACACAGAGGATGACTGCGGAGACAACTCCGACGAGAATCTCCGCCAGGACTGTCTCTCCTACGACCCTTCGCCTTGCATGGACACTCAGTTTATGTGCAGCAACCGCAAGTGTATTACGAAGGTTGGTCTACTTACCGTTGTGGTTGGTGTTTTCAAGGATTAATTAACAGTAACAAGTTTCCTGTTGACACTAATTTTACAATCTTAGCTCTGAGAGCTACAAGTATATTAGCATATTATTATTATGTTCTGAAAATAGGTACTACTTCATATCTTCTTTACTCACCACCACTATTCTTTTTTATCCTACACATCCGCTGAATAAAGTTTTCCTCAAGGTTACATATTTCTATTTGATCGTAGGAATACTTCTGTGACGGAGACGACGACTGTGGAGACGGCAGCGATGAGCCGATAACTTGCGGCCACAACGTCAAGTGTTCCAGCAAGGAGTTTGCCTGTCGTAACGGCAAGTGTATCAACTCTGCTCTGATTTGCAATGGAGTCGACGACTGTGGAGATAGTTCTGACGAAGATGTCGACAATCACGAATGTTGTGAGTGAAAAATCTTCTGAAAACTGAAACTGTGCTGTAATCATGAGCTTTAAGTTGGTCAAACATTTTCTAAAAAAATACTTGAGGGTATGCGATATTAAATTGAGTGCTCAAAACTATTTAATCAATGGCTATTTAAACAGAAATACACCACTACATGTTCAAATCTATTTTAACAAGGATTTATGTACAACACAGAGTGTGGACCTGTTTTTGAGTTGGCCTCAATGAAGCAAAATATACATAATATTCCATAACTTTTGATGATTCCAGTTCGGTTCACCAACATGTGTGTTTTTGTTTACAGACAACATGAACTGTGTGGGCGATGATGTGTTCCAATGTGCCAACGGATTGTGTATCAATGCAACGTTGTTGTGTGACCGAGAGAATAACTGCGGAGATTATAGTGATGAGGAAAAATGCAGTGAGTTGTTGTTTAATGTTTGTCAATCTAGAAAAAAACTTATCTTGCTACATTAGTCCGGTATGATAAGTATGTTTCCGTAGATAAGTATAGGCCTATCTATACATAATGGCTTTAAGTAGATTTTTGGTCACTACTTTTTTTCTTTTTTGTAACCTTAACTGTTTGTCACTGTAGACTGGTCTGTGTGGTAATCTAGACATAGTGAAGTATTGTTTCAGTTACAATTGTAAATTTTAAGTCACATGGGCGTTGAATGAGTCATCCGTGTTTGTTGTTTAAGGACAGAAGAGTTTGTTAACTTATCCAATTCAGACGGTTTGGAATCTTGCAAGTAAAATTTGAAAAAAAATATTTCTACAGAATTATATCATACTAGTGCACCTGTTGCTCGAATTCAAGCAAGTTTATATCACTAAATCATAATCAGATAACGGTATTTACAATAAAACCTTATTTTGCCACAACTAAGTACCAGTATCTGAATATAACACAAACTGCTATTTCACCATGCGCTCTTGCTACTGTATCCAACACGTGTTTTGTCGCAGACGTCAACGAGTGTGAGACTACCAACCCCTGCGCTCACATCTGTAAGGACCTGAAGGTCGGCTACGAGTGTGTGTGCCGTCCAGGGTTCAAGATACACCCGGGCAACCTGAACCTGTGTGTAGACGTGGACGAGTGCGAGGAACACAAGTGCTCTCAGATATGTCGCAACACGTACGGCAGCTACAGCTGTTCTTGTGTGGAGGGATACCTTCTGCAGGCCAACGGACACTCCTGCAAAGCTGACTCTGGTGAGTAGAGTTTATTTGGTTGTGAGGATAGCAGGCATACTTGAATGGGAAAGAGTCAAAACTGGTACAAGAAACACAAAACTTTACACTAAAACATCAGGATATTTCACAGTGACTGACAGTATTTCGACTGAACAAGGTATGAGTTGAAGAGCTAGTTCACCTTCCTTAGGTAAACATGCTGTCAGTGACACTAATATATTCTAATGTTTTGTATAGTTTAAAGTTATATGTTTGTGTACAAGTTTGGACTTTTTCCCATTCCAATAAGCCTGCTATCCTCACAAACACTTCCTAAAATCCTAGGCCCTTGTGCTCTATTTTACATCTTTTACCTGATTTAGGAAAAAGGGTAATGCTTTGGAAAATTAAAAACATTACTGTTTTTTATGGAAGAGTCTTCAAGATCAGTGGTTGATGGTTGGTCTTGTTAACTCTAGGCAAAAGTAGTGTAATTGTATACCCAAGCCTATTGCATTCTTGAACTTCCCCTCTAAAGTCAGTTGTGCATTGTAGGTAAAATCAGGGATTAAAGTCTACAATTCTGTTCACATGTGTCACTGAAAGTGTTATTAATTTTTTTACTTTTTGCTGCCGGTTCTGATTAATCCAGTATTAATCCGAGTTCTGATTAAGAGAGGTTCCAATAATCAGGATTTTATACACTTTAGGAGTATATATTTAGTGGTTTTTCAATTGAATCTCTTGTTCATAGTTTTGTAAAATTGTTATTAAAAATTCTTTTACTTTTTAACCAGTTAGAAAATTTAAAATCCTACTGGTCTCGATAAACAGTTTAAGAAACATTTAACTCATTTTGGTCCGAATAACCCAAAATTATAAGATTTAGAACGGACTATAGGAACATCCTTTACACCTAGAGATCACATTTTGCTCAAGTAAAATCCTCACTGACAATTTATCTCAAACTACCACAGAACAATATTTATTTCTACTTATATCTTATTCTCTATGCAGCTGTGCAGCCGAAGCTGATCTTCTCCAACAAGTACTACATCCGAGAGTTGGAGATGAACGGACACACGACTCTCTTGGCAAACAACCTAACCAACGCAGTGGCCGTGGACTTTGACTGGCAGGAGCAGTGTATCTACTGGTCTGACGTCACTGCGCTTTCTAGCTCCATCAAGCGTTTCTGTCACAACGACACTTCGTATCAGGTGAGAGATTGGTGTGTATAGAGCGGGGCGTTCCTTTGTGTGAATGGTTCAGCGATAGCAGAAGACAACAATGATGTTCACACGGCCGCGGGAAACGGTGACAACGTCCACATATAACTGTCAGAGATGTTCATGATTTCGCTGCGATCACGGGAGACGATGATGATGTTCATACAACCACAGGAGATGATCACAATATTACTTCGAGTTTGGCTTGACTGAAAAAAAATAGGCTGGCACTCCTTTTCATTAAAGTACAATTTTTTTAAATTTGTTGTTAGATCTGCATTTACATTTGATATGTTCTTATTTAATGTGTGTAGAAGGGATTAAACTTTAATTGGCTGTTTAGAATATTTCATTGCTGCATTAATTTTTTTATACTTTAAAAACTCCTCATTTTCTCAAAAATACTTGATGGAACCACCTAAAGGCATTAGTGTAACCAATCCATTCAGAAAATTTTGTAAAACTATAAAAAAATGGTCTTGGTATCGACAATCTAGAACTGATTTTTCAGGAATCGGTATTGTGAATCGATCAATGTTGGTCTTGATACATCATTATGGTTTACGTTTGTGTTTGTCTTGACAGACGCTACACTCAGCGACGCTGCAGAACCCTGATGGTCTGGCAGTTGACTGGGTCGGTCGGAACCTCTATTGGTGTGACAAGGGACTGGACACTGTGGAGGTGTCTAAGCTGGACGGTCGATACCGCAGAGTCATCATACGCGAGGGTCTGCAGGAGCCTCGTGCCATCGCTCTGGATCCTCGGCTAGGGTGAGTTGTACAAACAGTAGGAAAAATGTTTATAAATTTATTTACAAGATTATTAAAAGATTTACTGATATCACTGGTGTTATAAACCGATAAACGTATATTTAGATACTATTAGGACTCTTAATTGAAAACACGACACTGAAATAATTACACTGATCTGAACAGACGTTCACTAACCTGGATCTCATTGTAGACTGCTCGTTTCGCCTTTGTCCTTAGCGGTAGTGGTGGGGTTAGCTTCTTATCTCTAAGCAAACACAGACTTGTCTAGAATAGCAAACTTCGACTTGTCTAACTTAACTTGTCTCTTCTTGGTCCAAATAAAATACTCCTTACTTTAATATTAATAAAATAAAACATCTTCCTTATAACAATTCCTCCCAACCAAATAAGATAATTCACAAAATAAAATATTTACAAAATAAATTTGGGAGGATTTCTTCTTCGTCTACAAGTCTATTTTGATTGGTGGTTTCCGAGTTCTTTGAGAGCGTCGGAGACCGATAGGGCTTTGGCCGTGTGTCGTCAAACCTCTGTTTTCTTCCATGATTTGATTTTCGTCTTTCCCGTTAGTTGTCTCAGGGGAACTCGTGTTTTCTGGAGTCTTGATGGGTGTTTTAGTCTGTGCTGGTCTCGGACTCTGCTGGAAATTTTCCCTAGGAAATTGAGTCACAATATCATCTTCATCAGATTGAGCCATACATTTTCTCAAGTGGTCTGCGTGCACAAACCTTGTTCTACCATCAACCTTAGCTAGAAACGTAACTGGACTAATAATTTTTATGATGGTTCCAGGTTGCCAGTTTATTTTTTCGTTTCGGACTGTTTTCACAAACACTCGGTCGCTAATATTGAAATTCCGAAAATTTCCCCTGTTTTGATTAGCCGTGTTCACAATCTTTTCTTGCTTATCTAACATCTGTTTAGCTAGGTGCGGTTTTAGAAGGCCTAGGTGGCATTTTGGCTTAAACTTCAAAAACGTCTCGGATGGTGTTTGCCCCGTGATTGAATGGGGAGTGTTCCTGTAGACAAATAGGAATGAATCTATACGGTGTTGTAATGACCTATTGGCTTTGTCTCTATCATCCTGTAACATTTGCTTCACAAAGGCGTCTTTAACGGTTTGTACGGCACGTTCCGCTAGGCCATTTGAGGCCGGATGATATGGAGGCGTCAAGACATGACTAACACCATTTGATCTCAAAAAATCACCAAACTCTTGAGAGGTGAACTGTGGGCCACCGTCTGTCACCACTGTCGAAGCAAGACCATATGCTGCAAAACAGTGTCGGAGTTTCTCAATCGTCCTGCTGGCTGTTGTAGATGGCATGTAAAAAATTTCTATCCATTTTGAATGGCTATCTACAATAATGAGAAATTCCTTTCCCTCGTGATAGGCGAAATCTAGGTGTAATCTTTGCCAGTTATGTTTAGGCCAAGCCCAAGGCTGTAGTGGCGCTAGTGGTGCTGATTTCCGGGTTGTCTGACAAACCATGCATCCCTTTACCATCTCTTCGATGTCTTGGTCCATCCGAGGCCACCACACGTAGCTCCGAGCAAGCGATTTCATTCTTGATTCACCTGGGTGTTCAGTGTGCAGTAATGTTAAAACTTCCTTACGGTGAGTAGGCGGTATAATCACTCGATTGCCCCATAGTAGACAGTTGGAATCAACGGAGAGTTGAGCTGTTTTGTTCAGATAGGGTTTTAGTTGATCATCGTACGGAAGATTAGGCCAGCCATTTGTTGTATAATCGATTACTTTCGACAAAATAGGATCATACTTGGTTGCTGTTGCTAACTCCTTATAGGTTATGTGCAGCTCGTTAGATGTTGAGAAGAAGGATATTTCACCTTCGTCCTCTGAGCCTTCACAGGGTAGTCTAGACAGGGCGTCAGCGTTGGATATTTCCGATCCTTTCTTATATTTTATCTCATACTGATATGCTGCTAGTGTTAATGCCCAACGTTGGATTCGGGCTGCCGCTAGCGTAGGTATCCCCTTAGTAGGGCCTAATAGAAATATGAGTGGCCTATGATCCGTTACCAGTGTGAACTTGCGACCGTACAGAAAATTGTGGAACTTGCGTATGGCAAATATCAAGGCTAGTGCTTCCTTTTCAACCTGGCTATATTTGATCTCACATTTTGATAAGGTGCGGCTCGCAAAAGCAATCGGACGCTCGGAACCATCTGGTAAGATGTGAGCAATTACGCCACCTATTCCAAAACTAGAGCTGTCACAAGTAACGATTATTTCAAGGTTAGGATCAAAAGGTATTAGAACATTGTCTTTACACAGTAGTTCCTTACTAGTTCTGAATGCTCGTTCACATTCGTCACACCACGTCCATTTGACGTCATTATTTAGCAGCCTATACAAGGGATGTAATATTGTAGATAAGTTAGGTAGAAACTTGCCATAGTAGTTGAGAAGTCCAAGATAAGAACGCAGTTGACTTATATTCTCTGGTCGAGGAGCGTTTACGATAGCTTCAGTGAGAACCTCACTTTGATGAATTCCTCTTGCATCTAGGCGGTGCCCTAAGAAAATCAGAGACTCCTGAAAGAACTCACTCTTGGCATTGTTTACCTTGATTCCATGATCACATAATCGTTGAAGAACAGCATCCACTCGTCCTAACATTTCATCAGTAGATTTTGCTACAATTAAGATATCGTTTAAGTAACAAAAAGTGTTTTCGAGTCCGTTTAAAATCTTATCCATTGCTGACTGGAATAGTGCACCTGCACTAGTAATGCCATAAGGCAGCCTGGCAAACCTAAAAAGACCTTTGTGGGTGGTTATGGTTAGCAGTTCCTGTGAGGATTTGTTAACCTTAAGTTGGTTGTACGCTGCAGAAAGATCAAGCTTTGTAAACAGTTTGGCTCCTGAAATTTGTGAAAAAATGTCATCAGGAGTGGGGAGCGGATAGTAATCCGTTCTTAAGCATGGATTTATTGTCACCTTAAAATCCCCACAAATTCTTACCCTTTTATCAGGTTTGACAACTGTAACAATTGGTGTTGACCATTGCGACTTCGTCACAGGATAGATGATACCGTTACTCTGTAAGTTGTTAAGCTCGTTCTCAACGGCTTCACGTAATGCGAAAGGTACATTCCTTGTCTTACAAAAAACAGGTTTGGAATTTTCTTTTAATACCAAATCAACAGAAATACCCTTAATTTCACCTATTGTTTGCTCAAAAACTGGTGAATACCTCTTTTTCAAAGTCGAAATTAACTCAGGAATAGGAACAGTCTTACCTTGCGTAAGACGAAGAGCTGCGACGTTTTGTTCTCCGTCCGAGCCATTTGGTTTCATACAGTCCCAGTTAAACTGTATTTTCTCAATCCAGTTCCTTCCCAATAGCGGAGGTTGATGTGAGCCGTTGCTCTCGATGACTACTACTGGCAGGCGCTGACTGCTTCGGCCCGTGGACACGTTGGCCTGGAACTCGTCCAAGATTCGAATTCTCTCTCCAGTATAGGTCTTTAGTTTAACATTACAACTCTCTAAGGTAGGCATTGATTGATTAAACTTTTCAAAATAGACATCTTCAGGCATTACTGTGACTACTGCGCCTGTGTCAATTACCATTTCAACTGGCACATCGTTTATCATAACTTCAGTTACAAAACCACTTTGCTTCTTTGCACTAGAATTAGCATAGGCTATAGTGTATAGCTCCAAGTCGTGGTCAAAATTGTGGCTAACGGGAGGTTCGTCCTCGCTCCCATCACTACCGTCAACATCACACATGTTTAACCTATCACCTTTAGGCCTAAACTTATTTTTATTTTTGCTGCACTTGTTTGATAAATGACCCTTTCTTTTGCAGTAGAAGCATGTGTACTCTACGTAAGGACAAGCATTAGGATCGTGGGGCTTTCCGCAACGGAAACAAGAAAATTTTCCCAGTTGTGGTTCCCTAGGTCTAAAGTTTTGAGGTTTTGATGATTTCTCAGCAGAACTATGATTCGGGTTAACTCTCCTATTAACATAACCTATATCCCCAGAAGAAATTTGTTTTTCAGGATGTAGGGATTTGACGTTTCTGTCAGCGTTCTCTATCACAAGTGCCATCTCAAGGGCCTTAGAAAAGGTTAATGTGTCCCCTTCTGCTAATAATTTACTTTGTATATGAGAAGACTTAAGCCCACACAAGAATTTGTCCCTAAGGGCTTCATCCAAAAAATTCCCAAAACTACATGTAGATGCTAGCTTCTTTAGCTGAACTGAGTAATCAGTGATTGATTCACCATCTTTTTGACCCCTTTTGTTAAAAATAAACCTTTCATAGGTAGTATTACAGGTAGGTGTATAGTGTTTCTTAAGCACAGAGATAACCTCTGCAAACTCAACTTCATTTACTTTTTTAGGGTGCAAAAGATCCTTAAGTTTTGTATATAACATCGGTCCCATAATAGAGACAAAAAATGAGAGTTTACTTTCATCCTTGATTGTGTTTATCTTAAAGAAATGTTCTAACCTTTCTACGTAGTTTTCAAACGATTCCAACTCTTCATTAAATTCACTGATCTTTCCCACAATTTGTTTTGAAGACATATTTCAGGATAAATAAAATTCAATTTCACTTTTGGAAGTACACGGATGCACATATCTTGAATAAAAACGTGACTAAATACTTTTCGTAGTCAAACATAACCTGGTTTCAACGATCAGCATCAATTAATTGCACAGCAGACAGCAGCACTGCAATTGCAGTCTTCAACAAGAAGAAATAACAGAAGTAACAGGTATTTGTAACCGGTCAACTTTAGTAGCAGTGTAAAATAAAACTAGTTCCCAAGCAACTGTGATTGCAAGTCACTGTTATAGTTGGAGTCACCGTTACTACTTCACAGTTCCAGTAACCGTTTCGGCAACTTTTCAAAATGGCGTACACTGAGCAAAAACTTGTCGGCAAAATTGACAAACTTACAACCCAAAGTTAGAGTTATTCTAACGGTAAAAACACGCACTGGATCGATAAAAAGGCCTCGTCGCCACTGTTATAAACCGATAAACGTATATTTAGATACTATTAGGACTCTTAATTGAAAACACGACACTGAAATAATTACACTGATCTGAACAGACGTTCACTAACCTGGATCTCATTGTAGACTGCTCGTTTCGCCTTTGTCCTTAGCGGTAGTGGTGGGGTTAGCTTCTTATCTCTAAGCAAACACAGACTTGTCTAGAATAGCAAACTTCGACTTGTCTAACTTAACTTGTCTCTTCTTGGTCCAAATAAAATACTCCTTACTTTAATATTAATAAAATAAAACATCTTCCTTATAACAACTGGAAAGTTATATCTGTCGGTTTTATGGTTACAGTAGACTCTCATTGGTCTGTCATTCAATGGTCAAAAATGTTCTATTATCCAAAAACGCCAATATCACTCATGAGTAACATTATTTGTGTGAAGGAAGTTTGTTGTTTGAAATACATTAAAGAAGTTACCCAAATTCACCCTTTTCCCTGAGGTTATCAATTTATGTAATGTTACCTCCAGTAACCCTGAATCCTCTAAATCTTTTAGGTACCTGTACTGGACTGACTGGGGAGACCGACCTCACATAGGCAAGGCAGGAATGGACGGCAGTAATCCTCATGTCATCATAGACAAGGGTCTGGGCTGGCCCAACGCACTCACCATCTCATACGAGACCAACGAACTGTTCTGGGCGGACGCTAGAGAAGACTACATAGCGTCTTCGGACTTAGACGGCAATTCCATACGGAAACTCATGAGCAGAGGAGGTAAATTATCTTTATTGCTTCAACAGTAAACTATTTTTGTGGGTTAAAAACAAAGTGACTTTTTAAACTAACATCACTTACTTTTTTATTTATTTTATTTACTTCTTTTCTTTAATTCTAAGAAGCTTAAAAACCGGAGACGTTTCAACATGACTTCAGGCTAGCTAGGCCAGAGGTTGCCTTATCACATAGATAAAATCCTTTGGTTATTGGCGGGATTTGAACTCTGGACCTTGGTGACCAAAGTGCGCTCTGACACTAGACAAGCTCACTCCTCTCTATTGTAATTTGTGCTGTATCTCTTTATGGCCCCACTGAGTTTTACTTTCTAGTACTATCTGATTTTTTAGCGAATTTCCCATATAGGGAATAAGCTAATACCGTAGTACTCATGGTAAGACCTGGACGAGGGACCGATTTTTTTTTTCGTTTTGAGGTCCCTAGAGGCCAAAAACACCATCCGTTCAAATTCATATATATATATATTTATATATTTATATATATATATATGTGTCCGTTAGCACGATAACTCGAGCAAAAATGATCCGATTTTGATGAAATATGGTACAAACGTGTAAACCTACGTTTATTCGAACGAGTTCACGATCCAGCATGATCGGACCATGGGAACGGGGGTTTACGGGGGGGTTTTATGGGGTAAAAATAGGTTTTTCCCATTTTTGACCCCAAAAACATAAAATTTAGCAATTTCTTTCCAAACCATTTTGTAGAGCTTAAAAAAACAAATAATTTAGTATATTGAAGCGTTATTATGCGCCTAATGGTTACGGAGAAAATTTAAAAAAATTTTAAATTTAAAATTCCCATGTTATTCTAATGGAGAATAAGTAAACCGTTGTAGTTTGCTTGTTTATTAACATATTTTGATCAAATTTGGGAAATGTTTTTATTTCTTACTAACTACTAACATTTTACAAAAAAAAACAGTTTACCCTCCCTGATGCAGCAAACCTAAGTACTTGTTAAACTAATTCTATTTAAATCGGTAATAAATGTTATATTTTTAAGTACACATTTCAGTGTAAATCCAATCAGTCAAATGGAAATTCGCTTAGTCTGCAGGTTTGCTGCGGCGGGGGTATTTTTTCATAGTATATATGAAAAACGTATTGTTTTTGTAAAAAAATGTCAGTTTGCGTTTTGGGTGTAAATATCAATTTTGTGTCCCCTGAACCCCTAAATAGGCTTTTGAAGGGATGTCTTTTAGTTTTTCTGAATGTGTGTGTGGATGTGTACAGAGCTACAGACTACACCTGAGGTCCGACTTTGATGACATTTGTTATCTAGGCACTATTCCATGAAATCTCCAGGCGTTTATTTTTTTTAATTTTAATTTTTTTAAATGGCAATTCCATAAAAATTCTTAAAATAACAGAAAAATCAAATTTTTACCAAAACGGCTAATTTTGATTCAAATTAAGTTTACTATTGTCATTTTAACTCTAAACAAAATTGTAAAACCCTGTTTACTCGTTTAGTGAAGATGTTTGTAGGTTAAGGTATTCTGTGCTTTTGCCCATGACTTATCTGAGTTTCTGTGGCAGAAACGCCAGATCTACGACTACATCATGTGTTTGCCATCGCCGTGTTTGAAGACCACATCTACTGGACTGACTGGGAGACAAAGTCTGTAGAGAGATGTCCCAAGTACAGTGCTACCAACTGCAGCACACTTACTACGACTGTGCATCGACCCATGGATATTCACATATACCACCCGTACAGACAACAACCTGGTACGTATTTGATTAGATTTTTTGTATTGAGATTTTTAGAATAGAGGCTGTGAAATGTAAATTCAGGACTAGCCTTTACATAAGGATTTTTTTTAAATAGTGGTCTTACATTTTCAGGACGTAGTCAACTTTTACACAAGAAAAAACAACATCAAACAATAAAGACCCACAAAAATTGTATTCTTTCACTAGCAGTATTTTCAACCAAAGAAGGTTCGAGTTGGGGTGAGCCAACTGAACTTCTCTATTTCCAACTAAAATCTTCCTTGGTTTGAAATGCTGTCGGTGAGTGAAAAATTCTAATTTTTGTGTATCGGTATAGTGTAATGTTGCGTTTCTTGTGCCGAAGTGGATTGTTTCATATCTAGGGAAGCCCGCTCTCCTAAAAAAATCCTCATCTCCTATAGGTTAGTCGAACTTGGAATCTTCTATAGGCTAAAACAACCTTAAGTAAGAAACTCTTATGTTTTAAAGCAAACCCAAGTTGGTTGATTCGGATCTTTTGAGAAAATTTTTATCTTCAACCTACTCTATGAAGAAGTCCTAGAGGACGAAACATCAATGTTGTGTTTTTTGGCTTCATTAGGTATCTATTGGGCTCTAACTTTCTCATATAAACTAGCTGAACTCCACCTCTTTCCGAAAACGCCCCTAAGAAACTCTTGTTACTTCAATACAACCAGTGACCCTATCGGATTATTTTGAACACATGTTCACAGTGTCGCCCAACCCTTGTGAGAACAACGGTGGCTGCGCCACTCTCTGCCTGGTGGCGCCGGGCGGCTCACACTCGTGTATGTGTCCAGAGAACTACGCCCTGGCCAACGACGGAAGGACGTGTGACGCTAACTGTAGCAGCTCACAGATCAAGTGCGAGTCTACCTACAAGTGCATCCCGTTCTGGTGGAAGTGCGACACACAGGTGAGTGCAAGAAATGATATATCTTCACACAAAGTCATTAAAACCGTTATTCTTGTGCTTAATTTAAGCATCTGTTTTCATACAATTTGACAGCTAAATGTGTGATATTGTCTCACAGGATGACTGTGGGGACGGGTCAGATGAGCCGGCTGACTGTCCTCCGTTTGAGTGTCTGCCAGGGCAGTTCCAGTGTCATAATCATCACTGTATACATCCATCACAGCTGTGCAATGGCGAATACGAGTGTCCCGACAAGTCTGACGAACTCGACTGTGACAATGTAAGTAACTTGATACACCAGTACATGACGGTTAGTCTGTCCTGTGGTTGCTGTCCGACTAACAGTTTGGTTTCTCTTTAGTCGTGTTAGCCCTATACTTGGGAAAATTTATTTATTAATTTATTTTCTCTACACAATTAAGAATACAATAATTGTAATCTTTGGAATAAAACCGGTCATATGTACAAATAGTGTGACCAGTTAAATTCAAACTGGATCTCATAAACTTTGGAGTCAAAATTGTATATTGTTGCTAAAACATCTAGAGCGCTTTTTAATTCAAGAGTATAGTTATAGTAAATAATCTCAGTACTAATATGTCCTATATTATAACTGGAATATAGCTGATTGAAGAGAAATGTTGGGTAGTTAAGGTTAGAAAATAGCTCGGTATCTAGCTTGAAAATGTACCTTTAGGTGTGAAACTAGTGATTGACACCTACTTTTGTTTCATGACAATTTAAATTTACTGTGAAGAAGAAAAATTTAGTATTGGTGAGTAAGTGGCTCAATTTGTAGTGCAAGGACTACGGATTCATGGAAACGTCGTCAATCGCTGTCATGAGTTCATGTCTTGGTGTTCACAACATTTTATCAGTACAGTTCACCCTTGTGCTTCATCAACTTACCAAACCTTTAGGATACATTCCACACAAAGGTAAATACAAGGTTTATAGGCCACCAACCTCTTCAAACAACAAACCCTACAACCATAATGGTTCTCTATGTTCCAGTACACATGCATGGACACACAGTTCAAGTGTCAAGGTAACGCCACTACGCCAGGCTTCTGTATAGCCTCCACCAAACGATGTGACGGCTTCAAAGACTGTCCGGCAGGAGAAGACGAGCAGAATTGTCTGGACCAAACCTGTCCTGTGGATAAGGTAGGTTCTGTAAACATCAGTAAGTTTAGATTAGAATAGCTTTGGAAAAGAACACATGTTGGCTTTAGTATATGTAGAAGAAGGAATGGATATACTAAAAAGTTCCAAGTAGTTTACAGGATAAAGATTTCACCAATATTGATATTTCAGTCCCTTCAACTTCAACTACTTCCTTCTCTTCCTTCTAAAGAAGCCCTTTTTTGTAAGGGCAAAATATCAAATTAATTGTTTTGAGAACTTTTATGTTTGTGATTGTCTGGAACTCTAATTTTGATTAGATTAGAAATTCAGTTAGTAAATTAAAACTAAAATATACCTCAGTTGTCTTATTCTGTATGTGATATCTAAGCTCTGATTCCCCATGTGCGTAGTGTAAATACAATTTACTGCCCCAGGTGATTCTTGTAGTTCTTTGACAAGAACCACTAAGGCAGTAAAATGTATTTAAGCCAATACAGATTGTACCTTCAGTCAGATTCACCAGGGTCTTGGAAGTTTTAAACCCTAAACACTATATGACAAGCGCTGCAATAAAACCACTATTACATTTACTACAAGTGATTTGTAGGTTAACAACATAAAACTCTATTTTACAGTTCCATTGTGAAACCAAGAAGTGTATACCATCTGTTTGGGTGTGTGACGGAGACAACGACTGTGGTGACAACAGTGACGAAGGAATCCTGTGTGTCAACCGCACTTGTCCCCATCCGGGGCTCATGTTGTGTGAGTCCGGACGGTGTATCCCGGAGTCCTGGAGGTGTGACGGGACTACGGACTGTCCCGGGGGAGAAGACGAGCCTCCCACCTGCTCCGACCCAACCGTCCACACTTGTGACCCGACCTACTTCAAGTGTAATAATAACAGGTGATTTATCTTATTTTTTGTTGAACATAGAAAATTCCTTTTTGGTTTGGACACCCTAGGATCAGAATTTTGTCTAAAGACATTACAACCGTCAGAGGTTAGCTTAAACTCACAAATGTATTAAGTTTAAATAAGTTATGTGTAAAAGCCAAATTTAAATTTGAGATTTGTAAATCTTGTGATGGATTTGTAAAATAAATCTTAAATCTAATTTTTTGTACAAGTAACATCTGTTGTTTCCCTGCAATACTACAATTTTTGCATTCGTTCAATACAATAAATTCTTTTGATTTGTAAGTTCATAAGTTTCTAGTCAAAATAAATAAAAATTATTATTTGTACAATATTTTACAAGCATTTCAACAACTTATTGATTTTACTGTTGGGTTGTAGATGTATCCCAGGCCGCTGGCACTGCGACTACGACAACGACTGCGGGGACGGTTCTGACGAAGAGAACTGCGAACCTAGACCTTGTTCTGAGGCTGAGTTCCAGTAAGTAATCATCTGATTTGAGCACAGGACTTCAGTCCTTAAGTCACAGGATTGAATCCTGCCAATCATCTGCTTTGACAGTGGTTCAGAGCCTATGTTATTCTGGGGGTCCACAGATTGGTCTAGTAGAATTAAGTAGTCTCAGGTAGTGGTAATGTATTCTATCAAACAACTTTTGTATCCCAAATTACGGTGGGGGAGCCACTAGATATTTCAACTGAGCCTTAACTAAGTTTGAGTAATTGAGTTCTAACTGCTCTGACCGAGCAGTAATTTAGCAATAAATTCTTAAGATAACCCAAACAGGATTGTTGTGTCGTAATGTAATTGCAATGGCAAAATATGTCTTATAAATCGCCAAAGATATAATAAAAGAAACCTTTTTTAAGCAAGTTAATCAGCTTGTACAATCAAGATTATTTGGGTTATCAGATCAGAAAAACTTATTTGACTGGGAGGGTGTTTTGTCCCCGAAAACGTCAGAATTCTATAACAATATAAAAATTAACTGGCCGTCAACCTCTTTAAAAATCAACCTCTGAAGAAAAAAAGTAAACTTGGAAGGCCTTATTATGTATTGTCTGGATAATGAGGGTTCAATTACATTAATTTAGGCATTATTTTAAAAAGAAATCCACAGTACGTTATTACCATCCCGATTAGGGAATGCCTGCTATAACAATTTATACTGATTGAAACAGCTGTGCAGGTCTTACGTATACTTAGGCTAACAGCTGTGTTGTACAGATGCAAGGATGGTCGCTGTATCAGGGATCTGCTGCGTTGTGACGGACAATACAACTGTCCGGACCACAGCGATGAGAACGACTGCAACACTACGTGTTCTAGCAAAGAGTTCCAGTGCCGCAGTCCCAAACACTGCATATTCATGTAAGTCGTGGGGATTGTCCATCATGAGGGTTTGAAAGGTTAAATTTCCAAAAGAAAAAGAAAACCTTATTATTGCTTTCTGTAAAAATAGAATCGCTAACTTTTACTTTCTCCCCCTATACTATAGTATATGGAGAAAGTATTGTTTTCGTCAAAATTTTCGAGTTTGAGTTTTGAGTGGATATATTCGTATTGGGTCCCCCTGGACCCAAAAAAGTGGTTTTCGAAGTGATGTCTGTGTGTGTGTGTGTGTGTCTGTGTGTGTGTCTGTGTGTTTGTATTCACCGAATAGTGGCATCCTTCACAGGCACACGGCCGTACTGTGGCACCTTCAAAAATTGTGGCACCTTTTTCAGGGTGCCACAGCTAATTCGATCATTTTTGAGGTTTTCCAGCATTATTACGTCGTTTAAACATCACATGCCACAATTGAGTATTTTTGAACTCGTTGATGTGAGTTTAAGTAGCGCAGGTACACACCGAATTGTGGAACACGAAACCATACAGGTAGCTAGCGCGCCTCGCGCCGTCCGCCGGAACTATAACTTTCCAAATGCCACGTTGCCAATTCTCGCACCAGCCTACACTCGAAATAGTGGCACCATGCCACAATTCAGTATATATCAACAGTGTGTGGACAGGATGCCACTTAATGAGTTGTAGAGCTTGAGCAGTGTGTAGAACAGTGCAACAAGCAACTAATAAACTAATAATACTATACTGCCACGTACTATAAAACAATTTAAGTACCATAAATAATATACTTTTGCTCCGAGTGGTGAACAATGTTTTACATTACAAATAATTTGTGTAGTAAATAATAATTTAAATTGATTTTACCTAACCCGCCATGTTAAACTTCCCTATCCCAAGCGTGATGTATACAACTTCCTTACTTTTCGAGTGATGTAAAGTATAAAAAACTCATTCGGTGATGTAAAGAAACCCATTTAAATAACATTGAGTGCTTAACTTAAAAAAATATAACTCTATGGAGCCAACAATGTTCAACGCTAGAAATCAGCTGTGCGCTTGAATGTTATTATCATGCTTTAAAGTATTTTCCTACCTAACCTAGCTTTTGTTAGTAAAAGAACGTTACTGATAGAAGATGAGTGAAATGGATAATGAAAAATATTGTACGTAAACCCATGTTTATTGTCGGGTCAGGTAAAATCTTGTACGTTACACGTTACGCATGAACGTGCTGTTTACATCACTTAGGTGAATTATGCAACTCGCTTCCGCTCGTTGCACAACATTCACCTGCGTGAAGTAAAAACGCTCTTACTACACTTGTAATGTAAATATCTATTACGCAACCATTAAAAAATTGATTTTTGTTTACAAACATAAATTGGTAACGTAGTTATTTTGTATCAATTGAATTTGTACACTGAAACAATAACAATGTTTGAGGTTAGAACGCTATATAAGTTGTCCTAGACTGCTTTTTTTTTATCTTACAAACTATTTCGTGCTGATACATCTATTTTTTTTTTCATTTTAGTCATGTTGACAAAATATTTTGCAATTACATTTCTGAATCAGTCAGTAAAGGTAGATTTCGATGCATCATTGCTGAAAGTTATGATTTGCTTCTCACTCTCAGAGTATTCCAAAGACATCTAATGTTTCAATCCATGTTCAAATGTTATATGAGGTAAACATATAACCGAATCAATTAAAGTACTTAAATTAAAATACATATTATTATCAACACGCATAATCTAGTTCAGATTATAATATCATCTCACAATCATATTTGTAAAACCTACTGTGGTGTTTTAACCAGTCCCCACTAACAAAAGCATAAAATGAAAGGTCCTAAAGAGGTTAACATTGAGTCATAACAAAAGTAGTTTAAAAGTTGTAACCGTGATACTGTAAATAATTTGATATTGTTAGATATTATACGATCGTTTTACAATTTTGTCAATCTATCTGTTACTTTCATACAAATGTATTTTTATTATTCAATATTTTGTTTTGTAGAACCTTTAGTATTCTCAACTCTATTAATAACTAGTAGAATACCCGTCCTTCGTACGGGGTTGGCATATAAGTAGAACATGATCATTGCAGTGATGGGAGAGGAAACGGTTTAAGAAAATATGGTCTTTTAATTTATACGGTATCCTATAGTGTAGCACACATATACCTATAATAAAAGAATGTGTTTAATGGTTTGCACTGTAAACGAAAACCTATCACAATAGTTCCAAACATGTTAATAGGGCAATTTTCTAACATATTTTAGTGAAATTATAATCAGGCAAACGGGAATTCGCTCAGTCTATAGTTTGTTGGGGCAGGGAGATTATAGTACTGTTTACAAACAAATAAATCAAAAGAATATACCTCATAACTCAGGATAAGGGCCTAGGTTGATAAGGCAATATAGAATGTTGATTATTTCCTATATCCATCGAATGATTTCTTTTACAATGAATTATTATAAAAATAAATAAATATTATTACAACATTTCACAAAATTAAGTATATTAAAGTATAATTAACAAACAGACTCAGTATAGTTAGATCATAAACAAATGAAGTACTGTTACCGAAACAATCCTATGATAATGAAATTACATTTACATATGGTTTGGCAGCTCCTCTAGGTAATGTTAAATAATGTTTACATTCAGGCTAGTGACATCATTATTTTAAATTTATAATCCTTACCCCCTCTGTTCTAATATTCGTGCAGTATTTAATGAGGTTTGAACCAGCTGTGTTGAATTGTGAAATCAAAATCAATTTGACAGTTAGTTAGTTAGTTCTGCTTGTTTACATTTTTAAACTTACTAGGTTTGTTCTTTGTTACCATGGATACCATCAATCAATATTTACTTTTAAATCTCTCATCTCAGATTTTTGAAAGCCCACGGGGCAAAGCCCTAGGTGAATACCGAAGCGGCAATAGTTCTATATGTATCCTCGGAGCTGTAGCTTCATTTGTGTGCAATTTGAGCATAGTCGGATAAGTATTTTTTGAGATTAGCTCATACAAACACACACACAGACACCCCCTCTTCGTTATAATAGTATAGAATATAGAATAGAATAGATAGATAGATAAACCTATTTCAACGTACAATATCAGTTTTAGGAAATTCCTAGTAAGGTTGTTAGAAGTATATTGGCATCCGTGAAGTTTGTGTAATGTTTTTTAAAATCACTGTGGGATATATTTAACTTCACTTATTATTTATTTAATATGTTTTTACTTCTTGAAATTCTCAGTTAACTGGGAGGCGGAGCAAACAGTTTGTTCTAAAATGAACTTGAAAATTTTAAACACTCTTTTTCTGTTGGTTTACTTAAAGTTTATAATGTTCTACTATGAATGCAAATCTTTAATATAGTCTAAATTTCCAGTCCCACCCTAAAAAACTATGATATTTAACAGTTGAATCTTTATAACGTATAAACACATTATTTTTAATCGGTCATCAAACTGATTCTTGAATTAGTAGTTGCAAGAGTACGCAGAACTGCAGAGAGTCCTTGAAAATGCTTGTGCAATGATATAGTTTTAAATTATAAAAGAAACCCTTCAAAAAATTGTATTAACAGGACCAGAGGACCAATATGCACATGGTATTTCATTTGTATAAGGCAAAAAGTTCAAATCATATTAACTTATGATTGCCAATAGATTTTGGGTTTCCTTAAAACAATTATATGAAATTGTCTGCAAATGTCAATAAAACTGATTTTATAAGAAATTGTAGATTCTTCTGTTGCTCTGTAGGCGACTATTTTGGTCACACAAGGAAGTCCAAACTTATAACTTAGTTTGAACAACGTCATCTTGATTTTACATTGCTCAAGATACATAATCGACACATAGGCTTTCAAAAAAAATAAGTAAAGAAATTAACTAGTGATGGACCGCGCAGACATAGGAACAGTCTAGACTTGCCCCTTACTGACGTTTTCCAAACGAATATAGAAGTTAGATCTACATTCTTCATTTTAGGCTTGAAATAAATTTGTTTGTGGATCGAATGAGTAAGCATGAACAATAATTTTACCCTTCTCCCCGACACGCTACCATACCACAGCATCTTATTAGCAGAGCTCAAGGTCAATGACGTAATTGTAATGAACTAAATTTAGACTTCCACCCCCCAATGTCACCAATGGGCCCTAAAGGTTGGTATGTAACAATTCATGACGGTTGAACAATGGCCTTTAAAATACGCTTTTAATTTGTTTTCTAGCGTTTACCGTATCTTAGAAAAAGTTAGTTTACAATAATTACAAAAACTTGTTGGGCGAAAGAAAAATTCTAAAAAGCTACAAATTAATTTATAATATATGTATCTATATCGTATCAAAGTGTGTTAAAGGTTTAGCGTTTGGTTTACAATGTAAAAATTTTCAAAGTCACAAGATGGTTTCTGAAACTCTTTATACAACTCTCCTTTATAAAAAAAAAAAATATATATATATATTATCCAAGAAGTTGAGCTCTTTAGCCACAAAATCCACCGTTTTTTTACTTACCTGACGAAGAAATAAAAACAGTAGCAGCCGACGAACTTTGTTATGTCATATTTAAAAACTCATTTAAAAGTAACGACTTTATTTCAAGATTTAAAATAGAAAATATAAACTTTTGAGCTTTTAATTAGAACCAATAGTGTCCTAGACTAATTGACATCTTTCACACGAAGTGTCAACGATTTACCTTTAGTCTAAATGTCAAGTTATTTTGAAGCTGGACATTGAGTTTTGGTGCCGTTTTCATTGGCATCTACCACTTCTAACCTGCACTAAGATGGCGGACCTGGCTTCAACTGCTTGTATGTTAGTTATATAGATGTGCTCCATCTATTGGTCTTATGTGATCGTTGATTTAAACTAACGGAATTCTGATGAAAATTTGATCATGAATTATTAGCAGTTTTGCAGGGATGATTAACAATAGTTTTTTTTTGTTTTTTTTTTTAAATTGCTTGTTAGTTGGCAACAAATCTTAGAGATGTGTATACATTTTTTAGGACAAAATTGAATTGGCAGATGCCATGGTAAAGAAGCGTACTAGAAAAAGTTACTGTCGCCTCATCCAATTTTTACAGCAGTCAGCTGTTGACATGCTAGGCGAGCAACCGCGACAGTGAGGACGGGGAACAGCTGATTTCATGTTCCTAGTTGGCAAATTGTCTGCTAGCTACTAACGTACACATGCATAAGCCATCAGCGGTAGCACCAGTAGCCTCAATGAATATATAAACACTTGTGTTAAGGTTTAAATACAGTAGTCAATGTTATTACTGAATTTGATACTATACATATTGTTACTAATATATGAAATGGAGAAAAACGTTACCTTAAAAATACAAAATTTCCCAATTTATATCCAGACCTTTTTAAATAGCTTAGAAAACAAATAATTTAGTATATCAAAGTGTTTTTGGACGGTTATTGGTAACAGGACAAATTCAAAAATTGTAAATTTAAAATTCCCTTGTTATTTATATAAAGAATATTGTAAAATATTGTAGTTTGCTTGTTTATGGATATATTTTGATCAAACTTGGCAAATTTATTCAAACAATTACCAAACTATTTGGATCATGAACGGTAGTTTTCTAGTTTTCCCAAGGTAGGACATGTGAATTGGAATTTTGGCGTTACAGGCACAATGACAGTAAGAATCAAACAAACGTACAGATATATACACAAGACTCGTTTCGGCTATCTTATTATATACAACGTAGAAATAACCAAACACTTCATGAGTCTACGCAATGTACAGACAAAACAGTAAAGACTTTGTAATCTTATAACTAACTATCTGCCCATGCTTCGCAACGGGGTGAGAATCTTTGGGTCTCTAAATCCACCGTAAAAAATAGTATATTTCGTACCTAGGGCCTACAGTGAGGTTTTGCCGACTCGATATCGGGTTTTAAGTTCGGGACGAAGTCGAGAACGTGAAACGATCGAGAGCTGCAAACCCATTTTGGCTCGTGGTACGAGCGCTATTTTTCACCCAAGTATGTTTTGCAATATAACGTCCCTCTTATTTATGTGAAATATTTTGAGGAATCAGCAAAATCAAAAATAACAATAAATCTAGGCAGCTGTGACAAAAAACAAGTCTATTGCAATGCCATGAATACAGCTTGTGCATTTAATATACATTAATGTTTTAAGTAAATAGGCGAACAAGTGATTTTGCGGCCCTAGGGATGTAAACCCCTGCTCAGTCCCCATATGACGATGACAGCTGGCATGGCCAGCAAAACGTAACTTTCAGCCACCAATATAAACCAGCTAAATGTATGTAAAACAGCTAAAAACATCATAGTGAGGTGAAAAATTCGTTACGCATACTTTTACATTACCATGAATTAATTATATGCATACAGAAAAAACGGAGTCATACTTATTGCGTATTTTAATGTAAACTAGTGGCTCGTAGGGACATAGTCCCTAAAAAGCTACGGAAAAGGAATTATTGTTGGAATATTTAAACAAACTCAGAATCAAATTATCTATATGTCAGGATAGGCCTAGATATCCCACTACAACATATCTTTTGTGCAAATAAAACAAAACAGTTTGTTGTTTGTCTTTGTTTGCTTTTGTTGATAACGTTATGTTCAATAAAGAGTTTGAATGATTCCAGAGGTTTAACTGCTAAAGGCAGCAAAAATGTTTATGAATAAATATTGGTTTATTAAGGTAGCTTTGGTTTTTTGGTTAATGCTGATAACAAGGCTTCCTCGATTGAAATACAGTATTGGAAATTGTCTTCGTCAAATAAGAAAAGGCAAAAAATGGTGTGTTGAGATACCCTACCCAGTTATTATTTCTAAGTCTATGCTCATTTTGTAAAGGTTTAACAAAATTATTCTTAAGTAAAGGCATCCCATTGACAGAACTTGGACCTAAATTTGTTTATGATCAACATTAAAAAACCACTATTAGCCTAGTGTAAGTATGTGGTGTTAATCCTCCTAAAGGTGCGATTGATTTACATATTCTAATTAAAAAGGGCCTAGTCAACGTCTAATTACTAACTATTTTGCGGCTAGTTAGGGTTCCACTACCCAGTTATCGAAACTAATCACGACATAAATATTTTTGGTTCGTTTAAATACCTGTACGAACCTACTTCATCTCTATTCCCAAATTGTTTTCTAAGAGTAACCGTTGAGGTTATTCCACTTCATACAAAATATTGATTAAACACTACAATAAATCTCAAATATAAATTTTAATAAATTTAAAAAGAAATTGGAATAAATCTTTTACATATGTTTTGAAATAAAAACAAAGAAGATCTTCTTTTAATCTTGAATCGTTTCTTAAATCTTGAAAACAATTGATTTCAACTTTGACATAACTAAAAAGTCTTGATTATTAAAGGTAACGTTATCCCTTTATATAGTTGGTTTTATATAGTATACATTACATTGCAGAATTGACTGGCAAATGAGTAATCCAAATGTAAGCTTACTTGCTAATGATAAAATCACGATCAGCTGGATTGAAGTAAACAAAAATCAGCAGTAAATGCCTTCTAATGCTATTCTTATGGAGAACATTGTACGTTATATCTAATTTTGTGTTAAGATTTTGGGAATTTCACTATTTTTCCCGCCGTCACGGGATAAAGACCTTTAATTTGAGCCCTCTCACGTCGTTCTACGACTTCCCAGTCGCCCACAATTTTGACGCAAAGAATCGGCTTACGTAATTAATATATAGATAGAATAGATTTCTTGTATATTCCCATGAAACTGATAATTTACCCAGCACATTAAGGCCTTTATTCCAAGTATCTCAGTTCGTAAACCATACATACAATGTGACGATAAAATATCAACAAAATAGCATGTAGTTTTATGTAATCCTCACGACATTTCATTTGGTCCATTGACTTTAAATCTAATAATTGTAAAAATTATTGGAGCTTTGAAAAAAACTTCATATAAAATCCTTACACTAATAAAAGACGACGTCATGAGCGCGGGAAATGAGCTACAGCGGCTAGGGCATAGCCACATGAATACAGAACGGAATGAAGGAACTAGAACGGAGAACTGGCAACAGCGCACGCGAGAAGTAGGGGGGGGCGCACTCACCGCTCAAGCACTACAACGCATTAGTGGCATCCTGTCCAGACACTGTTGATATATACCGATTTGTGGCATGGTGCCACAATTTAAAAACTGGAATGTTAGATGTTAAAATGGAGTGTTCATTAAAAATATCGATGCAGACATGTTTCTACCACCTTCCTTCATCCACTGGTGGCCGCAGGTTGAAAGATGCCACAATTAGGTGTTTGCGAGTATTCGGTAAAACCCCGTATGTGTGTGTCTGTGTGTGTGTCTGTGTGTCTGGATGTGTACAGAGCTAGAGACCACACCTGTGGTCCAATTTCGATGAAATTTGGTATGTATGTTCTAACCCGTGGTCTCTCCAGGCGTTTTTTCCATTTTTTTGAAATTTTGATTTTTAATGGGGATTTTCCCATAAAAACCCATAAAAAACAGGAAAAATCGGATTTTCTAAAAAATGGCCCGAACGATTTTGATAAAAATTTAGTATGTTGTAGCCCTTTAAATTCTGAACAAAATGGTACAAATCCCATTTCTGTAAAAATTACGGTTCAAAAGTTATGGTAAATTATGTTATTTTTCCATAAAAACCCCATAAAATAACAAAAAATAGGATTTTAGACAAAAATTCGGTTTTGATTTAACATAGTATGTTATGGTCCTTACAATTTTGATAGTTTTTTTACTTTTTGGAAATTTTTATTTTTAATGGTGATTTTCCCATAAAATAACGGAAAAATAGGATTTTCCCAAAAATGGCCCGAACGATTTTGATAAAAATTTAGTATGTTATAGTCCTTTATATTCTGAACAAAATGGTACAAATCCCATTTCTGTAAAAATTACGGTTCAAAAGTTATTGTAAATTATAATATTTTCCCATAAAAACCCCATAAAATAACGAAAAATCAGATTTTTTCCAAAATTGGCCCGAACAATTTTGATAAAAATTTAGTATGTTATAGTCCTTTAAATTCTGAAGAAAATTATACAAATCCCATTTCCGTATATTTACTCTCACCGCTTACACATGATAAAGGTTGTTGACAAACTTATGGGAGAAAGTATGTGTCAGAATGCTGATACCGTTTATTTTAATTTGTTAACAGAGTAAATAATGTTGTGTCTTCATTGGAGTGTAAATGTCTGCTCTGCAGTGTCTTTTTGTTGCAATAGAGGCCAATAAATACATATTAGTAGGTATCAATATAGGCGTATGGTTTGATTTAGTCATTAATTTTTGGTTTCCAGACACCTGATTGAGTTGAACCAAATAGAAAATAAAACAAAGAGGCACAATTTAGTGTTTTTTTTTTTAAACCGTGACTGTTTGTTACGGTAAATATAAAGATCCACATGATTTTCTTCCACATCCGCATCCTTTTACAAAGCACGGAACAATCATATTTAAGAAGCAACTATTGGATTATATTTATCCCCCCTCCCACACTGTGTTTAGAGACAGTGCTAATACTAAGCAATACTAAACTTGTGTTTTGTAGAGAGTGGCAATGTGACGGTGACGTGGATTGTTCCGACGGGTCAGATGAGATGGACTGCCACAAGAGTCACTGCGATCCGCTGAAGGAGTTCATGTGTGCGGACAAGCAACAGTGTATCAGCTACTTGTGGCGCTGCGACGGAGACAATGACTGCGCTGACGGCAGTGACGAGGCGAAGAGCTTGTGCGCCAGTCTGCCCTGCATGCCCGGACGGTTCAGGTAATGGAGTGACAAGGTGGTTGTAACTAGGTGTTGAGAAATAGCTACGGTGTAAATTTCAGCTCTACCATTGATTTAAGGATACTGAAGTAGACACATCTCTCATGGTGCTTAGTGGGCCAGGATCACTTGAGGAATTAAATGGTTTAAGTTACCTGTCCGTCGATGATCCTACTGTTGTCTATTGCCACGCATATAATATCCTACTATGTCATGACCACGCCTCTACCCATGCCGCATCATAGTGTTGTAAATATTTGTACAACGGCCTTCCGTGTTTTTGTGTTTTATGTGCTTATTTTTGTGTTCACCTAAAATCTCAACTTGAGTGATATGGCACTTAAGGAAGCCTGATAATGAGAGTTTAATCTCCAAACCGGTCACAATGGAAGACAGTAGGATTACCGAGAGACAGGTAATCTAAACCATTTAATTAGACATCTCTATGCATCAGCTGTTGCCAATTTTTTTACAAATGGAACATGACAACATGTGGTGTCGCTGCTGTTGCTTGCCTATTAATACTGCTCGGTTTCTCTCTGCGGTCTTGGTCTTTTACGAGATGCCCTGATGCGATCTGTACTTGACCAGAGCCGCCCAACTCTTTTATTAACTCATTGTTCTTAAATTATTGTGGACGGACTCATCAATTTTGATGTTTATTTGTTTTCACGTCCAGTGCCTTTGGATGACTGAAATCTGTCATCGCATGCTGATTGGTTCCTGGAATCTGGAATCCAATTTCAGCTGTCTCTAGTAGACATTTCTGAATTTCGATATGACTAATCAAAGTCATTTTAAACTTAATTGAGGTATAATTAATAATATACATAGTCTCTGTGAAATTTTTGAAAAGTAGGGCACTCTTGACATTGTGGATTGCTAAATTCTTCCACTGTCACACAGAGTTTGTAAAAGCGAGTCGAACGCTCGTACTGCCCAGTGAATGCTGGAATCTCGTAATGAACACGTTCCACGCAAATCACATTTACTGTTGTCTCATGGTGGTCTTCGGACCTATCCATGACTGAAGAGACTAAAATAAAGTCGAAACAACAGAGCACACTTCTAATCCTGAAAGATGGATTAGTCGTATTTGACATAGCGCAGGCTCAATCAAATTTCGAATCTACAAACCACACACGAACATGGATCGTACACACCCGAGACGGTACGTGTGATAGTCCCAATGCTCGGAGAGGTTGAGATTTTGGTTTTGTAATTTGAAAGAACATTCAAACGAATGTAATTGAAAATTGGCAAGGGATTCGTCCCATTTACCTTCAAAAAGATTAACCTGTAATGAAGCGCTAGTCATATCCCCTCACAATAACGCGTAACCGGGTTTTAGACGTAGGGCAGATGCTGATCTTAATTGCAGCTATCAACCACAAAAGCTATATGCTGTGGGAACCCTCACGATCGCCGGATAGACAGATGTCGCCCACACGAATTGTGTAGAAGAGCCTAAACGTGCTACTGTTTGATGATATCAGTGATTCTAAAATTGCAGTCTGATTGATAAGACATGTTGTTTCGACTTTATTTTAGTCTCTTCAGTCATGGATAGGTCCGAAGACCACCATGAGACAACAGTAAATGTGATTTGCGTGGAACGTGTTCATTACGAGATTCCAGCATTCACTGGGCAGTACGAGCGTTCGACTCGCTTTTACAAACTCTGTGTGACAGTGGAAGAATTTAGCAATCCACAATGTCAAGAGTGCCCTACTTTTCAAAAATTTCACAGAGACTATGTATATTATTAATTATACCTCAATTAAGTTTAAAATGACTTTGATTAGTCATATCGAAATTCAGAAATGTCTACTAGAGACAGCTGAAATTGGATTCCAGATTCCAGGAACCAATCAGCATGCGATGACAGATTTCAGTCATCCAAAGGCACTGGACGTGAAAACAAATAAACATCAAAATTGATGAGTCCGTCCACAATAATTTAAGAACAATGAGTAAATACTCAGGTGTGCCTGGTCAACTCTAAGTTGACAATTTCATCTTTTCAAAATTTAGAAACATCAAAATTCAAAATTTCAGTTGGACGATGAAAAAATTTAATCCGTCCTCAACACATTATAATTCAATCTGTCGTGCACTAAAGTGTGCACCTGATGAGGTATGGGCTATCTAGCCCTGAGACCGAAACAGATGATATCGTTATGCGTATAATCGCACCTTTTACGTTGCAAGAGTGATTCCGCCACTAGGGCGTCTTTTCGCACGTATAACCCCAAGAACGAGTTTCGTGACCAATACATCTAACCTGCAAAATTAATTTAGAATTTTAGAAGGTTGCGAAGCCAAACACTTGCACCTAATGTTACAAGTCACTCAAAATTATTAATTGGTTAAAGTGATTGTGACAGGTGATGTAGTTGCAAATCCAGCGGAGCTGGTCAGTCTTATCAATCAGACTGCAATTTTAGAATCACTGATATCATCAAACAGTAGCACGTTTAGGCTCTTCTACACAATTCGTGTGGGCGACATCTGTCTATCCGGCGATCGTGAGGGTTCCCACAGCATATAGCTTTTGTGGTTGATAGCTGCAATTAAGATCAGCATCTGCCCTACGTCTAAAACCCGGTTACGCGTTATTGTGAGGGGATATGACTAGCGCTTCATTACAGGTTAATCTTTTTTGAAGGTAAATGGGACGAATCCCTTGCCAATTTTCAATTACATTCGTTTGAATGTTCTTTCAAATTACAAAACCAAAATCTCAACCTCTCCGAGCATTGGGACTATCACACGTACCGTCTCGGGTGTGTACGATCCATGTTCGTGTGTGGTTTGTAGATTCGAAATTTGATTGAGCCTGCGCTATGTCAAATACGACTAATCCATCTTTCAGGATTAGAAGTGTGCTCTGTTGTTTCGACTTTATTTTAGTCTCTTCAGTCATGGATAGGTCCGAAGACCACCATGAGACAACAGTAAATGTGATTTGCGTGGAACGTGTTCATTACGAGATTCCAGCATTCACTGGGCAGTACGAGCGTTCGACTCGCTTTTACAAACTCTGTGTGACAGTGGAAGAATTTAGCAATCCACAATGTCAAGAGTGCCCTACTTTTCAAAAATTTCACAGAGACTATGTATATTATTAATTATACCTCAATTAAGTTTAAAATGACTTTGATTAGTCATATCGAAATTCAGAAATGTCTACTAGAGACAGCTGAAATTGGATTCCAGATTCCAGGAACCAATCAGCATGCGATGACAGATTTCAGTCATCCAAAGGCACTGGACGTGAAAACAAATAAACATCAAAATCTTTTATTAACATCACAAAAAAGCAAATATAACTGTAAATTTCTTTAAGTTTGAGTGGAGACACTGTATTATTATATCCATTGACTATTGGGTACTGAAGTGGACTTCCCATCTATATGGACCAGTTGTTGCAAATTTTTATTAAAAAAGAATTTAGCTGTGTGCGAGTCACAGAATGCGCTAGTGTCCACAATATTTCCTACCTTTTTTACTGACCAAGTTGATGGTCATAACAGTTGCTATAGCTAGTTTGGCCTGGCAAAAAAGTTTTTTATTAGTTTAGATCAAAACAATCTGTTGGTGGCTTACATCAAGTACTACGATTTTGACAAAAAAAAACTGGCGTCAACTTTAACATAAGGATGGATGATGGAATGTCCTTATTTTTTTTAAAGTGTTTATAAAGGAACAGGATGGTAGACCATGGTGCCTTGAAATGTATAAATAAACACATTTATTTTCCTACTGCAGGTGCAGGAACCACAAATGTGTACCCAAGGCTAATGTTTGTGATGGAGTGAATCATTGCGGAGACGGCTCTGATGAGGAACCTGTGGCTTGTGAGTTATTGTGATTATATTACATGATATTAATAGGTCTGCAGTTTCATGGTTTCCTTTGCTTTGGTGCAGGAAACAAGTAGTTTGAATTGTAATTCTGACGCATTAATTGTAGAAAACGTGGTGTTCCCTATGAAATTAATGTTTAGAAGTGGTGGGAGTTTTTGACCATTAACCGAGTTTTTTACCATTTAACCTACATTGTTTTTAAGGGGTCTATAATCAGTGGTGATCATGATATTCCCTTATTCTACGCTACTTTTTAGTTTGCTGTGATGTTATCATTATTTCTGAATAATTTTTTTTTATGAATACATTAAGGTATGAAGGATATGTAAAACTGATTAATTAAAGATAAAACTTCCTGGCAGTTTGTAATATAAAAATATATATTTTGCCTCTTCAACAAGCCTTCTTTAAGAAGAAAGTTTTAAAAGTGGAATGTAGTTTAAAACATTTAACTACTCTCTTCGGCAAAGACCTCTTGGAGAATTAAAATATGTATGAATCCTGAGTCAAGCACAATTTCCCTCCAAAAACCTATGTAAGATTGGAAAATCAAACAAATTTACCAACCCTATACCGTTTTTGATAATTACTACAGTTAAACCTATTAAATTAGCATGTATAGTCCTTTTTGAGACAACAAATCAGTGAGCTTAGTTTAGTTTGTAATAAATAGAATTTTTTTTTATACCTAGGATTGTTGTTGCTGAGGTTATTAAACCACTAATTATTATGAATAGATTTAAGTTGTAATTATGCAACAACTAACTGTCCTCATTGTTGTTCAGGTCAGCACGCCAACCTATGTGGGGCAGGAGACTTCCACTGCGCCAGAGGTCACTGTATCAGCAGCAAGTTGCGTTGCGACGGCAACAACGACTGCGGAGACAACTCGGACGAGGTCGGCTGTCTCAAACCGCCCTGTGTGTTCGGTGCTTGTCCTCACACCTGTCAAGAGTACAAGAAGACGTTCAAGTGTGTGTGTGCGGAGGGCTACCAGTACAACAGAATCAACAATACGTGTATAGCTCTAGGTAAACTATACCATCGTTTTCTGCCTTGTAGCGCTGTTGTGAAACATTTCCCATGATCACGGGGTGATCGTAATTGTCTCCAGAGATCACGGCGTAATTGTGAACAGCTCCCATGGTAACGGAAAAATCGTGAACGGAGACATCACCATCGTCCCACTCCATATCGGCAACATCTCCCGTAATCATGGAGACGTCATGATTGTTACTCACAACGCGGGAAAATTGCTGAAGGGTGGAAAAAGTTCGGTCTCGGAAAAATCTCAAAACTGGGGATCAAGACCTGGCCATACTTAATACCTATCAACATCATGAACTTCAATATACATAACTTATTCACAACTATTCAATCGGACTATCTTCCCATAATAATTGTATTTACCAAAATACACTGTACCCTTTTTTAAAGTGTTTTATTTATATATTTCTTTGCAGGCTTAAAAGCAAATGGAATTCATGAATTAAAACAATTTCATTAAGTCTTTATGTACTTTGAATATAGATCCTGCTAATGAATATTGTTAATTATTTTATTTATTACTTGTAGAGGAAAAAAGATGTTTTATTACCTATTTTTATTTTTATATGCAACAAACATTATACATTATACAAAGTTATTCTGTAGTCTCAGAAACTATAAAAACGCCTAACTTTCCCTTTGTAAAGTCGTGAGTTGTATGTCGACAGGTGAGCCTGCAGTGCTCATGGTCGCCAGTGACAGTGACCTTCAGTTCTTGAACCCATACAAGTCTCACGAGAGTTCCGTCAACCAAGTGTCGGCCTCTCCCCATCACAAGATGGATGCCATGGATGTGTTGTGGGCCAGACAAGCCACTAAGGTACACCAAAATATCACAAAGTTTCTAGAAAATCTCTAAATTACCTGAGTTCCACACAAAAAGCGAAGAAAAAAATATACCATAAACCTTTTTCAACACATTATAAAAGGTTCCATACGATAATAAATTCAGGCGTAGCCTAATAGGTTTGGAAGCTGGGTACTTACGTATTATACCGACCACACCTAATATTTATAAACTAACCCAACCCAACCTAAAATAACCAAAGGGTGGACTATGTTTTAGGCAGTGTTGGGAAGTAGCGCGCTACAAGTAGCGACGCTACAGTAGCGCGCTACTTTTTTTGTAGCGTTAGCTGTAGCTACGCTACTTTTAAGATTTTGTAGCTTTAGCTGTAGCTAGCTACATTTTTAATGTAGTTGTAGCGGAATTTTAGCTATTTTTCTCGCTACATTAACATTTGTTTGAGATAGTGATTTTTATCATAACCTCAACCTTACGTGAAACAACCTCTTTCAAACTGAGATTTTCAAAAAAAATTAGGCCTACTTTCTTGGCGTCATACAGCTGGTTACAGCCGTTTCATTCCCTATTACAACGTTGTGTGGACATAGAGGCCATTAAATGAGTGTTATCCACATTTTTGGCTCTCATTTCCTTAATTTACTACTCTATGATTACTGTCAGATAAAATAAAATCGCTAGATGCAGACGACGTTTAAACGACCGGTAACAAGAGAATCTATTGACTTCTTTTGCAAGTGATTGACAGGGAAATTAGTAATCAATTTAGTTTCTTTATTATATTGATAATGTTTCAACTTGGAGTTTAATGGAAACCAACAAACCTTAAAATAATGAGAAAGCTGGTCTATCAACCTTTGCTTCAGCTGTTGATTGTGGTTTATCATCACAAGCCCTTCCTTGGTTAGATTACGAAGATTTTTCAAAGGTTTACTAAATTAACAAAGATGAAATTACCTGATGAGATAAGATATGCCTAGACTACATGATAATTGTAATGAAAAAATCTCCATATAACATGAAACTTACATTGAAAACATAGCATAGTTTGCTCCTGCTAACAGCTCTTAGGACTGAGGCTATGGTTTAAGACGAATACGGTACCAAGTTCCAAGTTCAATTATTAGGAATATATCTGTTTAGTCCTTGCAAGAACAAGCCTACTATAGCCAACTTGTTACATAGCCAAGTAGGCCTACATGTTATTTTTACTTTACAAATTTTAACAAAATTTTAACGAGAGTTTAAATTAAAAGCCGATTTCAGGATAAGTTGCTGAATACGGTTTTCTGTACCAACTAGGTTGAAGCACAATTTGCCCTATGCATAATGACAATAAAGGACGATTTCTTGTCTTTGAAAAGTGTTATTCATAGAACAAGTAACTTATCACTATGGTTAAAAGTTATAGCAATGTCGTTTTTAACACCAAAAGTAAAGAAAGGCAATAAACTCCAATTTCAGTAGGCTAGGCTCTGTAACACAAAAAAATATTTTAAAATAATCGTTTTACAGTTTTATTGGTCTTAATTGTTGATATAAGACATCTACAAATGAATCTATATTAAAGAAATATAATGAGCTTTTAAAGTATAGTTTGGTTGTATGTCCTTTGAACTTATAATGAAATTTACATATAAGATGCTTAAAAATAATGCAATAGGCCTATTTAAAAATAAGTACTAAATATGATGGGACACCCAACTGTTCTGTTGTTGTAATGTTAGGTTTATAATGCCAACAAATTAAATACAATCTAGGAATAATTTGTTTTTCCAAGTAATGTTAGATACAGTACTGGCATTTTTTAAATGTTTGTTCAATAAAAATGTAGTTGCAATTAATTTTACATTTACCTAATGTGCGTGGAATAAAAAGTAACGTCTTTGGAAAAGTAGCTAAAATTGTAGCTGTAGCTACATTTCATTGTAGCTGTAGTTGTAGCTAGCTACTTTTTCGGAACTGTAGCTGTAGCTGTAGCTAAGCTACTTTTTTGGAAATGTAGCAGTAGTTGTAGCTAGCTACATTTTAAAAGTAGCTTCCCCAACACTGGTTTTAGGTTAGGTTAGGAAGATGTTATTTAAACCAATTAAAATCTTATTTGAAAGTAGATTTATCGGTGTGGTCGGTTTCATACCAAAGTACCGGAAGCTGAATGTTCCAAAACTAATATTTTGGACAATTCCTGTTTTAACTAAACCAATATTGAAGCTGAATGCCTACTTCAGATTATCCCTTTCCCATCTAACAATGCTATGTTAATCAAATGTGATTTGATTTACAAATTTTACCGTTGTCTTCACCCACCCAAATTTTCCAGGCATACGATAATAGCACTTTTCAGTTACTCCCTTTTAACTAGTGGAATAAAATCAAGTGTTAGTGTGTATATCAGAGAATCTAAATAGAATTTTGCTGTTAGGTGTTTTGGGCGGATCATCAAGAGAAGAAGATAAGCAGTTTGCTCATCACGATGTCGTCTCACACGCGAGTCGACAGAGACGCTCAGCCCAGGGAACCTAGAGTGCTGGTGAGTTGTGTACACTAAATACATAGAAATAATGTTGTTTCTTTGAAATGCCTTCAACTTCTATAACATGTTAGGCTCATGTTCAAGTCAAATATTAAAATTCATTGTACCCCCTGAACTATTTAGATTAGACAATTTTAAGGTACATACTTTAACTTAAACAGCTCAGCAAAGTAGTAGTCAAACTCACAACATTTTCGCCTACTCAGGCATTGTCAAGTGATTTCCTTTCGAAGGATTGTCTTACCTTACCTCCTTGGCCATTCAAACCTAAGTTTGTTTTTGGCCTCGCCAACAAGTTGCCTCCAGTGTTTTCTGTCTGCTGCTTGGTCAATTGATGTCCCCATGCGCTGAAGGTCTTTCCGCACCTGGTCTCCACATCGTAGTTTAGTGGTCGGGTCCCTCGTGGTCGTCCATTTGTAGCTATCTTCAGGAGACTGTTTCGTTTCATCTAATTGAAAAACACATACAAAACATTAGGCCCACTATCAACCGGTTGCGGCATGGGGGCGGAGTCAAACTGGCTGGAATTATCTGTATCCTACCCCTCCTCCGTTATCAGTTATACTACAAAGCTCAAGTTACTCCTACTTTTAGCCTATCATGGCGTCATGAGACATCATGATAGCCATATTTTAAAGAACCAGCTAAACGTAAAATCACACTCGGTCTTTAACACCAATTTTTAGCCGAAATGTCTTGTCATCACAGCTTGTGTCGAACTAAAGGGAGTGTCCAACTATCCAGTGGTGAATTATCGAGGTTCTACAAAAATATATTTTACGCCCCTAACATTACAATAGAACTTCTTAATCTCGTCTTTGATTGACACTGTTATGACTGACGTGACTGGTCGATGTTGTTTGCCATTGTTTGTCATTCGTACCCAACATTACCTTTTACTAAATATTCTAAAACAGTTGAATCTAACCTCACAAGTAGTACTGTATAATGTGTTGTGCAGATCAACAACCTGGTGGAGCCCCGAGGGCTGGCTGTGGACTGGGTGGCGAAGAGGCTGTATTGGGTGGACGCTGGAGCAGACACGATCTCTGTGGCCACTCTGGACGGTAGGATGCGCCGGACACTGATCAAGCTGGCGTTGGATCAGCCGCACGACATTGTGGTCGATCCCAAGTCTGGGTGAGTATCCAGGGTTTGGTTGTGAATTTTGTCTTGGTCAGTAAATGATCGCACTTTACATGTAGAGTTCTTGGTAATATTTAAAATCACAAAGATTATGTACATTAGGGGTCTCAAGGCCCAGACTTTTGAGTCGAGTCGGGTAAACAATTTAATTCTCTTTTCTGAAGCCAAAATCTGGGTTCTTTGATATTGAGTTTTGGATTATGTATAATAGGAATACTACAATATGTTTGTACAATAATGTATTTTATCTCCCCAATTTCACAGCAAAATTTAGAAAAAATTCTGAAACAGTAAAATTGAGAACACCTTCCATGCTTACGGTGAAATCGAGACTATCTTCTGCAGTCATGACAAAATCAAAGACATCTTCCGTGGTCACAGCATAGTCATGAAGACTTTCTAAAGTGATGGTGAAATCGCAAACATATTCTGCAGTAACAGTAAAATTGTTAATTTTTCCTGGCAAAAATTTTAACGTAACCTACAATAATTTTTTGATCATGCATCTTAGCAAACGCTTTCCGCTATGTTAAAGATAAATATCTTGGCTGGACCTGACTCGAGCATTGCCTGATAATATTTTTGGCCCAAACCGGTTCCTGGGGCAAACTGACCCGCCCCTAAAATACTAGCCCTATTTGTACTATTTATGTTTTGTTAAATTTGGTCAAGAGAACAAAAACATTAATTTAATCATGGATTCCAGACACAGAAGTGAACAAGATATTGTTCACTATGATGACATTTGATTTCTTTCTCTAGTATGATGATCTGGTCGGACTGGGGCGTGGTGTCCAAGATTGAGACTTGTGGTATGGACGGGGAGGGACGCCGTGTGCTGGTGGACGCTGTCAACTGGCCGACAGGACTGGCCGTGGACTACCCCGCCAGACGCCTCTACTGGGCTGACCCCAAGGCTCTGACCATCGACAGTATCTTGCTGGACGGACGGGGCAGACAGCTGGTGCACAAGTTTGCCCAAGGTACTAGAGTTGTTAGTAGTTGATTCATAGAGTAGAACACCAATGATGTGAACTCATTCCAGATTGTATTATTCAGATCAAGGAGGAACAAGTAAATAAATTTGGAAAGAAAAATAATTGACTATCTAGATGGATGATCCCAACTGTTTCAGATTATTGGAGTTCTACTGTAGTTCTCAAGCGTTAAAAAGGTTTTAACCCTTCTGTGAAATGTTATATATTTTTTCACACAGCAGTATTTTCCGCTGAAAGAGCCTTTAGTAGTCCTCTTGAGTTTAGTGTTAAATGGTGTTTAACACCATCTAATGGAATCCCATAACTGCCTTTTGTTTTACTTAATAGCATGTTTTATTTATCAAGATGGGGTTTTTGTACAACATATTTATCAATTTGTCAGATAAACATCTCTCTAATGAAAAATTTTAAATTGAAAATAGAAGGGGAAACTCAAGAAGATTATAAAAGTGCTTGAATTGCTTAAGGGTCCTAGTTATGAATCCAATGATTAATTTATATTTTTGTATATTTAATTTTTTGTTGTAATATATCTAACATTATCTGACACTACAAAATATTCTTGTACGTTAGTTAAAGTGAAAATTATATTCCTAAAAATGTTTAACAAGTATATATCCATTATAAATATTTTAAAAGTATTCATTAGAAATGTATTCTTCTAGTACTTTGTATGAATCCCTAATCATGTGTTCAATTCACAGGCCAGAAACCATACAAGGTGGAGATATTCGAGGACTATGCGTTCATCAGTATGTACCAGAGCAACGATATTTTGAGGATCAACAAGTTTGGTCGAGGAAACACGACGTACATCTCGCAAGGATTGACAAGAGCCTCGGACATTGTCATTGTACACGAGCACAAGCAGCAGAACCGTGAGTGCTCTGCCTCTCATGGGGCAACTCCCATTGTCTAGAGATAGCCTGAGAATTTTGTCTGACACTGAGCAAACAGGTTATCCATTCAACCGTGAAAGCCTTAAAACCGTGAATGTGACGTAAATGTTTATAACTGTGAAAATGTGGATTCATCTGTGAATCTTTTGATTAATAAAAAATAGGGATGGGCCGATTCTTATTCTCAATTCCTTAACTTTTAATAATGGTACTGAAGAATCGGTTCTTATGGCTGTCAATTCAATATTGGTACAGAATCTCGCTATTGCGACAAAATTATGATCATCTCACTGATTCCTGGTAGCATCATAATTTTTCCCCACGATCATGGTGACAACATAAATTTTTAATTGCACAAACATTGCATTGAGTAATTTCTTTAATATCTCAATAGTTTTGACACTTGAATAATTTAAACACGTGCAGATTAAGCTGTGATAATCCAAGAGTTTTATTTTCACAATTGAATGGGGACCCTGGTTTTTTTGACAATTATGCAGTGTACTTTCTTTAGTTGTCCACTTTTTCTAAGTAGCCTGGAAGGTTTCATGTAAAAAATATAGTAATCATATTGGTGATAATATACCACCTTTCTGACAGCTTCTTAAATTTTCACGGTCGTAGCCTTAATTGATCCAGAAATGTAGTAGTGCATTATGTCTGCTTCACATCTAACATTTGACATGTGATGTTTCAGTGACGGATCCGTGTGCAAGTTCACCTTGTCACAAGACGGAGTTGTGTGTCATTGCCAAGGGAGGCGGCGCGCACAAGTGTCTTTGTCCTGACGGTCTCGAACCCAGACTGGTACCGGAAACTAACAGTACGGTAAGTCCTCAGGGATTTATTTCTAAGGCATCATCTTGATTGCTACTTGCTATGTCTATAGGAATTACGGCCTGGATTGTTTGAAGGAAATTTAAGTTGGGATAGTTATGAATGTTACGATATTCCCAAACCATATGTCCACCTTTGTATGCATATAGTTGTATTCTGTTGTAGATGGAGTGTGTGGCGGGGGCAGAATGTCCTCTACATTGTCACCTCGGTCAGTGTGTGGTGACGGAGACTGGGCCGCAGTGCAAGTGCCCACCACTGTACGACGGTGACCATTGTATGCATATAGTTGTATTCTGTTGTAGATGGAGTGTGTGGCGGGGGCAGAATGTCCTCTACATTGTCACCTCGGTCAGTGTGTGGTGACGGAGACTGGGCCGCAGTGCAAGTGTCCACCACTGTACGACGGTGACCATTGTATGCATATAGTTGTATTCTGTTGTAGATGGAGTGTGTGGCGGGGGCAGAATGTCCTCTACATTGTCACCTCGGTCAGTGTGTGGTGACGGAGACTGGGCCGCAGTGCAAGTGCCCACCACTGTACGACGGTGACCAGTGTCAGCACTACTTGTGCTCACAACACTGCAAGAACAACGGAATGTGTTTCCCTGACTTGCTACACTCAGGGACGGATAGTACTCAGCCACCGCCTCTCAAGGTGATTTGATTTCACTTACTACTTTGATCTGTGAAATCGACCTTGAACCATGGATTTCACAATTGCAATATGTCGGTATAATTGATGGTCGAAATTGGAAATTTTGAATCTTGAAACTAAGACAAACATTTTTAAAAAAAACCTCTAAACCTGGGTTTTGTTGTAAAAAATTAAATGCACTGTTGCAAGCTTACTTACATATTTTTTTGTTTTAATTTCTTACAGAATGTTCAAGTATGCTTCTGAGTGCTTTAGATTTACTTTAGGATGTGATAATGTGAATGGTATGTTTTTTCTGCATACAATACTAACCAGGTTAAAAAATTTTCTTGGGATAACAAATTTAAAATGTCTATAATGTGTACCTTGTGGATACATTTGTCTCTAGACAGAATACTGTTGATCTGAGCAGTTTAAAAATGTACACTGGCAGATTGACTGCAGAAAAAAAGAAGAAAAAATTCTGGTACTTCAAAGCTAGTGTGTTGAAACTCTCCAATTGAATCTCTAAACTGAAACTTTACTAATTTAAATTTTTGAGAAGTTATGTCCTTAGGCTTGAGTACGAGTTTAACGTTTGTTTCAGTGCTACTGTCCTCCTCAGTGGACTGGTGAGAGGTGTGAGGTTCCGGTGTTGTTGTGTGACAGCCGATGTCTTAACGGAGGCACGTGTCTGACCCCACGACCAGGTCTGGCTCAGTGCAACTGTCCCGCTGGTTTTACTGGTGAGTTGTTTGTGTTGAACCATTCAGTTTTGGATACTAAAGTAGACATCCCATTTAAGGCCCTGTCACACTCGCCGCAACTAGAGTAGCAGCTACTAATTGCTGAGTGTGACATAGTAAGTAGCAGTGACTAGCACTCGCTGGCGAGTCAAAATTCACTCGCTAAGAAAGTCGGACATGTTCAATTTTTGGGGCGAGTAGTCGCTAGTAGCCGACCTTAAAATCGACGCTGTCCACAGTTACAATGTAAAATCCTTAAGCTATTTCCAGTTTTTTCTGCATGAAATCGCCTTCCTCCAAAATGTATCTTTTTTCTATATCAGTGGTGGTACCATATACAACAACTCAACAAATTTTGGAACGGTTATCCTCATTATTTCAAAATATGATTGGGGGCCTTCATTTGCTAATTCTTTCATTAGTATTGATTAAGCACCCTCTCGTCCTATCCACTCCCGAACCCACTTGCGTTTTTTCTTCTTGATTTTTGCACAGATCACTACGCAAATCTGCAACAGACGTCTTAAAGCCTCCTCTCCTTAATACCAAAGATGACATTTTTCTCAGCACAGCAATTTATTCTACACAACCAGACTGAAGTAGCCGCTACAACTCGCCATGTGTGACTGGAAGTGTTTTTCAAGCCTGCGAGTACGAGTGGCGACTAAAGTAGTGGTGACTAATAGCAGCGAGTAAACTCACTATGTGTGATATAGCCTTTAGGTACTAGCTGTAGCCATTTTTTTCAAGAGTTGAATGAGCCACTTACAGAGTAGGTTGCTGAAATTTGATTTCCTCCTTTACTCTTTGAATTATAATTTATCTAAAGTAAGAGATGCCACAGTTTAGAGTAAGCTGTCTTGCCGATTAGGTTTTGTCGATAATTGTGGGTACTCGACAGAAATCAATTAATTATAATTAACATCAGTTGCTGCCTGTGGCTCATTTAAAATGCATTTCCATTCCAAACGAATGGTTACAATCACACTGCAATTTAGGGAAGATCATGTTTGAAAATCAATATTTTCAAAAGCAATCCAATTTTGGTACTGTACAAGACCGGAAGGCCAACATTTTATTTAGTCCCATTGTAAAAAAAGTCTTGCATGCAAATTAAAAGTAGTAGTTCTTGGCTTCTATGTATGCTGGGTAGTTAATGATACATACTGTAAAGCTGTTTCAGCACATTGATGTGTAGATAAAGGTTAGCAGCTTTGTCTTAATATACTGTTTGTTGTGCAATAGCAATATGATATTAGTGATTTCATTTTATTTTATTCAAGCGTTTATTTCAGGCTCTAGGTGTGAGAAGTGCACGGACTTGGTGTGTCAGAACGGTGGTGTATGTCAACGCAGCAACTCTACAGGTAGTCTGCACTGCTCATGTCCTAGTGGCTACAACGGCACACGCTGCGAGACTTCTCATTGCGAGAACTACTGTCAAAACAAGGTGTGATCACTCTCTGTATAAATTCTCTCTCAATGTATAAATTTGCCATGGTGACTTACATGTCACTGCTGATTGTAGGGCGGAAATGACCGTGTACCTCAATTTCTAGATAGAAATCTAGATTATTGTTGGAGATTTTCAGTGAATTTCCCATTATAGGGAATAAGCGATCACCGTAGGTCTCACAGTAAGACCTGGGACCTATTTACTTTTTTGTTTCCATCTTCCTAAATGCCAAAAATACCATTTGTTCAATTCCATATATATATGTTCATTAGCATGGTAATTTGAGAAAATCAATATGATTTTATTGAAATTTGAAAACGTACAAACCTGCATTACTTCAAAATCGAACTACGGGAAAGGGTAAAAATTTGATTTACTCATTTTTGAGCCTCAAGACAGAATGTTTTCTCTAAAATATTTTGTAGATCTTAAAAAACAAATAAACTATAATATTAATGTGTTTTCATACAGTTATTAGCCACGGGGAAAATTTGTAAAATTAAATTAAATTACCTTGTTATTCTTATGGAGAATAAGTAATCTGTTGTAGTTTGCTTGTTTATGGATATATTTTGATCAAAACTAGCAAATTTATTTATCATACACTGAACTATTGATATTTTATATTATTTTTGTGCCCATGGCTCAGTACAGGGATACCAGTGCGGGGTGTTATCACTTGGCTATAAGCTGTGATTGACAAAATTTAAACCTTATCCTCCATAACAAAAGTGTCACACTCTAAACATTAGCCGAGTTGTGCTCCCACCCCAAGTGTATAACATTTGCTAACAATGTTGTTTGTGCAGGGAACGTGCAACCTGAGCCCAGACGGACCTGTGTGTCAATGTCAGCCGGGATACAGTGGCAAGAAGTGTGAGAAGGACGGATGTGACAACTTCTGTCTAAACGGAGGTAAAGTCGTTTTACATTCAACAGTCCATAGCTTTAGAATTGATATTACAAAGTAATGTCTCATTTATATGTCGCGTACACTCACATAGTTTGACCTTAGACTAAACCGTTTGGATGTTTGTCCTAAAAGAAAATTGTGTTTTTTCCATCTAGTAATTGTTGTATTTGTGGAGTTTTGATTATTATTTTAGCGAATTTCCCTATAGGGAAGTAGCTATTACCGTAGGTCTCATGGTAAGACCTAAGCCCGGGACCGATTTACTTTTTAATTTTGATATCCCCAGAGGCCAAAAACACCATTCGTTCAAATTTTTATATATCTATATATAGAGATATACATATATATATACAGGGTGAGTTTCTACTGACCGTGTTAACTTCGCCAGTGGGTTCTACTCACTAAAAGGAACAAAAAAGTTCCTATAAACCCATGTCCGATTTTCGACTGTTTGGCTGTTTTGGGGGATTTTGTGTTTTTCTTATTTTATTAGACTTTGCTCCACAATTTATGTAATAAAAACTTAACCAATTACTTTAGAGAGTTATAGTTAAAATCATTGGAAAGAACATTAAATTTGCTATAAATCAAAGGTTTCATTCAACAATTATACCATTACATAGTCCACGTTATAACCAAAATAAAGTAAAAATGTCATTAAATTAATTAATTACGATAATTTTCATGGGCCTCCTTTGATACATAAACCTGCATTTATGCAATGTTGAAATGAATAGAAAACTTGGCATTTTAATAATCTTTCAAATGATATGCTATTCAATACTATTATTGATATAAACCAGTGAGAAATTACTAATAAACTACAATAAAACACGGTTTACAGAGTTTGTTTTTGCACAGTTTTACTGTTAATAATAATTACTGTATACTCCATGATGTATTTTATTGAACTATCTGATAAAATTTGTACATTATTTTAACTTTTAAATATTTATTAAAATTATCTTAATTAATAAAATGTACAAAACTCAAGGTTTTTCACATTTTCAAAGATGTAGTGTGTTTGATTCTTAAATGCTGTGTATTTAGTTTTACCTTGTGCTTGATTCAGTCAGCTTTTATTGATTTGTCATCTATAGCTAGATAACTCAGCTGCTTGAACATACCTTGTTGAGTAATTTGCTGTTTTAACTTTATATTTCCAAGTCAATTAAGAGTTTTTCAACATTTATTAAAATATGGAGCCTTTTACCAATCAAGATTATGCCAACATGATGAATACAGTAATTATTATTAACAGTAAAACTGTGCAAAAACAAAATCTGTAAACCATGTTTTATTGTAGTTTATTAGTAATTTCTCACTGGTTTATATCAATAATAGTATTGAATAGCATATCATTTGAAAGATTATTAAAATGCCAAGTTTTTTATGCATTTTAACATTGCATAAATGCAGGTTTATGTATCAAAGGAGGCTCATGAAAGTTATCGTAATTAATTAATTTAATGACATTTTTACTTTATTTTGGATATAACGTGGACTATGTAATGGTATAATTGTTGAATGGTACCTTTGATTTATAGCAAATTTAATGTTCTTTCCAATGATTTTAACTACAACTCTCTAAAGTAATTGATTGAGTTTTTATTACATAAATTGTGGAGCAAAGTCTAATAAAATAAGAAAAACACAAAATCCCCTATTACAGCCAAATGGTTAAAAATCGGACATGGGTTTATAGGAACTTTTTTGTTCCTTTTAGTGAGTAGAACCCACTGGCGAAGTTAACACGGTCAGTAGAAACTCACCCTGTATATATATATATATATATATATGTGTGTGTGTCCATCCGCACGATAACTTGAGTAATTTTGGTCCGATTTGGATAAAATTTGGTTTGAAGGTGTAAGGCGCGATAAACTTGAATGAGTTCGCGAACCAGCATGATCGGACTATGGAAACGGGGGTTTATGGGGGGTTTTATGGGGTAAAAATAGGTTTTTCCCATTTTTGACCCTAAAAACACAAAATTTCACAATTTATTTCTAAACCATTTTGTAGAGCTTAAAAAAACAAATAATTTAGTATATTGAAGCGTTATTATGCGCTTAATTGTTGCAGAGAAAATTCAAAACAATTGTAATTTTAAAATTCCCATGTTATTCTTATGGAAAATAAGTCAACTGTTGTAGTTTGCTTGTTTATGGACATATTTTGATCAATTTTTGAAAATACTTTTATTTCTTACTAAACTATTATCATTTAAAAAAAAAAATCTTTTTTACCCTCCCTGTTGCAGCAAACTTAAGTACTCGTTAAACTAATTCCATTTAAATAGGAAATAAATGTGCTATTTTTATGGAGGCATTTTAGTGTAAATCCAATCAGGTTAATGGAAATTCGCTTAGTCTGCAGGTTTGCTGCGGCGGGGGTATTTTCTTACTCTCTTGCTTACTCAACTTTTTCAACTAGGTAGAATTATACATTTGGGAGATAACACTTTTATTGTATTTGAGTCAAAGAGTAACATGTACACTTTGTAATTGACCCTAAAATAACAGAAAATTATTTAGTCCGCACTTAAAAACAAAATTGAACATAAAACACGCATAAGGTAGATTTCAGATTTTTAATTCCTGTAGTATCCTCAAAATTTACAGTTTAACTAAATAAAGTGGAAAAGAAACACAAAAAAATACTAAATATTCAATAGTTAGAATGTTTCACCTCACTGTCACTGACAGCATTTTCAACCAATAGAGTTTTTTTAACTCATCTCCATTCATACTTGGCTTAAAATACCTACATAGTATGGTCGCCATTTCATAAGAAAGTATAAAAAAAGTATAAAAAAAAGTTGCAACTTGTACATTTCTATTTTTTAGTGAAATTTTCTAACATCTGTGTATAGTGTTAAATTTTTGTTTTTGTGCCAAAATAGACTCTTCCCCATTCAGAAAACCTGCTACCCTAACAAAAATCCCAGGACCCTTGTACCCTAACGTGAAATATAGTGTAAGTACATTTCTATGTGCTAATACACAATGTGTTGTGATAGGCACATGCAACGTAACATCCAAGAAGCTGGTGTGCTGGTGCCGCCCAGGCTACGTGGGTCGCAGGTGTCAAGTAGATACGTGTAACTGCTCGTGTGCGCCTGGCGACCCCACCTGTCTCTGTCCCCCCATTCCCCCCGCCAACTGTACACAACACACGCCTGAGTGCGCTCAACACTGCCACAACGGAGGCACCTGCTTCATCAGCGGCGGCAACCGAGTTTGCAGGTACTTTAACGAGAAGTTTTTAAAAATATACTAGAACATTTGTTTGGTTTGGGAAGTTTTTTGGTCTGTGGTGAGTACTTTGGTGTGCATTTTTAAATTTTACTATTTTTTAAGATTAGATTTGGTGACAGTTAAATTTAGGAACATTTTCTAAAAGCTTGAAAATCTTGAATTAATTTGGTGTTTGGTTCTTATCAGAGCTAAAACTTTATGGGAATTTTACTTTTCTCTCTATTCTCAACCATTTCCATTTCATCACTCTCTCGGATAATACTGCTATAGCATAGCACAACAAAAAGGTGCGAGTCAAATGTATGCTACTCTCGTAAGCAAAACATCTAACACAACTACTGATGTTTTGCAGATGTCCTGACGAGTGGGAAGGAGAAGTGTGTTCAGTGAGGCGGGGGTCCGAGTCAGTCAGCTGTGAAGACTATTGCATGCACGGCGGGGTCTGCAGTGTGGAGGACGGACTGCCCCGCTGTCATTGTCTGGACTCCTGGACAGGCCCCCGCTGTGAGACTAGAGCCGTCTGTGACAACAAGTACTGCTTCAACGGTGGAACTTGCAAAGAGAGTCCTGACCGAGATCTTGGCCCAGTGTGCACGTGAGTAAACCTCAGCATAATTTACTTTCTGAAGCAGTTTTAACCTTTCATTTGCCAGTCCTGATTAAAAGCAAATGGGGAGCTGGTAAAGATAGTGTCAATTAATAAGATGTGTGGGAGGAAACCCCTAACTTCACTGAGAGTCACACCACTAGTGGTATTGAATGGATCCAACGGAAATTTATATTTGAGGTTATTGGTCAAAATAACAAAAATGACGATGGTGGGTTAAGGGTTCTTGTACACTTGTGTATCCCGCTTGTCATTCTAATTGACATGATCAATACAAGAATAAACTGTATTAAATTTTAGTGGCAGCACCTGGATGCGTGGGTCCATAGTCTGACTCGCTACTGGTTGATCGATTCACATACAAACAATATGAGTACATCTTTTCTGGTTTTAAAGCAACTTCACGTGATTCCTCTTGTTACGCAGGTGTCCACCGCAGTTTGTAGGCGTGAGATGTCAGACCAGGGTAGGTGCTGGGGCCTCGGCACCTGTGTTGGACTGGGAGGAGGACAATATAGCCATTACCACACTGTTTATACTGATGTCCCTCGTACTTCTGGTTGTGGCAGGACTGGGAATCACCTACTACATCATCAAGTTCAAGCGCAGGTTTGTATATCTTTAGTGTCTAGGAAAATGTTTTATTTCAATCCCTCTGTTTCTCAAATGTATACTAGACTGTTAAACTCTTGAGATATCGACAATTACGTTACATATGTGCTCTATAAGATATTCACTGTGCCACCGGTGCTATCCGGATAACCCCTGGTAATACCAGTGCTTTTACAGAATCTCATGACACAGGTGCTGTTTTGGCAATTCCTGATGTAATGTAATAGTTGGTGTCACTGGTATCTAAATTAAAATGTGCTGCAAATTGTTTATTAATATATAGGATGGTTCTTGAGCTTGGTCAAATTCATATTGATGTTGCATTTACAGTGGAAAAGGGTTCAGTCATGTTCGAATGCAAGATAATGTAGAGATCAGCAACCCCATGTATCAGAGCCAGGAGCTGGATGATGAAGTTGAGAGAGATTTTACTATTGAATCTGATCGGGTAAGTCAATATATACACCAGGTCAGCTGTGATTCGTATAAATGTAATCAACAATTGTTAACTATAATTAACCTTTGAAGTTTTCCCTGGACCTAATGTGTCAGGTGTTACACGTTTACCAATAGTAAGAAATGTCTATAGTGTTTTTTGGCCTTCAGCAAAGGAGTGTCCAGATGTTATTGTTATTGGAATCTATAGTTTTAGAAGTGAACCTTAAGATTTTATTGGATACAATTTAAAGTACTAAAATATTCTTGGAAGTATTTGAGTAAGATGAATAGTGGAAATGTGTAAATAGGGTTGCATGTTTGTTCCTGGTGCTACTGCATTTTTAATCATTTTCATCTGACATATATCTTAAAGGTTTATGTTACGTTAATCGTTAGAAGCCCATTTTTCATTTTTAGTGATGTTTAGTTACACACATTTTCCATCACGAATGGTAAAAAAATAGTTAGGTCTTGTGTAAATATTCCGCACAGATGTTTTTTAACCTGGTTGCCTTTTACTTAGGCTGCAAACTTTGGCAACCCTGTGTACGAGTCCCTTTACAACACGGCCAATGGAAGCGAAGAGAAAAAGGGACTTCTACAAGGAGAAACCGTTATGGAAAAACACCATCCTCTGGTCAATGAGAAATTTTAGTCCTCGTCGAAGTTTTAGAAAATATCGAAATGAGATTTTATTTAGTTATTTCAAAGAGAGTTTAAGTATTTTATTATATATTGCTGTACAAACGCAACGTGTAAGGTTAACTATTCGAACGCAAGCACCAACAGTCCAAGAACTGTCCTTCATTTATATGTGATAAACTAATGTTATCGATTATGTAGATTTTATAGTTACGTGTCATTTATTTTACACTTTTGTGATGTATAGTCGTTTAAACTGTGTTAGATGTAAGTATATATGTAAGGTTATGTTTCTACGGTCAAAACCATGTTAGAATACTTTGAAATATTTTACCTTTTGAAAAGTGTTTTAAAGATGTAAAACTACTTGCTATAAAACTTAGTTTTTTTATATTGAGAGCAAAATTATATTTTCCTTACTAACTAATCAAACCACTAGGCAAAACATACTGTATTTGAAGGCTTAACTTTTTGTCACTAACAACTATTTGTGAACTGTTTAACTCCTACAACAACTGTATTTTTTGTCCTTTTGTTTATACAAACGGAAAACCATATAATTTGGCTGTAAATATAAATAAGCCAAATTAGTTAAAAGACTGTTCTAACTATCTACTTTACATTTTAGTGTAGTCTAGTTAAGTTTTGACCTCATGACATTGAATTTATGATTTATTTTGCACAAACCTCTGTTTTCAATTTATTTATATGTTTTATTTACATGGGTTTCATGTATCCAGGGTTGTATAAAAACTGCAGGCAGCTTTTAATGAATTGTTTTTATATTGTTTTATATTTTGTTATTGTTATTTTTATACTAAAATATATTTATGAGCACTTTTACAATGAATTTAATTTTGTTTATGCCGAAAAACCACAAATAAAATAAAACTGTCAATAAAGTTTAAGGTTTATTGCACAAGAAAATCAAACCTTACCCTTTTTCTATTTTATGAGTACAGCTCCCTTGAATTGTAACATTTTAATCATAAGAAATACATTGTACAATAATGATCTTTACTTAGAGAATCTCTTTTATTGATTTTATATGTACATCACGTTATGTTTGGTGCCATGTAACCGGTTATGTTTAGATCCAATTCATCACAGGGTAAAAAATTAATTTACTTTTTTGTTGTTTATATCTGATAAAAAGTAGCCAACTACTTTAAAAGCAATCAGCTATTGTAAATATGTATCACTTAAGCAGGTTTAGTTTAAGTAACTCAACTAAATCATTTGTATAAAGTTTAAATTGTAATTTACACTTTTATAGTTAAGAAGTAAGAATCCGATTTCGTCCTAAAATATCCTATTCATTCAGTGCTAAAAAGAACAGTGTCCGAGGCAGCGTGTAAATGATTGTACAAGTATTTGTTTTATCTAGCAGTCTGGGGCATCTAGCAAATAGATTAACGGCTTTGACCCTAAACTATCTCCTTCTTATGTTTTTTTAAGTTTGACACTTTTTTCCTTCTATATCAATATTCAGAGCTTATTTATGTTTTCTCTATGGTGATCTCGATCTATTTTCTAAACGCTAGGTTCAAGACAACTATTTGTACGTCATGGTTGCATATGAAAGTGCTTCTACTACCTGATGGTTGTGCTCTCTATGGTAACTATTGTCACTTTTATATTTTTAATTGTGCCAAATATTTCGCTATTGTTTTTACACATATTTTTGTAAGTCATTTATTAGCATGATTGTACGAAAATAAACAAATTTTAGATTAAATGTTGTCTATTTCACCTCCACCTTTGTACTGCTTTGTATCTGTTATGGTTGAGAGTGTTATTTTTTTTATATAAGAAATTATGTCCTCTTTATCCTTACCTTCGTCCATTCAAGAAAGGTACTTAAAAGGAATAAGGTCAAAGGCCTTCCTTTTCAATGGTTTTTTTAAAGCTTCAATTACTTTAGAACCTGGGAGTTGTTGAGTGGCTCATGTATTAATTACCTCCATAGCTACTTTGTCCTTCCCTGTTTAAATGATTTTTAGTGACAAAAGGTTTGAAAACAGGCAGTAGTGAATGATTGTTCTAGATAACAAAACATTTTCAATCTTAAAAGGAATGTAAAATATTTTTTAAATGGAATCCATGTCATCTTAAATTAATCTCCCTTGTTCACTCAGTACTCACAGTGCCACCTTTAACTCCAGGACGCGGCTTTGAAGTGGCAACGTCGCAAGGAGTGTTGTAACAGTTGTTTTGATTGGACTATCTAATGGTATTTTTTAAGATTACGAAAGTTTGGTTACTGGGCTATGAAAATATTTACTCCAATTTAAATGTGCAGAATTATATTCTCAATTTATATTGTTTTGGTTTTAAATTCTATATGTTTTATTTTCAATCTTTTATTACATTATGTTCATAAATTTAAATGAATACGCGAATTAATGAGCTGATGTTACCTGTCTGTCATGTTATCTTATGGGAAGTCTGGTGCTAAACAACACTACTGGCGACGCGACTTTGCTAATTCCATTGGGCCGCGGCCTGGAGTTAAAGGTGGCCGTGGTATATTACAGCTATTCGAAATTCGAATGTTTATTATTTTAAATCCACCACTACAAATTAATTTTGGTAATTTTCTTGTAAAATGTAAATAGTTCAAGGATAGTATGGAATAGTTATTTGTGCAACTAGTGAGAAAAGTGAAAAGTGTAGGCGAGTGAGGAATGGTTTCTCGAGTGAGGCAAATGCACTTTGAACTCGAGTTGCACATTATACTTTTCCTACAGTTACCATAAAACAAATAAATTGGTGAAGAAACATAACCTATTTTTACACAGAAGTGAACTTTTAATAGAACATTTAATGTGAACAGTACAACAGCTGACCAGCTGATTTACAGCCAGTGCTACCAACGTATTTCGCGCGCATACGACGTTGCCTGCATGTTACGCGCTCACTATTTCGTGCCTTCACGTTGCAAATCTGGAGTGAGACAAAGTAATTAGAGTGAGACAATGTGAACATTGTCTCACTGATGAGCGAATTGGCCACTTTGCTTTCTCAAATCAGTGAGAGAACATGTACATTGTTAGGTAACTGTAGGAAAAATATTTAAAGTGATTCAATATTGATCAGGGTAAAACTGAGTTTTCACTACTTATGTTATTTTGACTTTTTTTTACTTTATTTACCTAAATTAGACTTTTTTGAGCACTTTTTACATTTAACACTTTTGGGGGAAACGCCGTTTTCACCCTCAAAATCGCGTTTAAAGTTTGCCAAAAATTATCACAATAAGGCCATAGGTAATTATGTCGACCTCCAGTCAACGCTCTAAAAATTAATTTTTTTTTTAATCTGTTCGATTTTTAATGCTGATTCCAAAAATGATATTCATTTTTTGCGGAAACGTCCCGTTTTCCCGGAAAATGGGAAAAACGGGAAAAATAATTTTTTTCCCAAAACCCATGTTGTGGGTACTCAAATTGTGCGGAATTTCCTCCTGAACAAGAATACACTATTAAGTAAAATATCACCGGAAAAGCTACCGCGCTGGCTACTTATGTACTGCCGCGTGGCGATAGCATTGCGGGTGACTCTAAGCCATTGTAGAATAAGGGCTTTATTTTGGGTTAGGATTGGTTAGGTTAGGTTAGGTTAAGTTTGGTTAGGTTAGGTTAGGTTAAGTTAGTTTAGGTTATGTTAGTTTAGGTTAGGTTAAGTTTGATTAAGTTAGGTTAGGTTAAGTTTGGTTTGGTTAGGTTAGGTTAGGTTAAGTTTGGTTAGGTTAGGTTAGAATAGGTTAAGTTTGGTTTGGTTAGGTTAGGTTAGGTTAGGTTAAGTTTGTTTAGGTTAGGTTAGGTAAGGTTAGGTTTGGTTAGGTTAGGTTTGGTTAGGTTAGGTTAGGTTAATTAGTTTAGGTTAGGTTAAGTTTGGTTAGGTTAGTTTAGTTTATCAATAACATGAGTTTTGTAAGTTAATGGACCTAAAATTGTGGTATGCGGGCTTTATTTAAGGTTAGGTTGAGATTGGCTAGGTTAGTTTACTTACAATACTCATGTTATTGATAAACTAACCTAATCTAAACTAACCTAACCAAACCTAACCTAACCAAATCTACTTAAACTAACTTAACCTAACCTAAACTATACTAACCTAACCTAACCAAACTTACCTAACCTAACCTAAACTAACCTAACCTAACCAAACTTAACCTAACTTAATCAAACCTAACTTAATCAAACTTAACCTAACCTAACCTAAACTAACTTAACCTAACCTAACCTAACCAAACTTAACCTAACCTAACCTAACCAAACTTAACCTAACCTAACTCAAAATAAAGCCCGCATTCTACAATGGCTTAGAGTCACCCGCAATGCTAGCGCCATGCGGCAGTACATAAGTAGCCAGCGCGGTTGCTTTTCCGGTGATATTTTACTTAATAGTGTATTCTTGTTCAGGAGGGAATTCCGCACAATTTGAGTACCCACAACATGGGTTTTGGGAAAAACATTATTTTTCCCGTTTTTCCCATTTTCCGGGAAAACGGGACATTTCCGCAAAAAATGAAAATCATTTTTGGAATCAGCATTAAAAAACGAACAGATAAAAAAAAAAATTAATTTTTAGAGCGTTGACTGGAGGTCGACATAATTACCTATGGCCTTATTGTGATAATTTTTGGTAAACTTTAAACGCGATTTTGAGGGTGAAAACGGCGATCCCCCAAAAGTGTTAAATGTAAAAAGTGCTCAAAAAAGTCTAATTTAGGTAAATAAAGTAAAAAAAAGTCAAAATAACATAAGTAGTGAAAACTCAGTTTTACCTTGATCAGAGTAATCAGGCAATCAGGTCTCCTATTGGACTATATTCCTATAGCCTAAGCCTGCAGAACTACGAAACTGCATGTTAAAATAACAAGCCTGCGAAAAAAAGCCCTGTCTGTCTATCCGTCTCTGTCACTCTCCTCTCCTCCTCCTCTCTCTCCTTCCGTGCTGTCAAGTGAAGGCGAAGTATAGTTTTGTATTTATTTTATGCCCTTATTAAACAAACCGGCTGTAAATATAATATATACTGTTGAAGTAAAAACTTAGATCCTTAAACCATGGGAGGTATTAGGAAGTTTAAGAATAGAAAGACTAGAAGACAAGAGAGGAATCAGGTAAAATCTTTTTTAAATCTCACGTTCCCATTTATAGGTTAGGTCAGCTTAAATTATATCCTAACCTTTGATAGAGATGTTAATTAAGTGCTTTACTTACTGAGATTTTTAGCATTGTTATAATCATATTTCATCAAGTTGTCTGGGGTATTAGTATTGCATGTTGGTACGAAATTGCATGTTATATCAGAGAGTGTTACACATTTAATACAAGATATATTGCACTATATGTGTTTTATGATTTTGGCTATATATTGAATCTGAATCCATTAACACGTTCGCTGGGGGTGCAGCGCTCTTGTGCCTGGGTCAGTACTAACCCACAGCGGTCGCACTGTACACTGGCAATAACTTACAATGGGACTGGCTAGTTCCAGCCAGTGCTGCTTTCTGTGAGTGTTCCAGCAAACTTCATCGACTGTCGTCGTAACACAGCACATCATCGCACGTCATTTGCCATTCGTCAGACCCATATATTTGAAAGCCAAACGGGTTCGCTCGACGCTGTGCCTCACCAGGGCTATGCCTGGCCATTGGTGGGCCGTAGTGAACGTGTTAAACGTTGAAATGTATAAAGGCACGCCCTAGTTCTAGGCTAATGACTTAGGCCTAGACAAACTAAGTACCTTTTTCACGCTATGCCTAGGCCCTAGCTCTAGGCTACGGTTGGCCTAATGACTTAAGTTTAGTCCTAGACCGACTACCTTTTTCACTCTATGCCTAGGCCTCTAGCCTATGTTGAGTTGAAATAGCAACAAAACTCTTTTAAATCATCTGATTTTTTCAGAGTAGGGAAAGCAAACCAAAAAGAGTACGTGGGCCTTATTCAGAATTGGTGAGAGAAAGTGCAGGGTTCGAAAAATATTACAAGGTAAGCTACAAGAAACTACCTAGGCCTAACCAAGCTTTGTCCCTTCAGGAAATTTAATAGTCAACATAACTTAAGCTACACTATAATAGGCTGCAATTATTTTGAGTTAACTTACTCAATAAAATGTTGGCCTAAGTTAATTAAATTGTCAACTGAGATCTGTCCTTTCTCTTTACGGACATGTGGAAGTTGATAAAAAAAATGAAGAATGTTTTACTAACACTAAGCAATGAAATTGTTGGCCTGTTATATTGAAATTTATTTAGAGGCTAGGCTACTTTTAAAACCCAATTTAAAATCAACTTAATTTTATGTTAAGGTTAAGACTTTTTAAGAGCTTCTAGTATTTAAGTTAAATGCATTTTTAGGCCCAAAATATCGTCCCTGAGTCAGAGTGGGAAAGTTTCCTCAACGCTCTTAGACAAGACTTGCCCGCTGCTTTCCGTATAAGTGCTTGCAATGAGAAAGAAGCAGCAATCCTATTGGACATTGTGGAAGGGAGTTTTTTCAAAGGACTGATCAACACTGACGATCCTGAAGAAGAAAAGAAGAAACCATTTTGCTTGCCATGGTAATTAACCCTCAGATATATCCTGGTAGATTTTAGATTGCATTATTTTATGTTTTGAATAGATAAGAATGAAAAATCTGCTATTGAATGACTAAGTTAACTTGTATGAAGAAATGTTTTAAGTTCTAACTAAGTTAGATATATGATATTGCATAAACATTTTCATTTAGATCATAAGATTGACAGTAAACAGGTTAAAGATAGGTAATCAAACCATGATTTTAGACTTATAATAATTTGTATTAAGTAGGCCTATAATTAAAAACAAATGGTATCACTATAGGCTTAATATTAATAATTCAGTCATTACAAAACAAAATCAAATATTACTCAGTACATTAGGTGATTTGTTTGTTATCGCAGGTTATTTCAAAAGTAAGTTATATTCAGGGAATTAAGGTTGATGATCTAAAGAATGTGTTTCCAAGGGCTTTTGCTCTAATAAGACTGAACTGTACCAACATTTTAATGTTCTGGTACTAAGAATTGTATTTAGTTACCAAAACCTCACTAGTCAAATTGACAAACATTTCTCTAGGTACCCGAAACGGCTGGGATGGCAAGTACCAATATCCCGCAAGGATATCCGTCGATCAGAGACGTACTTCAAGCTTCACAACTTTCTTATGTCCGAGACAGACTCAGGCAACATCAGCAGACAAGAAGTGGTCAGCATGATACCTCCTTTGGTTCTTGACGTGCAGCCTCATCATAAGGTATGGAATCGTAGGCTACATGTTGCTTTACCTCATCACGTATTGATTTTGTTATAAGTAAGACTATTTTACTAGAGGAATATAAAAATTAGTGTTTTTCTTAGGCATAGCACTGGATGGGGCTAGTGACCTTAATTTGGAAAAAACCGAGACTCATTCAACTGTTAGTTTTACATTGAGTAGCTACCTATTAAACATTGGTCGCGTGCGCTACAAGCCTCTCTTGAAACTCCGCCGATTGTAAGTTTATGAAAACTGTTGTGAGATCATCCCATGATTCCAAAGTACTTTCTTACGTTGTCACATTTCAGAGAGATATCTTTTGCGCCAAAAGTGTAGGCAGATTATATCTGTCAGCTGCCCACTTTGGCTGGCCTGCGGAAGTCAAATAATCGATTTTAGCAGATGAAAAATATAAATCTAGCTCTAGTCATGCTTCTCAGAAATGCTAGCAATTTGAAACATTTTGTAATCATAAATTGATCGTTTGGGAAAGTGAAGCTTTGGTGTGGCTAAAAATATGATCACTAAGAATTCAGTTGTTACTAGGTCTATATTATTACTAGGCCTACTATTGCGAATCTCCTCGTTTGAAATTATGAACCCTACCCAGTTTTAGCTGCTAAGTATTTACCAAATCATTGGTAGTTTCCACCAGTTCAATGTAATCGATGTTTGACTAGGTACTCGATATGTGCGCAGCGCCAGGCTCCAAGACGGCCCAGCTGATAGAGATGATGCACACTGGTGACAGTGTGCCCAGTGGTGTTGTGATTGCCAATGACGTGGACAACACAAGGTGTTACATGCTGGTACATCAGGCCAAGCGGCTCAACAGTCCGTGTACTTTGGTGACCAACCACGACGCTAGCATCATGCCCAACATCTACCTGGAGAAAGAGGGTGAGATATTTTGTGATTGGACTCGTTTTCAAAATATTTGTACTTTGAATAGGGAGGTGTTGTTAGTCTAGTTTTTGGAAGGAGTTCTTGGTTTAGGAATACACTAAGGATACACATTTACTTAACCAAGAAATAAGTTTCAAGTAGTTGACAGTACACAAACAGTTCATATGATTTGATATTTTTCTTTGTCAAACGGGGGCTACTTCTGAAAAAAATAATAGAATTCTCATTGGATAGCAAAATTCAACTACTTTCTTACGAAGAAGTTCCTTTGTTGGGTGGAATATCAAATTAATTGAGTCGTAAAATTTTGTGATGTCTGCTGCCTGGAACTCTCTACTTAGCCTAGTGGTCAGCGTCTGCGGTGCAGAAATAGTAGGTTTGATTCCCAGCATTTCCAAATTTGCTTAAAAGCTTTTGGCTTTTTCAATACCAAATGTCAATACGGATATACTGGCAAAAAAATTGTACATCAGTGTTGACCAGCGTGGTTTGTATTTTCTCATAACTTTAATGAACTTCAAAGCTCTTTTAAAAGTTTATTTCTTTGTTAAAAAACATGATACCTACAACTAGTGATGTAAAATACCCAGGTATTTAAAACTCAGGGTAAATACCCTGGGTATTTACCCGGGTAAATACCCAAAATCCATAAATACCCGGGTATTTTGGGTATTTATGAAATCGATTGAAATTCATTTTTATCCACCCCTAAATATGTTATTGTTATCATTAGCCTACATGATAAATTAGGATAGTCTATAACACCTTTTACAGTAACTTGAAGCTTTGCTCGTACCTTTTATTTAGCACTTTTTTTATGAAATCAAGACAACACCTCATCAGAGAAATAGACCCATGGCCTGATTGATGTAGGCAGAATGGCAGAATACTGAAAGTACAGTAGACTCCCTCTTACCCGGACTCCTCGGGACCGAGGCTAGTCCAGATAACGGGTTTTCTGGTTAAACCGAAGTCCCCAAAAACTTGTTAAAACGGAAACCGTGTACCGGTACTGTCATATTCGACTTTAATTTAGGAGAGCATTGTATTTAGATACGTGATCACTGGTCTCAAATCTTTCCCACGAGAACAGTCGTTTCAGTACCGCTCACTTCTTGCCAATCTAGTCAGGTTAAACCAATGGGCTGATAAAAATTGTCCGGTTAAAAGGTGTCCGGATAAGAGGGAGTCTACATTAAACTTTTCTGTGTTACCGCTTAGTTGGGAACAATAATATATTTGGATAAACCTACTAAAAAATGTATCTCCTGTTTTTTGGTCTAACTTTGATATATTTTTGAAAGATTTATTGTGCTATAAATTCAAATGTTTTGTATCACAAGTTTATGAAATTAGTTTTATTTTTATTTTGATACCAACAAAAGATCTAGAACAAAAATATTATTAAATCCTGCCATCCTACGGTTTGAATTTTAATTATTTTCTTAAGTTGTTTACACATAGGCCACTACTAGGTTAAATTTTCCTGTCTTTCTAAATAATAATTATTATTTTACAAATTATTTTTCTTCACTATTAATAAAATAAATTCATCTATCTATCAAAGAAATTGAAAAATCATAAGTAGTCAGGACCAGTGCAACCATGCGACCAGGGTGTTTATGCCGATTATGCTTTATGCTCAGACCTGGGTATTTATGGTGATCATACCGAGAAGTAAAATGCTAGTAGTGACCATATGACATTTTGTTTAACACATTTTATTATCATTTTATCTATCTTTACAAGGTAATAATTGCAAAAAAACATCTCAATCTTCTCTAACTTTAATACAAATTATAAATACCCAGTTTTTGGGTATTTACCCGGGCCTGGGGTAAATACCCAGGTAAATACCCAATTTATATTTACCTACCCACTGGGTATTTACCCGGCCCACATCACTACCTACAACATTTACATTGCACAGTAAATTTATGATTTACCTACTGTGCTATGTCTAACATATTTTAGAACGGCCTATAACTTTTTGCAGTTTTTCATTAGGATACAATTATAATCTACATGGCAAATCTGTCAAAAATGCTATACTGTAATCGTTTAAATCCCTGTTCTTATCAGTTTCAATGTCTTTTGGCATTTGTTGTTATCTTTTTGTTTTCTTGATTAATTTTGTAACAGAATATCAAATAACAATGTTTATGGATGATGGATGTCAGGCCTAGAGTTGAATCTAAAATATTTTATCAATATTGCAGACGGAAGCTCTGAGATTATGAGGTACGATCGTATTCTCTGTGACGTTCCATGCACCGGAGATGGCACCATGCGTAAGAATCCCGACATCTGGACAAAGTGGAACCCTGCCAACTCGAATAATTTGCATGGGTGAGTCAATTGAATTTAATATTGTTTTTATAAACTTTTTAATGACGTCAACTTGACCGACATGTGAGCAAGAAGTTATCCTCCTGACTTACGTGATCATGGTGCAACTCAGCATCGAAACCTGGTTGTAGAGTTTTAACGACCATATGAGCTACTGACAAAGGTAACTTAAAACCATTTATTGAATTTAATAATCAGAGGATGGGAAAATATACATGTGCTTTGACAATGACCGGGTAGTAAAGATTTGTTATACATTGGTAGAAGGTTGATTTTTTTCCCTGAACTATTTGGTAGACATTTGATTTTTTCCTGAACAAATAATTATTAAGGTGTATGTTAGTGTGCAACTGAACAAGTATTACCATAGATAAAGCTATACAAAGTATTAATAACCTTTGAAGTAGTTAACATATTTGGCTCAAACTCAATGGTTTATGAACTGTAGCCTATTATTCCAGGTGCAATAAATAATCACTACATCTCTAATAACTTAGGTTTCAACTTAAAAAATATTTTACAGTTTCAACCTTAAGAGTAATACATTATGTGTTGGGTTTTAATTTACCTATTTACCTACTAACATCAGAATTTTGTTTGGTTTTGTAGTGTACAAATGCGGATAGTGAAAAGAGCCTTAGAGCTCCTGGCAGTGGGTGGAAGATTGGTTTACTCAACGTGTTCCCTCAACCCACTAGAAGACGAGGCAGTCATTCACAGAACTTTAGTTGAGGCCAAAGGTAAACGTTGGTCTTTCTGACATACGGGAGGGTGGGAAAATGTGAGAAATTATGTTTTCAATGAGCGCTGTGAAACATTTCTTACGGATTTTGGCCCATTGTTAGAGTGCAGTACTTTGGTTGATGTAAAAGGTTGAAATTTGAAATCCCACCTGACAAATGACAATGACGATTTATTATTGCAATTGCGACCCAGTAGTATTAGCAGTCCATCTTCAGTTACATCTCCTTCAAAGTAATGTCTCTTAGTCAAAATGAACTGTCTATTGAGACCTTAATTTAATTTATTTATTCATGAATTCACCATTTCACAAAATTTTCTTTTCACAACACCCCTTATTCTTCATGGAAAGCCGTAAAGTAATTTTTGTTCAAAAGGTTGGTAGCTTCTTTTGTCCTCGGATTTTCCCACCATGGGCCTCAGGTGTTTGCATGGAACACATAGTTTAAAACAAAGCAAGGGTGAGTTGATACAGTAACAGGATGAATAAAATGTTAACTTAACTATACAACCTCGCTGCTTGATTTGATTTCTCTACCAACAGAGCCAACGATTAATTAATTGTTCACTATTAGCCTGTTATCAAATTCACTATCAGCCGTCACACTACTCTGTGCAGTTTACTGACACTTGGTAGTAAATGTGAGAGAAAAGAATTTATTTATAAAAACACATCTGCCTTAAAAAATAAGGTTGCCAATGACACAGAAAAAAATATACACTCAAAATATTGAAGGATTAGGATTATTAACAGCTATAAGACTGATCAATTTTTATGTTTGCCATATAAATGATTTCTCATTATAGTCAATGAACCTCTTGATTTTTCGTGGATAATAATTTTCAAAAAGGATCTGTCCAAATCATATTTTTCCAAAAGTTCACAAAAATTTTGATAATGTTCTTCTAGAACCAATAAACAATCCAATCACCTCTATTTTTGAAACTTTGAAATTTTGCTTGAAATATTCAAAGATAGATTCATATTTTTTTCCTTTCCTCATTTATTTAATTTGATTGGGTTTATTTCAAATCAAATTGTTAGATCGAGAACCATCCCTTTGTTTGTTTCTCTCTCTTTCGATCAATAAAATATCTACTCTTCTAGTGCTTCCGGAAAGACAATGTACTTCTTCATGCACTTCCCATGTATTATATCTTTTTCGTTAGGCATTTGCTATAATACTTCTTATTTTGTGGTGCCTTGTGTTTCTTAGAAGTTCACGAAGCGGACAGAAGCCAAGGGCATGTGATTCAATGGTTGTTTAAAACAATAGACATTCTATAAACAACCTGTTGTGACAAATCCTTTTGTTACGACTACAGGTGCTGTGGAGTTGCAGGATGTCTCTCAGAGTCTGCCAGGACTGAGGCACAGCCCTGGAGTGTCGCATTGGGTCCTGGCGTCCAAAGAGACGGAGATCTACAAGACCTTTGAGGAAGTACCAGAGTCTCTACACAACATGATACGTCCGGCGATGTTTCCTCCCAAAGCAGAGGATGCTGACAAGTACCATCTGGACAGATGGTGAGGGCAATTGCGGATGAGATGGTTGACCGCAAAACTTTTATATAATTCTTTTAATTATGGCTAGGAGTCTGAGGGTGTTCGATATATGTATGAGTCGGGCCAGGCAAACAGTTGGCCCAAGGGTTAGTTCGGGCTGGAAATAATGTTTGGGCCAAGCTAGGGTTGGATTGAGTTTTTATTTTCGCAGTCGCAGGAAGCCTAATTTTTGTAGACGTTGTCGTTGACTAATACTTTAATTATTGCTGTTTAATTATTTGATAGTTACTAATTTATTGGGTTCATAATCTAGTCCTCGGAAGGGTTAAAATTATGAAATACGTCAAACAACAAGGCTGTCCAATATACTAAAATGGTTATTTCATCCACTTTTCTAAGACCCATATTAAGTTTGAACTATTCAAGGCCCATTGATATAAGTGTGCTTGTATCCTCAAATAAATTGAATACCATTCTTTTGTGAATTAAAATCATTTTTAATAATACCACTAATGTATTGTGGTACTGCACAGCATGAGGGTTCTACCTCATCACCAAGACACCGGTGGATTCTTCATCGCAGTTCTCGTAAAGCTGTCACCGCTACCGTGGGAGTCGTCCAAGTCCGCAGAAGCTGGTAACGGAGACGTTGTTGAGAAAGAGAGCGTCAAAACTAACGGCCCTCCTCAGAAGCGACGGAGAATACAAGGCTATCGTGAGGACCCGTTTGTGCTCTTTAAAGAAGAAGAACCTGTCTGGCCTATCATAAGGTAACTCGTGGATTCTGGGCATGTTTTATTCAAATGAGCTACACTCTAATCTTTGAAAAGACACAATATTTAACATTGAGTCTCAAGCAGGAAATTAGCCTAGATTCTGTCAATCTTTTAGAATTTCATATTGATTCAAAATTAAGTTGGTCAACTCAAATTGAGACGGTTTGCAAAAAGTTATCAAGAGTAGATTGCTTATTATGGAAATTAAAAAAACAAATTGTTAACCAAGAACCAAGAACATTTGAGACTATCGTATTTTGGTCTGTTTCAGTCCCACATACTCGATGGTATTCTAGTTTGGGTACATTCCCCTCATGTAGCTAATATGTTGTCGATTCAAAAAAGGCATTACCTACATGATATTGATAATTCTAGGTAGCTCATTGTAAACCTATTTTCACAGAATTAAAAATTCCAACAGTAATCAATTTGTACATTTTTCAAGCATTACTCTATAATACTAAGTCAAAATTAAAAATTCTGAAAATATTGGCGAAGTTTTTATTCCAAATTTATATTCATTCAAATATTACCAGTTATTCTTGAAGATAAGATTGAGGTTGTTTGAGTTTCCGGTTTTTAACCTTTTCTCTTCTCTAAGTCAAGAATCCAGACAACAAATCGGGGGCTTTATTAAGGCAACTCTCATGAGTGCTCATGTAACTTGTCCAATTGCACCTTCACTCTCAATTGGTGGTTAGTTTTTGCTAACTGTTTTGGCCATACTTCAGCGGTTCGCTAACCTTTTTGTCTGTGGACCCATATACATCCTGAATTTTCTTTTGCAATCCACTTGTAGTAATAATAATAAATATCATTAATTGATTAATTTAAATATTAGTAGTGAAGTAATAATAATCAAATAATGTTCAAAAACATTGCCCTCCCCCCATCAAACTTAAACACCCCTGGATTGAAGCAAAGAATCACGTTGTGACCGTTAAACTGAGAGTATTCCATTCAGGGGAATTCTTATATCAGCTATATCAATTATTTCAGATGGGGCGTATTTTACTATGTGCATATTTTAACCCAAATATGAGTGTAGGATGAGTGGCGCGATCTTGTAGTCTTGTTAGGGACTAAGGCCGACATATTCCTTAGACACAGCTGTTAATAGCCAATACATCTAATGGCAACTAAGGGACCTACAGTTTATGTTTATAGTGGAATCCGAACCACATTTTTGCCTTGGTATTAACGAATTGGTCTAATTATCAGGATAGTACTGCGGATAGTTGTAGTACTCACTAGTGCGGACGTTAATCCACACTAGGGAGAATCGCGTCAACAGTGCATGCCTATAAATATTCTTGATTCGTGACCTCCTAGTAGCTGGATTACAGGACGACGCCACCGTCCCAGTTGATACTCATTTAACCGTTCAGGTAGCAAAAGTTTCCAATTTTTTGGTCCTAATCGGGAAGGTTAAGTGAGGAAACCTTTGTAAAGTCTCAGTATTTGATAAAGATTGTTTACTGCAGGGATTTTTACGACATAAAACCAGAGCTGCCGTTGGACTGCATGCTCACAAGATGTGCCAGTGGAAAGAGGAAGAATATTTACTTTGTCTCCCCGATTATCCGAGACATTCTGAACAAAAACCAGGAAAAAGTCAAGGTAGGCTTTGTAATTCATACTGCATAGGTTTAACATTTCAACCATTGCAAAAAGATTTTGTTGCTTTCAGCAGTTTGGTTTTTTCTTCCTTTTTCTAAACAAATTGAATTGACTTCATAAATGGCACATCCCTTGTTTATTAGTTGTCTCTTTCCTATATTCCGAGTCTACAAATATTTTAAAATAACAATAATAATTACCAGTATGCTGAAAGTAATTGCTTATTGGAAGTCAAATTATTATGTAATCGATACTTTTAAAATGACATTGCTGAAATATTAAGAATTCAATTTTTATATCACTATCTGCATGGACAGACATGTAACTTTCAATTTCATTTTTAAGTAAGCGATAAATGTAGGTAGTATAATTATGTTAATTATAGGCCTCTGCATGTTCTTGAAGTCAATTTCTGATTTTCTTTTTTAGATCATCAACGCTGGTGTTAAGGCATTTGCTAGATGTGACAACAAAAACAGTGAATACTGCTTTCGTCTGGCTCAAGAGGTAATTTAATATAAGAAAATGCTTACATATTCAATTTTTTGTGTAAAAGATATATCTAACAATTATGAACACTTTAGTTTACAAGTAAATGTGACCTTCAATTTTAAATGGTTTATCTAGTCAATTTTATATAGGCCTAGTACTTCTTATCAATGTTTGTTAAAGAACTTCTGAAAAGATTTACAGTTAACTCAGACATTTATGGGGCCATTAGGTTGTTGGATTAGGCTACTAAAAATAATAGTAAAATTAAATTATCTGCCAAGAAGTATACATAAACAACTTATAATATAAGCAAAATTCAACTAGAGAGAGAGAGAGATATTCTTTATTTTGCAATCGTCAAGATTGAAAATGGAGTCGTATGAAATACACAGTTTAAACATTTTTGATGTGATCTTGCTTCACAAAATATTGTTTTTCCAGTCTTTATACTGTTTAACACTATAAAAAGGGCGGAGTAGCAGCCATTTCTTGACGTACAATCCACTGGTTTAAACCTAACAAGACCATTGTCTTAGCTCTTTTTAGTTCTATCAGCCTGTAACAGTTTTTTTATTTATCGCATATATTATTATTCTATTGTAGACAAGCTCCTGCCCTTCGCAACAGCTACTCAGTGTATTTGCAGCTGACTTGTATGTCTCGTTACTGCAGCCTCCATGATAATGTCGTCCTTGACGTTAGAAGTGACTTGTTGGACTGTTTCCCTATTGGTTAGGACTGCAGAACTGTACTGAAAACTGTGACAATGACTCCGGGCTCATCACAAAGCAAGATCCACTACACAGACATCAACATATTACACAAGCGCTGCCTCGGATTATTTGACAGATCAAGAGTCAAATTATCGAGTGACGACTCTGTTGTGTCAGTTTCACTACAATAATTAGTACTGAAAAATAATCCTTGGTTTGTTGTAGGGACTGGCCAGTATAGAGCCGTACCTGGGTCAATGCCGCAGAATATTGGTTACCAAGGATGACCTGATCAAGCTGCTCATGTGTACAGATCCTACACTTCCCCAGAGACTGACACACTACATCCAGACACACAAGAGAGGCTCAAGTTGTAGGGACTGGCCAGTATAGAGCCTTACCTGGGTCAATGCCGCAGAGTATTGGTTACCAAGGATGACCTGATCAAGCTGCTCATGTGTACAGATCCTACACATCCCCCAGAGACTGACACACTACATCCAGACACACAAGAGAGGCTCAAAGACTTTGGTTTGTTGTAGGGGCTGGCCAGTATAGAGCCGTACCTGGGTCAATGCCGCAGAGTATTGGTTACCAAGGATGACCTGATCAAGCTGCTCATGTGTACAGATCCTACACATCCCCCAGAGACTGACACACTACATCCAGACACACAAGAGAGGCTCAAAGACTTTGGTTTGTTGTAGGGGCTGGCCAGTATAGAGCCGTACCTGGGTCAATGCCGCAGAGTATTGGTTACCAAGGATGACCTGATCAAGCTGCTCATGTGTACAGATCCTACACATCCCCCAGAGACTGACACACTACATCCAGACACACAAGAGAGGCTCAAAGACTTTGGTTTGTTGTAGGGGCTGGCCAGTATAGAGCCGTACCTGGGTCAATGCCGCAGAGTATTGGTTACCAAGGATGACCTGATCAAGCTGCTCATGTGTACAGATCCTACACATCCCCCAGAGACTGACACACTACATCCAGACACACAAGAGAGGCTCAAAGACTTTGGTTTGTTGTAGGGGCTGGCCAGTATGGAGCCATACCTGGGTCAATGCCGCAGAGTATTGGTTACCAAGGATGACCTGATCAAGCTGCTCATGTGTACAGATCCTACACATCCCCCAGAGACTGACACACTACATCCAGACACACAAGAGAGGCTCAAAGACTTTGGTTTGTTGTAGGGACTGGCCAGTATAGAGCCGTTCCTGGGTCAATGCCGCAGAGTATTGGTTACCAAGGATGACCTGATCAAGCTGCTCATGTGTACAGATCCTACACATCCCCCAGAGACTGACACACTACATCCAGACACACAAGAGAGGCTCAAAGACTTTGGTTTGTTGTAGGGACTGGCCAGTATAGAGCCGTACCTGGGTCAATGCCGCAGAGTATTGGTTACCAAGGATGACCTGATCAAGCTGCTCATGTGTACAGATCCTACACATCCCCCAGAGACTGACACACTACATCCAGACACACAAGAGAGGCTCAAAGACTTTGGTTTGTTGTAGGGACTGGCCAGTATAGAGCCGTACCTGGGTCAATGCCGCAGAGTATTGGTTACCAAGGATGACCTGATCAAGCTGCTCATGTGTACAGATCCTACACATCCCCCAGAGACTGACACACTACATCCAGACACACAAGAGAGGCTCAAAGACTTTGGTTTGTTGTAGGGACTGGCCAGTATAGAGCCGTACCTGGGTCAATGCCGCAGAGTATTGGTGACCAAGGATGACCTGATCAAGTTGCTCATGTGTACAGATCCTACACATCCCCCAGAGACTGACACACTACATCCAGACACACAAGAGAGGCTCAAGGGGATTGGTATGTTCATATTTGATTTGATCTGTGTCACGTTTTTTTTTTACCTTGCACTTGTGGAATGATTATACAAATACCAGCTAGCTTACCCTATAAAATATCCAAGTATGCCATAGTAAACACAGGGAACACAATATTTTGTCTCATGTAGGACTTTGTCAAGTGTAGACCTTTCTTTGTATACACCTGTTTATTTTCTGTGTATACTATGGTCTACCTGAATGTTTTCTAAGTTAAGCTAGTTTTTATTCCCTTATTTTAAAAATAACGTTCCTAGCCTACACCCTTTCTGTAAGCTGAACTTGAAAATAGCTTTTCATTAAATATAATATAAATATTCGTATATCAATACAGTAAAAGCCTGCTAACGCTGCACTTGATGGTCCAACACCCATTTATAGGTTCTTTTGGTGTTTTAAACTACTTTAGCAGATTCGGGAGTGATTGGCAGAGTCGCTATCGTCTACAGACTTCAGGCGCGATTGGCAGACGTAGGGTTTGTTCAATAGTCATCGTGATCCACTGGCGGGATTCATGAGTATAAAATTAAATTTATGAATATAAAATCCTGGGATGCTTTTTTTTTGTGCTATTAAGAATAGCGGTAAATTCGCTAGTCCAGCATCTATATATATAATACGCTAAGCCAATTTTTGTAAACAGAACTCCTCCTACATTTTTGGACCGATTTTGATGATTAAAATGTGAAAACAATGGCCCTGATCTGTAGTTTTGCAAAGTGTTTTTCGTTTTTTGATATCTTTATTAGTTTGGGCAGGATCTTCCATCAAAGTTGGGTTTTCTCCCATAAGATTAACATGGGGGAATCTAAATATTTAATTGGAAACTTTGTCTCCACTAATTTGAGAGAACGGCTGGGCGTAGAAACTTGATAGCGGTGTCCAAAGAAAGATCTTGATCTGTAGATGAGTTATCAAAAGATAAATGAAGTAAATTCGCTTAGGGCTCTGCCCCAGAAGCCTTTAAAGATCCCTCGACAGCTTTGTTTACATTTTGGCCATATAATACTTTTTAATGAAACAGCTGTTAATTTTTAAATTGTGTTTTAAACAACACACATTTATTGGGAGTTACTGAGTTGTCCAGAAGAAGTATTTGCAATGTTATTTTCTGATTTTAAAATTGATTTTCTTCTGTATCTTATCTATATCTATAAAATCCAATGTATGTTTGTATATTTGTATGTTTGTCCTTTATGGACTCCAAAACCGCTCGACAGATTGTAATGAAACTTTCAGGCATTATTAAGCATTATTCAAGGATGGTTTGTGTGAAGTTTGGTGCAGATCCGTTAATAGGGCTCCGCCCCAGTGGCTCTGGAGTTTCCCATGTTAACCTTATGAGTACTCATATTTAAATGGAATTAAAGAATCTTAACAGATGGTGCAACTAAACAATTTGATTCTGTGATGTTCAATAGCATTAAAAAGTTAATAGGTTTACCAACAGGGTGCAGCACTATATTTATTTTTAATTTATGAGAACAGCTAATTTGCAACCAAAAGGTGAGTGAGCGTAGCGAACGAACTTCAACCTGGAGGCGAGTTAGCGTAGCGCAGCGAACGAGCTCCAACCTAAAGGTGAGTGAGCGTAGCGAACGAACTACAACCAGGACGTGATTGAGCCATGCCAACGAGCTCATCTTGAAAATGAACGAGCATGTGACATAAAACCACAATAGGACAGGACGACGTCTGTCGGGCCAGCTAGTTTTCAATAATCCTACACTGCCAAAGTCCAGAATGTGCCAGATTGGCGAGTTTACTGAAGTTGCTAGTGAAGTCAAGCTTTTGATAATTTGGTTTCTTTATTGTAGCAGGAGGTGGTAGCTGTGTGTTGGAGTACCGAGGAGAAGACGGTCTCAACCTAGACCTGGTGGGTTGGAAGGGGAAGTGTTCATTGAGAGCCTACGCCAACCAAGCCGACTGTGTCCACTACCTGAGACTTCTCGGCGGAGACACGTCAATGTTTGGTAAACTTTGGTTATGCAAAAGTATTAAGCAACTACTTTACACCTAGTACAGTTTTCTTCTGGGGGTTTTTAAGCGATATCTTTTCTAATGGCTCATTTCTTTTCAGAAAAAAATAAATTCAAGAAAGAAGAGGAGATGAAAATATTTCTAGGAAATGAAAACGATGATGAAGGTAGCAAGGACTCAGAAGTTGAAGAAAAAAATGAATTTAAGGAGGAGGGGATGAAAATTTGTCTGGGAGATGAAAACAGTGAAGAGACAGAAGTTAAAGACGTTCCAGAAACAACTGCTACAACTTAACCACAAATATCTTAGTTGAATTACAACTTTGTATCCAAAACTTTGTAATCCAGCTAAGAGGGTTTACTTATTCAGAAATGTATACTTTTACAGTGTCGACTCGCTTGTTTTAGGTATAAATAAAACATTTGTTTAATTTGTTATCTATTTTACATGTCTAGTTCCAATCTTTCAGCGAATTTCCCATATAGGGATTAAGCTATTACTGTAGTACTCATGGTAAGACCTGGACCAGGGAGCGATTTACTTTTTTGTTTTGAGGTCCCTAGAGGCTAAAAACACCATCTGTTCAAATTCATATATATATACATGTCCATTAGCACGATAACTCAAGCAAAAATGATCCGATTTTGATTAAATTTGGTATAAACGTGTAAACCTACATTTATTTGAACAAGTTCGCGAACCAGCATGATCGGACTATGGGAATGGGTTTTTATGGGGTAAAAATTGGTTTTTCCCATTTTTTACCCCAAAAAATACATAAAATTTAGCAATTTCTTTCCAAACTATTTTGTACAGCAAAAAAATAACTATTGACTATTATAACTACGATTTAACCTGTCATTTTGTGTTTATAGTTTATGTTCTATTTTCATTCAACGCTTGGTTTGAACATAACGTAAGATTAATTATAAGTGGGCCTAACATGTTAAAAAATGATTAACTCAGTGAAAGTGATTGTAAATATATGTGTAGACCAGAAGAAATAGCATAAACTGCAAAACATGTTTCATTAAACCTGTTACCTGAAAAATCAAGAAAGAAGTATGAACGAGCATACAAACTGTTTTCCTCTTGGTGCGTAAGTAAGAAAGTTACAAAATGGTCAGAAAATGTTTTTTCGGCATATTTTGCAGAACAATCTACTTGTTTATTCTGTTTATACTGATTATTACCGTTTATACGTGTACCCTTGAAAATAAGTAACACTTAAAGATACTACGACTACAATCAGCTGGTTTGGTGCAATATTTTCCATTCCATTCAACGCTTGGGCTTAACCTAACCTAAAAACGTGTTGTATAGTGTTTGAAAGACTAATTATTTATATGTTAAGGGTGTAGCATAGAGCACAAGGGCCTAGATTTTTAGGATTTTTTGAGAGGATAGCAGGCTTACCTGAATGGGAAAGAGTCCAAACTGGCACAGGAAACACAAAACTTTACACTATATACACAAAACAATGGGAATTGTCTTACCAATGGTTTACTAAGTCTAGACAACCCCCAAACCTAAACCTAAGATAATACCTTTCATCTAACCCACTCCACTTCAACATCCAACCCAACTAGCAGGCTTACATATTTATTCATATATATATAGTGCATATTAGATGAACTGAAACTGTGTTTTTTTTTTTAATCCATACTATTGGCAACACTGACTCAACAACTCACTGGCCACCATTTTGGACATCTAGAAAACTCTCTCTTCCTTAGCTGAAAATGATGTCAGTGACAGTGAAATATTCTAATGTTTTGTGTGTATAGTGTAAAGTTTTGCGTTTCCTGTGCCAGTTTGGACTCTTTCCATTCAGGTAAGCCTGCTATCCTCTCAAAAAATCCTAATTATTTTTATGCTTTATAGTGACTGTAGGAAAAATTTAATGTGTAACACGAGTGCAAATGTCCTTTGCTGCACTCAGGCTCGTGCGTAAACATTTCTCGTGTGCAGCAAAGTGCCACTTTGCTCACTAGTTACACAAATAACTAAAGACATTAAGGTAAAATTAGGCACAGGAGTTTAGAAAACAAAGTTTTATTACATTAAGACAGTATTGCACTAAGTAAACATTAGGAAGGAATAAAAATACTAGTTAAAGAATTAACAAAGTTAAAACAAACAATAACAATAGATAAAACTACTGATACAAATTATAGAGAAAAAAATAACAAAATACATTAAAACAACATGTAAAAGTAATAACTTGATATCACAAATGTCAACGTGATCAAATATCAATAATTGACTCAACTGTATTGCAACTAAATGCCGAGGTTATTTTGTCTATTTAAGTCTTTTAAAAGTACCTTACAAGCTCAGAGTTCAAAACATTTTATCTAACATTAGGTACCATTAGGATTGTACTATGTCTATTCTCCATAAACTCCAAATTTTAATTACGGAACCTACGCGAAAATATATACAGTATCACTTCCTCATTTAACTTGAATATAGAAACACACAAACATCAATAATGAAAATATAATGCGGATTATCTCGTTTCTAATAAATTTTCTCTATATACTATGGACTCGAAATGTTTGGTATATTGTGCAATATCGTAACTTTGTGCTGTAAAGCGTAAACGAGGCAGGCTCTAGTAAGCATGGTACGGAACTACGGTCCCACTGCAAGCTTCTAATCGTATTTTGGATTAGCGAATTCATTTAGGTTTACATCGATATTTGGAATTACACTGATTTCTTTTTAGACACTGTACAGTACAAGTTATTTTGAAAAAAAATCAAGGTTTAAGTCTTTCAGGAAACAATTACAGTATAGTTTTTAAACTGTTTTTGTAGGAAATTCAGACGGATGATAGACCTGATTAATTGTCACTCTGTTTTAAAACTAAACAAAGAAGTTCACTGTTACTAATTAATTGTGTCTCTGATAAAATATACTTAGGATCAGTTAAGGTTGGCAAAGAAAAGAAGTCTCCCCAATTGCATTGAAGATCATATTATGGAATAGGAAGACAAAAACTATTCCAACTTTTTTCACAAATTCCGTGTCACTATAAATTGTGTGTAAAAATACAATTGTTTGTACTTAATTTGGATAGTGTCTACTAGCTTCACATCTTGACAAAGTTTGAAAGGCTCAAGTACAAGTTAACCTTCCACAAGCCTTGAGAGTGACAGTTAATCATGGTTTGTGACATTATACTACAAAAAAACTCCAAGTTCATAAAAATTACCCGACCGAAAGAGCGACAATTTCGAAACAATTTGAAAAGCTTTCAGATAGAAATAACCGCCAACTATTTTATGCCTACCTTGCGTTTTCCATCGAAACAACTTGATGAGCTTTAGTGAGAAATATAAGATGCAACAGAAATAATTGCTGACAATTTGATGTCTACTTCTCATGTTTACAATGGTTCTAACTTCAAACTTGTCAGTAAGGACAAACCTTGCCAACACTAAGTCGCTTTACAGTGAAACCTTACGCTTTGTAATACAAATTTTAGGTACATTTATTTATAAACCTTGGACGATATGTATGCATGTTCGAAGCTCTAAATACAGTATCAGCTAATAATATAAAATATATTAGTATACTGTGTTAGTATAGATGGAATAGAGTTATTTCCAAGCAATCCGTTAAAAACTTAAATATACGGTAATTATAAAGGCTTGAAGCCTAACTAAAATAACCAATTAATATAACATACAACAGCGATAATACAACAAATCAACACACATTTTTATACAAAACCACCACGTGCGTATCAAAACTATCACATTCTAAAAACTTTTACTTAACACTCTAAATTCAACCTACAACGGAATCATATATTCATTTTATCAAAACCCACGTCAACTCAAGCTACAGTAACAATTTAAACCGTCAGTCAAACAGTCTTTGGTGGGGTGTTTAAATTTTATCTAATACTGTAATAATTTAAAAACATTTATAATTTTATCTGACTTAAATTATTGAAAGTATTTAATATTTTGATTACTTTTTGAACATTTCCACTATATTTAATTTAAATATATCTATATGGCACGAACACACGTGTGTTTTTTTAAATTCAAAGATGAGTATTGAATGAATGAAGTGACAGCTCCCACTAAGATCAGCTGTTTATTTGCTTGACTATTTAAAAGTTCGATAATCAAGGACAGCTGGGTGGCTGGGCTCCTATTTTGAACCATCAGAAAGCTAAACTGTCCTTTTAGCGAATTTCCCATATAGGGAATAAGCTATTACCGTAGTACTCATGGTAAGACCTGGACGCGGGACCGATTTTTTTTTTCGTTTTGAGGTCCCTAGAGGCCAAAAACACCATCCGTTCAAATTCATATATATATATATATATATATATTTATATATATATATATATATGTGTCCGTCAGCACGATAACTCAAGCAAAAATGATCCGATTTTGATGAAATTTGGTACAAACGTGTAAACCTAAGTTTATTCGAACGAGTTCGCGATCCAGCATGATCGGACCATGGGAACGGGTGTTTACGGGGGGTTTTATGGGGTAAAAATAGGTTTTTCCCATTTTTGACCCAAAAAACTTAAAATTTTGCAATTTATTTCCAAACCATTTTGTAGAGCTTAAAAAAACAAATAATTTAGTATATTGAAGCGTTATTATGCGCCTAACGGTTACGGAGAAAATTCCAAAAAATTGTAAATTTAAAATTCCCATGTTATTCTTATGGAGAATAAGTAAACTGTTGTAGTTTGCTTGTTTATGATCATATTTTGATCAAATTTGGAAAATGTTTTTATTTCTTACTAACTATTAACATTTTACAAAAAAAAAAAACAATTTTACCCTCCCATATGCAGCAAACCTAAGTACTTGTTAAACTAATTCTATTTAAATCGGGAATAAATGTTAAATTTTTAAGTAGACATTTCAGTGTAAATCCAATCAGTCAAATGGAAATTCGCTTAGTCTGCAGGTTTGCTGCGGCGGGGGTATTTACTTTCTCCCCCTATACCATAGTATATGGAGAAAGTATTGTTTTCGTCAAAATTTCCGAGTTTGAGTTTTGAGTGGATATATTCGTTTTGGGTCCCCCTGGACCCAAAAAAGTGGTTTTCGAAGTGATGTCTGTGTGTGTGTGTGTGTGTGTGTGTGTGTGTGTGTGTGTCTGGATGTGTACAGAGCTAGAGACTACACCTGTGGTCCGATTTCGATGAAATTTGGTATGTAGGTTCTAATCCATGGTATCTCCAGGCGTTTTTTTCATTTTTTTGAAATTTTGATTTTTAATGGGGATTTTCCCATAAAAACCCATAAAAAACCGGAAAAATCGGATTTTCTAAAAAATGGCCCGAACGATTTTGATAAAAATTTAGTATGTTGTAGCCCTTTAAATTCTGAACAAAGTGGTACAAATCCCATTTCTGTAAAAATTACGGTTCAAAAGTTATGGTAAATTAATGTTATTTTCCCATAAAACCCCCATAAAATAACGAAAAATAGGGTTTTAGACAAAGATCCGGTTTTGATTTAACATAGTATGTTATGGTCCTTACAATTTTGATAGTTTTTTTCACTTTTTAGAAATTTTTATTTTTAATGGGGATTTTCCCATAAAACCCCATAAAATAACGGAAAAATAGGATTTTCCCAAAAATGGCCCGGACGATTTTGATAAAAATTTAGTATGTTATAGTCCTTTATATTCTGAACAAAATGGTACAAATCCCATTTCTGTAAAAATTAAGATTCAAAAGTTATTGTAAATTATGTTATTTTCCCATAAAAACCCCATAAAATAACGGAAAATCAGATTTCCCCAAAATTGGCCCGAACGATTTTGATAACAATTTAGTATGTTATAGTCCTTTAAATTCTGAAGAAAATTGTACAAATCCCATTTCCGTATATTTACTCTCACCGCTTACACATGATAAAGGTTGTTGACAAACTTATGGGAGAAAGTATGTGTCAGACTGCTGATACCGTTTATTTACTTTCTCCCCCTATACCATAGTATATGGAGAAAGTATTGTTTTCGTCAAAATTTTCGAGTTTGAGTTTTGAGTGGATATATTCGTTTTGGGTCCCCCTGGACCCAAAAAAGTGGTTTTCGAAGTGATGTCTGTGTGTGTGTGTGTGTGTGTGTGTGTGTCTGTGTGTCTGTGTGTGTGTCAGTGTGTCTGGATGTGTACAGAGCTAGGGACTACACCTGTGGTCCGATTTCAATGAAATTTGGTATGTAGGTTCTAATCCGTGGTATCTCCAGGCGTTTTTTTCATTTTTTTGAAATTTTGATTTTTTATGGGGATTTTCCCATAAAAACCCATAAAAAACTGAAAAAATCGGATTTTCTCAAAAATGGCCCGAACGATTTTAATAAAAATTTAGTATGTTGTAGCCCTTTAAATTCTGAACAAAATGGTACAAATCCCATTTCTGTAAAAATTACGGTTCAAAAGTTATGGTAAATTATGTTATTTTCCCATAAAACCCCCATAAAATAACGAAAAATAGGATTTTAGACAAAAATCCGGTTTTGATTTAACAGAGTATGTTATGATACTTACAATTTTGATAGTTTTTGCCATTTTTTAGAAAATTTTATTTTTAATGGAGATTTTCCCATAAAACCCCATAAAAAACTGGAAAAATAGGATTTTCTCAAAAATGGCCCGAACGATTTTGATAAAAATTTTGTATGTTATAGTCCTTTATATTCTAAACAAAATTGTACAAATCCCATTTCTGTAAAAATTACGGTTCAAAAGTTATGGTAAATTATGTTATTTTCCCATAAAAATCCCCATAAAATAACGGAAAATCGGATTTTCCCAAAATTGGCTAGAACGATTTTGATAAAAATTTAGTATGTTATAGTCCTTTAAATTCTGAAGAAAATTGTACAAATCCCATTTCCGTATATTTACTCTCACCGCTTACTCATGAGAAAGGTTGTTGACAATCTTATGGGAGAAAGTATGTGTCAGAATGCTGATACCGTTTATTTCAAGATCTAATCAGCTCCTTTCTGAATACTAGATAGCTACAACCTTTCAGCTACTCAGTTATATATATACTAATATACATTTTGTATCAAACTAAACCTCTAGCTTCTGTATTTTTTGGTACAACATTACATCTTCATGGCTTTGCCATTTCACATACCATAATATTTACTTTGGCCTTTCACAATTTGTGCTACAATTTAAGAAGCTAAAGTCTCATCAACAATGTAGTTTAACTGCCAAAAACATTTTCTTTTCCAATCTCACTCGAAACAAGCATTTACCTCTAAAATATTTAAACATAATGACCAATAGATGCTAAGTTAGTTGGCAAAAGAGAACAGCTAGGCTAGTAGTAACACAGAAGGCTTCTTTGGTGGGTTGGCGTTGCTCAGCGAAAGTTGTACATGGATGAAGTTTGAGGCAGATCGGGAGTCTTAGAGCCTGTAAATGTAGTAGCAGCCTCTTAAAATAAACTAATCCTTTTTTAGGAGTAATTATCTGTCAACACTAATCACTATTAAAAAAAAAAACAAAAACTTTAATACCTTTACAATACACATACTCAATTTCCCCCCAAACACTTACAGTAGGCCTACAGTTCTGGTATTCTGGACTAACTGGGACCAAACCCTGTTCGGATTTTACTTTCTCCCCCTATACCATAGTATATGGAGAAAGTATTGTTTTCGTCAAAATTTTCGAGTTTGAGTTTTGAGTGGATATATTCGTTTTGGGTCCCCCTGGACCCAAAAAAGTGGTTTTCGAAGTGATGTCTGTGTGTGTGTGTGTGTGTGTGTGTGTGTGTGTGTGTCTGTGTGTCTGTGTGTGTGTCTGTGTGTCTGGATGTGTACAGAGCTAGGGACTACACCTGTGGTCCGATTTCAATGAAATTTGGTATGTAGGTTCTAATCCGTGGTATCTCCAGGCGTTTTTTTCATTTTTTTGAAATTTTGATTTTTTATGGGGATTTTCCCAAAAAACCCATAAAAAACTGAAAAAATCGGATTTTCTCAAAAATGGCCCGAACGATTTTAATAAAAATTTAGTATGTTGTAGCCCTTTAAATTCTGAACAAAATGGTACAAATCCCATTTCTGTAAAAATTACGGTTCAAAAGTTATGGTAAATTATGTTATTTTCCCATAAAACCCCCATAAAATAACAAAAAATAGGATTTTAGACAAAAATCCGGTTTTGATTTAACAGAGTATGTTATGATACTTACAATTTTGATAGTTTTTGCCATTTTTTAGAAAATTTTATTTTTAATGGAGATTTTCCCATAAAACCCCATAAAAAACTGGAAAAATAGGATTTTCTCAAAAATGGCCCGAACGATTTTGATAAAAATTTTGTATGTTATAGTCCTTTATATTCTAAACAAAATTGTACAAATCCCATTTCTGTAAAAATTACGGTTCAAAAGTTATGGTAAATTATGTTATTTTCCCATAAAAATCCCCATAAAATAACGGAAAATCGGATTTTCCCAAAATTGGCTAGAACGATTTTGATAAAAATTTAGTATGTTATAGTCCTTTAAATTCTGAAGAAAATTGTACAAATCCCATTTCCGTATATTTACTCTCACCGCTTACTCATGAGAAAGGTTGTTGACAATCTTATGGGAGAAAGTATGTGTCAGAATGCTGATACCGTTTATTTCAAGATCTAATCAGCTTCTTTCTGAATACTAGATAGCTACAACCTTTCAGCTACTCAGTTATATATATACTAATATACATTTTGTATCAAACTAAACCTCTAGCTTCTGTATTTTTTGGTACAACATTACATCTTCATGGCTTTGCCATTTCACATACCATAATATTTACTTTGGCCTTTCACAATTTGTGCTACAATTTAAGAAGCTAAAGTCTCATCAACAATGTAGTTTAACTGCCAAAAACATTTTCTTTTCCAATCTCACTCGAAACAAGCATTTACCTCTAAAATATTTAAACATAATGACCAATAGATGCTAAGTTAGTTGGCAAAAGAGAACAGCTAGGCTAGTAGTAACACAGAAGGCTTCTTTGGTGGGTTGGCGTTGCTCAGCGAAAGTTGTACATGGATGAAGTTTGAGGCAGATCGGGAGTCTTAGAGCCTGTAAATGTAGTAGCAGCCTCTTAAAATAAACTAATCCTTTTTTAGGAGTAATTATCTGTCAACACTAATCACTATTAAAAAAAAAAACATAAAACTTTAATACCGTTACAATACACATACTCAATTTCCCCCCAAACACTTACAGTAGGCCTACAGTTCTGGTATTCTGGACTAACTGGGACCAAACCCTGTTCGGATTAACAGAAATTGTAATCAGCGGATTCCTGCAACTGATGATCGTGGTTGATGAAATTAACGATTTTGCCGTGACCGTGGGGGTCTGCAACCACAGAAAATGTTCACGATTTTGGCACGCCTTAAAAAGATTTTTATTTCAGCGTGGGTGCATAAGATGTTCTTGATTTTGTTGTGACTGTAGAAGAAGTTCATGATTTTGCCTTAACATCAAAAGATTTTTACGATTTCGCTGTAACTACGCCTAGCGTTTGTTTTCCATTACCAGAAAGAGTCCGCGAAAATGCACGATTGAAAATTTCGCAACGGTCATTGAAAATGTTCTTGATTTCTTGTTAGCTTTGTATTAAAAAAATAAAATAATTCCCAAACTTTATTTTGGAATAGGTAGATGTTCGGAATAGCGGGACTCTTACTGTATACTGGAAACAAATGCACTGTGTAACTGAACTTATTTATCACACGTCTTGTTATGTATTTTGCGTTAAGAGTGTGCTCTACCTGTCCGCCGCGCGCTAATGCAAGGGTTTAGGATCTCCGTCATTGTCGGTTTAGTTCTTAACCGATTGAAAATATATTTATATCCATTTCAAATGTTTGCAGGCTTGTATGGTTTTAATTTTTTAGTAATAGTAGACTTTAAGTTGGGTTGTGACTAGTAAATACTACAAAATAAGCTTTTTTCCAAAGTATTTTACACATACTAATGCATTTTTAGAAGAAATTAAAATGATAGAGTCATAAATTCGAATCAAAGGAGTAAGGAACCGTCTTCAGATGAAAATTTTTTTAAAAGTTAACTTAATTAGAGTAAGGACTTTAAACGTTTGCAAGCGCTTCTTGCAGTGCTGTTCAATGGCGCAACATAGCTACTGAAGCCCGAGCTGAGATTTCCAAGCTGAGGTAGAGTGCACCCTTAAAAGGCTTCTTTGTTGTATGAGTTCGTACTCATATTTTAAATCCAAATCTATGTTCAATCAAGATCCCTGCTACTCAAATCTCTTGATTACTTCCACTGGAAGATATTCAAAACATCACACAAAATTTATCAACAAAATTAAAGAGTGGAAACCAGGTTAAATAGGCTTCACTAGCCTACTTTGAGTATAAGCTTAATACTTACGAGTTGGCCTAGGTTTAACAAACTTCCGCCGGGGATGTTTGGGACAGAGGTGGATTCCGTTGAGGTGATCTCTCCACCAGCCGTCCCCCGGACCCACCGTGGACTGACACAACGGACATCTCGCTACTCTGCCCTCTGAGAACAAACAACAATAACTGTGATGCTTCCCAAGTCAATCTCAATCCTTCAACACACTTTACACAGCTCGTAATTCCCCTTTAATTGAAATTAGGTCAAGATGATTGTTTTATTTTAATAACAAAATATAAGGAATTATATTAATACTTGCTAATATTACACAGGAGTGTTGGATGAACTTAGCAATTAAAAGTAAATTACTGTAAAAATATCACTTAGATGTAATTATTGAATTTCATGTTGCGTAACACCATTTAGCTGTGGTTTACAGCTACTGTAGAAAGTTTGAATCAGTCAGTGAGCAGCAGCAGGGTAGCTGAGTGGTTATAGCGCTAGCCTAACAATCACAAGTCGCTGGTTCGATCCTGGGGAAAGTCAGTAGCTTTTTGATAAGTCAAAACTGGACCCGTCCGTCCGACATTTCACAAGTAGTCCTGACTAAAGAAATACAGTAGCTGTGACCTTAGTACCAAAACCATTCAACCAACTCATCTCAATCATATTGCATCCCCTATCTTAAACTGATAAAACTGTCGAGCGGATTGGTTAGCCATCAGAAGATTGAGCAAAAGCTTAATTGAGTCTCTCTCTGCACAAGAACTACTTGAATGTTTATGTAATAGATTAAATAATATAACCAATATAATAAAAATACTCACGCAAACAAACGGGGGAATTTTGATGTTCCTCAAAACTATCGATGTGCAGAACGTCTGAGCAGTTATCACAGCGCTTGTACAACTTACGGAGATCACACTCGTCTGGAACAAACATCACATTTTGATTAATCACAGGATAAGCCAAGATATATTGTACTGAACTATACCAATGCCTTATGAATAAGTTAATCTGAAAACGGGATCAGTTTCCTAATCCCAAAACCTCGTGAATACTTTTTACTTTTCGTGTTGGAAAATATTTCACAATAATCTGTTAGGTAATGATGCTAAGAATTCTTTCACCTTTATCTTCATTACTACATGACTGACCAATTCAAGTTTTTAAGTAACCCTAGTTTTTGTTTTACAACCACTTCATGATTTGTATTTTTTAAATTTGTTAGTTCAGCTGATTAGTTTACTGACCAGCAAGATGCTGATTGAGTGCGACGACTTCAACAACTTCTTGACAATGTTGGCATCTCATCAACATCGGACAACTTTTCCAGTAGTGGATGTTGAGGCCTTCCTCAGAGAAACCTTCAGACTTCTCCAGGCAGAAGATACACTGCCTACAATATAACACAATGATTACCTTACAATAAGTAAATTAACTTAACATATCAAAACACAGTTTCATAATGAACGTTTACAATCAAAAATACTATTGTAAAGTTGTCTAAATTTGCTGGTAGACAAGCTGTTCATTTTGTTCAACTGCTGTTGACAACTTTCATGGGAGTGGTTGCCTACTTCTAGTGTTAAAGTCAAGGTGATGGATAATAGTGTCTTGAGAAAAACCATCAACAAATAATTATCTATCTCCACTTACTTGTCCACAGCCTGGTCTAGAGGTGGAGACAGGATCCCACCAGAGGAGGAGCTCGTACTCTGACTCTCAGGCGAGTTTGTCATGTTGGCAGCATTGTCAGCGTGAGTATACGCACTGGTGGACGGTCGCAACACCGCGGCAGTTGCGGGGTTGGCACTGCTGACACTGCCTGACCTCACCAACTTGTTCTTGTTTGTTGGGAACGGGTCCATCAAAGCTGGCTTACGCTGGAAAATAATTGCCATGAAACCTCTTATGTTCCGCTGTTTTGAAGATAAAATTTCAAGACAGGTAAATTATACAACCAATTACTATTTAGTAAGTAAGTATTAGTAGTATAATAAGTATTTAGTATGTACAATCAACATTTGTAGAGTTGTTAAAAGTGTGTAGGTTCGGAAGGGTTTACCTTTTTATAATTATTTTTAAGAAAAATGCTGCATATTAAGGTGCTTTATTGTTTCTCATTGTATAAATATCTTTTTAGTTTAATTTACAGAATAATATCTTATAATATTTCAATTGGTAGTACACTTATAAACAGTCTTCAGCTTTCGAGTGTGGCTTAGTGTAGCACATAAAAGCTTGTAATGGGTCAAAATTATAGAGGGGTTAAGTTTTTATATTTATTATTTAATTATCAGTAGGCATATTCCTTACCTGGTTGGTGATAGTGGTAAACCTATCATGGTAAGGTAAATAGGCTGTTCTAGGCCTATCCTAGGGTTGAAGTAGGGATAACCTCACTTTTGGCAAAATCACTAAAGACACTATTTTTTAGATTCACAAGTCACAGTATTGCATTGTTGTGTACAAAACGAGTGATAAACCGTTTCCGTGTAACCCCCATGCCTAATATACACCTTTGGGAAGTACGGTCAAAGTTGTTGGTTAGGCTAGGGTGGTGAACCGCGATCACAAATACAATATGACTACATAACATGCATACACTTTGTCGCACACTAAGCTACACGTCACGGGTGGAAATTATACTTTTTGTTTAAACCAGCAATGATATTAAAGTTCCGCGTATAATTTCACAGTCGGCGTAGGTAAATAACAACATAACCTGTACGACTAGTCGGCTGTCTTGGCGTTGTGTTGCAACAGCGCCAAGTTTGAACTCGTGACGTCACCGATCAGCTGGGAGTCGAATCAGCTGATTCCCCATCCCTAAGGGGTTAGGGAGGGGGAAGTAGTGAAGATCCCTTGTGTGGGCGAGGGATGCGACGACATTCTATTCTAATTCTGCGATTTCCAGCGTTAGGACGTTACTTAGTGTTCAGTAGTTCAGTAGTGATTTTGCCTAAAGTGAATTTACGTAGTGCAAAGAGTGGGTTAGCGAAGATCCCTGGAGTATACAGGTAATTCGCCGGTATTTTCTTAATAGTGTGTACTATTATTTTTTATTATTTAGCGGTAAACCCTCACTTTATTAGTTGGTCTAGAATCCTTTATTGAGTGTTAGAACCTGTTGAAGACCGTGATAGCGTATGCTAGGGCTCGCACGGGATTTGTTAAAGATGAATACCGTAGTCTAAACATATATTCTAGGATTGTGTTTACAATATATATTGAGGGCGACGGGGTTATAGCGGATATTTTGCCGGGATATTCAGTAGGTGTTGAACTGCTGCGGCAAAGCGGGCAAAGTTGAACCCGTCTCTGCAGGTCGTGCAAACACGTGGTCGGGTGGAGCACGCTAAGTATATTCAGCTAAGTAATATTCTTAAGTGTTGAGGTTGACGAAACTGCAACATTAAATTGTTTCAAAATTTCATTGAACGGGTTTTCATTATTTTTAAATTTGATTTAATTAGCTGTTCCCAGGTGTGAACGATGATGATGGTACAGTAGCGTTGTTGGTTACCGGTACTGAGTTCACACCTGATTCACACTACATTTTTGCGTAATACAAATCTGTACCTGTGCTAGGTTGTTGAGTTAATTAAATAAATTATTTTTATCTGAACCCTGGAAACTTCCCAGCACGCCGACTTGAGCGATCCGCTGGCGAGAGTTGGTGACGTCTTTCCCGCTTTAACTACGGAATAGCGCATATATTCCGAGCGGGAAAAACGGCTCGTTACATTGGCGCCCGAACGAGTAGACATTTTTTGATTGATTTGGACTTAGTTTTACTGGAGTTGTGTTTTAATTTTAGTTAGTTAGCATATACCTAGTGTATTCTAACTCTAGTTTGAGCTGTTTTATATCAGTTGGAGGGAACTAGCGCTTGTTTTTAGGCTAACTAACGACCAAGTAAAACTAGTTAACGACCAATTATTATTTAAAATTGTGGTTGTGAATTCTTTTAGCCCACGTAGCATAGCCAATTTTGGCCGATACTTTTGTGCTAGTCTTAGCAACCAGTTATTGTCAGTTGTATATATTTTATTTATTGAACCTGCATTTATTGTTGTGGGTATAGTATAATTTTAGTTTTTTTTTTATTTTGGTGTTGATTTGATAATTTAGTGCTTGCTTTATTACTCTTTTAAATAGCTTGTTGGTACTTAGGCATTTTATTTAACTGTTATAACTGGTGATAAGGGTTTAAGTGTGATAACACCTATACATAGACGTGGGCGAATTTAATTTTTTCTAATTTAATAATTTTTTATTTTTGACTTTATCTGATTAGGCCCGTGTTACGGTCATGCCGAATACCACTGAAGTTGAGTCGTCGGTTGCTCAAACCATTACCACAGTACCGGTGGTAGTGACGACTTACGCTGGGACCTTTACGGTGACTACCAGTAGTACTGCGAACCCTCTCAATGTCACGCGGGATGTAATACCCCCTGCGACTCTAGGGGCGATCCCAAGGACAAACCCGTCAATTTTGGGTGAAGGCTTGAGGTCTCCGTTCGATGATCCTCGCGTGGGGTGGATCCACGAATTGCGTAAGGAGGACCTCACACGTGAGATGGAGAGGTTTGGTCTAGACACTCGAGGGAAGGTGGAAGATCTGAGGAGAAGGTTTTGCCAGTTCTGGAAGGACCCTAAGAGTCAGTGGCCTTTCTTGTCTCAGGCTGGTATGATTAACCAAGCCCAACAGCCTACATGGGTGACGGCTACGGGCCATGAACCTGGTTACATCCCTGAGAGTGCTTCTGGGAGTGATCAACGTCCTCCCTCCTTCCCAGGCGAGAATGTGGGGTCGGACGCCAAACATGTTGTTGCGGATAGTGTTTGTGAAATGCTGGGGCTTCCGCCTGGCACTGACGTGGACACAGTTAGGCAGACCTTGGCCGTGGTGTTGAGAACCGCGTCAGAACCAAAGACATCAAGCATAGACGGTTTACGTAAGGAGACTGGCCCATTTAATTTGACCGGTAGCCTTGTCACCTTCAGTGACGGATTCCAGCGGCCTATAACGACTGAAATTCAGCCTGAACCCGTATCCTCTGCAACCGGGGTGTCTTCGGCTAGAGTAGGTCTTCAACCCTGTCTTGGGGGCGTGGCTCAGCCCTCGTGGGGTGACTCAATTTTGAGAACCCGGTCAGATGCTCGTCCTTACCCACAGCCGGGCAACTATATGCCGTATACAGATGGGCTACCTAGGTCGGTGGGAGAAAACAACTTCCGTGATAGACCGAGTACTGCGCCTTGGTTTTCTGGACAGCCAAGTGATGATACGGTTAGGCGAAATAGAGAGGTAACCTTGCCTACGACTTCTACCTATTATCAACCGATGCTTGACAAGCGTAGTCGCGAGTTTACTTCGATTTGTGATTCTGTGCGGAAGTGGAATTTGCGATTCGATGGGAGAAGAGATCCCGTCTCGTTTGTTGAGCGGCTCGGTGAACTGATAGAAACCTACTCCTTGAGCGATGAGGAGGTGTTAAGAGCAATGCCAGAGCTGCTTCAAGGGGAAGCTCTGTTATGGTATCGGAACCAGAGGAGTTTTTGGGTTGGTTTCGCTGATTTTCTGGCTGATTTTGAAACCCAGTTTTATCCTCCCGGATACCGACGCTACCTTGACGAGGAAATTCGCAAGCGTACACAGGGTGATAACGAGTCATTTCGCTGTTATCTCACAGCGATATCAACCCTGATTCGGCGCAGTGGTGAATTCTCTGCTCAGCAGAAGTTAAACCTGGTCTATACGAATATGAAACCCGATTATAAACTTATGGTACGGCGTAGTGACTTTGCTACAATACCAGAGTTGACTCGGAGGGCCGAGGAATATGAGGCTTACTTGAGGGATCGAAGTACTTTTCGGCCTCCCCCTCCTCCGTCTCTAGCTCTTGTTCCGGAAACGGTTTATGTGTCAAAGCGTAGGATGGAGCGGGTGTTTGACCACGCTGCGGTTAAACCCATGCTAACCGAGGGTGTCGATGCTTGCGCTAAGGGGGAGACGATAGCTACTTCCGGTCCTGCGGTAAATAATGTAGATTGTGCCGGTCTTGAAACTCGGCGGGGTGTTCAACCCAGAACAATGCCGGAGTTGAATAGATGTGCGCCCAGCGGCGAGAACCTGAGGCCCATGCTTAACCCGGAAAGGAGTGGGTTAGTGTGCTGGAATTGCGATCAGCGTGGCCACCGTTTTAGGCATTGCCCTAAACCTAAGAGGGTGCGCTGCTATTTTTGCAAGACGGAGGGCGTTACCACATACCGGTGCGGATGTCGTGCGGGAAACGGTGGCCGGACTCAGAGCCCCAGAGGTCAGCCGAGTCCGGGGCAGCAACACGATGCACGACCTCCCGCGAATGGCATAGGTGGCTCGAATATGTGAAGGGTTTCACGGGAGCCGTGGAAGGTGTCGACCGGGGTGACGTTAGACCCTTTGTGGAGGTTGAATTGTTTGGCGAAACCTTCAGAGCACTGGTCGACACTGGGGCTAGTGTCAATCTTATAGGGTCACGAATTCAGAAACTCCTTGTCGACAGGGGTGTGAACCCCACCACCGTCAGTATAGTAATGAGAATGGCTGATGGTTCGAGCCGTGAAGCGGGATCTTTGTACCAGCTTTCAGGCCGGGTGGGCGAACAAGCCCATACCTGGGAGGCGTATTATGTCCCGAATTTGACGTGCGATCTGATTCTGGGCATGAGGTGTTTAGAGGAGCTTAACCTGATCTGCGTTGATCGAAGGGTGGTTTTGCCTACGGAGGTCATGGAGACGGGTGATAATAACCTCAGTGCGATTGACGCTCTTGCACCAGAGGAGGAACAGAAACTGGCAGAGTTCCTGAGAGTCGAGTTGCCAAAATTTGAGGCAGTTCCGGGACTGACTTCGCTGGTTGAGCACAAAATTCGGCTCAAAGAGGGTGCAGTGCCCATTAAACAGCGGTATTACCCGCGTAACCCCGCCATGCAAGCCATAATTGACCAAGAGGTTGACGATATGCTGCGGCAAGGGGTGATAGAGCCTTCCACGAGTCCTTGGAGCTCACCGGTGGTGTTGATTAAGAAAACATCCGGCACCTACCGATTTTGTATTGACATGCGATCGGTAAATGACTCGTCAGTTAAGGATGCGTATCCTTTACCCCGGATCAATGGAATCCTGGAAAAGTTACGCCAAGCCAAGTACATCAGCACCTTGGATCTTAAGAGTGGGTATTGGCAGGTACCTCTGGCAGTTGAAAGCCGGGCGATAACCGCGTTTACGGTTCCCGGCCGAGGGCTGTACCAGTTTACCGTTATGCCCTTTGGATTACACTCAGCCGGTGCGACGTTTCAGAGGTTGCTCGATATGGTTATAGGTGTTGAACTTGAACCTAAGGTCTTTGCATACCTTGACGACTTGGTAGTGGTGTCGACGACCTTTGCGGAGCACCTCGAACTTCTGAAACTAGTATTTGACCGACTTTGTGCTGCTGGCTTGAAGTTGAACCCCGAAAAATGCCACTTCTGCAAACGCCAGTTAAAGTATCTTGGACACGTGGTAAATTTTGAGGGGATAACCACTGACCCTGAGAAGGTCCAGTCGATTAGTGAGTTCCCGATACCTACCAATATCAAGAAGCTGCGTAGTTTCTTGGGTCTGGCGTCCTGGTATCGGCGCTTTATTGAAGGCTTTGCGACGGTGTCGGCGCCTCTACGACATCTGCTTAAGAAAAGCGCAAAGTGGCAATGGGGTGATGCGCAAGAGTCTGCGTTTCGGAAGTTGAAGGAGCTTTTGTGCTCTTCTCCCGTATTGGCCTGCCCCGACTTCAGTAAAACCTTCACGGTGCAGGTTGACGCCTCGAATGTGGGGCTGGGTGCCGCCTTAACCCAGGAAGTTGAGGGCAAGGAGGTGGTGATCGCGTATGCGAGCCGTCTGCTGACTGACCAGGAATCCAAGTACTCTACCACAGAGAAGGAGTGTCTTGCCTTGGTCTGGGCAGTCAGGAAGTTTAAACCCTACTTGGAAGGCTACCACTTTGTGGCGATTACAGATCATGTTGCTCTCAGCTGGCTCATGAAACTACGTGAACCGAGCGGTAGATTAGCTCGGTGGGTCATGGAGCTCCAGCAACATGATTTTGAAATCAAGTACCGCAAAGGCACGTTAAACAGGGTAGCCGACGCCTTATCCAGGTATCCAGTGGGCCTGGGGCCAAGTGATTTGGGTGACGAAGCCTGTCTTGACCCAACGGGGGTGGCTGCCGTGGAAGGTAGTGAGGCTGTCGAGGGTGACAAGCCATCAGTGGACTCTATGCCGTCAGGTGATGAAACTGGCGCGTCTACACTCGTTCCTGGTGATAATGAACCGGACGAGGAGTTTATTAAAGATCGATGGTACGAACGTATGTTCGCATTGGTGACTAACCGGCCCAGAAGGTTTAAGAATTACTGTGTTAGGGCTGGACAGTTATACCGCTCCTTTGGCAATGCAGAAAACCCAGTCTGGAAGATGTGTGTTCCCCCTGACCGGGTGCGAGCTGTCTTAGAAGAGAACCACGATTTACCAACAGCAGGGCATCTGGGTGTAAAGAAGTCAAGGGCCCGGGTGGCCGTTCGGTATTACTGGCCGGGTTGGAGGGGAGATGTCAAAATCTATGTCCGGAGTTGTCCTCAATGCCAAACCTTCAAGATGGCGCAAACAAAACCCGCCGGTAAAATGTATTTCCGACGCCCAAAGGGTCCCTGGTCAACAATTTCTGTGGATCTCATCGGACCTTTGCCAAGGACACGGTATAACCATCGGTTTCTGGTGGTGATACAGGACACATTTAGTAAGTGGCTGGAGCTAGCTCCAATAGGAGCCGCAACCGCCCAGAACGTGTCCCAGAAATTGAAGACGGTGTTGCTGCGTTATGGGGCTCCAGAGGTGATGATCTGCGACAATGGGACGCAGTTTGTCTCTCGAATAGTCCGCAGCCTGGCCGCTGAATGGGGCGTGCAATTGCAAACCACTGCCCCGTATAGCCCTCAGTCAAATCCGGTTGAGCGTCCGATTCGGGTTGTGAAAACCATGATTGCCCAATTTGTGAAGGACAATCACAAGGGGTGGGACCGGCTGTTGGAAGAGTTTCAGTTTGCGGTGAACACCGCTAGACATGACTCAACCGGATTCTCCCCGGGGATGCTCTGTTTTGGGAGGGAGTTAAAACCCCCAAAAATGATTTATGGGACGTCCTTTGAGAGTTCCGGGGAGGAGGCTAAGGTGAGGTCTACGAAGGTCGTTGTAAAACCTTCCGGGAGCTCTATAGCCAAACCCACCATAACCTCAAAGCTGCGTACCAACGCCAGGCCAAATATTATAACCTGAGGCGGCGTGAGGTGACATACGAGATCGGTGACCGGGTTTGGCGAAGAGCGCACGTACTATCGTCCGCGGCGGATGCCGTGGTAGGTAAACTGGCTCCAAAGTTTCATGGTCCGTGCGTGATTACCGGTAAAAGGGGGGTGAATGTCTACAAGGTGGAAGACGTTAGCTCTAAAACCCCTCATGTGGTTCACGTGAAGGATCTGAAGCCTTTTGTGGAAAGGGTGCCTTAGGTTTTTTTTTAACCCTAGGTGTGGAATCTTTTTTTTATTGGTTTTTTTTTGCTCCCCGAAGTAGGAGGGGGGTTGTAATGGGTCAAAATTATAGAGGGGTTAAGTTTTTATATTTATTATTTAATTATCAGTAGGCATATTCCTTACCTGGTTGGTGATAGTGGTAAACCTATCATGGTAAGGTAAATAGGCTGTTCTAGGCCTATCCTAGGGTTGAAGTAGGGATAACCTCACTTTTGGCAAAATCACTAAAGACACTATTTTTTAGATTCACAAGTCACAGTATTGCATCGTTGTGTACAAAACGAGTGATAAACCGTTTCCGTGTAACCCCCATGCCTAATATACACCTTTGGGAAGTACGGTCAAAGTTGTTGGTTAGGCTAGGGTGGTGAACCGCGATCACAAATACAATATGACTACATAACATGCATACACTTTGTCGCACACTAAGCTACACGTCACGGGTGGAAATTATACATTTTGTTTAAACCAGCAATGATATTAAAGTTCCGCGTATAATTTCACAGTCGGCGTAGGTAAATAACAACATAACCTGTAAGACTAGTCGGCTGTCTTGGCGTTGTGTTGCAACAGCGCCAAGTTTGAACTCGTGACGTCACCGATCAGCTGGGAGTCGAATCAGCTGATTCCCCATCCCTAAGGGGTTAGGGAGGGGGAAGTAGTGAAGATCCCTTGTGGGCGAGGGATGCGACGACATTCTAATTCTGCGATTTCCAGCGTTAGGACGTTACTTAGTGTTCAGTAGTTCAGTAGTGATTTTGCCTAAAGTGAATTTAGGAAGTGTTGAGGTTGACGAAACTGCAACATTAAATTGTTTCAAAATTTCATTGAACGGGTTTTCATTATTTTTAAATTTGATTTAATTAGCTGTTCCCAGGTGTGAACGATGATGATGGTACAGTAGCGTTGTTGGTTACCGGTACTGAGTTCACACCTGATTCACACTACATTTTTGCGTAATACAAATCTGTACCTGTGCTAGGTTGTTGAGTTAATTAAATAAATTATTTTTATCTGAACCCTGGAAACTTCCCAGCACGCCGACTTGAGCGTTCCGCTGGCGAGAGTTGGTGACGTCTTTCCCGCTTTAACTACGGAATAGCGCATATATTCCGAGCGGGAAAAACGGCACGTTACAAGCTTAACACCAAAATAAAACAAAAATGTTTGGTTTTAGAAATTAAAATGAAAGTTGTGAACTAATTTTAGTGTACAACATACTTCAAAAATGACAATAGCAACCTTGTAGATTCTAATCCCAACAGTGTTACTAGATTTCATCCCCGTTTGAAACTATTGTATTACTGCATAGTACTTTAAGTTGTTGCTAAAATTACTTTTTTCACATAAATACCTTTATGAATGAATAGGAAACCCAAGGACGAGAAAGGGACAATACCTTTTTCGTTAGTCCATTTCTACATTCTTAGTGAAATCATCTAGAAGTGGCAGCTTTGAGTTTGCTTTTCTCCAAGATTAAAATGTGTATATCTCTTAAGTTCAAGAAGGAAGTTTATACATCACAATGTAAAACTATTAACCTCACAAATATCATTTCAACTTTATTAATATTGTTATTCTTTTTCAGATGACAGTAATACCTTTGATCAAACCTACCTCGAGATCCACCTTATCAAACTCCTGCATGAGGTGACGATAGAGGAGGTTTCTGCGGGTGATATCATCGTCAGGAGGAAGCTGTTTCCGGACAATCCGAGGATTGACTTTGTACACCTGTATGAGTATCCGCTCGGCCACCTTGCGGACAGCCTCGGCCGGATGGTGTAACCCCGACACACCAAGTTCTGACAGGACTCTGCACGTCATACCACTGCGACAGAACATATCTGTGGTTACTCGTGGAGCTGAGGAATGTTGTTTATTGTTTAGGACTTGGAATATGAGCATGTAAACAATAATGGATGGTTTGAACAGAGAGAGAACTTTGGATAAGTGAAGAGTTGAGTGAGATAGCTAGAAGATGGAAGAGAAATTACGGATGGATATGAGATGAAGAGGCTAGTCAATGTCAAAATCTGTGATTAACCAAAGAGGGAAAAGGATGTGGAAGGATGGAATGGGAAATAAACAAATAAACACAATCGGACAAATCACCATAACCCATTCTTTACGAGAAGTGCTACTCAGCTTTCAGTGTAACTTGGAACACTTAGTGTAACTTGGACACATGAATTAATGTGTTTGAACACACTAAAAGACATAAGACATAAGACATATTTTATTTACACAATACGTTCTTTATAAAGTACATTTCATACATAAGAACAGGTGTTTCGTCATAAACTGAGGATGCTAACAGTGTATATAGTTTATATAGTCTAGAACCTAGAATAGAATAGAATAGAAATCTTTATTTGCCATTGACATTATACATGTATTAGCAACAGTCAAGAATATAACTAGTCATAAGGTCATAAAATATAAAGCTTACAAGCTAAAATACAATTTTCTTCTTCTCTAAAAACTCTGAGAGGGAATAAAAGGGATTTTTCAAAAGCCAATTATAAAATTGTTTTAAAAACATTGAGTGGAAGGAAATATAATATCCCAAGAGAACTTACAATAGATTACTTACTGAAGACATATGCAAACCCATATTGCAAGGCTTTCTCACTCACTTATCGTTGTATATTGGACTTGACAGATGAAATCACTTTGTACTAGTAATCGTCTTTGAGTGAAGAGAGTTCAACAATAATGAAACAGTTCTGTGAGACCAATCGACACACTGTGGGATCAAACACCACCAAACTTTACTAAGGAATGGGAAGTTGATTAACACAATGTCGGAGGCACCACTTAAGTGTGAAAATGAAGAACTTAAATTGATTCTCTCTATTCCAATCTTGAATGTGTTGGACCGTAAATAGTTGATGAAGTAAGTCGCACGTACCTCTGCTTATCAGTTGAGATGCCGTGGTTGAGAATCAGCTGTTCCACCATCTCCATCTTGCTGAGAGCCAGCCTCGGGTGTGTACTGGAGGTCAACACCCGTGTCAGATGTACCGGGATGATGTTCAAACTCCTGTAGAAGAAAGCTGAGTGAAAATATAGCATTTGTAGGCTTCAAACTGACCATAGATGTTTCAAAACACTATCAATCTAACAATGTTTGTAATTTTATGTCACCTGTTTCACAGTGGCCAATAACGCATAAAGCGACAAACTTTATTCGGTTGTCAACTGCTAACAGTGTATATAGTTTATATAGTCTAGAACCTAGAATAGAATAGAATAGAAATCTTTATTTGCCATTGACATTATACATGTATTAGCAACAGTCAAGAATATAACTAGTCATAAGGTCATAAAATATAAAGCTTACAAGCTAAAATACAATTTTCTTCTTCTCTAAAAACTCTGAGAGGGAATAAAAGGGATTTTTCAAAAGCCAATTATAAAATTGTTTTAAAAACATTGAGTGTGTTGGATATGATTGAACAATTTTACTGAGTTTGTTATATATTACCTGTGACATCACTATGTGGCTTTTTAGAGTTAAATTTAATCTGAAAAAACTTCTTTTAATATTTAAATTGTTTCTCGTATTGTGTCTATGGATATCATTACATAAGGTTTGAAAGGGTAATTTTTTAAGGCTGTAAGCCATGATATCATATATGTACAAATTAATAGCTGTTTGGAATTCAAGTTTAATAAAAAGAGGTTTACAATGAGTATCAGGATGTTCATTACATATAATTCTAACAATATTTTTCTGAATCAGTAAAATATCCTGAATTCCTGAACTGCTTCCCCAAAATATCAAGCCATAGCGATAAATACTTTGAAAAAAGGCGAAATAAGACATTCTTACATATCTACTGTCAACAAGTGAGATCAGTCTTCTAATTAGATAAACAACGCGAGATAATCTTGTTGATAGATAATCTACGTGGGATTCCCAGCTGAGCTGGTTATCAATGTGCATACCTAGGAATTTCACACTGTGTTGTATATTATGAAACACGTGATCCGTGGGTCTTAAACTGAAAAGAATGTTTTGAGTTTTATTGTTGTTCAGAAGAAAATTATTTGACTGAAACCATGCTGAGGCATCACTCATTGCAGTTTGGGTTATTTGTTCTAATTCAATTATTGTTCTGCTCTTTGAAAAGAAAGTTGTGTCATCTGCATATAAAATAGATTTAGTAGGTTTTGAAATGTTACTTGGAAGATCATTAATAGAAATTAAGAACATGAGTGGTCCAAGTACGGACCCCTGAGGCACTCCGCAATCCACTATTATCTCATTTGACATCTCACCGTTAACAGAGACAATCTGTCTTCGATTACTGAGATAAGATTTAAGAAACTGAAGAACGGTATCTCCAAAGCCATAGTGTTGAAGTTTCATCAAAAGATCCTGGTGATTCACACAGTCAAAAGCCTTGCTCAGGTCACACAGAGTGGCCCAAGCAAAGGCTTCAATGACATCACAAACTAAGGTATCAATGGCATCTAAAGTTGATCTACCACTTCGAAAACCAAATTGTGAAGTAGAAAAAAGGTTATTGTTTTCAAGAAACTCATAAATTTGTTCAAAAACTACTATTTCAATTACCTTAGATAGAATCGGAACTATTGAAATCGGCCTATAGCTTTCGGGTTTGTCTCTATCTCCTTTCTTGAAAATAGGACAGATGCGGGATAGTTTTAATTGTTCTGGGAAATGTCCATCAGATAAAAGACTATTAATTACTATAGTTAAAGGGTGTACGATGGCAGGGATTATTTTTTTGAGAATATTATTTGACAAGTTGTAACAGTCCAATGAATTTGAGTTTTTCAATTTTTTTATAGCATCAATGATACATTTTTGGTTTACTAATTTGAAATTGAATTTTACTGGAGCAACCTGAGTATTATTGACAAAATGCTTTGGGAAAAGATTTGGGTTGCCTATGTTCTGTTTTATAGTCTGAACTGATTCAACAAAATATGCATTAAATTGAGATGGTGTAATATTTGGTGAAGGCTCATTTCTTAAGTTTTGGGTGTTTGATTTTATGATATTCCAAGCAGCTTTACACTTGTTACTACTATTTTCAATCTGTCTTTGATTAAAGTCTAGTTTTGCCTTAATGATTTTCTGTCTATACATTTTTTTTTTTTTAGGTCTAAACTAATCTAACCAGATATTACTGAAATTTGAGCAACATGTTCATGGGTTTGGAAATTGTGGAACTATCAGCATATATAAAGTTTAGAATTCCCTATTTGTAGAAGACGCAGAGGATCTGAAGAAGTGGAAATCAGTTAGTCTGTATTAGATTAACCTAGTTTTTGTCCGAGTTCTTGTACGTAAGACGTTTACGTTACCCTATGCATTTCTCCAGCTTGTGTGGCATCTTCAGGGGTCTTCTTAAAACTCTTATCACTATCATAAGTATTAGTTTGTTGTATTCACCTGACATCTTTGCAGTCAGCCAGACTGAGGATGGTGTGAATGGCCATGTTGTGTATCCTGGCTGTCGTATCTCCAGACTTGGAAAGTAGCTCAGGCAGCAACCTCTCTAGACAACGAGCCACTTCTGCTGTAGACACTCTACAACACATGGGCTACATGGCACTACAAATGACATACAAGTACTCAGCTACATAGCAAAACAGTTTATATACTCGGCTTCATGGTAACACAGTTGAAATATCTAGCTACGTGATGGGAACAGTTGAAATAATCAGTTACATGACCACACAGTTAATATTCTCAGCATGACAATACCATTGAGGTACACTGTGTCTAGGACAGTGCAGCTAAAAATAAGGTATGGTTTACATAAAGCATCAATTGAAAAGACCCGATGGGATTTGAAACAAAGATTTATTAGACAGAGACAGCATTTTGGATTTTAACACATGTTATGTTTAGTAAAATAAAACTTGATCACACTTTATGTTTACTGTTGAAAGTATCCTACCTTCCAGAGATGAACTCACTGAAGAAGTAGCGTATGATCTCTGCGGCTGTGCTGTACACAATGAATACTTTGTCCCTAAGCGCCCTGTGTAGAAGATACACTGCTGCTCTGGCCACCTTGGAACAAAACAAAGCCTTAGATATGCAGGAGAAGGTTCAATCCTCAGCTAAAAAGAATTTGGTGGTTAACCAATAACACCCGTAACCAAGAATATAAAGAAAAACGAGAGATAATCTCAAGAACTAAATAGCAAACATGCTAAACTACAAATTAAAGTAAAAAATAAAAGACAGAAGGATATGGTATGGTTAGCCGAGTGGTTACAATAAATTGTCGTAAAATCTGGAGGCTGATGGTTTGATTCCAAGCGCAAGTGTTTCTACACCCAGATACCATTTATCATTGTACTATCAATTAAATGTTAGACAGTAACATAATCGTTTGGACCTTTCCCTTACAAAAAAATGTCAATTGCTTAGAAACAAAAACGCCAACAGTGATTGCAGACAAAACAAATAAAACTACAATCTGACTTGAGAAGTTGCTGAGAGAACAAAAAAATTTAGACAGGAAAAGTGAGCTATGTTGTATAACATTGGCTATAAAATGAAAAAATAAATGTACCACCATGTTGCTGTCTTAAATTACCTTGTTGGGGGAGTGAGTCTCAGTGTTGTCGGGTGGTTTGACACATTCCGTCCGGACATGAGCTCGCAGTGCAGCCTGCAGCAGACACAACCCTTCTTCTTTGTCAGAGAACTGCTTCGAGTAGAACTTCTCCACCTGTGAATCCAACTATTTAAACTTCTTAAACAAAAGCATGTATGATGGCAACCATTATTTCTCTAATACTGTAAGTTACACATCAACTATAGCACAAAATTTATTAAAGATAAATGGTATCAGCAATCTGACGCACACTTTCTCCGATTAACTTCACAAACAACTCTTATCATGGGCAAGCGGTGGGAGTCACGATTATTTATGATAAAATCACTAAAGTTGCAATAAGCTTTTGAAGCTTTTTCTTACACGAATGGGGTTTGTATAATTTTGTTAATAATTAAAAGAGCTATAAAACATAGGTACTAACGTTTGGTCAAAATTGTTCAGAATATTTTTTGAAAAATCCAATTTTTCTATTACTATATAGGTTTTATGGGAAAATCACTATTACAAATTAAAATGTTGAAGAAAAAATACTTGGGGATACTACAGATTATTAGGCCCTACCCACACACAAAATTTAATCAAAATCAGACCAAAGGTGTGGCCTGTAGCTTTGTAGACATCCACACACACATAAAAACACCCATCAATTTGAAAACCACTTTTGGGTTCTTCAAGGGGACCCAAAAGGAATAACCCCCCCCCCCCTGCAAAACTAAAACTCGAAAGTTTTGACAAAAACAACACTTTCTCCATATACTATAAATGGAGAAAGTAAAGATATATCGGGGAGGGATATTCCATCTACTGAGAAATTTAAAAATTCAATGCTGTCTGGTTAACAGCTCCTCGTCTGACAACCTTTTATAGGATGCTCCTGAACACAAATAATAATTTTGAAAGATAATTACTAGTAATTAAAAATGTACATGTACAATAGTTTGCAACCTACCAAAGCCATTCCGAACACAGAGATTGGCAGAGCTGCTTGTTTTCTTTCTTTCTCGTTCAGTTTGGACACAACAGCTGGTGCTGCGTTTTCTCTGGGTTCAGCAGAATGTGTACTAAAACCAAAAAATGGTTGGCAAAAATTAAATCCTGCACTTTGTTTTTGACGAAGTAATAACATAACAATTAAAGAGTAGTCTCAATCCAAAACTTAAAAAGTAGTTTTAAAAAATCAAGCTACTAGCAAATCATTTGGTTGGAGGATACACATATCCTAATAATTTCAATAATTATATACCCAAAGTACCTTCTATGAGCAGGCACTGTGCGCTCGTCGTAGGCTTCGTAACTGTTCCTTGCCGCAGATTTGTTCCTCCTCCGTAGAGAGCCGGAGTTTGTTCTAATGGTCACTGGTGTTGCGATGTATGCTTGACCTTTTGGAGTCGCTCTGTAAAATATTCAAGTATAAATTACTTGTAGTTAGCTAAACAACACTCTTCTATGGATGTGTTGATTTCTCATCTTATCTCAAAAATTCTCCAATCTCAAAATTGGTTTAAAAAAATACAAATAATACCATTTAGAATAATTGAATATAACAAAAAATTTGTCCTCAATCCATTTTAAGCTTCTTTTTATATTCCATATGATTAGATAGCCTAAATATAATTTCTTGAGTGAAAAACAGTTACAGTACTGTAATAAGCTATTTAAGTACCGTAACCTAATATATTAATAAGTCAGTTTTTATTTAAATCCATTTTGAGATTTTCAGTGTCAACCGCGTTGTCAGTTGGAGATTTCTGGCAATTATTTCACCCTTACTTTGACATGACATCCTCAGTGGTTAGGCGGAGATTTCAGAGGCCACTGATGTAGCTACTGTACTTCAAAGTTAGGCTGAAACTTCTGACAGCAATTTCCAACTGACGACGTGGTTGACGCCCAAAATCTTCATTGATACTACTGACAACAGCTGCAAAAAACTATGAATGAAGAGTAATTTATGTTTGGAGTCCAAGCTATTGATTTGGCATGTAGAGGAGTAGAAAATGAATCAGAAAATGATTTACATTAGGATGGAGTGTAGAATTAAGATGGCGAGTAGGGTGGTGTAGGGACAGAAAACATCTCTCTTCACTTTTCCCCTTCCCTGAATACGTATCAAATTAGATCCAACAGGAATTGTTGGAAGGAGCGTAAAAAAACAAAAGCGATGGTGGAAAGGGTTACATGCACCTACAGCTCATCACTCTAAATGATTCGTCATATACTAACCCAGTAGGACTGACTCTGCCCGCGTAGTGTAGCGGGGACACAGGACTCTGGTAGATGCCGGGTGGCTCGGGGGCCCGCTGCGGGGGAGAGCAAGGCTCCAATACTGGTGGGGGTGCAGGATGTCTGACGGGGACTGGGGCTGTTACTGGCCCCACTGCCTCATTCTCACTCAATGTTGTTGTACTTGTACCGTTGTCGGCATCGGGAGACTCCTCGTCGTTCTTGGCCAGCGGCTGGGAAAATATTGATTTGATCTGTGTGAAACTGTTGCACTCTTGAAACCAAGTATAAAAATGTGTTTATCGATCACCTGTTTATATTAGCTAAAGGTTATAACCTTTAATGTGTAAATACATTATCTATATACAGATTCCCAGTTTCTAAACTTATTTATTAAAATATCACCAATCAAAAAGTTCACTTAATTAGGATTGTTGCATGTAATCTAATCAAACGTGGTATAAAATACATTAATTCCAATCAATGAAATTTTCGGCCCTGAAGTAGAATCCCTTCTATATGAACCAGATGAAGATAACGTTTTATAGTTGAAGCCAAAAGCTGTTGACAAAAAGAACAAATTTTAATTCTTTTACGTGATTTAAAGTGTTACAGCAGGAGTTCAAACAACAAAGTTTCTACTCTACCTAGAGTTATAATAGCAATTTTTATAGGTGAAAAACAAACAGTTAAAACCCCAAATTTTAATTCTACTCACTCCATTCTCTTCAAGTAGTTCGTCCACTTCCAACAAAGCGTAAACCTCCTTCCTGTATTCATCCATTTGCGACTTCTTCTTCTTCGCTTTGGTGTAGTCCTCGTGCATGATCGCTTGTTTTTTGCTGATTTCCAGTTTTCCTAGCCTTTCACCGGCCGCTCTCAGCTCCACCATTGCTGACTTCAACTTGCGAGCGTACTCGAACCTTTCATCTGGCGAAGATAAAATACCCTCAAAATATATTTTAATTTCTTTTTCAGTTTGAAACTTAATCTTGCTATTACAGATGGGATAAATTTTTAAGGTATCTTTTTTTATACAGATTCATGAAAATAAAGATCCCTTCCAAATCAACATTTTTCAAATTTTTCTTACAACCATACTATGTATATTAATTGTAGCTCTTTCCAGTAGCTTTTTATAGTAGGCCTATATTTCAGGTTAACCAACAATTTATTTTCAAAAATGCAATCTGATATTTGATAGTATTAATTTTTTACAGGTAGTTGCCCAACAAAGTAATTTCTCCCTATTCCTAAACAGGATGTCCTAACAGTTTCACGTTTCATCCAATCTGCGCTACTTTAGTGATTTGTATTGGTTTGGAAAACATTTTATTCCGCTTTTTCAAAACATATTTTCCAACAACAGTAAGTTTACAATCACCTTGTACAGCCTGGTGTTTCCTCTTCTCCAGCAGTCGGATGATGCGGGCAACATCTTTATCAACGTACATCTCAAACGCGAGGTCATCGCAGGTTGAACCCAAGGTCGCACCATGTCCATTGTTGTTTTCCTCGCCTCTCACCGCTTCCTCCCCAATCAGCTGTACTGCTACTATACTCACCTAAACATCGTCAATTTGTCTGTTAGTGATTATATCACAATTCAAGGTAGTCAAAGAATCTTTATGTTAACAAATAATGTTTTGACTAATTGATAAATTCCCAGCTTTAGTGTGAGTTCCATGCAACAATAGTTTGACTATCTAACCTGATTGAATACATTGAGGCTGTTTTGATGGTTCTGGTAAAGTCTTAGTTTGACATAAGACGTTGGGCTGAAGGGCGGAACAGTGATGGATTTGAGTTCTCGACTCTTGAACTCTGTAGACTGATTGTCACTGAGTGTGATGTAGCCGAGGTACTCGAAATGCAAGTTGTTGGCGTCTTCACCTGAAATCTCATCTGTGCAATCTTCTGGACCGACTAGAAGGTCGATTCTCTCAGCTGCAAAAGCATAAAAAATAAAAGTGGATTGCAGAAGTCAAAAGTAAAGCTTGTTTGCTCACATTTTTTGCTTGTGTATTTTTGTTGTTAGGGAATGGTTAAAACCCTTGTCTTCTTACTTTGACCTCTTTTGTTAATGGCTAATTGGGTTAGATGTTTGAATGACAACAAATTAAATATAACCATTTCTCCATTTTCCCAGTACCCAACATGAAACATAAGGAGAATAATTTAGTAGTGGAGAGGAGATGGATTCAAATCAGCAAGGATGAGTTTGTAACATTTTCCCTGAAACATGTTAGTGTCCACATTCACAATACACTGGCAAAAGAGAAATGTATCTACTGCAGGACCACTTTCATAAATGTGTCTTGGTGGGCCCAGGCCCAGAAAGCTTTATGTTGTGGGGTGTTCTTTGATGGAAAAGAAAAATGGGGGGGGGGACTGCACACAACACACATTGTTTCTGTTTACATAGGTTTTGAGGATAATAAAATGAAAATAACAAACTAAAATATTAAATTTATATAGAAATCTTTTAAAGATCCCTACATTAATGGGTTGGTCAGACTCACAGATTAGGTACTGATGTGCCAATATCTGTATTTGATGCAGGATAGCTGTAGAGTGAAGCCTCAAAACCACTTCCTGGGGGAAGGAGCAATCCTTGGCGGACTGCCACCCTCGGATGGCTGGCCCGTGTCTGTCCAACTCACACGCTTTGTATTTTTCATCCTCTCCTGAAATATAGTATGATAGAATTATTCATCGTTAGTTTGCAATTGTAAAAATACATGGATGAGTTACTAAAATCATCATTTTGTGGAGATAGTTCTTCAAAGAGATAGGCTTGATTCTTCTTATCAACGGCATTGGAGTGTCGCTTGAGCTGTATTTGAATGCCATAATGTTTTGGAGACATTGCAGTTTCCTACGGTAAATTAAGTTGTGAACTCTGGATTTATGTCAATTTTAGGTTTAACTGGTGACTAGTTTTAAGGGTGGATTGCAACATATGTTTTGTTCAAACTGAATTGTAAATTTTTACCTCCGGATCTCTGAAATGTTGACATTAATTATTGTATTACAGCTCTACAACACTGTTTAACCGACAATGAGTCTTATGATGAAAGACTGTGGAAATATACTTTCTTCAAGACTTTACCCAACACTATATTTGTTAAAAATTTTATACATGTAGTCTATGAACACAGTAACTGGAGTTTGGTCCGATTTTGATGAAATTTGGCATCAATGTGTAGGGCTAGATAAACTTTGAGCTCACAAACCAGCAAGATCGGGTGGTGGGTCAAAGTGTTACCGGTATAGAATTATTTTTTTCAGTTTCACCCTTAAAAATGAAAATGCCCATTCTTTATCACAGCTATAATGTAGAACTTAAAAACAAACAAATAATTTTGTATTCTGAGGTACCTATTGTTGTAGCCCACAAGTACAGGTTACAGAAAAAATTAAAAAAAATATATTTTTAAATTTCTTATGTTATTCTTATCAAGAAAAAGAAAATTGTTTTTGTGCATTTAAAAATCACTTTGAAATTAAATCTTAAACTTTATAAATTAACTTTTGCATGTTAACAAATTAAATGTTTGCATGTGTGTAATTTTGCAAATTAACATGCCAACACACTTGAAATGCTTGAATAACTTAGGTACTGTAACTCTAGGCCATATTTATAAAAAGACAACAGTAACTTAATCGTACACATACCCAAAGCAATTTGTTTTAAAAATATTTGAAGTTTTAATATCTTAACATTTTTCTATCAATGTATCAAGTTGAAATTTGCTTGCATACAAATGAATGTGGGGAATTATTTTGTATTTATGTGTGGTTTCTGCTGTAAGTCAAAGAAACAGAAAATGTTTTAGTCCGTCCGACCCTTAAAAAACTCAGTAAGATAAATTAGACCTAGCCAATAAATCATTTTTTAATATATTCTGGTTACTGCAGTCAAACTTGAAATGGACAAGACATGCTCTGCAATACAGTAATACAATAATTTATTGACCAAATTTAATTAATAAAATATATCAAACATTATACATTATACTTATACATCTGAGCTAAATATGCCTACTGTATCATAAATATAATAAAATTGCTTTACCTGTAGCATAGATCACATTGAATCCTATCTTTTTAGGCATTTTTATCAACAAGATTAGGGTTGTTAAAATCTAATAATTTTAAATGCATGTAGAAAATTGTAAAATGTAACCTCCACCACTATAACATTTGGTTAGTAAGAGCATTAACTTCTACAATGGGTGATAAGTTAAATATAATTGATAAAGTAATGTTAGTTATAGTATAAAACTATGTTATAGAAGGGAGTCCACAGTCTTCATAAAAAGAGGAAGTCATCTGAATAGCTTCATAACAATTACTTCACCTACACAAAATAAAAATCTAGGCATTGAGCAGGGGCACCAGCAGTCCAGCAAGCACAGTCAGTAAAGTGCCCACAACTAGGGTCAAATTTACTCTTGTTACAATATAACCAGGGCAAAAATAAATATTTTGTAAAGTGAGACTTTATATTTTTCTAAATTAACCTATCTCCTTGTTTAAAAATCTAATCTCAGTGATAATATTTTGTATTTCTTTTATCGGCTTTAGAGACTGCATCTGAAAAATCAATACCAAAGACTTACATCTTTGAAATTCCTCCCACAGCTCAAAGTCTTTTAAAACTCAGTGTTTATAGCTAAATTATATTCTTTGATCATACAATTGTAATCATTGTTGATTATAATGATTCTATTCTTTCTGTTAATTTCAAAAATATAATTTTAAGTCTACAAAAGCTTTGTATTTTAGTTTAGGTTAGTTATTTTTTTGATTGTGTTTAAACCCAAAACCCAAATATATTATTTTTATTCAAGAGAACCCTCAGCTACATTTTATTTGATGGAGATAATTATTGTAGTTATACAAAAATCAATAACACAAATTCAATTTATAAGAATCAATTGCGCTCTTTTATTTGATTGGCTACAAAGTTATCGTAGTAATCAGCTGTTAGCCGTAGCGTCTGTTGTTTGTAGTTAGGGCGTGATCCAAAAAAGATCCTATCCTTGATCTTGAAGGCTGTGTAGTGAGAATGAGAAAGTGGATTTGGTGTGATGTGATGGGTTTGTTTTGGAATGGATTGAATGAATGATAATAATGGCCGAAGTTTTTTGATGTTTCCGTGTTTACTGTTTAGTTTGGTGTCTAATGACAACATATCAAGTGAATATAGAAATTTTGTTAAAATCGGCTAACTCTCGTCCTTGAGTTTTATTGACAATGTACAAGGTGAGAGTGTATATTGTAACCTCAAATTAACATGACCTTGATAAGCTTAAGTGCTACAGTATTGTTTTTGTTTTACAACTTTCTGCGTTGAATGGCCGGACGTCTGTATGTATGTTCCAAAACATAAGCAGATAGTTACCTAATACCGCTATACGTTAACAAAGGTTATAGATGTGTTACTAATTGAATTAAAATTTTAGCCTAATTTAACCAGCGTCTTGATAACTTAATTTACTGCCCGGGGTCTCAACTAAAATACAAATTCTCAATAAATTATAGGCATAGGCTAGGCTACACTTCAAGTTATCTAAAAACCTCAAACTACGCAAGCAGCCTCAGAAACTGTTCACAATAAGATGATTTAGGCCTATTTAACTATGTTCATGCATAACGTGGCCATACGTCCCGCTTTATAACAAGTTGTCCCGCGCTGTCCCCACAATCGGCCGGGGGACGCCTGAATCTCCCGCTTTGGAGGTCAGGCGTTTGAAATATTGTATAGGCCTATGGAATATGAAATTTCGCCTTTCCACACTAATGTTTACTTAGTTCGTGTAAGAATACTTGTTAGTAATTTTAAGGAAAACTAAAGGAAACCAACCTATTAACCTATTTGGTTAACCCTCCCAGTGTTACTTGACGAAAATTCGACAAGCAGCACACTTTGTGTAGTGTTACTTGTCGATTTTTCGACACGCAGACATCGTTTACGGCGAAGGCTCTATGACTGACTGAATCGGATTGAACTGGATCGAGTTAGGTATCGTTCTTTCCGTAATATTCTAAGCTTTCTCCAGAGGTCTGTCTCTAAGCGCTATTCATTTTAGTTCCGAAAATATTGTAGCAGACAGCTGACGTGCGTGTATTTGTAAACAGCTAGGTTCCCCCGGACCGATGACTGATGTGTTTTATTACGTTTATCATTGTTTTAGTGTTAAAAATCAAAAGTAGTGATATACGTGGTGCATTATAAGAAGATTTAAGTGGTTTTGAAGTGCTGGTTGATGATCCTGAAGAAGTAGGTAGTGATATTGATGTAAATTATCAGCCAGATTCCTAGCTATGGTTAGGCTATGCATTCTTAGGTAAACGCTACCTATGTACTGAAATCAGTTTTTTGCCCATAACTTATTTATTTGCAAATCTACTTCCTTATATTATTATATATTTGTAATCCTCATAAAATTTAGAACATAGTGGCTATTTTCAAATATTTATAGGCCTATAATTTATACAATTTCATTGAGCGCGAACTTATTTTTTTTTTTTGAAAATTTTTGAAATTATATTTTTTTTACCTAAAAATTTTTTTTTTTTTTTGAAAAAATGTTCCTTATGTTTTATATATAATATTGAAGCCCATGATTTTCCAAACAAAATGGTATATAGAACATTAGAATTAACATTGTTTTAAGCTTCTCAGATCCGTTTTAATAAAACCTTGCAAATGCGCCAAAAATAGGTGGACATTAAGGCCTAAACTATGGACACTTGGAGGGTTAACTGTACAATTAGCACGTCATCGTTCATCGATCCTCGATCGCGTGAACTCAACTATCTATACTATAGGTGTTACTCTACTACTCACTCACTCCTGTTGCTAAAACTTATTGATTATGGGATTGGGGGAAGTTGCTTTTCTTTAATACAATCTTACCTTTCTGAAAGAAAACAAAGAACTTTAATTTTAGAAGATAACAACAAACATTATTCACCATGGGAAATTATATCCACAGGTGTTCCCCAAGGCTCAGTATTGGGCCCACTTTTTTTTCTTATTTACATTAATGATCTTCCAAAAGCTATTAATAAAGAACTAATTCTTTTTGCCGATGACACTACTGCTTTGATCAAAAATAATAATACAGCTGAAATGTTTTCTTCTCTGCAAAGTGTGGTAAAGGACATGGAGCAATGGTTTTTAGAAAATGGGTTAAAACTTAATGTTGAAAAAACAAATATTATTAAATTTTCTACTAGACACAAAAATATGGAAAACTGTTCCTTTAATTTAGTTGAAGCTCATAAATTCTTAGGGGTTTACGTGGATGACGCAGTAAAATGGGATTCACATTTGAATTATTTACGTAACAAAATTAGGTCGATATCATCTTTATTCATACATTTGAGGGACTGTGTTTCTATTGAGACACTTAAAGTAGTTTATCATGCTTATGTGGAGTCAGTGTTAAGATATGGCATAATTTTATGGGGCCAAGCTACTGGTATTAAAACTTTATTCAGGTTACAAAAACGTATTATTCGTATTATTACCAACTCTCATCCACGCAGTTCTTGTAAGAAACATTTTCAAAATTTAAGAATTCATACATTAACGGGGTTGTATAGGCCTATTCTAGAATTATTAAATTACATACATTCAGTTAAAAATGAGCTACCAGAAACAATACATTTTAATCACAGGTATGAAACCCGAAATGAAAATATATTTAGACTCCCCAGACATTGTTTGACCCTATATGAAAAATCTCCATTGTACGCTGGGCTGAGATTGTACAATGTGCTTCCGCCATGCTATAAGTCATTAAGCAAAACCAAATTTAAAGATACAATAGATAATTTTCTTATTGACAAGGCTTTTTACTTAATTAAAGATTTTTACAGAACTACAATTTAGAATTTTTTTTTTTTTGTGTTTAATTTTTTAGTGTTTAGTTTTAAGTTAAAAGTTTTAATGTTAAATATTTTATGTATGGATTTAATTTTGACAATGCACCTATTCTAAATGTTATGACATGTATGGAATGTTTTGTGCAAATAAAGTCTATGTCTATGTCTATGTCTATACTCGTCAAAGATCGGCACTAGTACAATATATTTCCGCGCGAGCGAAAGCGCTGTAGGCTACTTCGGCCTCTAAAGAGGCAGGTCAGTAAACTAAACTGGCAAGTTGTTTACAGTACCTTAACCTCTTTTTTAGCACAGAAAACATACTACTGCTTTCAGGTACCATTCAGCGCGAAGAAAGTTTGTTTGAGATTTGATTATTGTACTGTTCAATTGTGCATTAGATAAGGTAAACAGCCCAAACTCCGAACGGTTAGAGGAGGTTAGGTCATTCTATTGTATTTTTATCCTATTTGGTTATATCCAGGCTTGATTAATTGTTTTACAAGGATTTATTATGAACTAATATTAAATTTTATGTCACAAACAACAAGTATCTCCTTGCAAATATTGTAAAATAACGTAATACAAGTGCCGAACGTTTCAACCATGAATAGCCCAATACCGAACGGCGTACGTCCCAAATCCGAACGCTGGTTTCCCAAATCCGAACGAGTCTGGTCTCCACTCTAAACACTGGATTCTTTAAATTGAACCACTTTGAATTTAAGTTTTAAATGCAGTTGATATAAAAAGTAACATACCTGATGACGACATGAGCAGAAAGCGACGAAATAACTCGCAGTAGTATCAAACTACTAACTACTACGGCCACGGCACGGCCACCAAGATTATGTGTTTTTGCCCAGTCGATTTAACAAAATATACTATAACAACGCACAGTCCAAGGGAAAAAGCAAAGTATTAAGCTCATTTTAGTGGAATGCAAGTTACTGGTTTGCGTGACAGTTTTTATTGCAAAATTAAATACAGCAAACTTGAATTTAAAAAAACACTTATTTACAAATTAAATTATACACAATGTGCAAAAATGTCTACTGACGAGAACGAAACATAAAAACATTAAACTTTTTCTTAGAATGCAAAGAAATCTCGTCCCTCCACAGCGGGTGAAATTTAAAATTATTTCCAAATTAAAATCAACAAACTTAAAATAAAAAATACACTTATATACAAACTATACACTATGTACAAAAATTACGGGAACGAAACTTTAAAGAACATTTAACTTTTCCTTTGAATTCAAAGAAATCACGACCCTCCACAGCGGGTGAAATTTAAAATTATTTCCAAATTAAAATCAACAAACTTAAAATAAAAATACACTTATATACAAATTATACACTATGTACAAAAATTACGGGAACGAAACTTTAAAGAAGATTTAACTTTTCCTTTGAATTCAAAGAAATCACGACCCTCCACAGCAGGTGAAATTTAAAATTATTTTCAAATTAAAATCGACAAACTTAAAATAAAAATACACTTATATACAAATTATACACTATGTCTCAGTAGAAAAAGTTATGACATAAGTTTCGTTCCCGTCAGTACAATTTACAATTTACGTCAGTACGAGAACGAAACTTATGTCATAACTTTTTCTTTGAATGTAAAGAAACCACGTCTCTCCACAGTGGGTGCACTTAA